AAATTGTTATTAGTTTTTTTAAGTTGGATATGGAACGTATTCTTTTTTAAAGATCAGTTCTTTTTTTTGTTAGGGGTCGTAAGTCAAAACTTTTTTAGATTCTTTTTGTCAGCGCAAATCTTGTTGGAGATGGAACTAATTCTTTATTTAAAGTTAAGTCCTTTTCGTTCGTTTTTCGTTTTCGTTGTTAGGGGTCCTAAGTCAAATTGTCATTAGTTTTTTTAAGTTGGATATGAAAATTATTCTTTTTTGTTAGGGCAAATATGGAACTAATTCTTTATTTAAAGATCAGTTCTTTTAGTTTGTTTTTGTTAGGGGTCGTAAGTAAAATTGTCATTAGTTTTTTTAAGTTGGATATGGAACTTATTCTTTTTTAAAGATCAGTTATTTTTTTGTTAGGGGTCGTAAATCAAAACTTTTTTAGATTCTTTTTGTTAGGGCAAATCTTGTTTAAGTTGGATATGGAACTAATTCTGTATTTAAAGTTAAGTTCTTTTAGTTCGTTTTTGTTAGGGGTCGTAAGTCAAATTGTCATTGGTTTTTTTAAGTTAAATATGGAACTTCTTTTTTAAAGATCAGTTCTTTTTTTTTTTCCTAGGGTTGTAAATCAAAATTTTTTTAGATTCTTTTTGTCAGCGCAAACCTTGTTTAACTTGGAGATCGAACTAATTCTTTATTTAAAGTTAAGTTCTTTTAGTTCGTTTTTGTTAGGGGTCGTAAGTCAAATTGTCATTAGTTTTTTTAAGTTGGATATGGAACGTAATCTTTTTTAAAGATCAGTTCTTTATTTTTGTTGGGGGTCGTAAGTCAAAACTTTTTTAGATTCTTTTTGTCATCGCAAATCTTGTTGGAGATGGAACTAATTCTTTATTTAAAGTTAAGTTCTTTTCGTTCGTTTTTCGTTTTCGTTGTTAGGGGTCGTAAGTCAAATTTTCATTAGTTTTTTCTTAAGTTGGATATGAAACTTATTCTTTTTTTAAAGATTTGTTCTTTTAGTTCGTTTTTGTTAGGGGTCGTAAGTCAAATTGTTATTAGATTCTTTAAGTTGGATATGGAACTTATTCTTTTTTTAAAGATCAGTTCTTTTACTTCGTTTTTGTAGGGATCATAGGTCAAAATTTTGTTTAAATTCTTTTCGTCAGGTCAAATTTCAAGTTGGAGATGAAACTAATTCTTTCGCTTTTGGGTAGGGAATATATTTTTTAAATTATTTTCGTAGTTTTAGTCTGTTTTAGATAGTGATCCTATGGAACCAGGCGCCCAGGAGTTTCCTATAAAACCCTCCTTTTTATTCCTTCCATTTAGACCCATTTTAGTTCAATTTCACAATCTTCAGATTGTTTAATTAAATTAAAATGGTAGATGGATCTTGAAAGTACTTTCTGGATTTTGTCTCGGAACATCGGTAATCCGTGCTAACCCGTTTTTAACGTGGAGCATGTTGTTGCGCACCGGCGCTAATCTATTTGTACCTTAATTATCTGTCGTTTTCCTTTTCTACCCTTCCTATTACCCTAATTCCTTCGATTGGACCTGACGTGGACATCTTGGACTTCTTGGAACTTCAGGGTGCGAGTGAATCTTACATGCGAGTATGTATACAACCAGTAAATTTATTTTTTGCGTGTTTTTGTTTATTTAAATACTTTATCTGTTTTAGGAAATTTTAGGTAAATAATATGATAAGGAGGGTGGAGGGTAACTCCGCCAGGTATTTTTAACCTGCCGGTCCCAAGCCCGGATAAAGGAGGAGGGCCCTCACTCTTTTCTATTTTTTTTATATTGTTTTTTTCGGGTCAAATCTTGTTTAGGTTGTAGATGGAACTTAGTGGTTTTTGTCAGGTTGGAACTTTTTCTTTTTTAAAGATCAGTTCTTTTATTTCCTTTTAGTATAGACTTCCTATTTAGCACCTTGTTTAGGTAGGAAATTGAACGTTTTCATATTTTAAAGATCAGTTCTTTTGGTATGAACTTAATACTATAAGTCAAATCACTTTTAGGCAGGGTTAACCCTGCCAGACGTAGAATGAAAAAGAATGTACGTAATAAAAAAAACAATACTTACCAAATTTTAATAAAATAGGTTCTTAAGTTTATTAAAAAAAAATATATACACCTTGTATTTCTGAAACTGTTGATTTTCGATGTAAGTTTTTTATTGATTCTCAATTTATTAAAGGTTCCTTTTGGACCACCCTGTATATAAATGGAGCCTAAAATTTTAATCGGGAAAATTCAATAGAACTCGCAAAAATAAAATGACAATTTAATATGAACTTCTATGTTTTAAGGCCTCGTTTTCAAAATTCAGGGTGGTAAATTTTTTTTTTTAATATTTTTTTTTTCAAAAATTTCAAAACTTTTGGGCCGAATTTAATAAAAATTTTCAGGTTTTTAGCAATTGAATTGAATTTAAATTCAATTAACGAAACCCAACTGGATATTTAAAAATAAAATTTTGGTAGGTGCGCTACTTACTTTTTAAAAGTTTAATCATAGAACTTTGATTAAAACAATTAAAAATGCTACTTTTAGTGATAAAAAATCTCCGCTAGTTGTCTTACTACGACAATATTATTTTTGGTTCAAGCAACTAAAAAATACAACTTTCTCATCTTAATCATTAAAAATTTGTTTATTTGCCCTTATATTATAATATTAAACTTAGAATAAAGTGACAGAACCATATTTTTTTATTAACTTTAATACCCTAGGGCCATGGGCGCCGCTACATAGGGGCAGGGGGGGGCCCGGGCCCCCCCTGGAAATTCATACCCAGAAATTCCGGTACTCCATAATTTGACGTTAAGTGCTGATCGTTATCATTTGTTCATTATATTTTAATTTAACATAATTTGTATAGCGTATAGTTACATAATTTGTATAGGGTGTTTCATTTAAAACGAATTTTTTTTTCTTGCTGACACATGAAAATTTTGTTTTTTAGGTTGAAAAAAAATTCTTTGAAAATTTGAGCCCTTAACTTTTATTCTAAGTACTTCCTTTTTAATTTTGTAGTTTTTCCATATAACAGCATGTATTTTTAATCATTTTTACTTTAAATTTCTATATTTTTGCTGGGTTTTGAATTATAATTTTTATCACCATAATTTCCTGCATAGTATTCACGGTTTTTGAAAGGCCCTGCATCAATTTTGTTTTTGATTTATTTACGTTGATTGTAGTAGCTCTAAAAGTCGTTTTTCACTTTTTCTCACATATTTTTTAAAAAATCGAGAGAAAAAAATTGAAATAAAAAAGTTGTAGGAAATTTAATTTTTGACAAAAAAGGTTTTTACGTTCATATCACTAAAGTGCTTTGTTTAAGAGATATAAGCAATTCAATAACCAAAAACAAAGAAAAAATAGGTTTTATTGAAATTTATGTAATTTGATTAAACGACTATATATTCCTCATTCGCTCGATTTTCTAAAAAATATGTGAGAAAAAGTGAAAAAACGACTTTTAGAGCTACTACAAACAACGTAAATAAATCAAAAACAAAATTGATGCAGGGCCTTTCAAAAACCGTGAATACTATGCAGAAAATTATGGTGATAAAAATTATAATTCAAAACCCGGCCAAAATATAGAAATTTAAAGTAAAAATGATTAAAAATACATGCTTTTTATATGGAAAACTAAAAAATTAAAAAGGAAGTACTTAGAATCAAAATTAAGGGCTCAAATTTTCAGGGAATTTTTTTTTCAACCTAAAAAACAAAATTTTCATGTGTCAGCAAGAAAAAAAAATGTTCGTTTTAAATGAAACACCCTAGCGTATACTTAAGACGGCTGTACTAGAGATTCCTCGGCGATACTATTTTTTTATATTTATATATTTACCAAAAAACTGTGATGTATTTTTTGCAATATGTACCAATATAAATAAATAGGTAAATATACATATAAAGATGATATTTTATTTGGCTTAATTAAGTTTAATGTGAACTTCTACATTACAACTTGATTATAAATAACATCTATCAAACTTGTAAAAAACTTTAAGGGCCCCCCCCTAGACGAATTCCTTCCGGCGCCCATGCCTAGGGCTGTATCTTGAAAACAAAGCTTTAGAGCTTACAAAAGTTCTTATACCTACATTTCTTCCTATTTTTGTAAGTTCGATTACAAAATTTTCACGAATAAAATCTGAGAGACACCCTATAAACATGTATACAGGTACAATTTATTATTACATTATTGTCGTGCCACCAATTTTAAATTAAGCGACACGGCAGTGATGACGTTTTTTATCTATTACGTCACTAGCGTGCCCGTAAAAAATAAATTGCAGGCACTCTAACGTGCACCTAGTCACTTCGTTTTTTTATTATTCAAACGAATTACTGGTAATTATTAATGTTCATTATGTAATGATGAACGTCCAAAAAGGCGTGTAATCTATACTTCTGACAACGTTGGAAGCCGTGTTTCTTTCGAGGGTGTTTAGAATGTGAAACTATCCTTTACTCGCTTTTTAAACGTAAACAAATCCGTCCATTTGTTTTGGTGGTCTGTGGTTTAAAGACTTTTCTATAAATTTTGTTTTATAATAATAATAAAATTATATCCACTTTTTAGAGTAAAATGCAAAGTTCGTTTCTTTTAGTTGGTAGCACAGAACAAACCATAATTGGTATTCCTGTTCAAGCCCTTATAATTTTGAAAACTTTGACATTTCTCATTTAACTGTCAGAATTATAATAAACATACTTGTGTATTTGTACGCTGAAAATGCAAATTTGCCTCTATTGGGCTGTAAAGTCACCTATATTTCTCAAAGGTAGGTAGTTATTAATTTTTTTAACAACTTATATTCAACATTTCAAAAGTTATAAACATTCTTATAATTATAACATAACCACAATTAAATTAATTATAATTTGTTCTACTCAATGTAGCCAATGATAAATTTAGGGTCCCTAGAATTTGCCAACTAAACCCCCAAATTTTCGACGTCAAAAAAAACAAATAATGACAAATAGCTTAAACTCACTTTTGGGCAATTGGGATTCCTAGCTGAATCTATGAGCTTGTGATCTCCCAAATGATCTTTTAATTTTTGTTCCCACAGGGCAGTTTCGTAGTAGGAATGGGTCCAAACTAAATTTCCTGTGCCCCACAATGCAGATTGTTGAAATACTTCCTTGCTTATACATTCATATTGTTCCGATATAGACTCCAAGGGTCTATGATGAATAGCTTGAACACGGAAATAAAATAAATACAATTTTTTTATTATTTTTCAAATTACCCATTGAGTAGGCTAATATAGAGCCCGTGCTGACCCCACAAAAAAAGTCAAATAATTCGTGGACGCGTTTCCCAGTTAACTCCTCCAATTTTTTTATCATTTCGATAACCAAAAGCCCCCTTATGCCACCTCCATCAATTGCCAAAATTCGTATTCCCTTTTTCGGCACAGGATTTGCATACCCAAGTGAAGATAACCCTTCATGGATTGACTCCAACATACTTTCGTTTGTTGTCGTTTTTCGCAGTCGCAGAAATAACCGAATAGCCCCCAACTAAAATAAAAAAATATATTTTGAAATAAATATGAAAACCGAACACTTACTTTGACAGCTTTGCCCCTGGCTTCTGGGTATTCTTCAATATGATCCAACAAAGAACGAATTAAATGTTGAATTGAGTGTTCCGAATCAGATAATTGAATGGATAAAATAATATGCCGCGTTTTATTGAACACAGATGCCTAAAATAACGCATACTTAACCAAACTAAAATCTTAAACCATACTAAAACTAACTTGAATGCTACTTGATTGCTGTTTCCATTTTGGTATAATAATTTTAGGTTTTTCCTCCTTTGCCACCCCAATTTTATCTTTAATACCTTTTATCACCGTTGGTATGTAATTACTACTACTTTCTTTGGCTTCGTTTTCTTTTTGTTCTTTAGGTGGATTTGTTTGAGTTTCAAACAACTTTATTAGTTCTTTAGTGTAATAAGAAGGCGGTAATTTTTGTAACACGTTAACCAAATCTTTGCTGAAGTTAATTTGCATCGTTTTATCGTTAGTTAATTTAGATATGTGGTCTTTTAGTTGCAAAAATATCTTCCAATGATTGAGAGACATTTTGTTTGTATAAAGTTGCAGTAAATCGATTAAATATCATATATGAGGCATAATTTCTTATCAGGTTTCTTCGGTCACTTCATAATTAAAGTTTATGCGGATGCTTTGAGTTCATTTCTGAAAATAAAACTTTTGACAGTTGTGATGTAAACAAAATTTTAGGTTATGTTTGCACAGTGAACAGAGTTGCCGATGAGTTCTCGACCAAAAATTACAAAATGCACGATTTTAAGCACAAAAGTTTAAATTTAGCTTAATTACAAAATCAACAATGCAAACTGTTAATTTGGCGTTTTTATTAATTGTTTATTATGTCATTTTATAATGAACGTAAATTCAAACAAAATCTGGCAACTATGACAGAATCTAGTGCATTTCTTTGAAATTTTAGGTTATGTGCTCAAATTGTAAATATCTTAACTAAGATAAGTGCTTTTAGATTTATTTACACAAATTGAAGTTTAACCTGGGAACTTGTCCTAATTTCATCTGAGTAAACAGAAAGAAAAAACCGTTGAAAAAATTAATTTCGTGGTTATGGAGTTTTTGAAATAGGTGCTAAATTTTCTAATCATTGCTTAAGCTAATAGCTAGATGAGTAAATGAATACAGGAGGGTATTAGAGCTTTAAGGGCATACAATTTTTGTATTTATTAAGTTTTTAGGTATTTATTTTTTGTAAGAAAATTTTTTAGTTACAGTTCATTTTTTTTATCTGGACTGTTTTTTTGAAAGGTTGGTGGCTTAAGCCAGTTTGACTTAGTATTTTTAGTATTTAAAAATGGTACTTCTGCTAAAGAATTTAATTAAATACTTTGACACTGTCAAAATGACAATAATATTTATTAATGATAATTTACTTGTCAATTATAAATAAAAAGATAATTATGCCAAAAATATTACCAACGAATTCGAATGTAAAAGCCCTTTCATTTTGATGAAATTATGCCAAATGCCACAATGGAAGAAAAAGTACATCGCCTTATGGACATTTTTGGAGTAAAAAGTAACGAATTTGGTTTTATAAATATTACATCACACATTATTTTTACATTATTCACCATTGGACAACATTTACGTTCACAAAAAAATTTAATTTCTTTTATATAAATTCTTTTCAAAGCGAAGATTATTATCCGCTAGGAATACTTTCTCTTCTAACCCGTAAAGAAACCCATATTTAACTACTTTTTTATATGATTATACTCATCCAAGCACCACCAAAGCCAAATTAATTGCATTTTTAACTACGAATTTCGACAACTCAACTTGACAACTGCACAATGTAACCTACAATAATTTACACATAACCACAATTAGATTTATAACTAGCTTAGTTTGTTTTAATCAATGCGACCAACTTGACAACTGTATTTACCAACCAATATTTGCAACGTTGCCGCAGTCCAGATAAAAAAAAGAACTTTAATGTCAAAAGGTTTTTAGTATTTTAATATATTATTGGCAGGTATAGTGAAATAAAATAAACAATGTTTCAAAATATTACTCTATATTAAATATAAAAATATCACAATATGTACAATAAAAAGTTTATAAGAAACAATCACAGTATAAATTCAGGTCATACAATAAAAAAGCGTAAAAAGTTTAAAAATAACATTATCAATGTTGTTTAAATCCTAAGATATCTTTCTTAACATGGAACCATTCTGAAAGTTGCTTTGTCTTACTTTTTTTAACGTTAAGAGCTTGTGCAGCCTCGTTAAATTTATCTTCGTTTCTTCTTAAATACATTACAGCATCTCTTTTTAATTGCTCTATTTTTTGTGGGTCTATCTCCGCTATATCCAACATTTCCGTTAAGTATGGGTTAAATCGGTAGTAGACATTCGAAGGGAGAAGATCTGACAACATTGTGTGGACACCTGTGGAATTATTAATTAGGTATTTATTATTTTTGGAGAAATGTATTTTTACCTTCTGTATCGGTGGCGCTATTAAGAATAGTCAGAAATTTATCCTTCCAAGATGAACTACCCAGAGATTGTTGGTTACCCTCTACAGTGTGATGTTCGGTTCTGCCCGTACCAAAAGATACAACACACTGTATGGGAGTATTGGGCCATAGTAATTTGGCTTCGTGAATGGCAATGGCTGCAGGATTGTTCACCAAAATACCACCATCTTGATGCAACATATTTCCTATTTTGAATTCCTCAAAATAAGTAGGAGCAGCTGCCGAAGCCCTGACACACTCCCAAACTTTATGATTATACCCCCCCTGATAGTTCGATTGCACCCTAAACGGAAGATCATAATTCCTAAACACATACGCTGACAATCTGGCTTGATTCACCACAGCCGAAACAGCACAGTACTAAAAAAACATTATTATACACAAAACCTCAACATTAAAAAAAAAAATTACTTTTGGTACTTTAGCGTCCCTTTGTGTTTCTATAAGCATCTTCTCGCCCCACACCGCCCTCAACAGTTTTTCCCACAGTGCAGTGTCATAATACGAGTGACTCCACACCAAATTACTTGTCCCTTTGAATGTCGATTGCGTAAAAATTTGCGTGCTTAAATTTCTATAAATATCGGAAACTTCGTCCAAAGAACACCGTTTCAAGCCTTAAAATGAAAGAAAATAACACTTTATTGATCAGAAATGAAAGCTACTTGTAATTGAGGTTAGATTTCAAAAAAGTGAGGTTAAAACCCATTTGACAGATGTCAGATTGGAAAAAAGTGAGGTTAAAAGCTGTCAAATTTGACAAAAGTAAGGTTAAAACCCATTTGACAGCTGTCAAAAAAATGTCAAAATAGTTCATTTACCTGCTAAAGTTAGAAGTATGGCCCCAGTGCTGACCCCACATATGAGGTCGAACATTTCAGAGACTGGTTTTCCAGTCAGCTCCTCCAATTTCCTCAACATTTCTATGACCAAAAACCCCCGAACACCCCCTCCGTCAACAGAAAGTATCCTAATGCCTTTTCCTGGGACGGGGTCTGCATGCCCCAGCAAAGAAATGGCTTCTCCTAGAGATTCCGCCACTAGCAAATCCTTGTTTGTTGATCTCACTTTTAACAACACTCGTATGGCACCATCCTAAAATGATTGAGGTTATGTTGGTTATAACCAAAAAATGTTTTGTGTTGTTTACCTTTACAGCATTGCGTTTAGCTTCTGGATATTGCTTTAAGTGTTGTATTAATTCTTCTATTCTAGCGTGTCTGGACGTTATACTTTCAGATGATATTATAGAAGACACAACTTGACTAGTTCGACAGGCTATGGATTCCTAAAAATTTAAAAACATGAGTACAATCACACTTAAATACGTGCACAAATATTACCTTTGACACGAGGGCTTTAGTATGCTTCCACTTTGGCAACGTACTCTTTTTTTCTTCTATTTTAGCCCCATACCCAAACTTGAATCCATTAAAAACGTTAGGTAAAGAAATACCTTCCTTCTCCCTCTCTAAAACCTTTGGTACTGCAGCTGATGATTCAAAATATCTAACTAAATCACTACCATATGTTTTGGGTTGGATTTTTTGAAGAAAGTGCGCGAATTCCTTGTTCAGAGCGTTTTCAAAAGTCTTGTCCGAGAAGTAGGTTTTTAACTGAGTTATCAATTTAAATTGGTTCAAAACTACGCTTTTTGCCTGCATTTTTAAGGAATCCACAGCCTCAGAACCGCCAGAGTTGTAACGTCTAAAAATTAATTTTTAATAATAAGGTTTAAGGTCAGAGATAAAAAAGTTGTGCCAAGATAATTACAAATAAATTACGTCATTGCGTTTTTTTAATACCGATATAAATAAACTCGCTTTCTAGAAAATGATGTTTAGGTACAAAAATAAACGTCTGGGTACCTAAATCTGTAGATAGGCAATGCCTACTAGGCATACCTTTGACTCAAAAGTTTATTTTTACAAAAAACTATCGTGTTTTTAGTCACGTATACAATTTATATTGATTCGAATTAATAATTATGTATTTACCTCCTCGGAACTGTTGTAACACATCTCCCACATCGAGATATATTTTTGCTGAAAGACATCACCTTTTAATTCAACTAATATCAAACAATGGCACTTTTGCAACGATTTAAAACAAATCACTGATCGCGATTATCACGATTGCTTATAGGGATAACGATAATTAACTGTTCTGTTCACTTGAAGGTTTTTGTTGATTATGGGGCTTTGACTCGTTGCTCGGCCTTAAATAATAAAAAATTGCGCTTAAATAAAACAACTAACGAAGTCAACAACATCTGCCTGATGTCATGGGGAAGTAAACAATTGTTGTTGCGTACGTACGAAAAAATCGTACGATCTTTGCCACGCCTCCCGAATCAGACCATTCACAAATGCCGAGTTTGTTACCTGTTGTTGGGCGCACGTGTCTAAATTAAAATATTTCGGTAATACGCAATTTTGTTTATGTTTTTAAAAATACTTTACTTTCTACTTTTGCTCTCAAATACACGTGTAGGTATTAACGCGTGATTTTTCAAATTTTTACAGAAATAAATGAAATGAAAGAATCTTTTGTGTACTAAGAATACGAGGTTAATCAAAAATGTATTACCTACCTACTTGAATAATAAATATTTTATTTTTAAAAATTATGCGTATATTACTAAACATGATAAATTATTAAACAATATCCATGAAAAAGTATTTTTATTTAAAATTAACATTATTTTACCAAATTCACAAATAAAATTTTTCGAGCTACTTGCTTTTCTTTATTGTCACATAGTTTATTTCCCTCTTCTAAATTTAAACCTATTTGTTCTTTATAAAGTGCTACACCAAAAAGAAACTGTTTTTTTAAATCATTTCCGATTTTTCTACCTTCTACCAATCTCTTTTTGTATTTTTCTTTTTCTTGTTTTAATCGTTCTATTTCTTTTTTTAGCCTTTTGTAATTTTCGAACAACTTTGCCACAAGCTGTTAATTTACGTTTTTTTGATGATACTTTTTCATGATACGGTATAGTTTTCGGAGTCGCAACAAAATCGACTGAATTTTTTAAAATGTTTACATTTTCGTGTACCGGTTGTAAATTTTCTTCTGAATCATATTCGGAATCTGAATTTGGTGGTGTGTTTTGAAGATCTTTTTTTTAAACTTTTTGTTTTGGACCTGTACAACCTCTTTGCTTTTCTCCACTTATTTCTTTGATCTCTTTTTGTTTTATTTGACATTTTATCTATTGTTAAAATTTTACCATCGTTTTTCGCCTTCTGTTTTCTTTCTCTATCTTTTGCCTTAACTAGCTTTCTCTTTTGCGCACTCATATTCTGCCTGTATATTCTCGTTCTCTCTGCTGACGTGTTTTTGTTAATTTTTTTCTGGAAAGTTTCTTTTTTTTGTTGATTTATCAAAAAATGCGGGTAAGATTCCTTCTTAGCCTTTTTTAACATTTTCAACAAATTTTGCTTTTTCTAATTCATTCATATTGTCAGTTACTGACGTTTCTACTGTACAAACTTGAATTTAAACTTTGACGTCAAGAAACTGTTTATTAATTTTGATAATAAAATAATTTCCAAATTTCAGTATCATTTCACAAGAAGAATGAAAAAATTCGCAACATTGCAGGAGTTATTTAGGCAACCCAGATTACAAATTGTGACAGTAAAGTAAAATTAAAAATGATTATTATTAATCCCGCCTACAAAGACACTATTATATTATTATCGTTATACAGAGTGTATACACGGCGGACCAATTAAAAATACTTTACAACCATAGAAAACCAAGACAACAAAATTTAATTGAAGCCAAACGCAGTGTCGCCAACAATTGACGCAATTATTGCAGTACTGCCAATCAAAGTTTTATTGCAATGATGCATTATTTTTTTGGTTTGTTCCAACGGCAATTATTTTTAATCCTCTGATATTATATAGGGTAAACATAATAAAACAAACAATTTAAATTCTCAATACTGCATTTATTTACCATAAATTCAGTAAGAATAGCGCAAACACAACTTTATTACCAAATGATCCCACAAACTGTTATTTTTACTTCTTGTGTTTATTTTCCAAAAGTAGCTGTATTTCTTTGAAACTTTTACCCTTTGTTTCTGGTAGGATTATAATCATAAACAGCGCAGATACTACGCAGGAGGAACTAAATAACCAGAACGTTCCATAATCGCCTAAATTGTCTCGCAAATCACTAAACGTTTTCGTGATTATGAAGCCGGTGAGCCAGCAGGTGCTGGATACGATTGAAGCTGAAACTGGCCGTATGTGGCTCGGAAAAAGCTCTGCCGTTACAGTCCAAGCTATGGAACCGTGTCCCAAGTTAAAGAAAATAACGAAGCTTATTAAAGAGAGCATTGGTAGCCAGCTGATTGATGATACGTCGGTATTGTGTTCTAAAACATAAAAGAAAGCGCCAACGCAGGCTAGAGAGAATCCAGTTCCCACACTTGAAATGGTTAGTAGCGTTTTCCTGCCAAATCTGTCTGCGACAGTAGGGACAACGATGCTGGACAAAAATAACACCGAACCGAAAATAATGGCGGAAATTTCCGGTGGTATATCGCCTCCTGAGGCTTTAAAAATAAACTGCAAATAGAACATGAGTGCTTTGACTCCTGAGACCTGCTGGAAAAATACTATGAGCATTGCAAGGGTGATTGCCTTTCTTAATGCCGGCGTTTTGATTATGTCTGTTATGGAACCATGCTGTTCGTTTTCAACTTGGTACTTGATGTGATCAAACTCCGTACTAACCGATTTTTCATCGCCCGATCTCAAGGTCATCAGAGATTTAAGGGCTTCATCCTCTCGATTTTTCCCCAATAGATAATACGGAGACTCAGGCGCTATTATCAAGAACATTACAAAGAACAGCGCTGGCAGTACGGCTAATATTAAGTTGAACCACAAGTGAGACAAATAAGGACCAACAGCGTATGGTATGAGGTTTCCAAACGTCCAGAATACGTTCAATAGGGACGTCATAAGCCCTCTAGTGGAATCTTCTGTAACCTCGGTGACGTAGGTTGGCAACAGGGTGTAACCACCTCCGATGGAAATCCCAGCGAATAGCCTCGCGAAGTAGTACAAATTTACGTCACGAGCGAAAGCCAAGATGACGTAAGAGATGAAATACGGCACTGCTATCGATAGTAGGGCGATTTTTCTGCCAAATCGCCCGGATATGAATCCAAATGGAAAGGGGCCAACCATCGAACCGATGTTGATGATGGATCCAATCCAGGTGTCTTGTTCGCGGGATATCGGAGCACCCAGTGGGTTGATGTTGGTGTCGTTGGAGTACAGTTTGACGTACATTGGAGAGACCCACGTCATCATGGTATCTCCAGCTGTGGCCAGCAAACCAACTGAAAAGGAAAAAATATGCTACAAGAGATACTAACTCGAGTATGATCACGGTTGTCAATGTGATGCTAAAATCATTGCATCAAGTGAGAGTAGTAGTGCAACTACAGGGCAATAGATTTACATGAATAATACCATAGGGTCCCTAGATTTGGGACCTTAGAATACCAAAATGTCAAAAGTCAGAGTTTGTATAACCTATGTATATGATGCACCGACAAAAGTATGTTTTTAGACATTTTTAAAGACATTTTCAGCTATAAAACCCAGAAATGTTGCCATCTGGTATATTTATTATTATTTTATGTATCCAACATATATTCCGTTAAATATTCTAATATATAATTAATAATAAGGTGTTAAAGGTAACAAAGGTCCATTATTATCCCGTTCTGCCTCAAAATAGCATATTCATATATTCTAATATATAATTAATAATAAGGTGTTAAAGGTAACAAAGGTCCATTATTATCCCGTTCTGCCTCAAAATAGCATATTCAGAATGATACCAACTCTCGGCTCCGACTGTTTAAATGCTTCGGCATTATAAATATAGGAAAAACAAAAAAATGATATATAACAAACACAAAAACGGCAATGAAAACTTAAACGATATAAAATAACACAAACAAGAAACAAAATAAACGAAATTATACACGAAATAAACGAAATATTCAAAAACACAACTGACAGAGCTGTTCGAAATTCTAAAACGTTAATTTCTTTTTCTATGCGTCATTTTATTAAGCAAAATTTTAATCTAAACATGACAACATTGCAATTGCTGCCAACTAAAGTTGTTTCAAATGCATTAACATATTCAATTACAGAATTCGTTTTATGCATATAGTATTGGTACCAGTGCGCAAAATTATGACGTCATCGATGACGTGTACGTCCTTTCCTTTTAAATTTACTATATAAATTTATTTTACCTTATAGAATAATAAGATTAGGAATGGAATACCTAGTTAGATATGTTTATATGATGTAGACTTTGAAAAATAAAATAATATTTACAAAAATGTAATTTAACTATGTTTTATTATTCCTTTTTTTACTTTCAATAAAAAAATATTAGAATTATTTATCTAGTGGTTCAAGTAAAAAAAGATCAATACCAACCAGTAAAAAATTTTATACAATACATAATTTGAATATCTATTTTTGACTACACCCGATGGAGGGCGCAGTAGTCACAGAACCAAACTTTAATACTAAGTTGCCTAACTCAAAGAATATCTGTGGCCTATCTAACCAACCCAACCTATTTGTCTATTTTTGCAATGATTTTTAGTAAGATATAAAAGAGATAGAACAGACCTTGTTTTGTGGATTGTTTAGATACCTATCTTGAAAAAAGCCAGCGGCCTCAAAATATTTAAAAATACTGAAAACCTTTTAAAACCAAAAATCGTTATGTGTATGTTTACATGTGAAATTTTTTTGCAGTTTTAAAGTGCCATTTTAACATACTTGTAATTACGCAACTTTTCTCTAATTCGTCTGACCTTGTATCTCTTCAAATAAAATATACCACAGGGTATTTTTTTAAATTTAAACAAAAGTATTTTAAAATTGTGTATTTTAAATTTAAACATAATATAGTTTAAGAAATTTACTTACCCGATGACACGACCAAAAGCGTCTTAAGATTCAGGCCCTCCATTGTCGGTTAACTCAACTCAACTGACACAAATATTTTTATATTTTTTGTATATTAACTAAAAATTAATACTTGTTTCTAAGGCGCAAAAGCTCCCCACTTACTTTAGATTAATTAATACATTTTAATTTATATAAACTGAGCGCAAAAAAACAGAATTATTTACTTTGGAAGTTCCATAAAAATACCTACTGGTTATAAGCATTGATTAATTCTTCACTTAACGGAATAAGAGTAAACTAAAACTATAAAGATCATAAGCTTGTTGGGATTTGTAAAACAACTTTCTTACCTTTCGATGGGGGGGGTCAAACCCCCCTGTCTACGCCCGTTAAAAATCCAATTAAACTGCTGCATTTTTTTTTGCATGCGGTATAGGTACCTATAGTTAAACACCACCATGGAAGAAAAGCCAGGATTACTTAGATTCACAAAAAAAATTATATAATTATAATTAAATACATTTATAATAATACACATACAAACATACACTTAAAGCTTTAGGTAAACTAATTGCGTTATTTATTTAAAGATTAAACATTTGCAAACGTAATGCATCTTTCTTATTTAAAATCTGTTGTTAGGTTGATTAAATTTTATTATTATTGTAATTTGATGAGTGGTTTTTGAGGTATAAGCTTTCCAAAATATTTGCCGCTTATGCTTAAGCGTTAGTTCTTGTAACTAAATTGTTAGTAATAAAAAACAATAATTATAATAGCCGAATGCTAATTGCATTGCTACAGATATACACTTCTCTAAAAATGTTCTATTAATATTTTAAATAAATATACATTTCATTTTACTATATTTTAGGAGACCCGATAAATAGGCAACTAATAATACACTTACCACAATGCAAAATGGCAACACCGAATTGGACATTCTGGTTCGGCATTGATTAAACAATTTTGAAATTTGTTTTAGTTTCGATCAATGTCCTACAAAATACCGTTTGTATTTTAAACACATTTTAAACACTAGCAAATTACTAAATTTGGTGCAACCTAAAAACATATTCGACAACACTGTATTGAATACAATTTTAAATGTCAGAGAGTTTGTAATGGATCCAATTCTTTTACAAAAACAACTAAGGGACAATGCCAGTGATTTGCAGGACTTCTGCAAAGATTTAAAAAGCTGGGGGTCGGAAATGAAACAAAAGGAAGATGGGTTGAAACCTAAAAAAATCGAAAAAGTGAGTATAACCTCGAAATCCGATATAAACAAGTCTACCACAGAAAAGACAAAAATCAAAGCAGTTAAAGCTCAAAAAAAAGTGGTAACTGATTATGCAAAATGGGATAAATTCGATGTAGATGCGGAATGTGAAAAGGTCGATAATGATATCGAAGAAGATTCAGAATTAACTGATGAATGTGATGAATCTATGAGAGATGAGGCCCTCGTAGAAAAAGAGAAGGTATAGGTACCTGGTAGTTGTTTTTGATTTTCCGTAAGTTTATTTTCAGGGTAATAAGTATGTAAAGGTGCAGAAATGGGACGAAGCAATTAAATGTTACACAAAAGCTATAGATTTATATTCGTATGATCCAATTTTTTACGCTAACAGAGCTTTATGTTATCTAAGACGTGGAGAGTGAGTTTAGTGAAATATATTTGCAAAACTTGTTGGGAGATTTTTTCAAATTAAGTAGCAAGTTTTGCAAATAATGGCCTCATATACAAACCATGTTTTTAGTGTTACTAAAGCAGAAACTGATTGTGACTTATCATTGAAGTTGGATAAAACATATGTTAAGGCTTATCAAAGAAGGGCTGCCTCGAGAGAGGCTCAAAATAAATTGTATGAAGCCAAGCAAGATTTGTTGACGGTTTTAAGGCATGAACCCAACAATCAAGAATCCAAAATGGCTTTAGATATTCTTAAAACAAAAATGGGAGAATATGTTAAGGTAGGAACTTTAGTACTTAGAGCCTTACTTAAATTAGTGCAAGATATATATTCAAATTATTTTATGTTGAGGAAATATAAATTTATTTAGTGTTTAATTTTTTTTTATTATTAACACTAGAAACACGTTTTTGTTTTAATTTGTTTAGATTAAGAAGTTGAAATTTTTTTATACATTAGAGTGGGTCAATGTTCCCTTTTTTAGAAATTAATTTGATAATAGCAAAATATTATTTTTTATTACTTATTATGTTTGTTACATTTTTATATTTATCCAATTATTTTGTCCACACTTACTTAATTTTAATATTTCCTTTATTGTTCAACATACATTAAAGTTTATTTTGTTACAATAAACATTTAATATTAAAAATTAAATTATAATTTTGCCATTTCTAAACTTGGCAACATTGAAACATATAATACACACTTTCTGTCATTATAAATTATGATAGTTTAAAATTCAGTGCAGTGCACAGAAAAGGTGATAATTTTAAGCAGTTTGTTAAATTAACGCTATAAACATAAATTTTAGCGAAAGTTTGCTTTTTGCATTCCTAAATATTTTCAAAATGTGTTTTATATTCATTTGTGTAGAAAATTTTTCATAAAAATTTGAATTTGAGGGTGTGCTATTATGTACTAGAACCCATTTTTATAAAGAAACTTAATGAAAAAGGAAAAAGTTTTTTCATATAATTTGTTGGAAAATTTAATTGTCTACAAAAAAGGTACTTATTAATTATCATATAAATATTGCATTTTCAGAGATAATTGCAATTTTTTTTAGCCAAAAATTATTTAATTTTTATTTTAAATAATTTATAAAAAAATAGGAATTTTTTTATATTTATTTTAGTAAATTTAATTTTCCATACATATTGTAGTTCCAGAATAAACGTAATGTTATTTCAAAATTGACAAAACTTAATTAATATTTTTCCAATAAATTTCCCACTATTCTCCAAAAATAAATTAATCAAAAATTACCAATTGTAAGTAATTTTTGACTAATTGTTGAAAAAAAGCAGTCACTAATAATTAGTCAAATTTTACTCAATGAAATAGTAAAATTAGTAGATTTAAATTTTTGGGAAGCCACCAGGTCTAGTAATAACATAGCATACATGGTTCTGCACTAGTGCAAGAATTTTAAGAAATCATACATTTTGAATATTAGAGCTTCACGGAGGTTAGGATTTCGTATGTTTTTGTATATTTGAAATAAGTTATTGTATCTTTTGAAACCTTAATATCTTTTAAAAATACAATTGAAAATACATAAGATATTTATAAAAAAAATCTACTTACTGAGATATTACACTTCACGGTGGATAGGTTTTTAAATAGCAAATTAACGAACTTTTAAATTATAAAACAGCAACACTCATCTGCATATAAATTCTAACTGATATTTAAAATGATTAAATGCATAAAATTTAAAGCAAAAACAGATTCACGGAGGATAGAATCAACACGTACATAAATGGTTATAAAAATTATTTCTTTTAATTTTTAATAACATTTTATATTTGATTTGATTGCTTTGGATGTGTTTAATTTACTTAGTGAACTGATATTTTTAGTATGCTTTTACTACCTCAGATATTTGAAAACATATAGGTAAACCTAGAACTTTTAAAAAATAATTAATTGCTGTTAAAAATCTTTAACCTGAGCTGTAATATCTACTTAATCATGAAAGATCAAAACACAATAAAAGTGTAGGTTAAACTCATTTAATTTTATTAAATATCACGGGGTAACACCATATTGACCTTTGTGGAAAATTAAATTTACTAACAAAATATATCCAAAATTTATTGTTAGGTAGGTACTTTTAAAATAAGTTTTTTTTAAATTGACAATTTTAAGATAAAATCGCAATTATCACTGAAACTAATATTTATGCGATAAGTTATAGGAACCTTTTTTGTGGAAAATCAAATTTACCAACAAAATTGACCAAGCAAATTTTTTTACAATAAGTAAATTAAAAAAAAAAACATTTCATATAAAATCGCAATTTTCTGTGATATTACAATATTTACATCAAAATTGATAGGGACCTTTTTTTGTAGACAATTCAATTTCCTAAGAGATGGTGTAAAAAAACTATTTTGTTAATTTCAATTGCTAGTGCATTTGGCGAGTCTAGGATTTTTTTGCACATTTTTTTTTCACCTAAAATAATAATATTTTTGCTATTACCAAATTAATTTCTACTGTACATCCAGCTAAAACATTTTACATTTTAAGCCACCAGATTTGTCCATACAAAGGCCGGTTTCAAAATTTACGGCCTCGAGAAAAAATACATTGCCACAACCCGATTTAACCACTCCCAAAACCCCAAATAGCCACACAGTTGATACCACTGAAAACACCTCAATTTGGCCCAAAGGGGAAGATATAGTTTTGGTGAAGGCAATCAACAAGCCGCCCCATTTGAGATCCAAGAAACCACTGAAAAGGGTTAAAATCGTCGAAAAAGACGTTGTTACGCCTGCGAAGGAAAAAAACAACATTGAGGAGGCATTTAAGAAGGATGTATTTGAGCGTAAAGAAATAGATCCAATGGATAGTAAAGACACCAAGCCTGTATCAAAATTCAAGAAGAATCAAAGTAAAAATAAAATACTAGAAATACCTAACACAGCATTACCAAAAGCTAATGATAACAACAACATAATTTCCAGCGATGATTTTAAAGTAGTAGAAAAACAAAACCCCCTCACTAAAACCGACAAAAACATCACAAACAAAAATTTAATCAACACCAACAAAAAAACACCTGAAGACGTTGTCATGGTGGCCCCCAAAACATCCGTACAGTTTCACTTAACCTGGGACAATTTAAAATCTCCGAGTTTTAAGTACGAATATCTCAAGCTAATTGATCCTTTAAGTATGCCGAAGATTTTCGATGAGCAATTGGAAAGCGACGATATTACCAGCATTTTGGAGGTTATGTCGAAATATTTTGTCGAAAACAAAGATCCCGTGTACGATTTTCTGAAGGGTTTAACAAGCTGTGAAAGATTCATAATAATGAGTTTGTTTATGACGGATTCCGACAAAAACAGTGAGTATATTAGGGTGTCCAATATTTCCCAAGTTGTTTTGTTACTTGGGTGTCTATTTTTGATTTTTTTTTCATTTAAACCCAGGGTAGGTATGTATAGGTACCTAAATTATGATGCTTTCTAATTTTAATGATCCTTTTTACGTTTTTTCTTTCTGTTTACTCAGATAAAATAGCACATAACCTAAAATTTAAAAGAAATGCTCTAGATTCTGTCATAGTTGCCAGATTTTGTTTGAATTTACGTTCATTACAAAAATGACATAATTAACAATTAATAAAAACGCCAAATTAATAATTTTCATTTTTGATTTTGTCATTTAATTAAATTTAAACAAAATCTAGCAACTTTTTTGACAGAATCTGGAAACGCTGGTTGTTACCAACCATAACATAATAAATTAAACTGGGCAACCAGATTTAACCAACTAAATATATAATTTTTCAGATGTAAGAAAATTGATATCATATTCAGCACAGCACGAAAATTTAAGAAATGATATCATAGAAGATCTTTACAATAAATTCAGCTTGGTACCATGAATTAGAGAATCCTGAAAGTTTTCTTATATATAATTGAGGTTATAATCTTTTTAGTGCATTTTTTTTTGTTTATTAAAAGCCATTGTTACGAAAAAATAATTTAATTGTGTTATTATTAATACAGTAAAATGGATTATGAATAAAGTTGTTTTATTTTAATCTCTGTTTTTGCAAACTCTGATTGAAGTTTTCCCCATGACCACAATCATCCCGTCGTCTTGCAAATCTTTGAGGGCATCTTCGAATTGTTCTTTAGTAATCATCTAAAAACATCGAAACAAAACGTCAATACAATTTTTGTGATTTGTAAATTTTTTTGTTTACCATATTGGAAGATTCTTTGAGCTCCGCCAATAGTTTGGAGTAGTTGATAGTTGGTGCACTGCCTTTAGTTTCGATCAACTTTTGGACAGCTTGCGCCAATTCCACTCGGCGTTTACGAGCAGCACTGCTCATACCAGTGGTCAAAATACCCACGTCGATTTTACCCGATAGAGGATCGGTTGCCGACTGCTTCAGAGCTTCACGATGCAGTCTAAAAGCGATGATTTCGTTAATGGGTGTAATTCAAAACACACCTTGGTACAAGAAAACAATCTGTTTCCACCAGTTTTGTAAGTTTAAAAAATGTCTACCTGCCAAGTGAAAATCTGTAAAAACAATGCCAAAAGAAAAAACCTGGAAATCCAATACATTTCCTTAGTATGGGCTTGAAAAAATTGATGTTAAGGATAGTAAGTAGAATTATTTTACTTATAAATAGTTGCTATAACAAGGAAAATTGGATAGAAAATACATACAAACAACATTCCCATAAAAAAGTCTTTTAAAGTGGATATGGTTCCAACTTTACACTTAACAGCTGATCTATCAAAAGAGAAATCAAGTACTTTGTAAGAAATTAAAATAAAATTGGAAAAAACAACAGAAATCATAGTTCTTTTTACGGTGTACCAGAAATAGGACAAAACCAGGAATCATAATATGATCTTTGAAGACAGAAACTCAAACTAAGATCAAGTACTGCAGTGCAAGAAATTAAAAAAAATTTGAAAACAAAATGAATAATTCTTTTTGCACTGTGCAGGAAATGTGCAAAGACAAGGAAGCTAATGATTGAAGAAAAACTTAAAATTTCAATTTGTTCTTCGTGAATAACTTTTGAAGAATTAAATTTAGGCAAAAATGTTAGGACACCTTTTTTGTAGAACATTAAATTTCCTTTAAGAATCCGACGTGAGCTTTTTTAAATATTCATTGATCCATTAGTTACAAAATTTCAAAGCAAAAAGGGCAAATCGAAAAAACACATCGATTTATTGAGATCAATTACTCGGAAACGGCTCGTCTGACGAACATTTTCAATCAGACCTTTTTTGTAGAGAATTTAATTTTACATAAAAATAAGTGAAAAGGAATTTTTTCACTTTAATGTTTTGGCAGTTCTAACGTAAAACATCAAATTATGACTAAAAATCAAAAATAGCGATGATAGACCTCTTAAAATTAATATTAAGGGCTCAAGTTTTCACGAAATTTTTTTTTGTCATTCTTTTTTTGGCCCAGTCTAATAAACATATAGGTTAATTCAGGCAAAAGACCACTAAGGACAGATAAGTTTTCGCACAGTGGGTTAAATAATTAATTTCTGGTACCATGCAAGCTATAGCATTCGCCTTACCTGTAAGCTTCGTCCACGTCATCGACCTCTACGACCGAGGAAAACCGAACTTTGGCATGCGCCTCGGCCAACCGGATGAGCGATTCCAGTTGACGCGGGTAGGCCGATATCTGACCGCGACCCGAACCGACTTTGCGCATGTCCACGTACGCCTGTATGAGCCTCTGAGACGCCTCCTCGCTCAGTTTAGGAGTCACGTGCTCCTTACCGTACGCGATGTAGTCACGAAGAATCGACATGTCCTGTCACAAAAACACCGCTGAATGCGTTTCTTATTTCCAAGTACACTCACAGGCAAAATAATCGATCCACACAAATTTTCGATGAATTTCAATCGCAAATAACTTTTTTATTTGATGTCGGATTTAAACGAATATTAAAGAATATTGTAGATAAATTAAAAGAGAATAACTCACATTTTAAAAATTACTAAAAAATACATTTACGTTCATAATATACAGGTTTAAACAAAAAGATGATTTTTACCATATGTTTAAGACACTCTGTAGAGTGGCAAAACCGTATATTGTTCTAAATTAAGTTTTAATTACCAAGTCACATCTATTTTTAACAGTTTTGTTTTTGGTTCACCTCGATATATTTATTTTTGTGGAAAATATGGATTTTTTAAAAAGAACATTGCAATTTTCAATATTTTTCCTGCATGAAGAACTAAGGTTGTTATGGTCCATCCATAGCCTATGGAGGATGACAGTGACAGTTTTGTTGAATCATCCCATACTTGGACATGTCATATACATCTTTCAAAAGCTATCAAATTGTTTTTTGTAAATTAATGTGTTTATTTTTAGGTGTCCTCTTACTTTTAAAAATGTCTCCGACTGATGTTGCCCTTGGTACTTTACTTCTTGTGACGTATAAAACACTTGCCACGTAATACTGTGATCCTGGATTAAATTAATGGCTCTGGCAACATCAGTCGGAGACATATCCATTTTTTAAAGTAAGAAGACACCTCAAAATTTAAACATTAATTTGCAAAAAACAACTTGATAGCTTTTGAAAGCTGTGTATGACATGTCAAAGTATGGGATGATTCAACAAAACTGTCACTGTCATTCTCCATAGCCTATGGATGGACCATAGCAACCTTAGTTCTTCATACAGAAAAATATGGGAAATTGAATTTTTTTTTTTTAAAAATCCTTATTTGCCACAAAAATAAATATATCGAGGTGAACCAAAAACAAAACTGTTAAGAATAGATGTGACTTGATAAATAAAACTTAATTTAGAACAATATACGGTTTTGTCACTCTACAGAGTGTCTTTAACTTATTGTAAAAAACATATTTTTGTTTAAACCTGTATATTATAAACGTACGTGTATTTTTTAGTAATTTTTAAAATGTGAGCGATTGTCCATTGATTTATCTACAATATTCTTTAATATTCGTTTAAATCCGACATCAAATAAAAAAGTTGTTTGCGATTGAAATTCATCGAAAATTTGGGTGGATCGATTATTTTGACTGTGAGTGTATAATAAATATTTACCAAAACTTCGTCATCTTCGTCCTCCCTGGTTTTGTAGTACAGCGATACCAAATGCTTGCCCAGCCTTCTATCGAACACCTCGTTTTTGGGATCAAGGATCAGGAAAATCAAGTCGAACCTGTGAATACGAAACAAACGTAAAAAAATACAAACCTGCGTCGTGAATTTTGTTTACCTCGAGAGCAAAGTATGTGGCAACTGCACATTTTCAATGATGGTCTTGTTTGTATTCCACTGAGATTCGCATGGATTGGCAGCCGCTAGAATTGACGTTCTAGCGTTTAACTGACAAATAATTCCAGCCTTTGCAATACTTAAAGTTTGCTGTTCCATGACCTGCAAATCCACGGATAAAATATGCCATCATTTAAAATTATACGGGCCGACAAAATAAAATTTTCTGCAACAAGTGGGTCCGCTGATTCCTAAAATGATCCGTCCATCCAAAAATTGACCGTCTGGTTTCAGAGTAAAAATTTTTTAAAGTTGCTAATCCCACACGGGATTTTATCGTTTATTATTGCTAAACTCTGTTGTGAATGTTGCATACGAGAAAAAAAATCATCGATTTTTATTGTCATGTTATAATAATTTGACTGTGTCCAACCAAAATTATCAATCTGTCATTTTCGTCTAGAAGGATTACGAACACGAGATTATCTAGGGATATTTGGCGACTACCATAATTATGTTTTAAAAGAAAATTATTTAAAAAACCATAATTGTATTTTTTTTAATAACTGTACAATCCTTCTACCTTTTATAGTTTTCTTATCTTTATTTTCTGCGCTTGATACTTTCGCTGCATTCAACATAATAATTTTTTCTTCGTTTTCACAACTCATTTTAAGGTGCATATAGAAATGTCACTGCCACAGTCGAAAGCGAAAAGCGTTAGCATAAAAACCAACAATCAACAACTCGCAATGTAGTCGTGTTTAAATCCCATTTTTACGTTTCTGTGTTACAATATACAGGGCGATTCACCATAACTTGGAAGTTTATGGAGAAGGCAAAAAGATTTAGATTTGAAATTTGTATGGCAATAATAAGGCAATGTAAACTATTTTAAAAAATTATTTTCAATGCGGTCACAAGTGAAATCAAATTTTGTTTATATTACATATATTATTGCATTTTTAAATTGTACGTAAAATTCTAGAAATGCTAAAATTTAATTTTTTTTTTAATTTTGACTGATATATTGTTTTACTAATATGTCTAGACGTTTGTTAGACTGGGCCAAAAAAAATCAACTATTTTTTTTTTGAAAAGTATATCGAAAATATGGTTTGGGTTGATAAAAAAAATATTGTGAAAGTCCATAATATTATAATTAAAAGGTATATCATCGCAATTTTAATTTTTTCCCCAGCAAGTTTTTGTCTCAGAACTCTTAAACCATTGAGTTTAACAAAATTGACTAAAGAATATTTTTTTAAGAAAATTGAATGTTCTACAAAAAAGGTTTGATTGGAATTTCCCGTTAGATGAACCGTTTTCTTACAATTATGCCTTAAAAATTGGTATAGTTTTACATTTTGATCTTTTAAATTGGAATTTTGTAATTAATGTAAAAATCAGTACCCATAAAAAACCGATAAATATTCTTATGGGAAATCAAAAAGCCTCTCAACATTTTTGGCTAAATTCACTCAATCAAAAGTTATTCAAGGTTAAAATTTCGTTTTGACTTCAAATTTAACCTTGAATAGGTAACTTTTGATTGAGTGAATTTAGCCAAAAATGTTAGGCTTTTTTTGTAAAGCATTTGATTTCCCATAAGAATATTCATCGTTTTTTTCTGGGAACTGATTTTTACATGAACTACAAAATTCCAAAGTTAAAAGATTAAAATGTAAAACTATAACAATTTTTAAGGCATGATTTTAAGGAAACGATTCATCTGACAGAAAATTTCGTTTTAACCTTTTTTGTAGAGCATTCAATTTTCTTCAAAAAATATTTTCGAGTCAATTTTGTTAAACTCAATGGTTTGGGAGTTCTGAGACAAAAACTTGCTGAGGAAAAAAAAATTAAAATTGCGATGATAGACCTCTTAATATTAATATTAGGTACTCAAACTTTCACAATATTTTTTTTGTCACCCCAAACCATATTTTCGATATACGATAATAGTCGATTTTTTTGGCCCAGTCCAATGTATATAATAGGATATCTGAATCATTTTTAAAAGTAAATTAACTTAATAATGCGTAAATCGTATTAATAATCCAGAGCAAACTTCGACTATCACCCAACGCCGGTGAAGGGTCTACTGCTGAATTACGAAAGCCGTCTCTCGGGCCGAGAGAATAATAGTCATTGTTGGAATAAGCTCACTAAAATTACCCTTAAAAAGTTGTTTTCTACCCTGCTGTAAACAACATTTTATTTTGTCAGCCTGCGTTATTAGTTATGTACCTACCTCATGGAGCACACTTCTGGTGGAATCGTTCATTTTATCGAACTCATCGATGCAGCAAATACCGTTGTCGGCCAAAACTAAGGCCCCAGTCTGCAGAACGAGCTGCCTGGTTTCTGGATCCTTGGTGATGTAGGCGGTAAGACCGACAGCGGAAGAACCCCTACCGGAAGTGTACTGACTTCTCGGCACCAAGTTGTACACGTAGCTGAGAAGCTGCGATTTTGAAGTACCCGGATCTCCGCAGAGCAAGATGTTTATTTCCGCCCGGAAGTGCGTGCGACCGGAAGTGACGTGAGTCTTCTTGGTGCCTCCGAAAAGTTGCAAGAGAATACCTTTTTTAACGTCTTCATTCTCGTAGATGGAGGGGGCTATGGCCCTCGCCAACCTGTCGTATATGTCCGGCTTTTCGGATAATATTTTTAAGAGTTCGATTCTTTCCGGAGGGAAGGTGTGCTCTTTACCGTCCTCCTCCTCGTAGAGGCGCTTGTTGTCGATCTTCCTGAAGTGGAGGACGTCGATGTGCGTTTTGTAGACCGAGCGCACGTTGCGCATGCGCGGGTTCACTTGTAGGGCCTGCGCCCGGTAGATGCCGGTCACCGTGACGCGGTCTCCCGGTTGGACGGCGTCGACCAGATCGTTGTGGGCGAATAAGACGACGGTGTGGGGCGTTTGGCCGGCCGGCATGTCGTCCGGAGACTCTTGCAGCTTGATCATCTATCGAAAATTTATGAATACAGGGTGAGTTTTAAGTTGACGCGTTCCTTTTAACAGCGTGTAGAAATCAGATAAACAAATAAATATTTTAAGTAACTTTTTTATCAAAACTCAAAAATAAAAAAGTTATAGCCCATCAAAGTTTAATTAAATTTTAGGCCGGTCCTGGCTATTTTTAACAAAAAACATAACCATAAAAATAAAAATAACAAAATAAACAATGCAAAATGTCATCTATGACAACAAACATAACCATTTAAATCAAAATGACATTTAGCAATGAAAAATGTCAGTTTTTTTGTGCCTCAATTATTGTTAAAAATGGTTCATAATTATGGCAATAATGAATTAATGAAAATGTTACTAATTTATGGAGAGTGTCGTCAAAATGCAAATACTGCAACTTAAGTAATTAATGACATTTTTTATTGCAAAATGTCAATTTGATTTAAATGGTTATGTTTATTGTCAAATATGACATTTTGCATTGTTTATTTTGATATTTTTATGGTTATGTTTTTCGTTAACAATAGCCAGGACCGGCTTAAAATTTAATTAAACTTTGATGAGCTATAACTTTTTTATTTTTGAGTTTTGATAAAAAAGTTATTTAAAATATTTATTTGTCTAGCTGATTTCTACATACTGTTAAAAGGAACGCGTCAACTTAAAACTCACCCTGTATACGCTAAAGAAGTATCGGTTTTCGCAACGAGCGCCATCTGGCGGACTTCAAAAGCATTGCGTGAATTTAAGAATTGTCAACAATACACTTAAAGCATACGAACTGTACCTACATCATTTTTAAATAAATAGGTAGTTTTTTCACAAAAGAGAGTCTTACTCGACAAATTTCATTCAATTGCACAGCTAAATCGCGCACGTTATTCGTGTTTTACGTTGCAAGGAAAAAACTAAAAAACTGGTTTAGTACTCGATTTCTATTGATTATTCCTTATATCATTGGTTAAGAAACTCAACGCTTAAACGCTTATATAGTTACGTTAGTGTGTGAATTTTATCCAAGGGATCATGGCGAATTATTGTGTTTTTAATTGTAAATAAAATTCAAGAACTAAATCGTTGCATTTTCATGTTTTGCCAAAGAATCCAATTCGGTAAGTACATTTGTTGGTGCAGAATTAACTAATGATAACTTTACCTAATATAATTTATATTTAAGTTTGGACATTTTTAAGAAATTAGTAAAAAATAATTTTTGCACAAACATTACGTTAAAATCAACCATTTTTATGTTCGAGTTCTCTAAAAAACGCCGACAACTGCATTTTAAACAACAAAATATACCTACGAATTCATGGCAACATAATATTATATATAATACATAATATAATGGTATTTTACTGTTGAGCGGAGACTTTCTTAATCAACGGTTTTAATAATGCTAAATGCTATTTAAATTTAGACGACTTATTTTTTGACGATTTTTACTGAAGTGAAATGTTTACACTTTTCACGTTAATCATTACTCAAATGTGTATTTATTGTATCTAATAGATACAATTTATATTTACAGGGACTGTATGAAAATTATTTCTTCATTCGGATTAACACTGTTTATTGGAAAACCGATAAAAACTCAACCCAGGATTTCCTCTCGAAATACACCCAACAACACAACAAATCGTGCCACGGTTTTTTTCGATATTTTTTAACATTTTCCGGCTTTATTCTCAAAAACACTCGTTTGTAACACACGCGTTTGACAGCTGATTATCAAAAGTTGTACTTTTGTTACGATGATAACAGCCGAGTGGTGGCGCTACTAGCGATACTTCTTTAGCGTATACTTTGAAAAACGCAATAATTTCGGCAGAAACTCAAATGAAATTGTAATATAAAATTTAGAAAAAATATGTTGTTCACATTTTTCTTGCAATGTTAATGTAACTTGACACTTTTTATTTCATTCTTTATTTTTGCTTTAAAACAGGATATTTTATTTTATTGAAAACATTTGACTTATAAATGGCTTTAAAACAAAATATTTTATTTGAAAATACATTTAAAATAATAATTATTTTTATTTATTTTTATTTTATTATTATTTTTAATTATTAAACTAAAAACTAAAATTAAATTTTTCTCAGCATTTTATTTGGTGTTAAGTAAATATTATTTACTTTAAAAAAATATATTTTATTTGATTGAAAACCATATAAAATAGTTTTTTCATTAATAATATGTTCTTGAAATGTTAATATTGTGACTCATAGTTTTTTACGTGTGATCTTCAAATTATTCGACAATTTAATCTAAAAATCGAATAATTTCATAGAAATTTGGATAACTTTCATAAGAGAATAATATTTAAATTTAAAATATCATTTAAATTCAACTAAGATGGCGGTAACTGGGTGTGCGCAAGTGAACCAAAAGGACAAATATTCAAAATTACAAAATTTTAATTTTTATTAGTCACTTACCTGCTTATCAGTAAATTGCGATCTGTTGTGTACCAAAGTGAAGCAGTGATTGGTGTTACAACTGTTACATAAAGTAGGCTCGGTAATACGCCCTCTATCAATTTCAACGCAAGTTGAAAATTGACATACGATGCACTTGAAAAATGCTTCACGCATTTCAGGCATTATATTTGAAGTTCTGATCACCATACCGCTAATAGTAATCAACTGATCAATATCTAAAAAATATTTTAAATGTATCAAAATTAATTTAGCAGCAGCAAAAATATTATTCTCTCAAGTGGAAAAAATGCACTTAAAAATTAAAGACAAACTAATTGAGTTTGACCTACAATTTTTTGTGTTTTGATCTTTCATAATTAAGTAGATATTACAGCTCAGGTTCCAGATTTTTAACCGCAATTAATTTTTTTTTACAATGTTTTAAAAGTCTAAAACCTATCCTCCGTGACTGTTACTCTTTCTAGGTTAACCTATATGTTTTCAAATATCTGAGGTAGTAAAAGCATACTAAAAATATCAGTTCACTAAAAAAAATAATATTTATAATCATTTATGTAGGTGTTACAAAAACTGATTCTATTCTCCGTGAATCTGTTTTTGCTTTAAATTTTATGCAACGGATGGGGCTTTAATCATTTTAAATAAGCAAAAACCTCTGTTTACGACATTATAGATGCATGTGATTCCTGAAGGTCAGTTAGAATTTATATGCAGATAAGAGTGTTGCTGTTTTATAATTCAAAAGTTTAAGTTCATTAATTTGCTATTTAAAAACCTATCCACCGTGAAGTGTAATATCTTAGTAAGTAGTTTTTTTAAATATTTTATATATGTACAATTGTATTTTAAAAAAATATTAAGGTGTCAAAAGATACAATAACTTATTTCAAATATACAAAGAGATGTTTAAAAAAAACATACGAAATCCTAACCTCCGTGAAGCTCTAATATTCAAAATGTATGATTTCTTAAACCTGGTGGCTTCCCAAAAAGCCCATTCTAGACTAACAGTGAAATAACCAAAAATAAAAATAATAATTTTCACTTATTCATCCAAACATATTTTAGTGAAAATTTCCGCTCCTAAATATCTCAAAATAGTGTTTTATATTTATTCATTTGTGTCAAGTTTTTTTATTGTGTACTGAGATCCATTTTTTTAACAAAACTTATTTAAAAGAAAATTTTCTTTTAATTTGTTGGAAAATTTAATTGTCTACAAAAAAATTATATAGGTATTAAAAAAATTTAAATAAGTTTTGCTAAAAAATGACAATGACAATAACATCACAATTATCTGTGAAACTACAATATTTATGCGATATCAATATTGAACTTTTTGAGGGAAATTAAATTTACTAAAAAAATATATATTTTTAAAATAAATTAAAAAAAAAATGATAATTTTAAGATAAAATTGCAATTATCTTTGAAACTGTAATATTTATGTGGTAATTGATAAGGACCTTTTATGTGGTAATCAAATTTCATAAGAAAACTGACCAAGCATTTTTTTTTTTACAAAAATTTTTTAGAACAAAATCGCGATTTTCTGCGATATTACAATATTTACACTAAAATTTTTGAAGACAATTTAATTTCCTAACAGATAAAAAATATTTTGTAAATTTCAATTGTAAGTGCATTTGGTGAGCCTAGAAGGATTTTTGTTTGCACATAATTTTTTTTACCTTACAGAATAATATTTTGGCTATTACCAAAAAATAATTTCGAAAAAAGCGGATATTCGACCTACTCTAAAAAGCAATATAAACAAAAGTATGTTCCTACCTTCTGGATTCAAAGCTCTCATATTCTTGGTCTTTTCAGCATTAAAAGGCCTAACTTGAATTTGATGTTCCAGAACAGCAGCTGGATAGCGCTGGTAAAACATCTCGTTAACAGTCATATCAAAAGTTGGTATGACTTCTTGTGGATAACACACCAACTGTCTATACAAATTGGCATCATAAGTTTCCATATGGGAGCAATTTACGTTCAAAAACGGTTCTTCCAATGTATGAATCTAAGAATTATCAAACATGATACCAATACAAATCTTCCTATATAGACAAAAACTTACCTCTTCCAGCTTTTGAAGGTACAAAGGTTCCAGCAAGTTAATATCTTCACCCCTTTCGTCTATTTCTGCGTTGGGGTCGATAAATCGCAAAATAAATTGTTTGAATTTTTCCTTGCATTCTGTCACTGATACATTTGTTCCCCATATGACCAAATGTGGGGCTGTTGAGTCCGTATCTTGGGTTTCTGGGATTGCCTCCAGCTGAAAATTAAAAAAATATTGCGCGCCACTGTTTTGTCTGGGTTGTTTGTTAAATTTTTGTCAATGGATGTCAAGATGATTTTTTAAGTATTTTACAATGAGTTTAACTTTGTTCAATGATATTCTCGAGGAGGTACACCAAAAAAATATCCATGTCTACTTTGTAAAATTAGGTGTATTTATTATACTTTGGATAATATTGAAATATTTGAAAAATAAACTAAAACAAATCAAAATAAAGGGTAAGAAATACTTAAATTCGTTTCTCAATGTTTTTATGTTGTTTTATAGAGGATAATAATTTTACCTATAACACAGATTGTCCAATATGCTTCAACTACCTTATTATACCAATAAAAGCATCATGTGGACATGCGTTTTGTCTTGAATGCTTGTATTTTTTCACAAAAACAAACTATAATAAGTGGAAATATTTGTGTCCTTATTGCAGAAAAGAAATTATTGAATTTAGAATAATAAAGGTAATATTTATAATTATGGGTCATTTCTTACTGTATACATACATGTATATATAGGTGAATCTCACGAAATGTCCCCTGATGGTGATATTTAATAAAACTAAACACCTTTATTGTGTTTTGATCTTTCATAATTAAGTAGATATTACAGCTCAGGTTCCAGATTTTTAAACGCAATTAATTATTTTTTACAATGATTTAAAAGTCTAAAACATATCCTCCGTGACTGTTACTATTTCTAGGTTAACCTATAGGTTTTCAAATATCTGAGGTAGTAAAAGCACACTAAAAATATCAGTTCACTAAGTAAATTAAACACATCCAAAGCAATTAAATCAAATATAAAATATTATTATAAATTAAAAGAAATAATTTTTATAACCATTTATGTAGGTGTCACAAAAATTGATTCTATCCTCCGTGAATCTGTTTTTGCTTTAAATTTTATGCAATGGATGGCACTTTAATCATTTTAAATAAGCAAAATAATAAAAGTTTAAGTTCATTAATTTGCTATTTAAAAACCTATCCACCGTGAAGTGTAATATCTCAGTAAGTAGATTTTTTTTATAAATATGTTATGTATGTACAATTGTATTTTTAAAAATATTCAAAAGGTGTCAAAAGATACAATAACTTATTTCAAATATACAAAGGAATGTTTTAAAAACAACATACGAAATCCTAACCTCCGTGAAGCTCTAATATTCAAAATGTATGATTTCTTAAAAATTCTTGCATGAATAATAAGTGAACAACCAAAAATAAAAAATAATTATTTTCACTTGGGGACATCTCAATATATTCACCCATATATAACTCAGATAAAAGATGTATGAAATGATTTATTTAATGGCAATAAAAATTTCAGAATGCAGAATATAAATCCCTAGATAAAATAAAAAGGAAAGACATGGAGCAAAAGTTTAAAAAAATATCTTCCCTCAATCTAAACGGGTTGATAGTGTTCAAATACCTAAAAAGATTTCTGCAATTTGTGGTAGAATGGTGCAATCCTTTATTTATTATTTTTCTAACATTATACACTTTAAACCTATTGTTAAATAAATAAATATTTAAGCAAACTTACTGCAGTTTCTCCTCCGACATTGACTTGTCTTATTCTCTTATCAGATCTCACATCGGGCCTCATACGAATGGGGGTGCCCCTGATGCCCGATCTAGGTGTCCTGATGGACCCCAATGAGCTAGGGGTACCGTAATTAAGAGGCGAGCTCAAATCTATCTCGCTCATGCATAAACCGGTTCCAGGGCTGGTTGGGGCCAAACTGTGGGCGGGAGAGGGTGGTATTTCCTTTTCCCCCACATTGTCGGTTTTTTTTTTGCCCCATTTCATGGGGGTGGATATTGCGTCTGATGCCACGCTTTTGGCAGGAGTTCTACGAGGAGTTCTGCTCGGGGTCCCCGGAACATCCTCTCTCGAGGGGGTTTCAGCCCCGGAAGCCCTTCTTCCGGATCTTCTTGGAGTTCTGCTCCCTTCTTGTCTTGGAGTTTGCGCCCCCTCGCGACGTGGGGTACGTGAACCTCTTGGAGAAGGCATTATAAGAATAAAAAGTACAAACAAACACTGATTCTAAACGAATATAACAAATTAACAAACACTGATCAACAGTTGGTTGTGAAAACTTAAAAGCGCGGGAATTGGTTTAAAATGCGTTCAGAATTGCCTGTCAGATGCATCTTGCATCGTTATACTGAAAGTAAGTAAATTTTATTATATTTTATGTCACTAATATTATTAAATATTAAAATACCAAAACGTTCTTTAAATATGAATTACAAACAATACTATATTTTAATTATTACTGTTTAAAAATATGTTCAGAAAAAACAAGGACGCTGTATTTATTAAACGTCAAAATTACAGAACTCTTTATTACACAGCATTGCCAAATGTAAACATCTTAAACTTAATTTGATCGATATTTGCAAATAATTTTAAACAAAAATAAAACACATTTCTAGGTTTTGACTTTTTGCATTACATTCCTCGATAATCGTAATATGAAGTGTATCGGTTACCTTTAATATCAATTTTATTTTTTTACTGACAACATTGCCCTCGAGATTTCGTAATCTCGAGATTTCTTATCTCAATTTTAAAATGTTGTTTACACTCAAAAGTTCCATTGCTTCTTCCCATTCAAACAATAGCTGCGATTTATCGATTTAGGACTTAACATGAATCAATTTATACCGGTTTGAAACCATTTGTTAACATGCAGCAGAAAGGTCAAAAGCCATAAATTTAGCTATGATTTAATAAATTGGAGGCGCGGAAAATAATGCAACAAGAAGTTTTACAATGTCTAATAATGGTATAAAACTTGTATTTTACCCTTTTAAAACTTTGTAATTATTAATTTAACAGTTTAATGTACAATATTTGCAGAATAACCATGAAAGACCGTTTTTAAATCAATAATGTTTATAGTAAAGTGTATTGAGCATGTGCAGAAATTTCATCCCCAATTTTGCTACACCCCTAAAATGTGTAGATCAATGGATTCCTTGATCAATATAAGAAATTAAATGCAGTGTAAAATAATGTATTCGTTTTTTTAAAAGTGTTTAAACATAATTTTAATGTTTATGATTGTTGAAAATAATGGACAGTGTAAAGTCAATAACAAATGTGATAAAATGTGATTGTTTGCCCCCAGATGGTTAAATGAATTAAAATATCTCACTATCAAAACAAATCTTAAACTCAATCTTTAAAATGCAAACTCTTAGAAAGAAAACTAGCCCCCTTAAATGTGAGTACTAGCTAAAAAGCTTCAACACCCGGCTCAAGCTATTATTAACTTTACTGTTACATCATTTTGCATATTTAATGCTTATTCAATTAAATGTTAAATGCTATATTATTTTTTATCTAGATAAAAATGAAACAACTAGGTTTTTGGGAGATGGGGTGAGTTTTAAGGCAAAGCTGATAGGAATCCTGGAAGTGTCCGAAGCAAGGGGTGATAGGATGTGCCAGGAGGCTCTTTCCGATTTAAAAATGGCCATTAGAGCTGCGGGGGAGCACAAGCAAAGGATCACTATCAACATAGCGATTGATGGGTTGAGATTGCGAGATGAAAAAACAGGGGTTAGGGAAAAATTTATTCAAGTTTTGCAAAAAAATTATTGATTTATTGTAGGATTCCTTATATCACCATCCGGTACATAAAATATCTTTTATTGCTCAAGATATGACCGACTCCAGAGCGTTCGGGTATATTTTTGGATCACCTGATACAGGACATAGGTTTTTCGGTATAAAAACCGATAAGGCGGCAAGTCAGGTAAGTTAATTAATTATTATTATTATTATTATTATTACTTTGGTTTTTCATGAATATGACTTAAAAAACTGAACAAATTCAGTCCAAGTTACATTGTTATATCATATATATGAATAAATAAAAACCTACTATAATATATTATAGACATATAACTTATATGTCTATAATATATTATAGTAGGTTTTTATTTATTCATAAATGCCATAATTATAACTTGTGTTAGTTTAGGAAATTTATTTTAATCATGTTTAGTTGCCTTTTTTTTAAATATTTACCAACTAATAAAAGGGGTTATTTTGATAGGTACTGAGTATTTTTAGTTTTTTATCCATCATAATAAATACTTTTCTTAACCATTAAATAACTACAAATTTACTACTAGTATTTTTTACGGGTAACCAAAACGGTTTTATAACGGTATAGAATCGAAAAATTACCAAATTTGGGGAATGGTTTATTTTGTTATTTTACCTACATAATAAACTTTTTGATCTACCAAGAGAATAACGTAATAAAAACAATATAAATACCACAAATTTACGTAAAAATAACGCTATAATTACTAACTGTTTGCTCTCTCTTTCTAAAACATTGACATTCCTAATTTCTTTGTTCTTTTAATTTATATTTTACAAAATGGTACTTACAAAGTAATAAAGGCCACCCTAGAGTAAAATTAAAAAATATAACTTATATTGTCAAAACTAATCAAATTTTGCATTAAAACTCAAACATACATTATTTTATTTATAAAAATAGGCACAATACATATTAAAAATTATATGCCCTCTAAATATTTTACGGTTTTAAGAAAAATTATTGCTTGGTTGAAAATTCAACAAAACTTAAAACCTACAAAATTTTATAAAATCTTTTAAAAATCATTCAGTTTTAATCATTTCTAATAACTAAAACTTTCCTTATTATATTTTAGAAAAATATTTATGAAAAAATATTATATAAATGTTTAGTCAATATTAATAGTATTTATTACCTCTAATAACCCTAAAAAATACCAGGCGAATAGGAATTATTTACGGTTATAAAGTGTTCTTAATATCGTAAAATTATGACTTATGAGTAACATTTACCATTAAGTAAAAATTCTGACGTTAAAATTACCGTTAAATTTTCCTTTGGGTGAAATACACTTATAAGTAATTTTCTTTCGTAAAAATTACGTCCCTCCTAATACTTAAAGTGTTGAAACTTAAGGGTTATTAAAATAGGTAAAAATAACATAAATAAAACTTATTAAATAACTTTAAAAAAAGTTTTACTTCGAAGATAATTTTTAAGGTTAATTTAACGTAATATTTACTTAAATCAAGTAATATTATTATTACTTAAAATGCTGCTTGGGGTTAATTAATATATTATCCTAAAATATTCATAAATTTACAAGAAAAATACAACGCAATGTGTTATAATAAAGACTTAAATAAGTAAAACCTAGAAAATTTATTTTAAAAACTGTTTATTAGGTAATAAATGGAATTCACAATATTAGTAAGTAAATAAATAAAAAAATCCTTAACCTAAATAGAAAATATTTAAAATTAAAAAATATATATTTTTACTGGTTATATAATTTTACTAAATTCTTTGGCGGTAATTTGTCTGTAAGAGTTCTTAAATTTGTAAAATTAAAAATGCACCTTCTTACTCATTTAAATTTAACAACCATTAGGTATTATTATTTTTTTTTGTGGTATAAAAGACTATTAAAACTAAAGGAATTACACTGGGCGTCATTTTTAAAATATGGCGTTAACCAAAGGATTTGAAAATTGTCATATATGGGTCTTTGGCAAATTGGCTAATAGAACAAGTTAATTTTATATTTTTAGTTCTTGTCATTTCATCTTGTAACGTGTAAAATTATTTTAGGTTGTGATTGCAATGAGAGATCTATTCCAGGTTGTGTTTGCTCTGAAGAAAAAAGAAATCGAACTCGCTAAACAGCACCTCGAAAAAAGTAGATATCCTTCTCCGATTTTTTCTGATTCTAGCTCCGGCTCTAAAGTAAGTCGACTCGGCTAAAACAATCAATGTATACTAACATTACCTGTATTCACAATGAAAGTTGCAGAGTTTAACTCCAGACAATTCGAGAGCCTTAGCGGAAGCAAAATCCTCGGCTTCAGCTTTGGATGCAAAAAAAACCGGGACTGCGGTCGCCGACCTTGTAGACCTCGAGCTGGAGCTCAACAGTTTGCAACAGGGCCTCAACCAAATGGAGAGAATAACCCCTTCCGACCCTTTTGGATCAAAGGATGACCCATTCGGCGACAGCTTTATAAGTTATCCGGTAAGTGTTTTTTAAAATAATAGATTTAGGTACATGGGGCTATTGATCTTATACTGGTTTTATAATACTCTCAATATTAATATTATAAAAATAATTTTTTAAACAATCAATTTTGGAACAAATAGTTTTAATGTAGTTTTATGGAATACCCTTGATCTACTCAGTAAAACCCATTAAGAAAACTATTTTATCTTGGGCCTATATGCTCAATAAAATTCCACTTTAAATCCGAAAACATAATTTTTACGTTTTAAAGAGTACATTAAGAATATTTTAAACCTCAAAGGCTTTAATTTAGTCAATTTGGTTAAAAGAAATGCCTGTTAGATTTTGACCACTTAAAACTAATTCTACCCCCTTCACATCCAGATAAAGTCATCTTCTCAATAATTTAATTTAGTAAAGCAGTGGCGTTCGTGTATCTACTTTATACGCGAAAGAAAATTAGAACACATATTTAAAATGGAAAATATTAGCGAAAAGTATTTTAAATTAAAACCCGAGTTTCAAAATGTTCCATAAACTTCCATAAACTAAGTTTTAATCTAGATCGCGCCATTATATACTACATGATGGACATCTACTTACTCATTTAAATTTAACAACCATTAGGTGTTATAACACACTTATAGAGTAAAATATACAATTACATAATCGGACTTATGTGTTTGCTGGGTTAGTGTTACTTGAAAACGCTACTATACGCTAAAGAAGTATCGCTAGTAGTGCCACCACTCAGTTGTTAAAAGTAGAACTTTTAATAATCAGCTGTTAAACGCTTAAGCATAATTGAATACGTCAATGCAGAAACTGAATATGTCCTACCTACCTAGTTTAGAGATAACTAAGAAAAACTGAATAACTTAGCGTTGCTTTAATGGATATCCAAAAATGTTTGGGATATGAAAGTAAACTATTTTGTAGATACGAAGACATGATTTGGAGTATTAAAAGTTTTGAATTCTTAGAGAAAAAAAATCACACAGGTTGTGGACATATATAGTTTCTGCATTGATTGCTAATAAAATTTATAAAATATGTAATAAACCGTTTTAGTCTCTAGTAAAAAATAAACATAACTTATTCCTAATGCAAAAATAAAAATAAAACAAATTCAATAATAATCTCAAAACATTTTTTAAACATTTTCTGTTTCTACTTCACTGTCTTCCTCTTTTTCTTTCGTAGGCCAATGTAATATATCCTGGTAAAATTCTTCATGTTCTTCATCAATATTCTGAAACAACTGACATATAGCTCAGAAAGTGAACATGTCCTGGACATATTCAGTTTCTGTACTATATTAACGCCTTTGTATAATCTAGATTACCGTGACATGTGAAATTTCTACGCCATTCGATCGGGCACCCTTTACTTATAGTAAATCCATGTTTAACTCAATTTCCCCAAAAAGTGGACATATTCAGTTTCTGCATTGACCTATTCAATTATGTTGCAAACAAGTGTTTTCGAGAATAAAGCCGGGAAATGTTAAAAAATATCGAAAAAAACCGTGGCTCGATTGTTGGGTGTATTTCGAGAGGAAATCCTGGGTTAAGTTTTACCGGTTTTCCAATAAACAGTGTTAATCTGAATGAAGAAATAAATTGCATACAGTCTCCGTAAATATAAATTGTACCTATTAGATACAATAAATACACATTTTAGTAGTGATTAACGTGAAAAGTGTAAACATTTCAATTCAGTAAAAATCGTCAAACAAATAAGTCGTCTAAATTTAGACAGCATTTAGCATTATTAAAAGCGTTGATTAAGAAAGTGTCCATTAAACGGTAAAATACCATTATATTATGTATTAAATATAATATTACATATGTTGACATGAAAAAAATACCATTATATTATGTATTATATATAATATTACATATGTTGCCATGAATTCGTAGGTATATTTTGTTGTTTAAAATGCAGTTGTCGGCGTTTTTTAGAGAACTCAAATATAAAAATGGTTGATTTTAAGGTTACGTTTGTGCAAAAAATATTTTTTACTAATTTCCTAAAAATGTTCAAACTAAAATATAAATTGTATTAGGTAAAGTTATCATTAGTTAATTCTGCACCAACAAATGTACTTACCGAATTGGATCCTTTGGCAAAACATGAAAATGCAACGATTTAGATCTTGAATTTTTTTACAATTAAAAGCACAATAATTCACCATGATCCCTTAGATAAAATACACACACCAACGTAACTATATAAGCATTTAAGCGTTGAGTTTCTTAATCAATGATATAAAGAATAATCAATCGAAATCGAGTACTAAACCAGTTTTTTAGTTTTTTCTTTGCAACGTAAAACACAAATAGCGTGCGCGATTTAGTTGTGCAATTGAACAAAATGGAGGTGGCAAGTTTGATTCCGATTCGTTCAAAAAGAACGAATCATTTAAATGAACCGAATGAATCGAACAAAGTTTGTAAAAGAATCAATTCTTTTTTTAATCAATTTTTTAAAATCACGACGAGGGAACTAATAAGTGAATCAAACCATAAAATAAATATGAACTTGGTTAAAAGCACTGAATCTTTTTGAATAACTTGTGAAATTTCTAGGGATATTTCAGGGAATTTTTTGTCAAATATCAAAATACTCTTTTGATTCAAAAGTTTCCAATACAACCTAGGTACTTGTATTTTGATTTTTTATGTAAGGTGTGCTGTTATTGCACCGGAAAAGCCATAGGTTAATTTACACGTAAGCAAAATAAAAATCGAATCCAATAATTTAATAATACAACCGTTGATTCATTTTACGATACAACCAAAACAAGTCATCATTACAAACGATTCAAGAACCAAGTCATTAATTCGGTCGAACCTGAATTGTTCGTTAATTATCTGTTCCTGAACCAGAAAGTGAATCAGTCGCGAACGAATCATTTTAAAAGAATGAATTAAAAGAATTGATTCACCAAAAAGAATTGAACAAAATTTGTCGAGTAAGACTCTCTTTTGTAAAAAAACTACCAATTTATTTAAAAATGATGTACAGTTCGTATGCTTTAAATGTATAGACGACAACAATTTTGTTTGATTGAGTTTCTTTGTTAGAAACCCATTCTGCCGCCCCCTCCTTCCGGTAGGGAGCGCGCGAGTCGCGCATCGGAGTCCAGTTCGGTGTTCAGCCCGAAAACGCCGAACACGGCCGATTCCGCGAATCTGACGAGCAGATCCGGGCACAGCCGAAAAGACTTCTCCTTCTCGCACGACTTCGTTAGCAGTCGGGAGGAGACGAGCGGCGATTGGTTCACGCCCAGCAACAGCATTTTCGAGGAGGCGCTGATCGCCGAGCCGACCAAAGACGAGAAGCACGAGCTGGCCAAGCAGGAGATTTTGTCGCAGTTCGATGTTTTCACCGAATTGGATCCTTTGGGTAAGAATTGGTTTGGCTCAACTATCAAATACTAAAACGCTTTCATTTTTTGAGTTGTGCTCTTTTTTTGTTTTTCTATCATTTTTATTTCGATTAATAAAAGAAAAAACAATGAAAAACTAATTTTTAAACGTTTTAAAATGGTTTTTTTTATCAAGAAATACTTTACTACTTAACTCAAGTCAGTCTGTGCTAATATCGAAAAAATTTACCATATACATTTTTTTTGCACGCTCCTACTTTTAAAATTTGTCGTCCTAGAGAATCGAATCTATAACATAAATTGTAGAGGACAATCTCCCCTACATTTTTGGCTCACAACAAATTTTTGTAAAACTAACCGTTTTCGATAAAAATCAAATCGTAAAACTTTTTGAGTTTTCATCAAAAACCCGTCGCGCTATAACTCCAAAACGGTCTATCGTAGGAAAAAAAAAGTTTATATAAATTTTGTGGGGTTTTTAATTACAGTGCTGTGTTAAAATGAAGTTTTTAGGGTCAAAATGCAATAAAACGCTTTTTGGATATTTTGGCGCCCACCTACTTTTAAAATTTGTCGTCCTAGAGAATTTACCCTATAATATAAATTGTAGAGGACAATCTCCCCTACATTTTTGGTTCACAACAATTTTTTCTAAAACTAACCGTTTTTGATAAAAAATTAAATACAAAAATTTTTGAGTTTTCATATAAATTTTGTGGGGTTTTTAAAGATAAACAACTTTCTTAACTACAGTGCTGTGTTAAAATGAAGTTTTTTGGGTCAAAATGCAATAAAACGCTTTTTGGATATTTTGGCGCCCACCTACTTTTAAAATTTGTCGTCCTAGAAAATTGACCCTATAATATAAATTTTAGAGGACAATCTCCACTACATTTTTGGTTCACAACAAATTTTTCTAAAACTAACCGTTTTCGATATAAATCAAATCGAAAAACTTTTGAGTTTTCACCAAAAATCCGTCTCGCTATAACTCCGAAACGGCCTATCGTAGGAAAAAAAGTTTTTATAAATTTTGTGGGGTTTTTAAAGATAAACAACTTTCTTAATTACAGTGTTGTGTTAAAATTAACTTTTTAGGGTCAAAAAGCAATAAAACGCTTTTTTTGATATTTTGGCGCCCACCTACTTTTAAAATTAGTCGTCCTAGAAAATTGACCCTATAATATAAATTGTAGAGGACAATCTCGCCTACATTTTTGTTGTGAATGATGCCCCCTACATTTTGTTCATAATTTTATTTTTTTAGCTAGAAAAATAACGATGTAGGTATGCAAAAAAATGTCTATGGTATTTTTTTTTTAAAAGGCACTGTACTTTACTTTGAACTAATTTTCCATAGCACTTCATGCCCATCATCAGCACTAACAAACAAACTAATAAAAAAAAATTCTCCAAACACTATCTGTGGTAAAATAAAATAGATTGAATTATTTATTTTTTTAGTTAATTTTGGTTGCATCAAGCTCGTTTCGGTTCAGTCTATTTAAGCGTAAATTTTACCGTAGGTTCTGGCAGAAGTAAGCCTTATATTGATAAGAAACATTTCTTTCAAGAACTCAAAAACCCGCCGAAAAAGGTCCTCAACGACCTCGTTCCGAACAACAACGCGACCGCCTCTAAAACCGTTTTTTCCGCCGACCCTTTCGGCGAGGACCCTTTCGTCCGAGAGGACCCTTTCGCTGAAACCGACTTTAGCAAGCAGGACCCTTTCGAGACCGAGTTCAACGAATTTACCGATCAGTTTAAAGCCGAGGCGAAAAAGTACGACAGTCTGCACAGTCTGCTACAGTCTACTCTCAGTAAATCCCCCAAAAGTTCCGTACTAGATAAAACATTGTTCGACGACAAAAAAGTCAACAATAAATTCAGCGAATTGCACGAGAATCCCAGCTTGGATATGTCCTCGGAGTCGGAGTGCGCGCCCGAGCCTCCACCGCGGCCGGCTTCGACTTTGATGCAGATAAAACCGCCTCCGCTACCGCCGAAAAAACAAAACGACATCGCTAACAGACCGCCGCCGCGTCCGCCGCACGCTGAAGATCCGATCTACGACTACATGGACAATTACGAGACGGCGCCCAACAGTTTGGAGTACTTTAAGGGCGTCGAAAAAAGCCCGCCTCTGCCTGTACCCGCGCGAAAGTCAAAGTTTGAATCGGCCGCCCCGGAACGGCCCAAAAAGCACTTCAACAACTTGCAACACGCTGAAGAGGATTATCTAACACCCGTGTGTTCGTTCGGTAAATCCCCGGATGCAATTCTCCTCCCTCCTCCGCAGAGAAGCAGAAAACAACTCCCCTCCTTGGAGGGTTTGGACATAACTTTAAGCCAACTCACCTTAAGCGGCCTCAACGAACTGGCGAACAAATTAAAGATTCCGCCGAGTCAATTAAGCAACATGACGCTGGTGCAACTCACAAACTACCTATCGAACTTTATAAAATCGCAGAGCGTGGAGGAAGAAAAAAACGAAGTTGTGACCAACAGCAACGACTTCAGCAACTTTCAGGCGGATTTTGCCGGCAATTTTAACAATCTCAACCCTTGCGGAGAAACCTACGACAGATACGCCGTGTTCAGGGAACTAATAGAGGAGGAAATAAAGCAGACGAAAATCGACGGCGAACCCGAACAACTGCACGAGGAGGAGGAGGAAGAGGAAGTTGAGAATAACGCCGTGGAAAACTCCAACTCGAATTTCGCTTCCGTTCAGGAGAGCAACGGTCTCACCGACAGATACGCTGCCCTGAGGGAAATCGTGGAAATCGAGCTGATAAAGCAGACTGAAAACTACAACGAAGAAACAAACACGAACGAGAATATGGTGGAGGTGGAAAACAAACTGAACTCGGAAGACAATGAGCTTAAGGATGCCATAATCTCGGTGGTCGAGAAAGGGTCGAAATCGCCGGTCAAGACGAACTTGGTGAAGAGTCCCGTGCCCAGCGCCGTAACGGAAATAGTGCAGAACAACGCCAGGCTCACTTCCGGTTCGTTGTCGGACGTGATCAGCGGAAGTTCGCCGGAGATCGACAACACCGGAAGCAATTCGGAGAAAAAGAACAACGATGCCACAGGTGAGTTTTAAGAATGTGTACTTAAAATTTCATCAAGATCGGAGCACTAGAACTTATGTTATAGCAATTTATAGCGCGCTACCTCACAAACATTTAAAGGCAAATTAAAATATCTTCTCCTAATTTTGAACGGTTAATGAAAAAAACAGTAAAACATTATATATACACATGTCCAAAAGTTTGGAATACTTACAAATAATATATCTACGCCTATGGTAGTTTAAAAAAACTGTTGTTAATATTTACTCTATTTTCTCTGTCTTCTTAAAGGAAATTTAATTCCCTACGAATTTAATTGAGAGAGTTGAGAGTGTTGAAGAATCAAATTTTCAAGTATAGCTTAATCCATCTGGGTACATACTGTATAGGGCAAGTCCAAAAAACTTGATTTTCGATACGACTCAGCTCCGCTAAATTATGTTGTTGAAACCGTATTTTTACTATACCTACAGCTAGTTTATTAATTCAGGTGAAAGTTGGGCGATATTTGATCAGGCCAATGTTCCCTCAGAACCTTCCAAGGAAAAACAGCAAAGCGAGGAGGGCGTGTCTCCATGGTCCAGCGACTCCAAAGAGTTCGGGAACGGTTCGCCCACCGACTGGAAACGAGGCGACTCAGGTAGCGAACAGTGGCCGAAAAAAAGGAGGGAACAGGAGGGGTGGTGGGACACCTCTGCCGAACCAGAAGGTAATTTTAAATGCTCAACATTATTTTTATTCGATATCCGTCCCAATAAACCATTTGCACTACTTATGGTAACGATAAATTATTTAAAGGTTATATACTATCGCTAACAAAAAAAACTCATACAGCTTAAAAATCTAGTGTTCCTGATTTTCTATTATTTCGTTGGAGTAATTATGGCTTTTAACATGATACGTCACATTTGAAAGGTCTAAATTTAAATACAAAGTTAGGTTAAAGTTTGAAAAAAAAATAAAATTTTGTCAATTACTGCCCGCAAACGGCAAAGCATGGAAGTCGCCGTCTTGCTTTATCTCGTTCCAAATGGCTTCAATGGATTGCCAGAGTTCGTCTGCATTGTTTGGTTGAAAATGTTAAAAAAGTCATAATGGATGTGACAAAGCTCGATGTCAGCTTGACATTGACGGAAAAGTTTTATTCACACAGCCACAATATAGCTGTATGAGTTTTTTTTGTTAGCGATAGTAAGAGTTGACAAATTATACAGTGTGTATTAAAACGAATAGATACCCTTAAATAAAACAAGTGCCAAACCCCTAACACTGTGGTAGGGATTGAGAATTTATAGGTTTTATTTTTATCGAATTCGTTTGTTTTGTTTTAATGCATTTCTGCAAATAAAAACTAAGTATTGTTTAAAATCCATTAAATTCCAGTTAATGGCGAAAATGTATTTCTTAAAAACTATACACATTCCCTACGACAGCGTCGGAGCTACTGAACAAAACTGCATGCCCTTGTATCTGGCTGCATGCCGCGCTGTTGCCATATGCTATTATTGTTTCCTAAAAGGGTTGTTTTTCTTATTTTTTAATATTAAAAATAAGAAAATTAACTAAATCAAATTATTTTTGACACAGTATTAATTTTTTTGTTATTTTTAAAGTTTCAAACAAATAAAATTGAACTATTTATTAAATAATTATAATCGTTCTCTTCTGATTTAAAACAACCTGGCAACTGTGGTTCGTAATTACGAATGGCTTGGTTTAAACCACGCCCAATTAAAGTTTGTTTCTTTTTCTCTGATCAGAATATAATTTGTCATCCTTACTTACTTGATTCTATACAGTCTGTATTTTAAATTTGCCTGAGGGAGGGAGAAATATTAAAACAAGGAAAAAAGCCAGTAGCAGTTCTTTAGGAAGTTATATAGTGATTTCCATAATATTCCTGTTATCTCTTGTTATAAAACTTGTGTTTTATAGCGTTACTAAAATAGTTACCGATAACCTTCATAAACTCCCCAAATAGGCTCTTTAAGGGGTATACAGGGTGTTTCTTTTAACTTGAGACAGCTCAATATCTCGAGAAATACGCATTTTACGGAAAATTTTCTTAAATAAAAGGTTAATGTGACCAAAGGGGACATTATTTGGTGCTACCGCTAGCCACCCCCTACCCCTCCTTAAGGGTGAAATGGGGGGTAACTTTAGGAAAGTCAAATTGAATGACCCGATTTTTTTCACAGATTTTGGTAGTACATAAAAAAATGAATAACTTTTACTTGAAACTTTTTTTAAATTTATAAACAGATGGCGCTGTAATTCAAAATTTAAGAAAATTGGGTTTCCTTGTAAAATGTATTATTTAAAACGTTTGAAAAACAAAAATTAACATTAAATCAACAATAGACGGCTCTGAAAATAATTTATAACAAATGTTCGAAATGTCGTCCTTCCATTTCGACACCAAGTGGAGCACCAGCGTCCCTGGTCGGTAAACGTTTGGTGCGGTACCTTTGGTGAACGATTAATCGGACCATTCTTTATTGACGGTGCATTAAATGGCGAAAAGTACCGGGCTTTTCTAGAAAACGATCTGCCGGACCTTTTGGAGGATGTACCACTAAACATGTGGTACCAGCATCATGGTTGTCCTGCGCATTATTCGGCAATTGCTCGAGAGGTGTTGGATCGGGAGTTTAATGGCCGGTGCATCGCGGTGGATCGGTAGACGTGGTCCAGTAAGTTGGCCTGCTCAATCACCTGAGCTTACACCACCAGACATCTTCCTGTGGGGATACTTGAAAGAAAAAGTTTACGCTGCAATTCCTACAACTCGGGAGGACATGGTGGAGCGGATCAGGAACGCCTGTGCGGCGAAACCTCCCGACATGTTGGCGCGTTGTGTGCCAGAATTCATTACCCGCATTCAAAAATGTGTCGAAATGGAAGGACGACATTTCGAACATTTGTTATAAATTGTTTTAAAAGCCGACTATTGATGATTTATTGTTAATTTTTGTTTTTCAAACGTTTCAAATAATACATTTTACAAGGAAACACAATTTTCTTAAATTTTGAATTACAGCGCCATCTGTTGATAAATTGAAAAAAGTTTTAAATAAAAGTTATTTATTTTTTTATGTACTACCAAAATCTGTGAAAAAAATCGGGTCATTCCATTTGACTTTCTAAAGTTACCCCCCGTTTCACTCTTAAGGAGGGGTAGGGGGTGGCTAGCGGTAGCACCAAATAATGTCCCTTTTGGTCACATTAACCTTTTATTAAAGACATTTTTCGGTGAAATGCGTATTTCTCGAGATATTGAGCTGTCTCAAGTTAAAAGAAACACCCTGTATAAAAGTGATATAGATATTTCTTTAACAAAGTTAAGAAATTTAGGTTTTTTAATTTGGATGATGTAATATTTATGGAAACCACTATGAAAACAAAAATGTTTATTGGGCGGGCGGTGCTTGTTTCAGCTCAGTACTACCCGCCGTCGAACCGGCGCTCCACCGACAGCTACGACGAGGAGTACTACGAGTGCTACGACCGGCCGCGGCGGCGGCGCCCGGGCAACTGGGCGTCGGGCGGGGGCGGTGCCGGGGGCGGCGGCGGTCAGCACGCCGCCGGCGGGCATTCCTCCTCTTCCAGGGACGCGAGTCCGTGGGAGGAGGAGCCGACTCGCAGGCGGGAGGTGCGCGAACCGAGGGAGGGGCGGGACGGGAGGGGCGGCTGGGGGCGGCACCAGAGGCAGGCCTCGTTCGAGAGGCATCGACGGCACACCGCAGACAGTTGGGACGAAGAGGATGATTATGAGTGAGTTTTGTGTTCTTTTTTAAGTAAATTTTTTTGCTGACTTGGCGTTACAAAAGATGAAACTGTTTCAGTAAGATTTACTAAGCACAATAATAATTTAAATTTTATATAGGTATTTTTTAATCTCGTATAAACTTTTACTGAAAAAACAACAATCCTTATTTTTAAATTTCATTATTGCGTTTTTAACCATTTTCCATTCTTAGATTTTAAGTTAACTAAATACAAATGAGTTGTTTTTAATTTTATGGTCAATAAGCTTTTCATCTAAATTTGAAAACTTTTCTTTTAACCTAACCTCCGTGATCTTTAATATTCAAAAAGTATTATTAACATCGATTTTTTTTGGCCCAGTCTAGTATGTATACATATACTAATAACAAACTTAATTTAGACAAAACGAGTACCTTCTGCTTTTTTTTAAATTTCTAACAGAGCTATGAGTCATGATTTAATTTATTATTAAAATATGTATTTGGGTGAGCTTTACATATTTAGGCGTCGAGTAAGGAATACGCTTTGTGTTGGTTTAGATACGAAGACGAAAAAGTGTACTGGTCGGAACGTCACGGCCGGGAAGCGGAGAGAGATAGACACAGCGTGGGCAGCAGGGAAGCGGACAGGGATAGGCACAGCGCGGGGAGCAGGGAGCACGAGGGGGACCGATGGGGGGGCGACGACTGGAGCGAGGACCGCCGTCACAGGCGGCGGAGGGAGGTCGAGCGCAGCCGCGACAGGTGGTGCTGCCCGGATTACGACCAAGGAGAGCACGGTAAAGCTTAATTTTCACGTATCCGTTTGTCCGTCATCCGTATGTCAGTTTTTCAATAAAATCGTCCGATAAGAAACGTTCTAATTTTCATGCATACGTTTTTTAATGACGTTAAACGGATTGATTTTGCGACAAATAGAAATTAAGTGTCAGTATATTCACTTTACTAAATTTACCTAATGCTTAATTGTCATAGTTACAATTATGTCAACAATTGTAACTTTAACAGTTAGCTGTCTAATAAATTTAAAGGTAGGTAAATATACCTTATAAAAAGAATATACTAGCCCTAATATACATTAAAATGTATAGTTTTAAAAAAGCAGGTCCTTTTAGTTCTAGTTTTAATTTTTTTTTGTTTCTCCTTTCTTTTTTTCGTTATTCTTATTAAATAAAAACTTAACAGTAAAACACTATTCACATAACGAACGTAATATTTTCGTTTTACAATCTTATTGAAAAAATATAAAAATATTTGAAAATAAATTATCTTAAAATAACGTTAGGCGTCAAAAACAGATGTTTAGTGACGGATTAGTTAAAATTATTTAACCTTTCTCTGTCAGACGTACGAAGTTGAAACTTGACGGACCGATAAAATGTCATAATTTTCGAATTATAATTGGAACAATAAGAGCGCTCCCGGATGAACGGACTGACGGACAAACGGATACATGAAAATTAAGCTTAACGCGATCGGAGGTGTTTTCACGACGTTCGTAATTGTAATCTCTCTTTTGAAGATAAAGTTCGGTACGGCAGCGGCAGATGGCGCGACAGGAAGCACGACGACAGGTACTACAGCAGGGAGTCGCAGGACTCCCCCTGGGAGGACGACTACTCCAACGATCCGGAGGAATCGTCGGTGTCGCCGCATTATTCGGCCGCGCGCAGCCGCAACTGGAAGCAGCGGCCGAGCAGCGCCTCGGAAATGGACAGGAAGACCGGCGAGATCAAGTCCAGGCATCATCTCGGAACAGGTGAGACAAATCTCCGCGCGGCGATCATATAACTTGTTGTATTTTCCAGAGCTATCGCAATTACTCTTAAAAAGTAATGGGGTAGTTAAATTTTTTCTGACCTATACTTTCTATGGTTTTATTCAAGGCGTTTTGTAATTTTAAACATTTCTGTGAAATCAGAATTTCAATTGAGTTTACCGTTTTCGAGATATTTACAAAAAATATAAATTTTTATGACGTCACAAACCTCGCCATGTGACCAACATTCTAAGATTTCTATTGGTTGAAAATTACCCTGTTATCAAGTTGTCTTGTTAATGATTTCATTCGGTTATGTCAGAAAATACCCGAAGAGGTTATGTACAAATACTGTCACTGTCAGTTGAGTGAAAGATGGTCACCAAATTCATTAAGTAACCTATCTTCCTTATTACGAGGTATCATATTACTGTTTGATATTTTAGAGTCCTAGATATATCTAAAAGAATATAAAGAACTAGGCATTATACTAATGAAATGCATTTACGACAAAATATGATTATAATTATAGGTACTTACTTTATTTGTTTAAAAGCTCCAATTTTCAATGTAACCAACCATTCCACAAGATTCCTCTGGTTTGGAGTCCGTTATTAATAAATCACTTATCTAATATCAATTACAAATAACATAACAATAACATTGATTTTCAATAATCTAAATTAAAAAAAAAAACAACCTGAAAAAAAGAAACGTCAAAAAATCAATTATTCTTCTTCTCAACTAAAATTATAGATCAAGTGGTTTTAAAACTAAAATATTATAACGTGGCGCCATCTATCGTAAGAATCTTAAACTAACCACACTGGCAACCATAGAAAAAGCTGGCAACGTTGTCAATAGCCTAGTGACGTAGTTAGGAGATTTTTTTTTGTAAATATCTCGAAAACGGTAAACTCAATTGAAATTCCGATTTCACGGAAATGTTTAAAATTACAAAACGCCTTGAATAAAACCATAAAAAGTATGGGTCAGAAAAAATTTAACTACCCCATTTAAAGGTTAATTTAACAAAATATTTACTTAAATTAAGGAGGTAGCGACGGAGAGAGGGATCGACGCTACAAAGGCGGCGGCCGTCGGTCGCGCAGCCGCGACTCGCAGTACTCTGAGCCGCCCCCGCACCGCCACAAGGTGGAGGCGGCGCCGGCCTCCCGCAACCCGCATCGCACCAAACCGCACCACCAAAAACCGACCGCAGACGTGGATTTTACGGACGGCCTCAAAAAAACCTCAGACGCCCTGAAATTCGACTTGTCAGCGAAAAAATCGAACACCCTCGCGAGGAGAGACAAGAAAGTCAAGGAGAGTCCCAAAAGCGAGGTGAGAGAATTAAAAACGCGTTCGTTGAGAAGTCTGTGGGTAAAAGGCATAAGGGGATAAGTCAAAAAAAGCAATTTATCAGTAGAGCCTTAATCGTATTCGCATTAATTCAGGAAACATATTTATGGTTAGCGGGTATACTCTTTTGTTAGCACATGTCATATGCTAACAAAAGCGTATACCCGCTAAACATAAATATATTTCCTGAATTAATGCGAACACGTTAAAGGCTCCATTGAAAAATTGCTTTTCTTGACTTATCCCCTTATGCCTTTTACTTAGTATTTGTGCAACAACGGAAATGTTTTTTTGTTTCCAGAGCGGCACTTTTCCGAGGAAATCTTCCGGTAGAAAGTCTTTGTTCGAAAACGACTTCGTGTCTTCCGAAGACGGTCCTAAAAACACCCGAACGCCCGCGAAGTTTGATTTCGAGAACGATTTTGAGACGTCCGAGGCGGAATCGCCGACTGTGGCGCCCTCTAGGACGGTTAAGGGTTTGCGTCAGCAGAGCATGTTTGAAAAAGGTAAGTAAAAAATAAAATAATGAATCCAATTATATTCCAGCCCACCGTAATCCTCGTCATCATCATCATCATCTAAAATGATAAAATCCATTCAAATCCAAGCTGGACTAAATGTAAACACAATCCTCCGAATCGACCAATAAGAACTCACAATCCGAGTAACGATATCAGAATCGACCAATAAGAACAAGTTATCACGCGTCTGGGCGTTTTTGTTTAGTCCAGCTTGGATTTTAATAGACTTTAAGTAACAACTCTTCTGTTTGTTTTTCTTCATCGTTTTTATCATCTACGCGATGTTTATAAATGTCTGGGGACTTTCCCCTCCAAATCCAAGTAAATTAAACTTTTTAGAATGTTTAATTTAACAATTGTTAAGTCGGCAGTAAAATGGAACACGTGCAAAACATATCCTCTCTAAAAATGTATATCCAATTCGAAAAATTATTATCAATGTTTTCGTGTCAAATATTGAAAAAAATCCCCGCCCCACTACTGGCAGCACAAGTGTTTGTAAAATGATGTTTCTATTTCAAAAATCGAGTGAGTATCGCCAGTTTTAAGAAATTTAATTTTTTAAACATTTATAAAAGTATTCCTATACAATTAAAAAAAGAGGAAATATTTAAAATGTAATATATTAATTCTAAACACTAAAAATAATTTATAATAACCTTTATCCCACCAAAAAGTACGCCACTGATCGACTAGGAATTTTATTTATTATGTTAATAAAAGTTGCCAGATTTTGTTTAAATTTAGCTTAATTACAAAAATGACAAAATCAGCAATGCATGTCTAAAATGGTTTATCAAATTTGATACATAAAATACTATTATTGATCTAATTTTAATAGGTAGTATATTATGTATCAAGTTTGATAAACGCCATTTTAGAGCTTGCGGGCGATTACTTAATTAAATGAGTTCTAGAAAATTTTAAAAACGAGTTGGGTACTATACTTTTTCTACTTATTAATATTTTAAAATGAAACTATAAAACAATAGAGTAACCAACTTGGAAATCTACAAAATGTCAAATTTTTGTGTAAATCGATATGTATCCCATATAAACGTGCCTTTAATGAACTAAAGGCCCTATAAAGACTAACTCTAATGGAAACAGGAAAAAAATTAATTTTAAAAACTGTTTATTGAAATCCATAATATTTAAATGAATAAAAAAATCCTTAAACCAAATGGAAAATATTTAAAATTAAAATATATATTTACAACCAAGTTCACTTGATTTTTTTTTGTAGATTAATAATAATAATAATAATAATAATAATAGGCTTTATTTCAGAAGACATATACCTACATGTGTAGAAAACGTCAAGGTAAATTTGAAATAGACAAACATTACACATAAGAAATTACAAAATGGTTCATAATGTACATAAATAAATTTTTTCTACTCCACCTTTAAAACGCCCTTTATCGTACATGTTTCCATGACACTAAGTGATCTTTTAAATACACATTGACAAGTTGTGGCTTTACGGCACTTTAGTCACAGGCTGAAGTTAGTTTTAAGTTAGTTGACAGTTGTTAAATGTCATACAATCGTTAAAATAAAGTGCCTTTCTTGTAAAATAATACTAAATGTGAAAATTATTTTATTATCTCAATACAAAAATACAAAAATATTAAATAGTTTCTCAACGCCAATATTTGAAAAGTTTATATGAACATTGTACTGACCTTTTAATTTCGCCGGCAGTAAACTATAACTGAAATTCGGGCACGGACTCCACTGTAAAGTCCTCATAAAACATTTCCTTTACTTTCACTGTCAATTTATAACCTTTATAATTGTGTTTATAAAATGTATAAATGTGAATCTGAATGTGACATTTGACAGTTTCCCCTGTTGTTTCATAGATGGCGCTCTATACAAATTTTTGATTTAAATCATTTTAAGATAATAATAAGTAGGTATTTGTCGTAGAAAAAGAATAGTTTGCACCTCGTTTATAAACTTTTCTATACACTCATTAACTTAAGCACTCGCTCGCAAGCTCGCTCGTGCCTAAATTAAATTCGTGTATAAAATGGCGTTTATCAAACTTGATACATAATATACTGGATAAGTGAAGAATCTATTATGGAGGATTAAATGTGGAATATCCTTCCCAATAAATATAAACAAACCACATTTAATCCACCATAATAAATACTTTACATTAATTAATATATTATCGTAAAATGTAGTACTACAACATTTATAAATTTACAAGAAAAAATACAAAGCAATGTGTTAAATTAAACAACAATTAAAAATTCCTACTGAATTCTTTGGCGGTATTTTGTCTGCAATGAGAGTTCTGAAATTTGTAAAATTATTCGGCAGGAAGTACGCCTGCGGATCGCGAACCCGCCCGATCGGGTTCGTTCAAGGAACCCAAACTGTCTCCGAGGTACAGCGCGAAATCGAAATCCCTGTTCGAGGACGATTTCTCTCCGTGCGGCGAAAAAGCGGACGCTTCGGAAGACAACAACATTTCGAGCATAAAAGAGGAGGTCGACCCCAACGAGGAGGGGGAGGATACGTTCGCGGCGGCGGCGGCGGAGGCGGAAAAAACGTCGCGCAGGGACTCGCGAAAAAAAATCCTGTCGACCAAAAATCGACTGTCGGGCGGCTTGCGCACCGCCGATCTAAAAAAATCCGAGTCCGTCAACATTTTCGCGCGGGGAAAACGACCCGTTCGACGACGACTTCTTCAGCGGCGGCGGCGCCGCCCCCGCAGCGGTCGGCGGCGGCCGACAGAGGAGCACGGAACTGAGGTGGACCGAAGACTTCGACGGTTTCGGTAATAGGGCTAACTGAACCGAAAACTACACGTACTTAGGAAATTTGCATTAATTAAATTGATCGATGGTTTCTGATGGGGGCAGTTTGAAGTCGAATTGAGGTATGTACAGGGTGTCCCGCTTAAAGTCGACCCCCCATTATTCTCAGAATATTTTTGTCAAACAAAAACTTTTATTGATTAATTTTGTTAACATTCTTTTTTTTAATGAATAAATATCGTTTAAATAAGCGATTAAATCACTACAACTATTTAACAGCGATTAAATTTTAGCCTCCATATTGGATTTTTGTTTACGATTTTATGGTGTCATTTACAAGTTTTAACAAACATTTTTTAAAAAACAATAAAAAATAAGTTATCTACTTTACGAAATATCAATTATTACTTATTACATACCTTAAATTAATGGAATTTTCTTTAAAAAAATATTTATAAATTTTGACACATACGTCAGATTTTATGAATTTTCAAATAGTTTCCTTTAATTCGAGAAATAATCTAGACGTATATCACTCAACCTATAAATTTAATCCCTCAAACTATGCTCAGTAAGTTTTTTATTTGATTTTTCTTTTTGGAAAATAGTTTCATGCAAAATAATTAAAAATAAAACAGCCTCGACCGCTACGCGGTCTCGTGATTTTATTAAATTATTTTGCATTCAACATTTTCCAACAAAAACTACTGAGCCTAGTTTAACCGATTAAATTCATAGTTCTTGTGATATAATATATGAATATTTATGTCCAACAAAAACCTTTCTTGATAAATTTTTTGTGAATTTTATTAATATGAGATAAAATTTTAAATAATTTTAATTTATATGGGGCTGTTCAAAAACTTTTTTTTTAATGGAATGCCCTATATATTTAGGTTAATTTAAAAATATATATATTTTCTTCGAAAATAAAAATTGTATGAGAATTAATGAGCGCAAAAACTTTGCGCTCAGTATTAGATAATAAATAAACATAATAATAAAGTAAGCCATGATTTGCAAGCTACCATGGCAACACAAGTTTATTTACATGCTGTTAAATTCTCAACTTTAAAAAATGCGTTATTCGTTGGAAGAAAGGTGTGATATTTTGGAAGTTTTCTATCAATCTGATAAAAATGCATATAGTAAATTCAAAAGGAAACGACGTACACGTCATCAATCAATGTGATGCTAAAATCATTGCATCAAGTAAAAGTGGTAGTGCAACTACAGGGCGATAGATGGCGTTTACATGAATAATACCATAGGGTTCTTAGATTTGGGACCTTAGAATACCAAAATGTCAAAAGTCAGGGTTTTATAACCTATATGATGCACCGCCATTTTTAAAGACATTTTCAGCTATAAAACCCAGAAATTTTGCCATCTAAAGTCAGTCTCTGTTGGATACGAATGAATAAATAAATAAATAAATATATATTATTATTTTATGTATCCAACATATATTCTGTTAAATATTCTAATATATAATTAATAATAATCCTATTTACCTCTTTAACAGCTGTTAAAGGTAACAAAGGTCCATTATTATCCCGTTCTGCCTCAAAATAGCGTATCAAGGATGATACCAACTCTTGACTCCGACTATTTAAATGCTTCGGCATTTTAAATATAGGAAAAACAAAAAAACGATGTATAACAAACACAAAAACGGCAATGAAAACTTAAACGATATAAAATAACACAAACAACAAACAAAATAAACGAAATTAAACACGAATTAAACGAAATATTCAAAAACACAACTGACAGCTTCGAAATTCTAAAACGTCAATTTCTTTTTCTTTGCGTCATTTTATTATGCAAAATTTTAATCTAAACATGACAACATTGCAGTTGCTGCCAACTAAAGTTGTTTAAAATGCATTAAAATATCCAATTACAGACTTCGTTTTATAAATTTGGTATTGGTACCAGTGCGCAAAATTATGACGTCATCGATGACGTGTACGTCGTTTACTTTTAAATTTACTTCATTTTAAAGCAAATCTAAAACAACAGAAGCAAACATTTTAAAGAAAAATAGTCGCAAACCATTTAAGATATTCTCAACAATTATATACCAGAGATAGAGAAAATAGATTTTGATTTTTATTATTTATATTAATTTTTAACACAACAGAATGTGTAAAAGAAAATTAATAGGTATGTTATTTTTTTACATAACTTCAAAGTTAATTTAACAAATTAATATGTTATTTTTTTACATAATTAATATGTTATTTTTTTACATAACTTCAAAGTTAATTTAACAAATCGTGTTGTGTCAATTTTATTTTTTTTAAATGGTTATTTTAAACTAAACTAATAATTAATATGAATTAAAATCTGTATAACTTTAACATAACTAAATATGTTAAATTTATTTATATTTTATTTATTTTACACAACAAAAGTGTGTAACATAAAACTTTCTATAGATTTTACACAAATATAATATCTTCATTTAATGTCTTCATTTAATTATTTTAATTTGTTATTTTAACAATATTTTTTAATTAATTTTTACAATATTAATTGTTTATTTTTATTTATTTTAATAAAATATTTAAATTTATATAAGAATATTGGTTTTTGGGCAAAAAATAAAACATGTAAGTATGTAATAATGATTTATTATGCTACCACATAATTTTAAAAAAAGGCCAGCAATGAAGCATTGGAATTCACTAAAATTGCACAGTCCAGTCATTTTTTTGTATTCCAAAATAAAATACAAATCCATGCCATACCCTATGGCCCATAGGGTAAACGGTCTTCAAACATTTCTGGGGATACAAACGTTATGTAAGTAAAAAAAACCTTATCATAGCAAACTTACCTTTAAATTTTGTTAAACACACGCTATATAAAAACACATTCAACCTTACAATTAGGAACCTCTAATCGAATTAACTATCATCAACCGACTAAACGCGGTTAGAAGACAAAGGGCCTTGCAGGGTACCGATTTTAATCGAAAGAAGGCGAAAATTAGCGAATTAGAAGAATAACATTTATGTTTAAGTTGAAATGAATAAAAAAAATACCCAATTGTTTTATCAACTTTAAGCCGTACACCCTGTACACTGAATTTTTTCTTCCAACGTTTTATTTATTATTTATTAATTAGGTATTATTTGCCAGTTCCTTTATACTCAACAAACACTTTTTAATATTATGAACATTATAATACTCAAGTCTAGTCATTTTAAGCATTTTTTTTTTAAATTTTATTAAACCTTTATACATTTTAGTATAAGGTGGGACCAGTGTAATTTTTTCAGTATGGCGTCCAAAAGTAAAAATAATAAAAATGTTGTTTTTTCTTCAAGCTGCCTCAAATTCCCATTTAAATTTTAATGTTACTGTTATGTATTAATTAATATGACTTATTTTAATCAGGTACCTACATATGTATGTAAATATTTTTTACTATGTAAAAATTATTTTTACTTTATGTAATACTTATAGGTATAAATTAATTTGTAAATACTCATCAAATGCTTTTATTTTATACTGTTTTGTTGTGCAATTCAAATTATTTAATTTTAAATATTATTAAGTGTATAAATAAAATTTTTAATAATCTACAAACTGTTCTAGAGAAGGTACAAATATTTTATTAATAAAATGCATTACCAGTAAAATTTTGTTTTTTTTTAGTAGCAAAGAATAGACAAAACAAAATACAAAAAATATTCAAAACATATTTTACATTTCTCAGAATTTTACACATTCCATTCCTGATAAAAGTCTTTGCTCGATTTCAAACCCCCCAAAATTTTTATTAATAAATTAATCGTTTATTTTATTTTCTATTGATGGGACAAAAAAAAATTCTGAATTTAGTTGCTAAAAACATAAAGTTACCAAAAGTTAGTTTTTCGTATATTTGACCCTCTAAAATTGATTAAAACTAAAAACGCTAAATAAAAAAGTTGTAGATCTCAAAAATATGCATAAAAAATATAATAAGATTTTTATCATTTGGTCAACCATTTCCGAGTTACAGTGACTCAAAGTTGTATTAAAGTTCATTTTTTTTATCTGGACTTTGTTATCTTTACAGTGACTCAAAGTTGTATTAAAGTTCATTTTTTTTATCTGGGCTTTGTTATCTATGATCTGGACTAGTGTTTTTTTGTTTTGTTATGCCAGTTTGACTTGGTATTTTTAGTATTTAAAAATGGTACTTCTGCTAAAGAATTTAATTAAATACTTTGACACTGTCAAATTGACAATAATATTTATTATTGATAATTTACTTGTCAATTATAAATAAAAAGATAATTATGCCAGAAATAATAGCAACGAATTCGAATGTAAAAGCCCTTTTGAGGGCAAAACTTCATTTTGATGAAATTATGCCAAATGCCACAATGGAAGAAAAAGTACATCGCCTTATGGACATTTTTGGAGTAAAAAAGTAACGAATTTGGTTTTATAAATATTACATCACACATTATTTTTACATTATTCACCATTGGACAACATTTACGTTCACAAAAAATTTTAATTTCTTTTATATAAATTCTTTTCAAAGCGAAGATTATCCGCTAGGAATACTTTCTTTTCTGGGCAGTAAAGCAACCTATATTTAACTACTTTTTTTATATGATTTTACTCATCCAAGCACCACCAAAGCCAAATTAATTGCATTTTTAACAACTGCACAATGTAACCTACATAACCACAATTGGATTTATAACTACATCATCAGTGTATTTTTTGAATGTGTGTGATTGCGTCATCAATTGCTGAACCAAACAAAGACATTAAAATGTGTAGCTGTCTTTTTTTTTCTTTGTAAAAGTTCAACCGAAATTCTAAAACGTATCGGGATCCGCTAAACCAGCAGATGGCGACACAATTAAACGTAATTTACGACAAACGTCAATCCGATGTCGCGCTCACGCGGCTTGTTCTGAAAAAGGACAGAGCGCGTATAGTTTGTTGTGGCATTGAGCCGAAATTTATCAAAATTTGAAGGTTAGTCAGTGGCGTTCATACAGTAATTTGGCATTAAAGAACAGATTTTGGAAGTTTGACAGGTTTTAAAAAATGTCTTGCAAACGTTTGGACGATAATCAGAAACATTTTATTATTAATTTAGTGCAATATTTTCAAAGGGAACTGGAGCATGGGGAACCCCTGCTCCCACTAAACTGTGTCCAAGAGGTAAGCTATGTTAGGCTTGTTTCTACTGAGCATGTTTACTTTAGGGTCAAAGGAACCTTCACTGATTGTGATGGACAACGCTCCTTACCACAGCGTCGTTGTTGAGCGTCACCCTACAAGTGCTTGGAAAAAACAGCAAATAGAAGAGTGGCTAACAGAACATAATATTCAGTTTATCAAAGGTATATTTAAAGCGGAATTGCTGTTTCTGGCACGCTACCACACCCCGCCTAAGCGTTAAAAAGTTGATGAGTACCTCCAGCAGCATGGGCATAAGGTTTTGCGTCTGCCTCCATATCACTGCCAGTTTAATGCCATTGAACTTATATGGGCGCAGGTAAATACATAAACAATTAGATGGGCGCTTGCAACAACGAATTCTGTTTTAGGCTAAAATATATTATGATTCCCATATGGGGGAAGACGGGTATGGCGACAATAAAGTGCTAACAATGTGGGGCCAAGCACTGAACCCATGCACGCCAGAACGTTGGTGTTCAGTAGTGAGGCACACCAACAAATTAATTGACGATTGGTTCCAAAAGACAAGGATGGTCGATGACGTGCCAGAACTAGTTATCCACCTCGGAGAAGACAGTTCCGACGAGGATGACTTTTAGTAATTTTGTTTTCGTTCTCCTATAACATTTTATTTTAATAATTAATGTTTTGTCTTAATTAACTTATAATATATTATATGTATGTACATAATATTATGTACAAAAATTGTGTATGTTTATTGTTATTCGTTTATAAAACTTGCATAATTTACATTAATAAAGTTAAAATAACTATCATTAAAATTATTGTTTAATTGTATGTATTTTGAGTTGCGTAACTATGAGGCGACATTAGGCAACCAAAAATACACCCACAATAAATGCTTAGACCCCTTCAAAATGATACGCTACTGACTCTAAATTTAGTTTCGGTTTAATTCATACGACGCAATTGATGACGCAATCACACACATTCAAAAAATACACTGTAGCTTAGTTTGTTTTAATCAATGCGACCAACTTGACAACTGTATTTACCAACCAAAACCCTAAATTTGCAACGTTGCCGCAGTCCAGATAAAGAAAGATGAATAAATAAAATTTAAAATCCAGGTGGCGCTCTTTTTTTACATTGGCAACACTGCACCAGATGTCAACATAACCTATAATTTTACACATGTCCAAATTCACTAAGCGTAAAAATGAAATTACAAGAAAAACGAATATTTATAAGTGATTTACCGGAAACAGCCACAGAAGATGAGTGTAAAACGTTATTCGGCGAATATGGAAAAGTAAAATCGATTGAAATAAAGGAACGTAAGGAGTTGGGTCCAAAAAATTATTCCCTATTTTTCGCTTATATTAATTTGGAAACTGACGACCACAGCATACAAAAGTGTGAGTTAAATAAGGAATATTATTCATTTTATTCAGTTTATTAACTGTACAATTTTAGGTTTCAAGGATTTTGCCCAAAACGAGTGGCATGGGCAATATGTGCAATTACAGTTGGCGAGAGAAAGTTTTCTGGACAGATTAAAAAGGGAACGGGAAGAAAATGAAAAAAATAATGGCAATGCCACATCCCAACCCAAATTGGAACCACTTCAACCTAAAATCATAAATGGAGTCAAGAAAACTCCCAAAAAGGAAAGTTCCTCAGAAAGCAGTAGCGAAACAGAAAGTGAAGATGAAAAACCACCAGTTAAAAAGACTTCTGCTATAACTAAACCAGTTTCAACAAAAAGTAGCAGCAGCAGTAGTAGTAGTAGTAGTGAATCGGAAAAAGAAATAGAACCACCTATAACCGATTTTGTTATTAAAAGTAATAAAGGAAAACAACTAAATAAAAACGGGTTGGTGATTGAATCAGTGGGCAATGAACCCATAATAAAAATTGATTTATCCAAAAAGAAACCAGCAACGGTAAATTCCGAAGCTAATTTGAAGAGATTGCAGTCGTTAAATAGAATGAAGGAAGGTTACAAGTCGCAAAAATTAACAATTAACAAAGCTTTAGCAAAAGTGGACGCCACACAAGACAATAAGGTTGTTTTTAGTGGTAAATCAAGTGAGAAAAAAGATAAAAAATCCTTATTTGATGACGAAGAGTCGGATGGTGAAAATTTTGAGGATAACTTTAAAGTCAAAGAGCAGTTTCAAGGAAAAAAGGGACAAAAGGTAAAGTGCAAGTAAAATTGATTTTTTTTTTATTAGTTTTTTTAGTTGCTGGAACTTCAATCAAAATTCAAAAACGATAAAAGATTTGCTCTGGATGAAAGATTTGTTGAAGAAGATGATGAACAAGTTATGACTGAAAATAGAGATTTGGAAGATCTAACTTTGGAAGAAGAGAAGCAAAAAGAACTTGAAATATTGGGTGAAGTTTTAGGAAAGAATTTACCAGCTAAATCAAAACTGAATGAAGAAAAACAAATGTTGAGATTTGACCCCACACAGCCTGAACATTCAAAATACGAGATGCAAAAAGAGGTGGCTCCTCCAAAAAGTAAAAAGAAGAGAAGAGATTTTGAGGAAGCATTTGCGGATAAAAAGGTGGAGGAAAGTAAACAACCAGAGGTTTCCAAGGAGGTATTCTATAAGGTGACAGAAAACCTCAAGGAAACTCTGCATGGAGAAAAACCTGGGTTCAGTTTGCTGGGTATGTTTGGAAAAAATGAGGATGTGGAAGAGAATGGTGAAGAAACCGCGGAAAAAATAATTAGGGGGAATAATAATAATTTGGGGGGGGATAAAAACCCTTTCAAATACGACTCTTCTGATGATGAAGATCAGACAGAGGATATTCCAAATGCCTCCAATCAGGAACAAAAAGATGTTCCAGATACAAGGAATGTGAGGTTTTGGTCTGAAAGCTTCTTTTTTAAGGATGATGACTACAGGTTGCAAGGTATTTTTGGTGTAATTTTGGTGGAATGTAAATGTACTTATTTTGTTTTAGAGGGGTTTGATTTCATAGAAAAAATGAGGTTGGAGGAAAAGGGGGAGTTTACCAAGTTGAGGAGAGACTTGAAGGAAATAGTCAGATCAAAAGTGAGAAATAATCAGAGGAAAGACAAACCGTTCAGGAAAAAGTTGGGTGGGAACAAAAAACGAAAAAATATAAGAATGAAAAAGGCGCTGAAAAGGTAGTTGTACAAAAATTATACTGTAAGTTTTAATAAAAATACTTGGTATGTAATGTTTTAATTTTATTGGAATCATAACCATTACATTAAAAAATTGCATGTGATAAATATTATCCACTACTAAATATATGTTAAGTAGAAAAATAATTATTATAATCAATTTGTGATAATTGAAATAGAAGAAATAAAAATCTGATTTGTATAATCATTATATTTGAAAAATTATCATACAAAATACCACAAACATCTTCCTATCCTAAAAATTTTGGAACAAAAATACAGGATTTTTACAGTTTAAACATAAACCAGACTAAATGAGATTTATTTTTGAAAAGTTGCGCAGAACAATTTACAAGCTCTGAATAATAATAACGAACGCAGTTATGAAATTAACCGCTAGTTATAGTTTGGAAACGGCATTTAAATAAATCCTGTTGATGACATTATTCCCAGAGGGATTTGATTTCATGAAAAAATTGGGTTGGAACAAAAGGGGGAGTTAGTAAATCAATCAAAAGTGAGAAATAATAATAAAGTTGGGTGGGAACAAAAAACGAAAAAATATAAGAATGAAGAAGGCGTTAAAAAGGTAGTTGTACAAAAATTATACTGTAAGTTTTAATAAAAATACTTGGTATGTAGTAATGTTTTAATTTTATTGGAATCATAACCATTACATTAATAAAATTGCATGTGATAAATATTATCCACTACTAAATATATGTTAAGTAGAAAAATAATTATTATAATCAATTTGTGATAATTGAAATGGAAGAAATAAAAATCTGATTTGTATAATCATTATATTTGAAAAATTATCATACAAAATACCAAAAACATCTTTCCTATCCTAAAAATTTTGGAACAAAAACACAGGATTTTTACAGTTTAAACATAAACCGGACTAAATGAGATTTATTTTGAAAAGTCGCACAGAAACAATTTACAAGCTCTGTGAATAATAATAACGAAAGCAGTTATGAAATGAACCGCTAGTTATAGTTTGAAAACGTCATTTAAATAAATCTTGTTGATGACATTATTCTCAGAAAGATTTGATTTCATAAAAAAATTGGGTTGGAAGAAAAGGGGGAGTTTAGTAAATTGAGGAGAGCCTTAAGATCAAAAGTGAGAAATAATCAAAGGAAAGACATAATAAAAAACGAAAAAATATAAGAATGAAAAAAGCGCTGAAAAGGTAGTTGTACAGAAATTTATACTGTAAGTTTTAATAAAAATACTTGGTATGTAATGTTTTAATTTTATTGGAATCATAACCATTACATTAAAAAATTGCATGTGATAAATATTATCCACTACTAAATATATGTTAAGTAGAAAAATAATTATTATAATCAATTTGTGATAATTGAAATAGAAGAAATAAAAATCTGATTTGTATAATCATTATATTTGAAAAATTATCATACAAAATACCACAAACATCTTCCTATCCTAAAAATTTTGGAACAAAAACACAGGATTTTTACAGTTTAAACATAAACCAGACTAAATGAGATTTATTTTTGAAAAGTTGCGCAGAACAATTTACAAGCTCTATGAATAATAATAACGAAAGCAGTTATGAAATTAACCGCTAGTTATAGTTTGGAAACGGCATTTCAATGAATCTTGTTGATGACATTATTCTCATAGGGATTTGATTTCATAAAAAAAATTGGGTTGGAGGAAAAGGGGGAGTTTAGTAAATTGAGGAGAGCCTTTAGGAAAAAGTTGGGTAGGAATAAAAATCGAAACAATATAAGAATGAAAAAGGCGCTGAAAAGGTAGTTGTACAAAAATTTATACAGTAAGTTTTAATAAAAATGCTTGGTATGTAATGTTTTAATTTTATTGGAATCATAACCATTACATTAATAAAATTGCATGTGATAAATATTATCCACTACTAAATATATGTTAAGTAGAAAAATAATTGTTATCAATTTGTGATAATTGAAATAGAAGAAATAAAAATCTGATTTGTATAATCATTATATTTGAAAAATTATCATACAAAATACCACAAACATCTTTCCTATCCTAAAAATTTTGGAACAAAAACACAGGATTTTTACAGTTTAAACATAAACCAGACTAAATGAGATTTATTTTTGAAAAGTTGCGCAGAACAATTTACAAGCTCTATGAATAATAATAACGAAAGCAGTTATGAAATTAACCGCTAGTTATAGTTTGGAAACGGAATTTAAATAAATCCTGTTGATGACATTATTCTCAGAGGGATTTGATTTAATAAAAAAAATGGGTTGGAAGAAAAGGGGGAGTTTAGTAAATTGAGGAGAGCCTTAAGATCAAAAGTGAGAAATAATCAAAGGAAAGACATAATAAAAAACGAAAAAATTTAAGAATGAAAAAAGCGCTGAAAAGGTAGTTGTACAAAAATTTATACTGTAAGTTTTAATAAAAATCTTGGTATGTAATGTTTTAATTTTATTGGAATCAACCATTACATTAATAAAATTGCATGTGATAAATATTATCCACTACTAAATATATGTTAAGTAGAAAAATAATTATTATAATCAATTTGTGATAATTGAAATAGAAGAAATAAAAATCTGATTTGTATAATCATTATATTTGAAAAATTATCATACAAAATACCACAAACATATTTCTTATCCTAAAAATTTTGGAACAAAACACAGGATTTTTACAGTTTAAACATAAACCAGACTAAATGAGATTTATTTTTGAAAAGTTGCGCAGAACAATTTACAAGCTCTATGAATAATAATAACGAAAGCAGTTATAAAATTAACCGCTAGTTATAGTTTGGAAACGGCATTTAAATAAATCCTGTTGATGACATTATTTTCAGAGGGATTTGATTTCGTAAAAAAATTGGGTTGGAAGAAAAAGGGGAGTTTAGAGAAATAGTCAGATCAAAAGTGAGAAATAATGAAAAAAGTTGGGTAGGAATAAAAAACGAAAAAATATAAGAATGAAGATAGCGCTAAAAAGGTAGTTGTACAGAAATTTATACTGTAAGTTTTAATAAAAATGCTTGGTATGTAATGTTTTAATTTTATTGGAATCATAACCATTACATTAATAAAATTGCATGTGATAAATATTATCCACTACTAAATATATGTTAAGTAGAAAAATAATTATTATAATCAATTTGTGATAATTGAAATAGAAGAAATAAAAATCTGATTTGTATAATCATTATATTTGAAAAATTATCATACAAAATACCACAAACATCTTCCTATCCTAAAAATTTTGGAACAAAAACACAGGATTTTTACAGTTTAAACATAAACCGGACTAAATGAGATTTATTTTCGAAAAGTCGCACAGAAACAATTTACAAGCTCTATGAATAATAATAACGAAAGCAGTTATAAAATTAACCGCCGTTACAGTTAGAAAACGAAAAAAAAAAAAAACTCATTCCTTGGCCGGCACCTCGATGACTCGCGGCTTGTCGATGATGCGCGCGGTGCGGTTGCCCTTCTCCACGATCCCGATAATCCACGCCTGGTACCCCTCCTGCTTCTCAATGTCCTTGCAATAAGCCGCCGCCTGCTCCCGCGGCAGGCAGATCAAAAGCCCGCCCGAGGTCTCAGCAGAGTGCCCCTGCAAAAGTTGAAACATATTCCCGCAAGCCTTCGCGACCGCTGCCATTTTAGCAATCACCGGCAGGTTGTGAATAACGAAGGAAACCTCGTTTTTCTGATGCGACGCGAGCGTCTGCGCATGACCGAGCAGACCGAACCCCGTCACGTCTGTAGCCCCGTGCGCGTTGTATTTGTGCATTAAACGGCTAGCGATGCGGTTGAGTCGCGCCATAGAGTCCATAGCGCGGTGGTACGCTTTTCGCACGTCCTCTTCGCTCACCACCAGCTTGATGCGGTTCCAGCGCTCCGGTTGGTCGAGCCACTGGTGCGCATTCACCGCCACCTGCGTGCCCAGCGGCTTAGTCAAGACTAAAACATCCCCCACTACAGCGTTGTCGGGGACTATGTACTCGTTGGGCTGGCAGACGGTGGTGGCCACGCCGCCGATGGTGCACCACGGGTTCACCACCGTCTGGCCGCCGGTGACGGTGGTGCCCGCCTCCAGGGCGGAGTCTTTGAAGCCGCGCATTATCAAGGGGATCACGACGTCTCGCTCCTTTTCGGTCATTTTCGTGCTCACCCCGAGCAACATCAGCATGTTGTCGCATTCCGTTACGCCCATCGCGTACAAGTCGCTTAGTACGTTCGCGCACGCTATTTTTCCCATCATGTAAGGGTCGTCCACCAAGGGGTAAAAGAAGTCTGTGGTCTGGACAAGGCATAAACCTCCGTGTCGGAGAGGTGTGACCTGGAAGAAGAATTTAGTCAACCACCATTGCACGGCTAAATTACAAATTTTATTTAGGAACTTGGGAGGTTTTTTGGAGAATTTTAGGAGAAATGCAGTATGCAAATGAATTTATATAATTAAGGTAGTTGTCGTGGTACAATATTCTGCCGTACTAAGCGCAGAAGCGGTAATTAACATAATGGCTGTCATGAGATATTGGTACTTTTATGTTAATAGCCCTGCCAACTCAGTTTGGTAACAGATACCGCTAAAAATAACTTAATATTTCAATCATTTACTGACAAAATACCGATTTAATACCTTATTAAAGTAGAGATTTTTAACCCTAGTTTCATATTACGGGAAAATGTCAATTTCCTTTAAATGTGCAGTTACCGCTTCTGCGCTTAGTACGGCAGTATTGTCCGATTGTATCCTATATCCAAAAAATTCCCACAAAGCCCAAAAAACTCAAGTTTGCTTTTTCTTTTATCTGTAAAGGCCAGGAAACCAAGAGTTTTTGCCATTTTCCCAACATTTTATTAAAGTAGATATAGCCGGTTTTGCACGGATGCTCCTCAACTGTAATGTGGTTCTTGTTACCCAAAAATCTTGCATAATACAGCAAAACATTCGTTAGATTGTTTACTATTACTATAAACGAAATATGGCTAAAAATAACAATTTTGTAGAAGTCTGTTGTTCTTTAAGAAAAATAATGTAGGTTGTCATATATCATTTTAAAAAGAATTTAATAAACTAGAACCTAATAATATATATTTTTTAAATTACTTTTTTAAAAAGAATTTTTAAGCACAACTAAACGTAGTAAGGTTATGCTCAATTTTTAGAAGTTTTAGGAGATTGATGGCAATTGTAGGAGTTTTCAAGATTTAAGCCAAATTTTAGGAATTTTATGAGTTTGAAGAGGTGTGGGAGCCTTAGGTCACACCCATAAAAAAAGTATTAAGTAAAATTTATTGAGAATGACATGTAATGCGATTTAAAAAATTTTAATTATTTTTTATTTGTATATTGCAACTAGTGATGTAAAAAACAGTTTTTTTTTCAAATTTGAAAAACAAATGTTTAAAAATAACATGTTAATAACATTGCTTTGTTTTTATTTATAAAAAAATTATTAAATTATTAAACCAAAGAGCAGCCAAAATGGTTTATATTGCCCATAACCTGAAACTAAAATCCTAACTGCCTATGTTTTTTTTTCTAAAAAAAAAGTTTTTTTTAACCAAGCGTTATGAATGCGATTTAAAAATTGCTCCTCAAAAATTATATAATTTAACAAATTGTTAATAACAATTCATCATTTAACTATTTAGAGTTTTGATGATATTTACTTCATAAATAATAAAAAAAAAACATAAAAAATAGGATTTAAACGCGACAACATTACAAGTTGTTGATATAGGGTTTCTATGGCAACGCTTTCCGCTCTTCACAGTGGCAGTGACATTTCTATATGCAGTGTTAATTGAAATTTTAAATTGAGTTGTAACAACTAATTATTATGTTCTGTAAAATGAAAGAAGTACACTAAAAAGAAAAAATTAATAAAAAAGAGGTATGGGAACCAAAAATAAAGCAACAGAAAACATGTTAAATACAATACAAGGTAGCGAATAGAATTGTTTTTTTAAAATAATTTAATTTAAAAACGAAATTATGGTAAGTACCAAATAAATCAAAGCAAATATCCCTAGATAATCACGTGTTCGTGATCCAGTGTTGCCGGATCTTCTAGACGAAAATGACAGATTGATAATTTGGTTGGTCACAATCAACATTATCATTTATTATTGCAAAACATTTTTCAATGCCATGTTAGAAGATAATATTATGCATTAATTAAAGACTTATACCAGTAGAATTGGCATATACATTTTTGTCAACATTTACAACACAATTTAGCGATAATAAACGATCCCGTGTAGTCTTAGCAACTATGATTTTTACTCAGAAAACAGACGGTCAATCTTTCTAAAACTTTGTAGACTACACTACAACCAAGATTTTTTCAAAATTTTCTCTTAGTGATTAATATTGTCCTAAATTGTCGTTTTTAAGTGATTTATTGAAAAAGTGATTGGAGAATTGAAAACATGCACAAATTAAATAAATGGTAGGACAAATGTTTTGAATTGCAATTAATTGTGTATACCTAATATTATATAATAATAAAATATACACTTTGTCCAAAGTTATCTGTTATTCTGTTTTCACCATTAAATTGACAATTTACAAATTTAACTGACTTTGTGGCTTTCATAATAACAAAGTTAGCAATGATGAGATAACTTTAAACAGCATATTTTTTGGTAAATTCAAAATATCCTACAAAATAAAGCAAAGATTAATGGGAACCAACGATAAAAAGAGAGACGCTATTAATAATTGAATATTTTAGAAGAATTAATTATTTTTGCTAGCTTATGTAGATGTTTGGTTTAGACATAATGTATGAGGTAATTAAAGTAAAGTACTAAAAGATAAGATTAAAAATAAATAATATACACCTTACTCAATAGTTATCAAAAAAAAGTTTACAGAAAGTGACGATATTCTTGAGTGAAGTAAAATTTCCCTTTGTATTAATATGAGATAATAAATACTATTTACTTTAAGGAGTTAACATGAAGAATGTAAAAATTATAAGACAAAATATATTTTGTTTGTAAAGTTCATAATAGAATCATTACTTATAGTACGAGTATGTAAACATTTATATTGTTTATACATAATTCAATTATTTGTATAGTGGTGTAACATTTTTGGAGGGAAACTTGTAGGAAAAGAGGTGTTGTCAAAATGAAAACAAGTGAAGTTTGTTTGTGGCATTGAAACGAACTTACCGAACAATCAAGGCCGATTCCAATCCTAGGAATTGCCATATGCATAAAATGAGCGTGTTCATGTTCTGCGGCCGAGTTGTAATCCTGCTGCAAGCCTTCTACGAGCTTGTTGAGAACCTCTTGGGGCACTTTGCATCCGCGCCCTTTCAAATCCGCGAACCGCGTCAATCGGAAACTTGCCTCCAAATCGTGGGCCAAAGGGTCGAAAGGCCGCCGCAAAGCCAGCGCATTTGGATTTCCTCCCAGTTCTAATTGAACGGCACCGAGTGCGTCCTGCTGAACACCTGCAACCTGGTAATCGCCCATGCCGGCTTTTTGTATTTAAACTTCGACGAAAATACACCCGTACTACCGTGTTAAAAACACTGGCTCAACAAGAGCGTTTCTCAAACAATCGCTTGACGCTTTTAAAATGGCTACCGCTCCTCTGCAGTTCCAAACAAATGCGCATGTCCGATCATCCAACCCTACTACAATGTTGCCAGCTTCACTGCTTTTGCAGTAGATCTGTTTGGGCCGTAGACATAAACCCTATACTGTATGTCTATGGTCTTTACTCTTCATTTATATTTGGGCCTTAAACTACTGTTTTACTCTCTGAAAGGTAATTTATACTATAACTTATAGTTTGGGACAAAATCTAACCGCAAAATTCTTGAAATAGAATGTGGATTCTTTAGAAGTCATTAACCAATCTGATATATATAGATAATGTGTAATGCTGTGTTCAGATTTATTCCGATAGAAACTATAATATAAATATACAAGAGGAGACTCCTAGGCTTGCGCATTTTAAAATTTGGCGTTCAAAATATAAATGCGCATGACAAATATTTTAAAATGCGCATGTCTAGGATGTCTGAGCTATTATATTTGAGCATAAGCATCGCGAAAACAGCTATAATAAATTAAATAAGTAATACAAAAAGTAAAATTGCAGATTTCAAATGTATTGACTTCAATTAATATGTTTTGTGTATGGATCTATAAATGGCAACGCTGCGCCATACCATTGGTTACATTCCTCTGCGCGCGACATGCAGGCGGTAGTCAAAATTTTTCTAGTTCTCAATTAAAATTCCCAAATTCAATATCATATTTATTAAAACCTAAATGGTATGTAAAAATTAAAGCCAGTAAACCATAACTTTCAATATATTTTAACCAAGCCCAGTAATTGTATCACAAAATCGTGATATTAAATGGCAACAGTGCGTGTTATTCTGCGAATCATCGCCGAAAATACCGAGCGAATTGCCAAAATTACAGAATAAATTTTATAACGAAGCTTCGCAAGCAATATTTCCTTTTTTATGGGTATAATCTTAAGTCCTAAACCAGCGTGAAAGCAAGAAATTGCACTTTATTGATTCTTTTCCAATTCAAACCCGGCATTATGGGAGGGAAATAATCGGATCTTGTCTACAAGACGAGTAGTAATTCAAGCACAATGTTGCCAGGGGCATAAGGCCATCTTCTAATGATAATTAATACCGAAGTATTAAAGCTTTTAATTATTTAATTTCCAAATGCATTTAAACAAGTTTAAGTGAACATCGTACAAAAATCAAATAGGACTTTGATGCTTCTCGAATTTAGTAAATTTGATTTTTAGGTTTTCATATGGCAACACTGCTATGGTAGTTTGTAAACATACAGCAATGTTAAATGTTCTATAATGTTTTGTTACTTAAAAAATAATTAAAACCAATAAACAAATAAGATGGCATCCTCCCAAGATGCCTGGTATTTATCTTTACTCGGCCTGGCTGAGCATTTCAGAACTTCCAGTCCTCCGATGATAAAGTTGTGCATCCAGTGTTTACAGGCTGTATTTAATTTTAAACCGCCTCAAAGGGTGGAAGCCCGGACGCATTTACAATTAGGAAATATATTATTGACTCACACAAAGAATATAGACCTGGCCAAGACGCATCTAGAACAAGCAGTATGTTAACCTAACCTAATTTATTTTTTCTGTTGAACTTTTCGTTTTAGTGGCACCTCTCCCAAGTCATCAACTCATTTGATGATGTCAAGTTTGAAGCGGCAAGTGTATTGGCGGAACTATATGAGCAGCAAGAATATATTTCTTTGTCGAAACCTATTTTAAGGAAGGCTATCGAGCTTTCACAGCATAATGTTTATTGGCATTGTAGATTAATATTTCAGTTAGCTGTAAGTTTATTTTACATTTTTACATACAGGGTGTTTGGTAAATAAGTTTATTTGAATGCATAAATATAATTAAAGTTATCTATGTGTCACTGACAGATAGGTAACCTCAATTATTTAAGGTTCAAGTTATTACGAAATTTTAGCAAATACACGCTTCAGAGAAGGATTATGCTGCCTCGTGTAGCTTGTTAGGGGTAGGAGTGGACTATGCTCATATTTCCAATGCCTTATATACTCGTTTATTATTTTTACTGAGTAAAGGAATGTTATTATTAATTAGTAAGCAATTACATGAAGTTCAACCACTTTTAAATCAAGCTGGACATTTAGTAGAAACATGGACTGGAGCAGCTTACCAAAAAGAATATCTTAAGGTTTATTTTTTGGTATTACAGGTAAGCATTTTAATTAATATACATTTGTATGGCTGAAAAAAGATCTTGGTACTTTTTTCTATTTTGTTAGGTTAAAAAACGCGGTACAATATGAAAAATTACCAAATTTGGGGATTGGTTTAAAACGTTATTTTTACAACATAATAACTTTGGAAAAAATAAACGTTTTTGCACAAAATTTGATTTTTAGCGTTTTTTTTACGATGATAAAATTAAATTTTTACTAAAATTTATTTAGGTTGTAGAGGGCGCTTTTAATAAAAAGATATTTTAATATTCTTTGAGAATTAATTTAAAACATAAAAAACAATAATTTTACTAAGGGTATATTTTTTGCTGTATTTAGGTGTGTCATTACATAATGGGTGGACAAATAAAAAGTGTAAAGCCATGTTTAAAACAGCTCCAGCAAAGTATACAAACCATTATGGCTACTGAAGATGGTAAGAAACTGTGGCCAAATTTATGGTACAAAAAAAACAAGGTATGTTCTTTAGTAGGACGAATTTTGTTACCGCCATCTTAGTTCGATTTTTAGATTAAATTTTCGAAAATTTTGAATATCACACGTAAAAAACGATTTAAGTCACAATATTAACATTAATAATAATATTATTAATGAAAAAAAAAACATTTTATATGTTTTTTCAATCAAATAAAAGATATTTTTTTAAAGTAAATAATATTTACTAAATACCAAATAAAATATATGAAATGCTAAGAAAAATTTAATTTGTTTTTAGGTTAAATGTTTTAAATAATGGGTTTTCAAATAAAATATCTTGTTTTAAAGCCATTTATAAGTCAAATGTTTTCAATAAAATAAAATATCTTGTTTTAAAACAAATATAAAGAATGAAATGAAAAGTGTCAATTCAACATTAACATTGCAAGAAAACTGTAAACAACATATTTTTTCTAAATTTATTTTTTACAAAATTGTATTTACAAAGAGTTTCTGTTATGGACTGGAATAAAGATTTAATTTCGTTTTTCCAATTTTATTTTAATTTCTACAAAGTACTTGATTTCTCCTTTGATATATCAGCTGTTAAGTGTAAAGTTGGAACTGTATCTACTTTTAAAAACTTTTCTATAGGAATGTAGTTTGTATGTTTTTTCAATCCTTCTTATAGCAACTTTTTTCAAAGCAAATGGAACAAATACAAGCTACAAAATATCAACCTAAATTATTTTTTTATTTATATATCTGTCACAGATAGTCTGTGCATACAAAAGGAAGGTAGGTACCTCTAAAAAAACTACTGCCATTTAATTGTTTTTAAAATAAATCTACTTACTATTCTTAACATTAATTTTTTCAAGCCCATACTAAGAAAATGTATTGTATTTACAGGTTGTTTTATTTTGGCATTGTTTTTACAGACTTTCACTTGGCAGGTAGACATTTTTTACAATCACAAAACTTAAAAATAGCTTAAAAACAACTCGCATCAAAATGTAAAAAACAAATGCTCAAGAACATATCTTGTTTTTTGTACCATGGCCAAATTATTATTCCCCCTAATAAATTGTTGTTTTTATAGTTTTTACTGGCCCTAGCGCAGGAGATATGTTTATGTGGATGCCAAAGGAGCATTTGTATGTTCTTGTTTACTTAGTGACTGTAATGCACAGTATGCAGGCTGGTTATATGGAAAAAGCTCAAAAATATACGGACAAAGCCTTGATGCAAATAGAAAAATTAAAAAGTAACCTCCAAAAAATACAAATACAAAAATAACAACAATTATTAATTTTAGTTGTTGATAATAAGCCAATTCTATCTGTATTCCAACTGATGCTCCTGGAGCATATAATCATGTGCCGGCTGGTGATGGGCAACAAAACCCAGGCTCTCCAGGAAATATCCGCGGCCTCAAATTTGTGCAGGCAGTGCCCCAAACTGTTACTCAGACACGGGCCCCAACTGCACACCCTTTTGGGCCTCTATTCCATGAGCATGAACTGCATGGAGGCTGCAGAGGCTCAATTCATGACTGCCCTAAATGCAAGTGTTTTTTTTTAAATAATACGCTAAAGAAGTATCGCTGGTAGCGCCACCACTCGGCTGTCAGTACAACTTTTGATAATCAGCTGTCAAACGCTTGTTTTTGAGAATAAAGCCGGAATATGTTAAAAAATATAGAAAAAAAAACCGTGGCACGATTTGTTGTGTTGTTGGGTGTATTTCGAGAGGAAATCCTGGGTTAAGTTTTTACCGGTTTTCCAATAAACAGTGTTAATCCGAATGGAGAAATAAATTTCATCTATTAGATACAATAAATACACATTTTGGTAGTGATTAACGTGAAAAGGGTAAACATTTCAATTCAGTAAAAATCGTCAAACAAATAAGTCGTCTAAATTTAAACAGCATTTAGCATTATTAAAAGCTTTGATTAAGAATTCTTTAAAGTCTCCACTCAACGGTAAAATACCATAATATTATGTATTATATATAATATTATGTTGCCATGAATTCATAGGTATATTTTGTTGTTTAAAATGCAGTTGTCGGCGTTTTTTAGAGAACTCAAACATAAAAATGGTTGATTTTAAGGTTATGTTTGTGCAAAAATTATTTTTTACTAATTTCTTAAAAATGTCCAAACTTAAATATAAATTGTATTAGGTAAAGTTATCATTAGTTAATTCTGCGCCAACAAATGTACTTACCGAATTGGATCCTTTGGCAAAACATGAAAATGCAACGATTTAATTCTTGAATTTTATTTACAATTAAAAACGCAATAATTCACCATGATCCCTTAGATAAAATACACACACTAACGTAACTATATAAGCATTTAAGCGTTGAGTTTCTTAATCAATGATGTAAAGAATAATCAATCGAAATCGAGTACTCAACCAGTTTTTTGGTTATTTCCTTGCAACGTAAAACACAAATAACGTGCGCGATTTAGCGATTTAGATTAGTTCGTGTGCTTTAAATGTATTGTTGACAATTCTTAAATTCACGCAATGCTTTTGAAGTCCACCAGATGGCGCGCGCGTTGCGAAAACCCGATACTTCTTTAGAGGCGTAGAAAGGGTAATTTGTGTTTATTTTAGACTTCGCAAGATAGAGAGTTGTGGACTTTCGCCAATTTGAATTTGGCTATCGTGTACTTAAGAGGCAAAAGGGAGAACGATTTTAATGCTTTACACGACCGGATTAATCCGGAAAGTTTGCCGTCGCATTCGCACAGTTTAAGAGCCGCTGCTTACTACGTGCAAGGCTTGCAAGCGTTTTTCCAAGGCAAATACAACGAAGCAAAGTAATTTGAGTTTGATTTGAAAAGAAAAATGTTTAATACTTTTTTGTAGGAGATATTTAAGGGAAACACTCAAAATGGCGAATTCCGAGGATTTAAATAGACTGACATCGTGTTCTTTGGTGCTTTTGGGACACATATTTTTATCTTTAGGCAATAGTAGGGAAAGTATGAACATGGTTACGCCAGCAATGCAGCTGGCCAGCAAAATACCGGATGTTCATGTACAACTTTGGGCCTCTGCAATTTTAAAAGGTATTTTTATCCGACATAATATTATTACACTTTTTGGCGGCCATTTTGCCACAGGTTGGCCAACAATTTTTTAGGGGAATTTGGGTGCACTGATTCTTAAAGGGTATTTCCACGAAACCTTACCCCACCTTGACAAAAATCAGATGTGTTATTTAACAAAATAACAACTATATCTGAAGTCAAATAGTTTAATTGCGACGTAATTTATAACCTTAAAATATTTGTACATTGTGATGCTAAGAAGCTAACATTAAGAATAAACACGGAAGAGTTTCAATACTCGGTAAAATGTTCAAATGTCGCACCCGTTACATTTTGTGAAAATTTTAGAAAATATAGTATGCAATTTTTGTGCGTTTAAAATACGTGCTTGTTTACTATCTGCTTTCATCCAAAATTTTACTGTATCAACTTGGTCGTCTTTTAGTTTGAGTTAAATACTTAATTTTTCATACTATTTTTGTATATGAACAACACTTTATTATCATTTTTAGTGTCGCACCCGTTACAATGGAAATACCCAAAAGTAACCATAATTTTGCTTTGTTTACAATATATATATATTTTTAATCAAATATTTTAACCAAGGTTCATTGGTCATAAAGTCCTAATTTAACGGAAAATAATAAATTATACACATTCATAAAGAAAGTCCCTTTAAAAAAATTTTACGAAATAAAATCGTTTTGTACTTAAAAAATTACCCACCCAAAACAACCAATATATTAAAATACTTAAAAACTGTTAAGGTAAGGTGTAACGGAAAATTATTAAAAAAAATATTTTCCCAAAGAATTTTTTGTGATACGCCACTGGTTACACAGATACCAACCAACACAGTAGCTGCGCGTTTTCCAGTTGTAAAAGAATGTTACTAAAAAATTTTCTTGCAAAAAATAAATAAAAACTCAATAAATTCAAAAGTTGTATGCCCTTAAAGCTCTAATACCCTTCTGTATTTATTTACTCATCTAGCTATTAGCTTAAGCAATCATCAGAAAATTTAGTACCTATTTTAAAAAGTCCATAACCACAAAATTAATTTTTTCATCGTTTTTTTTCTTTCTGTTTACTATTAGGACAAGTTCACAGTTTAAACTTTAATTATTCAATTTGTGTAAAGATATTTACAATTTGAGCACATAACCTAAAATTTCAAAGAAATGCACTAGATTCTGTCATAAGTTGCCAGATTTTGTTTAAATTTACCTGTATTGCAAAAATTACATAATCAACAATTAATAAAACGCCAAATTAACATTTGCATTGTTGATTTTGTCATTTTTGTAATTAATACATTAAATTAGGCAACCAGATTAGCCTAAAGTTCCGGGTCGATCAGGGGCGTACTTTTTAGTAGGATAAAGGTTATTATAAATTAGTATCTTTGGAATAAAAAAAAAAGTTTCAGGCCCATAAGGAAGTACCCATTTTAATTTATTACATTAATATTTGTATTAAAACATTACAAGGAAAGCTTTAGTTAAAAATGCCATTAAGCCATGATTTTTAGTAGGCGCGAAAACTTTTTTGATTTATTTTTATCCTAAATATAAATTTTGACACGCGTTTTTTTGGGCGCCGTTTTGGCAATTTTGTAACGTTGAAATTTTAACACAATAAATAAAGTAGATAAATGAAGGTGAACAATTTTGTAAATTTTATTAAAATCGGACAAAAATTGTTCGCGTTACTGCACTTTGAACTTTGAAAATTGCCAAAAAAGTTGTGGCAAATACAAAGTTTATTTTTGCCGACCTGTGTTGCCATATCTAAAGCTGTTTTTGTTGCAGATTTGTACAGGATTTGTAACGACTCGGCAAGGGAAAACGAAGCCTTCCAACGTCACGTGAACTTTTCCAACATGCTGTTAAACGATCACTTTACAGCTTCGCAAATGCAGGAGCACAACTTGATTATGTGGACTCAGGGTAATTTTCCGGTCAATACGCCAGCGATAGCTGCTAGCACATCGAACGTAATGTGCAACAACCTTTAAAGTCGCGAGACGGTCTTAAATTATTTTTGTACTAATACTATAGTTTAATATAATATTTTAATACCTTTATTCATTTGTTTTTTAATAATAAAATACCTACCTTATCTTATTTTCGTTTTAATACAAAGAGTTTTTATAAAAAACATTTATTGAAAGTTTTGGAATGTCCTTATAATATACAGGTAAAACCATATAATTCTCTTAACAAATCATTATTTCTTTGAATATCACAGATGCATTATATGGCTCAACTAGGAAAACAACTAAAATATCTATCATATAAAAAACTAAACGTAACTTGTCAATCTTATAACATTAACATGCTTTTAAAACAAAACAAACAATATCATTCATTTATAAATAACGAACAGAACGCAAACATGATAATAAACCTAAAAAGTATTTCGCGAGATTCTTCTTTAAAAATAATGCGTAACGACAAGTATGTAGCAGTGCACGTGAAATATTCCCTTCACCAGTCGTCTTCCAGCTCTTCGGCGGGCTGCTTCGAGAAGTTCTGCGCCTGCCCGTAGTCGTCGCCTCGGATGTCCCTGCCGCCGAAATTGTCCGACGCGCCGCCGCCGTAACCGCCGCCGCTCAAAAAGTCCGGAACCTAAATTAACACGTCGCAAAATAAGATTGCAACGTCCACATTTTGGCCAAGAACGAACAAAAATCACCCAAACATGATCATTTTAGAATGGGGTAGTTAAATTTTTTCCGCCCTATACTTTTCATGGTTTTATTCAAGGCGTTTTGTAATTTTAAACATTTCCGTGAAACCGGAATTTCAATTGAGTTTACCGTTTTCGAGATATTTACAAAAAAAATCTCCTATTACGTCACTAGGCTATTGACAACCTTGCCAGCTTTTTCTATGGTTGCCAGTGTGTTTAGTTTAAGATTCTTACGATAGATGGCGCCACGTTATAATATTTTAGTTTTAAAACCACTTGATCTATAATTTTAGTTGAGAAGAAGAAGAATTGATTTTTTGACGTTTCTTTTTTTCGGGTTGTTTTTTTAAATTCAGATTATTGAAAATCAATGTTATTGTTATGTTATTTGTAATTGATATTAGATAAGTGATTTATTAATAACGGACTCCAAAGCAGAAGAATCTTGTGGAATGGTTGGTTACATTGAACATTGGAGCTTTTAAACAAATAAAGTAAGTACCTATAATTATAATCATATTTTGTCGTAAATGCATTTCATTAGTATAAAGCCTAGTTCTTTATATTCTTTTAGATATATCTTAAAATTTACTCTAGAGCGTGGTATCTTTGAACAGTCCATCCAGGGATGCAAGTTTTATAAAAACTATAGTTTTATAAAAACTATACACAAATATCATAAATACCATTGTTAACTTACATTTACTGTTATTTTTTGTAAATTTATTTCATTCATTTTCAGCTTTATTTTGACACTTTTTTCTATGAAATATATTAAACTCTGCTTTAGACAGTTATTAGGTACCTATTTATTACATTTTATTAGGTTTCACACGGTGTTTCAATGTGTAAACCTATCAATAAAACTTTTAATTTCAGAATTTTCTTTAACCTCCTCTTCTTCTTCTTTCACTCAACTGACAGTGACAGTATTTGTACATAACCTCTTCGGGTATTTTCTGACATAACCGAATGAAATCGTTAACAAGACAACTTGACAACAGGGTAATTTTCAACCAATAGAAATCTTAGAATGTTGGTCACATGGCGAGGTTTGTGACGTCATAAAAATTTATATTTTTTGTAAATATCTCGAAAACGGTAAACTCAATTGAAATTCCGATTTCACAGAAATGTTTAATATTTCAAAACGCCTTGAATAAAACCATAAAAAGCATAGGTCAGAAAAAATTTAACTACCCCATTGATAACATTGAAGACGTTGGACGCTTTACAATTGTAAAAAGGTACAAAAAATAAATCTTTCCGAAAGATGGCCATTACGGAAGACGATACTCCTTTAGAGAGTTGTGTCAAAGTCGACGCTTTTACACTACAAAAACAGCATGTAGGAATTTACAAAATATTAGGAGTTTCACAAAATAAAACGATTTGCTGAACAATCAATTATCAAGAAAAATAAAATTTCGAAGCAGCTTTTCAAATCAATGGACGATGATTCTTTAAAATCATCCTCAAGTGATGGAGATTGGAAAGAAAAGTTGCAGAAACTGTCGACGAAAAACCTAAACGTAAACACGGTGCTGTTCTGAGAGGTGATTTTTGGACTTTCTGTGAAGCCTAATTTTTTTTATATTCTTGTTAATTAGGTCATAACTAAAATTTTAAGAGCAAAATAAAAAACAATGACGGTTAATTTTGTTTTAATTGGATGTTTATTAAAAATATGTATGCACACTTTCAATTCTCCAATTAAAACTTGCGATTTTATTTAAATATTATCATAACTTTTTAAATCAGATTAAAGATTAGTTAATTTCCTAAAAAAAGATATATACATTTTTTATATCTTTTACTGATTCGTTGTAATACACGTTTATTAAACAATAATTCTAAGGGTGCCACATTTTATTTAGGGCCGATTTATTTGGATACTAGATATTGCCAAGACATGAAAGTTATCGGCCCGATAAACTTTACTAAAGATGAATAAACCGGTCCTTAGTTAAATTTCATGAATTTCTCCGTAACTTTTACTACAATTTTTCATTTTTGTTTATAAAAAACACTTTAAAAAACTAAACAAAAATTATAGAATACGTATACTGAAAATGACAATTCAAACGTCAAATAAATTTTTAATAGATCTAAGTTTCATGGCAACCTTTAAGGATGTATTAATTAACGGAACATAAATGTATACGTCAAAGGTTAGATTAAAAGTTTGAACGTTTATTGCAACAAAACAGTAAAATATATAAAAAAAATTGTAAAAACATATTTTTTTAGTTATGCAAATATTAAATATTTAAATAAAATCGCAAGTTTTAATTGGAGAATTGAAAGTGTGCATACATATTTTTAATAAACAGCCAATTAAAACAAAATTAACCGTCAAATTTTTTTTATTTTGCTCTTAAAATTTTAGTTATGACCTAATTAACAAGAATATAAAAAAAAATTAGGTATCACAGAAAGTCCAAAAATCACCTCTCAGAACAGCACCGTGAAACTTTAGTTGTTATTAATTGGAACTTACCTCTTGCCCAGCTTGCTTGAGGATGGTGCCGAGGTCGCCGGTGAGGTTGCCGTCGTTGGAGGAGTCGTAGAAGCTGGTCGCCTTGCCGCGGTTGCCCACCCGGCCGGTACGGCCGATGCGGTGCACGTACTCGTCGATGCTCTTGGGCAGGTCGTAGTTGATCACGTGCTGCACGCCCTCGATGTCGAGGCCGCGCGCGGCCACGCCTGTAGCCACCAGCACGTTGCGGATGCCCTTCTTGAAGTCCCACAGCGCCTGCTCGCGCTCGCGCTGCAAACGGTCGCCGTGGATGCTCGTGGACTGAATGTCGTTCTCGCTGAGCAAAGTCGCGAGGAAGTCGGCATTCCGTTTCGTTTCGACGAACACGACGGTTTTTTCTTTGCCGTTCACTAAAACGTTTTTACTCGTAGTCAAGTGCGTTCTCAATACAAATAATACTAAATTTAGTTTTTTTTTCGATTTTATCAAATTACTTTGGAAAAAACAAACGTTTTTGCACAAAATTTGATATTCGGTGGTTTTTCAAGTCGCGAATGTAGGTTAGCGACACTTTGCATACGTTTAAATTGTCACATCTTTATGCGCCTTAGTGTATTCACGTTTTTAATAAAAATATTACCTTTTTATGTTTAAATAATTTTTTTTAAGAAATTTTATTTTCCAGTCCTAAAAACCCCAAAAAATCAAATAATGTTGCAAAAATATGTGGTATCATTTTGTACAGCCAGTCAGGGATAAATGGAAAATAGAGCAAAAAATAAAAAATAGAGTCAAAACAAAAAAAAAATTCTCAAAAAACCTAAAAATTTCCTTAACAAATCAAATATTACAATAAAAAATATATACAGGGTGAGTTTTAAGTTGACGCGTTCCTTTTAACAGCTTGTAGAAATCACATAGACAAATAAATATTTTAAGTAAGTAACTTTTTTAACAAAACTCCAAAATTTTTGAACTATTTCTGTTACAGTAGGCATTGCTAAATGTGTCATTTTGGTTTAAATGGTTGTGTTTGTTGTCATAGTTTATCATGTTTATTTTATTTTTCGGTTATATTTTTTGTTAACAATAGCCAGGACCGGCTCAAAATTTAATTAAACTTTGAAGGGCTATAACTCTCTTATTTTTGAGTTTTGATAAAAAAGTTATTTAAAATATTTATTTGTCTATCTGATTTCTACACGCTGTTAAAAGGAACGCGCCAACTTAAAACTCACCCTGTATATTTATTAGGGTGATTAAAAAAATCGAATATTTTGTTTAACTTCCAACACTAAAAAATTGGTTCTTAGGCACCTCTATAAAGTGCTCACAAAATTTGTGCTCTTAATATTAATAGAAAGATCCTCATCAGTTTTCCATTTTTTCTTTAGTTCCGTATAAAAAAGACCGTATTTCATTATTAATCAATTGTTTAATCAAATCTTTATACATATTTTTATAGGAAATTGAATGCTCTGATCTGTTTAAGCGATTACTACTCTACCCATTTAAAAGATGTTCCAAGATCAAAGTTTTGAGAATTTATTAATAAAAAAATTATTTTTGTAATTTTGTAACTTATTGAAAATTAATCCTTGTCAAATAAGTATGACATATTTTTGTACAAAATGTAACGCTGTACAAAAAAGGTCTGATGTGTTTAATTGATTACTCCAACCATTGAGAAGATATTCGTATCCGAATCCCAATGCGTACTAAACGAATATCTTCTCAACGGTCAAAGTAATCAATTAAACAAATCAGCCCTTTTTTGTAGAGCGTTAAATTTTCTACAAAATATGTCATACTCATTTGACAATAATTATTTTTCAATGAGTTGCAAAATTATTATAAAAAAAAAACAAAATTTAATAAATTCTTTAAACTTTGATCTTGAATATCTTTTAAATGGTAGGAGTAATCACTTAAACACATCAGTCCTTTTTTGTAGAGAATTCAATTTCCTACAAAAATGTGTATAAAGATTTGATTTAACGATTGATTCATAATGAAATAAGGGACGAAAGAAAAAATGAAAAACTGTGATGAGGATCTTCCTATTAAAATTAGGAGCTCAAATTTGATGAGCATTTTCTAGAATGTGATGCCACTTAGTTAGATTATATTCTTCCAAACTTCATACTGATTTTCAAAACTTTTTCTGTAATTTAACATGGGCAAGTTTGTGTTAAAATTTTATCATTGTCAGCAATGGTATTTTTTTCAAAGCTTAATTTCAAGGACAAATGGAAAATAGCGCAAAAATAAAAAACAGAGACAAAACATAAAAAATTCTCTAAAAAATTCCCTTAACATATAAAAAATTTCCTAAAAAAATTAAAATCAATTTTTATTTATGTATGTGTTTTATGTTATAAATTTATTTAACATCAGATATAATATAATACTGTATATGTAAAACAGCAGTTTCTTTATGGTATTCTATTTAATACTACTATTTACGATTTGATTTGCAAAACTTTTTCTGTAATTTAACATTGGCAAAGTTTATGTTAAAATGTATTTGTCGTTTTTTTCAAAGCTTAATCTTTCTAAATCTGACATTTTGCTATTACAAAAGTAAAATCTTTAATACTTTCTATTAAAATTAAATACGTCCTGAACATGTTATGTCCCTTCTGTCCGCCCTCTTCGTACTCCTATGAAAGAGTGGCAGATAATGTGCAATTGTCAATTGTTAGTTGACCATTGTTTTGTTAAAAAAACTGGTTTTTGAAAAATAGCTGGAAAATGTGTGTACATTTTATCTGTACCTATTTCCTGTCAATTGGCAACATTTACTTCTACATATTGAAAGTTTTGATAATTTTAAATATCAAATTTATACAGTCTAGGAAATGTCAGTGAAAAAAAATACAAATCAATTTTAAGTCTGGTATTCAAAAAAATTAGAGGTTCAAAATAATTTTTAAGGGGTTTTGCAATCCGTGAAGACAACAAAATAAATTCTGTTCAAAAAGGATGAAATTTAAAAACAAACAAATACCCATACAGGAAATAATAAATACGCAGGTTAAAAATGATTTTTTTTTATAATTCTGCCTCTGTGGCGGCAACAAAACAGTCGTTTTTACCTAGATCTAGGGAGATTTCCACACCAATGGCAACACTGAATTCCGAATATTTAGATTTGAATGCAATTTTGTGACTTGTATTCAAATAAAAATTCGCTGATAAATAAAGAGAATACAAATTGAAATAATAACTTACCTTCTTTGAGCATATTGATCAGTTTGTCCTTCTTTTCAAATCTACCAACTTGGTGGAATATCTGTTCGACATCAGTGGAAGCACTTCCCACTATACCAACTGTCACAAAGATATAGTTACTTAGGAATTTTCCGGCCAGGTGCTGAATTTCTTCGGGGAACGTCGCGGAGAACATAAGAGTCTGCCTTTCACCCTAAAATAAGATATTAGTGTTAATATACAAATAAAAACACTGATTTAAAGTTTCACTGTTTTTTAACAGGTATTTGAAAAAATACGTGTTGTATAAACATTATACCTGACGGCTTTAATTAAACTTACACAATTTTGGAAATACTATGGATTTTTGGAGTCCTATTTATATAATTTTACATAAATATTATTTTTAGTATACATTCTAAAATGAATTTAGCAAAGGAAAGTTGTTGGTTTCAATTTGATCATTAAGAACAATATTCGATTTTTCTTTAGTTTATTAATTTCCAAAGACTCCAGAAGATTTAGTTTGGTTCCTTTATTGGCTACATGTAATATTCTAAAGTTTAAATTTGTGGTTCTCTTGTATTAAATGAAGACCATTTGTTGCAATAATTATGGCCAATACTGTATATATTTACTGGCTAAAAAATGGATCGTTTTTTTTTCAGAAACATCTTTAATCATTGCTTATAAGTATCGATATAAATCGTTATCATTCGAACCCTGATTTATAATTAATAATGTTAAATAATGATAATACTTACAGTTGCGGGCATGGAAGCGTTCCCGAGCATCTCCTCTACGGTCGGCAGGAAACCCATGTCCAACATGCGGTCGGCCTCGTCCAAAACGACGTACTGACACGAGGCGAAGGAAACGTGCCCGCGCTTAACGAAATCGTTGAGTCGGCCCGGCGTGGCCACCAAAATGTGGCACCCGGCGAGCACCTGGTTCTTCTGGTGCGACACCGAAGTACCCCCGTACGCAACCACTGCCCTCACGATGGAATTGTACGCGAATTTTTTCGCCTGCTCGTGTATCTGCATGGCGAGCTCTCTGGTGGGCGATACGATCACCACGTTGGGCTGCGCGCCGCACTCGTCCGTCACGGGCGCCTCGTTGGCGGTGAGGAGCTTGTTTATGATGGGCAGGAGGAAGGCGGCCGTCTTGCCCGAGCCGGTCTGCGCGCACGCCATCAGATCGCGGCCGGCCATGATTATCGGGATCGCGTACTTTTGGATGGGCGTGGGTTTCGCGTAGCCGGACTTTTTCACGTTTTCCAGCAGGAAGGGGCGCATGCCGGACGATTCGAACGAGTTTATGGGCGCGGGGGGTGTTTCGCCGGTCACTTCCACCTTGATGTCGTCCAGTTTTATGAAGTTTACACCTAAGATTGTTTATACGTTGAAGAATCTTAAAATATGATTTGGACAATTTTTTTTTAGTTTCTAAGGAGGTTCGAGAACGATATTAGTCGCCATGAGAAATTGTTGAAAAGCTTAAACTTGACCGTCTGGTTTCCGAGTAAAAAATTATTATGTTATCATTTATTATTGCTAAACTGCGTTGTGAATAGGGTTTTAAAGTGTCGAAAAAAAAACGGAAAAATTGTCTTTTTTGAGAAAAACTGTTAAAATATGTTGCATTTATGTGTTGATTATTTCCACATCTGCTTGACTGCAAAAGGAACATTTTGGGTGGTCACTTTCTTTGAATGTTTAGCATATGGTTTTTGTCACATATTACTAGTGTAAGAAATACTTTAGGGTATATTTTTATTAGACTGGGCCAAAAAAATCAACTATTTTTTTTTTGAAAAGTTTATCGAAAATATGGTTTGGGGTGACAAAAAAAAATTATTGTGAAAGTTTGAGTCCATAATATTATTATTAAGAGGTCTATCATCGCAATTTTAATTTTTTTTTCTTAAGCAAGTTTTAGGCTCAGAACTCCCAAACCATTCAGTTTAACAAAATTGACTTGAAAATTTTTTTAAGAAAATTAAATGCTTTACAAAAAGGTTTGATTAGAATTTCCCATCAGATGAACCGTTTTCTTACAATCATGCCTTAAAAATTGGTATAGTTTTACATTTTGATCTTTTAAATTGGAATTTTGTAATTCATGTAAAAATCGGTACCCATAAAAAACCGATAAATATTCTTAAGGGAAATCAAATGCTTTACAAAAAAAGCCTCTTAACATTTTTGGCTAAATTCACTCGATCAAAAGTTATTCAAGGTTAAAATTTCGTTTTGACTTCAAATTTAACCTTGAATAACTTTTGATGGAGTGAATTTAGCCAAAAATGATAAAAGACTTTTTTTGTAGAGCATTTGATTTCCCATAAGAATATTTTTCGTTTTTTTTTCAGCGTACTGATTTTTACATTAATTACAAAATTCCAAAGTTAAAAGATCTAATTGTAAAATTAAACCAATTTTTAAGGCACGATTGTAAGAAAACGGTTCATCTGAAGGAAAATTCCAATTAAACCTTGTAGAGCATTCAATTTTCTTCAAAAAATATTCTTAAGTCAATTTTGTTAAACTCAATGGTTTGGGAGTTGGGAGCCTAAAACTTGCTGAGGAACAAAAAAATTAAAAATGCGATGATACGACCTCTTAATATTAATATTATGGACTCAAACTCAGCATAATTTTTCACCCCAAAAAATATTTTTGATATACCTACTTTCCAAAAAAAAAATAGTCGATTTTTTTGGCCCAGTCTAATAAACATACATTGATTTCGCTCTGAGCTAGTTGAATTATTAATTTATTCCAATAAATATTTAACAAAAACAATTATTTTTTTGTAGAAAAGTGTACACTTTTCAATAAATTAGCAATCAACAACTTAAAATTATTTCAATTAATTTAAAAAATATCCATTACTACAGAAAAAAAATCAAATATCCAATAACAAAATAATGAAAGATTTATAACGGTAAATTACAAAATTATAATAATGAATGGATAATGTGTACAGGGGCATTAATCATCAATTATTACTTAAAAGTTTTTCACAACAAGATTGACTGTTCTGATATCTTATTTATGTTTAATCTAGATGTTTCTAGACTTAATTCTCGTAATAGTAATATGTTTTATTGCAATAAAGCTCCTGCTGCAATGTTAGCATACTCACCATTTCATGTTAAAACTAACAACTACTATTTTTACGTTTTTGTGTTAAAATATTTATGTATAGTGTGCCTTTTGTATTAAAATAACCTGAACCTCCTTAAGAAATACGTTTTGAGCCTTGTAAAATCTAATTTCCGATGATTTTTATTAAAAAAAATTATACATATTAATATTTTTATTATTATTATTAACACTAACCTGAAGTGATGGTGGTGGTGGTGAAAAGATCATCGTCGGTGGTCCTTTCGACAGGGACGTAAATCTCCCTCTTCTTTTCCTCCCCGTTTTCTCCATTCTCGCCGCCGAAACCGCCGCCGCCGCCGTCTCTATCGCCGAATCCGCCGCCGCCTCCTCGGCCCCGCCCCCCTCTGCCGCCTCCGCGTCCTCGACCGCGGCCTTCCCCGTCGCCGCCGCTGTCGCCCCAACTATCGCCGCCGCCGCCGCCGTTATCGTTGCCCCAGCCGCCCCCGCCGCCGTTGCTTTCCTTGTCGTTTCCCCAGCCGCCGCCGCCCCCGCGGCCGCCGCCGTCTCTATCCCGGCCGCCCCTTCCACCTCCCCGACCTAAGTGAGTAAAATAGTCATTAGGTTAATAAGTAAGGCTTTTTGTGCTAAGCTCAATTAAGCGAAGCACAAAAAGGCACTTCTTGGCCGAATGGCATACGACATTTTATCTTCTAAAGCACTTTATATAGGTCAATTTAATTCAACATCAAAGCGGCCTAACCTCACTTTTTTAGAATCTCATTCATTTATTAGCTAAAGATAACATTAAATGTACAATAATTATTATTGCTTTTAGAAGCACTAATAGTTTGGCAATACCTAGCAACATGATTTAAGTAGAAATGGATTTTTCCTATTACATTGAATTCAATTAATTGTTTAATAAATAGGTAGGTAGTTTGGAATGTTTAAGCTGTGTTTAACATTTAATTTCACTGAAAACTTAAAGCAAATTAAAACTTAAAGATAATTTAAATCGTAGAAAAAGAATCGTGCGTTTTCTTGGTTGCCTAACCTCACTTTTTGTTTTATTATTCCTATTTAATTTTACAATAATGTAATGAAAAATATTAAACATTAACAGTAAAACAAACAAATTAGTGCTTATTATAAATAAATTAAACCAGTTTAGTACGTTAATTTCTTAGAAAAGGATTAATTTGTCAAAACAATACCCCTAGCGAGAAAAAAGTCGAACTAATTACTTGCCTCATAAAATTTTTTATCGGCCTAGGCTATAACAAGGTATTTCTTTATCGAATGTTGACAACAATAAAGTTTAAATTATAGACCGCGTGGAGATAATAATTTTTATTACTTTTTACTACTCCCCCCATGTTAATCTTTGACCAACAGTTTTTTAAAAACAATGGAATTTTGACTGGGTATATTTATGAATCCTTATTGTTTTTATATAAAAATCCAAATATTTTTAAAATTGTTAAAACAAAATCTACTACAATATTCCTCCACATAGACTGAGTCTATATGAGGAAGGACCCTTATATTCTTGTATATCTTTTATAATAAACTTCCAGAAGATATAAAAATCATAAAAACAATACAATTTTTAAAAGCACCCTTTATGATTATATTTGTGATTATACTATGTAAATTTTCGGCTGTGTTAAGTTATAAATTTTGAGTTTAAAATGTATCAATTTAAATTTGTTAAAAATAAAAGTTATTGATTTAAATTTCTCAAGAGTCATTAAAATGATAGTAGATACATTTTTAACCCAAAAATACCACTTTAAAATTTAAAACTAACATTTAAAAGTAATGTGAGAATGTTTGTATTAAAAATTTATCGACTATCATTTAAATGACCAATTTAAACTAATAATTTTGTTGAATATAATATTAAAATTACAATTTTTAAACTTAAATTTTTACATTTGCATTTTTTTTAAATATTTTTGATAATAAATTGTTTTGAGTTTAAAACAAATTAAATTTTTAAACTATTTTGATAGAAAAAGGTTTGGATGTGTTTTTATTTTATTTTTAAGTACTAAAAAATTTAACTTTACGAATTTAATATAAATAATTTTATAAAATACTTATTTAAGATTTACAAAATTCTGCAGAAATAAATTAAGTAGAGAAATTATTATTATTAATATTTTTTTGCAAAAATTGATTGAAAATAATATTCTTTAATACAGAAATGAACTGTTGGTAAATTTTGTCCAATACATGATTGTTGAAAATATTTTAAATTTATAAATGTACCTAAACCTAAAATTTTAAACCAATAAAATTTTAAATCAAAAAAATAATAATTCTACGACCACTATGTAAAAGTTGCTTAGAAAATAAATCTTTTCATTGGCAATACAAAACACGAATGTAAAGTGACATTTCTGTGTGAAAAGTGACAGGTCTGTGTAAAAAGAAATTGACAGCATCGTTTGACATTCAGCTGTCAAAAAAGTTTTTAGGTTATTTTGTTTTTTATTTAAAAACAATAAAAAAAAAAAGGGTCGGAAAAAATATTGTGTTATACTTGTGAGAAAAGCTTTCTTCAAGCTCGTGTTAATGCACACTCGGCCTAACGGCCTCGTGGGCAACTTAAAAAGTCGCTTTTCAACACTTGTAAAACAAATAACTATTATCTACTCCTACATTGACGAGCTGTCCCTTTATGGCGTTTTATTGACGGGCTGAAGTTAGCTTTATTATAAATTGGGAAAAAGTGAGGTTAAATTCGGGTGACAGTTGACAGATGTCAAAATTTTAACAAATAAAATTGGCTTTAAATTCTGTTTTGTGTTCGTCGTAGATAAAGTATATATATCTCTGGTATAGTATGCAACTCGTTTATAAACTTCTCTAGACACTCGTTTTTATTAAACACTCGCTCGCAAGCTTCGCTCGTGCTTAATTAAACTCGTAACTAAAATGGCGTTTATAAAACTTGATACATAATATACTATTAATAAATGTTAAAACGGCGTGTCATAAAAATAGCGTTTATCACACATAGGGGTCTATTCTGTAACTTTTTAGTTATAAATAACCAAGGGTTATATCATATAGACTGGTTAAAATCTCTAGAGCGATTCTGTAACTTCGTATTTGGTTTAAAATTTAACCCGATGCCGATATAACCATGGTTATTCAGAAATGTATATCGTGAGGTATATTAGTAGGCGATAAAAATAACTTTTGAGTTATAATTTCGATTTAAATAAAAACACTTTCAAAGGTGCATTATAAGAATAATTTCCTTTACAAATTATTACAAATGGCTGCAGTACTAAACTTTTTTGCTATTAATTACATAAATGAAAGAGACAGGAGAAGACGGTAAACTATTTCATTCCCTAGAACCCTGAGTATTTTTTTTTGATTTAGTAATGCGGCACGAATAATGAATCGCAATTTACGTGATACAAGTGAAATAATAAGTAGGTATTCTAACTAAAATAATATATTTTAATAAAAAATAATATACATATTCAAACTTTAAATAAAAAAAAACATAAAAAAATAGATATTTTAATAAAAATTAAAAATCATTTAAAAATAAAAGGTACACATAAAAAAAACTTTTTCAGTCTGGCAGCTGGTGGATTTTGAGTATACCAATATCTGAGTTATTAGACATGGGACCCACACCAAACTTTATGAGTTTATAATGGCATTGAATGGACAGGTTCTGCGTAAGCAGAATTTAAATTGAAAAAGTTAGTTTTGCACCCCCTATTTAAGATTATTCAAATTAAAGAGGTGAAATTTATAATTCACTACTGTGTCAAAATTTATTTTGAAAATCCAAGAGTATTTTATACCATTTTATTTTTTTAAATCATAATAATAAATTAATAATAATTTAAATTGGTATAAAATCTGTAAAAATCTGTAAATTAATACAGATTAAAAATGGTATAAAATCTGTAATACCTACTTATTAATAAATTTTGAAATTTTTTCAATAAACGTTGGTGAACGTGATTGAATAATCGTAATTAGGGGGCACGCTGAAAAACTAACTTTTTTCGCAAACTTCAATTTAAACTTGCGCAGAACTTGTTCATTTAATTTCAGTATAAACTTATATAAGTTTGGTGTGGTTCTAATATCTGAGATATCAGTTTAACCAAAATGCTCCAGTAGCCACAAATTGTCTTTATTATTGCCTTCTAATGGCCTTTGCAATATTATTAGGCCCCTTTGCCACTGCAAAGTTGCTGGGATAAACCATATCTTTTTTTATTCATTTTATACACTTCACCTTTGCACAGATTATAAAGAAACTACACTGACAACACTTGACATTGTCAAGTTGACAATAATAAACACGAAGTTGGCTACGCATTGTTGCCACACTAACTTTAAAATGGAAGGATTTATTTTCTTTAATTTAACATTTTCTTAATAAGATTTCATGTAAATCATAAGGATTCAATATTTCTATTAAAAATTAGGTAGTACATTTTTCCGTAAACACCTAATAAGTATAACATTTGTCAATGTTAAAGATGGTTCGTTGAAGTTCGTTGAAGTTTGTAGCTAATATCACTACGAGTTTTAACCCTGTACGATATAAAGTTAAAAATAACTGATAGTTATATTCATAACTTAGAGAATGGGAATTACAGTTAAAATTATATCGATTTGGTTATAAATAAACTTATAACCCAGCCGATAAACATAACTAAAAAGTTACAGAATAGACCCCATAGTACTATTATTATTAACATACAGTGTATTAATTTACTTAATGCACTATTGTGTTAAATTTGGAAAAAGTGAGGTTAAATCCGTTTAAAAACGTCAGATTGGTAAAAAGTGAAGTTAATTGCTTGTCAGGTAAAATGTCAAATAAAATCACTCATTTAATAAAAACTCGCCTCGCTCGTGCATAATTTGTAACACTTAACTGTATGTTTTTTAAATTTTAACGGAATGTAAAAATAAAACCAAAAAATTTTTACCAAAATAAATAATACATCACTTACCGCCTCCTCTGCCGCCGCCGCGTCTGCCCCCGTCGTCATTGTTACCGCCCCATCCGTTGTCGTTGCCGGAATCGTTGTTATTGTCGCCGCCCCAGCCGCCACCGCCGCCTCCGCGGCCGCCACCTCGTCCACCTGCGCGATTTAAGAACGTCATTTCAAAACTAACCCAAGCTCGAATTGTGGATCTTTCACAAATTGTGTTATCTCTTTAAAACATCTTGGAAATATATACACGAAAGTGTCAACCACTCGAAAATTAAATATTACTTTTCAAATAAACACATGGCGTTATTTATGGGCGTGTTTAAACCTTTTTGTGATGATTATTTGACCTGGACTAAAACAAACTTTCTTAGCAAGAAATATAGAGATAAAAAAAGTATAATTTAAAATAAATCTTTATTTTAATAAAACGTTTTGTATGCTCTAAAATATATCCATGTTTTATTACTCTAAGGTAAAGTAATGGCAGGTTTATAAAACTTTATATCATTAATTTATTTCATAATTCACAATTTGGTCTATAAGCATAAAAGTTAAATGCTATGAAACAGTTTATACAACTCACAATTTATAGTGTTTATTGAATAAACTTTTATGAAATAAATTATTAATTATAAATAAAATTGAACAGCACATGTGCCAAAAATTTTTCTCTCTCCATTTTATAAGGTTATAATTAATAATTATTGTGTTTTTTTGTCTTTGTGCCTTAAAAAATACTACAAAGTTCCTACAAAACATGAGTTTTAATGAGGGATTTTGTCTTATTTGACACTTTTAATTATCAATATTGTCATTTGAAAAAATAAAATATACATAAAATTAATGAATTGTATAAACCAGATTTTAAAGTTATGTATTATGTATTAAATAATTCATTAAATTAAGAAGTGTGTTATGAAATAAATTGTTCACCAAATTATAAAATATTGTATAAACCTAGCTTAAGATTAGATTTTATTATTTTAATATTAATTTTTTAAAACTAAATACCTAGGTAAAATACCATGAAAATTCAAACAGGGAGACAAATATAAAAAAATTACACAAATTTGTTCGATGAAGTGTGAGATTTAAGGGTTAAAATTGTTTTTATTTTGAAATTTATTTAAAGGTCTACACAAATTTAATCAATTTAAAAACTTGTACAAAACTAACCACTTTTAAGAAATTGCTCAGAAACTAGGTATGTAATGTTCCAATTTTAAATTTGTTATTTATTTGTTGTTTATTTATAATTTATTTATTGTTTATTTATAACTTTTATATCAATTTTATTTTTTTGTAAACCATGTAGCATTTTGCTAAATAAATGAATATTATTATCTTATTATAATTTTTGGAATATTTATTTATAAAACAAAACAAAATAGAAAATTAAAATTTGTTTTAAAAACAAAGATATGATTTAAAGCAAGGAGTACAAACTCAATAGGGGAAATTGACAAATTAGGTTTTCTTTTTTCACCACTAGTGGCGCTGACGTCCACTTATACCCCTCCACTGTTTTGGTAAAAACCAAAAAACAATTTAATACATTTTGTATTGTAGCCTACAATTTGTAGGAACTGTCAGAAAATACATCTGTCAACTATATGTAGAGTTGCCAGATTGTGTCAAAAACAATACCAGATATTTTGTGTGAATTTCAAAATGAACAATAATTAAGTAATGTCAAATTTACCATTAGCATTGTATTATTATTGTTGTGACATTTTTGTAATTTAGGTTAATGTACTCAAAATATTAATAATTTTTTGACAGAATCTGGTAACCCCAGCTAAATATTAATATTTAAGGTTTAAACCTTCATTAACTCATAAGCAAATCAGCAATAAAGATAATTGTTAAATGTAAACTTGATGATATATAAATTAGGTGTTTTATTCATATTTATACCCTCCCTCGCCCATTATAATGTAAACAGGGTACTGAGAAGCTAAAAACATGCCAGGCAAAATTGTTATTTTCAGCTTTAAAACTTTTATTTTTCAATATAGTTAAAGTAGTCCTACCTCTTCCTCCCCGTCCTCCTCGGCCACCTCTTCCACCTCTGAATCCATTTTCTTGGGCCGATACATCAGACCACCCATTGTCGCCATTGTTTACTGAAGACCCCCAACCACCTTCATCATCGTTAGAGGCAGCTTTGAACCCTCTGCCGGCAGAAAACTTTTTACCTCCTTCTGCTGCCACCCCGAAGCCCTAACAAACAATATTGCAAATAAAAAATAAGAATGAAAGATTTTGCAACTTTGTGTTGCAATATTCAAGGATAAGATGCCAAAGGTTGTGGTAGGTAATGTCAACTTACAGATGACTGTTGGTTGAAATCTCCTGTCGATGGTGTACCCCAGTCGTCGTCCATGATTCAGCTAAAAGTAGAAAATATTCTCTCAAACAACTCCAACAAAGGACCCTTGTTGAATGCACACGTGCTTTCGACTAATACAACAACCAAGGACACGAAAACAACACACCAAAGTCTTACCTTTATAAAATGTGATGTATCGATTATTTCGACGTCCGCGAGACGCTTTATCGAACTTGAACTAAAAAGATTTAACGTAAAACTCGATGAAAACTTGTACGGTGTTTGCCGGCACTCGCGAAGACTTCGAAAAGAACCTGTCAAGACTTTCACGCGGGAAGCGCCGAATGCTGGTAATTAGCGCGGGCAATTTGAAATTATGTTACGAATGATGGAAAAAATCACCTTGAATATGTGAAAAAACCGCTTATTAATTCGACAACAAACATGTTTTGAGAGATTATTATAATTCACTTGTCAGCAGATTTATTTTAAGTAGGACTATTTATAATTGTTTGCTTTGGATTACTTCCAAGTTGGGAGAAATACGAAAATTAGGAATGCACGGTGGGCTGGGTTGTCAAAAACCTGAAAAAAATTCAGTATACGTTGAAATATCAAAGTTTGGGATTCTGTTTTTCGCGTCGCTGATTCCAATATGATTCCAATACGAAAAAAAATAATTTAATTTGACATCGTACTGGAATCATATTGGATTTAAAAAAATACACAATGGCGTTACCACAATGTGGATTACAATATGGCTGACATTTACCTTTTTTTTAACTTGTCAAGATGTTTACGCGGTGTTCTTTGTTCAAACGGGAAGCGCTGAATACTGCAGTAATGGTAATTAGCGCGGAAATTTAAAATTAAATTACCCGATACGTCACTTTTATCGTTGACGAATTAAAAAGATGCTTCACATTAAGGTAAAATCTCCATTTGAAGAGTTTGATAAATAAATAACAATAAGCCGTGACAGCAAATTCAGCCCCTAGATATCTAGGATCATTTATAATCTGTATCTAGGACTCAGCGGTGCCAATGTAAACAACAATAAAGTGTTGTATTTTAATAAACAAATCAATATTTTATAACAAATTAAAGTATCATTAAAAATTAAAAACAACAGATAAAATAAATAAGTAACAATATAAATTGTTAATTTGTTGTTATTATGGCAAAATTAAGGTTTATAGTGTCATATTTTTGTTTCTTAAGTTGACAGCACGAAATTTAAAATGATAATTTTAAAAAGTGGTAAACAAATTGTTTTTTGACATTTTCATAAAAAATATACTGTAATAATTAATTTATCAGCCATCAACATGATTGCTTAAGTTTAAAAACAAATTTACGAAAGAATCTAACACTTGTGTAGAAGTGTTTCCTACAGATTTCCCATGGATTATTTGATTTGCATTTTGATGTTTAGGTCAGGGTCCACCCTGGTTTAGGTAATTATGTTTTCTTCTCCTATTGCATATTATTAACATATATTGACATAACGCGGGAATAATGAACTTATTATTATGCCTGCTTTAGTGACTGGCCGATTTGAATTTTTACTGTTATTTGAACCAATCAGGTATGTCAGATTTTTGATATAGGTATACGAGGGGCGACTAAAAATCGAGAGAAAGTGAGGTTATAATTGAAGTAGAGAAAGCATGGTATTAAATTTGAGATAGCGTATTATCCCTCGTATAGGTAATAATATCCCATCAATAAACTTGCTGCAAAAGAAATTTTGAGTTATGTAATTAAAATAAATTGCGAATGCATCATGATGGAAAAAACAACCTTGAATAATAATATTGTTGTTAGTTATAACATTTTGTTAAATGTTATAATTCACAGCATGCAGACCATAGACAACCATAGATAACCAAATTAATATACAGGGTGAGTCGGGAGGAAATTTCCTACTCAAGTATAAATTTTAAGGGTGTATTCTACGCATAAAAACAATGTAAAAAACTTAAAATGTTGCTATCCGATTTTGTATTTTTTTTAGATACATTAATTATTTTTTTCTTATAATATCAAGCTATAGCGTGATATACACATTTACATGTGTCAATTTGACAGATGACATGCATTTTTAAAACCTTGTATCTTGAAAACAATAAAAAAATCCGAAAACAATATTTAGGTTTTTTTATGCATCATATTTTTTACTGGGTTTAAATTGGATTAAAAAAATTGGTTGAAAACTTGAATGAAAAATTAAAAATTTGTGAAATTTGATCCTACCTGGCAACGTTGCTTTTTGACGTTTTATACGTCATATGTCATCTGTCAACTTGTCACCTGTCAAAGTGTTGCTCGATTGTCTCCTGACTTAATGAATTACTTCCAAGTTGGAAGAAAATCCGAAGAATTTGGAGCTTGTGTGTAAATGCTGAAATATATTTTATCTATTTTGCGTTCATAATGACTTCATTATAACACCGCTTTCGGTGCTGTAATGAGATACTTCATCCCACCAAAAATTTTGATTTTATAGGTTTGCTTTAAACAGCTTATTTTGCATATTGGTTTTAATATTTTTATGATTTTTCTAGTACTTACGAGACTTTTTTGGCAATAAATTTTGTTTAACACCAAAGAAAATCCTTTTTTTCTTCTTTAACATTAACAGCCGCTTATTGTAAATATGTAAATTAAGGACGGCATGGCGAATCGATTATGACATTAACTGTCAAACCAATGACTGTGATACTATCTAAAGTAAAATTCGACCAAATTAAATTTAATGTATAAAATTAATTTTTTTAAAGAATTTTTGCAAAATAAATAAAAGAGCTCATGTCATAAGACCTTTTGTCGCACTCGTCCAAACTTAACGTTTTTTTTTTTGGAAATTCGAAAAAAAAACATTTTTGACGAATTTCTGGAAAAAAATATTTTGATTGATAATCGCATTAATCAAACTATTTTTTTTAATGTTTTTATTTGCAAATTGATATATATTTATTTTTATTAAATACCTTGGAATTTCATCAAAATTGTTTCAGGAAGTCCAAGGTCAATCAAGGTAAAAAAAAATCACTTATAAAGCATGTTTGACCCAATTTTAGGAACTTTTTTACATTTACGCTGTAAAATCATCCCTTAAAATATTGGGATGGGATTTGAAGACCCCTTTATATTTGAAGATACTACAAAAACAAATGTCCAATTAGGTAATAATTTTTTTTTCATCTTTCAGTTTCCGACTGCGCCAAATTTTTTATATTGATGTTAAATTTTCCTTTCTAAAAACCATTTTTTGTATTTGATCCCTCAAAAAATGTATTTTTTTTTATAAAATAAATAGGAAGGAATTTGTAATAAATAAAAAAGTAAATCTGTCTGTAACATATATTATCCACTTTGTTACAAATAAAATAATAAAAACAAATGCTGTACAAGATGTTCGATATAATATAACATGTAGAGTGAAAAAAAATCGAAAGTTCGCTTTATAATTTATGGGTTAGTCCTTCAGACCATACAGACCTATGCTAAAGTTGCTTAATACATATTTTTAGTCGACAAGCTCAAACATTATGTACGGCATGGCAAAACATGCTAATTAAAAACTTAGCTAGAATGTTTTATTCTTAACAAAATAGTTGTCGACCAAAAATACTTAAAATCGAAGGAATATGATTACATTTAACCAGAGAAGTTGGCAATGAAGTCTTGAACGACCTTCTTCAGCTCTGCGTCGGTGGACTCGTTAATTTTGCCCTCTTTAGCGATGCTGGTGAGGATGTTTTGGTGGCTGCTCCTGTTAAGCGAAAAAAAAAAAACCGGTGTGAAAATTTGCTGAGGAAAACCCACATACTTCCACACTACGGTGATGTTCTGAGAGGAGATTTTTGGACTTTCTGTGAAACCTATTTATTTTATATTCTTGTTAATTAGGTCATAACTAAAATTTTAAGAGTAAAATAAAAAAAATTGACGGTTAATTTTGTTTTAATTGGATGTTTATTAAAAATATGTATGCACACTTTCAATTCTCCAATTAAAACTTGCGATTTTATTTAAATATTATCATAACTTTTTAAATCAGATTAAAGATTAGTTAATTTCCTAAAAAAAGGTCTATACATTTTTTATATCTTTTACTGTTTTGTTGTAATACACGTTTAAAGTTTTAATTTAAGGTTAAATGTATAGTATACATTTATTAAACAATAATTCTAAGGGTGCCAAATTTTATTTAGGGCCGATTTATTCATTTTTGATTTATTTGACAAATAATTTCTTTGGATACTAGATATTGCCAAGACATGAAAGTTATCGGCCCGATAAACTTTACTAAAGATGAATAAACCGGTCCTTAGTTAAATTTCATGAATTTCTTCGTAACTTTTACTACAATTTTTCATTTTTGTTTATAAAAAACACTTAAAAAAACTAAACAAAAATTATAGAATACGTATACTAAAAATGACAATTCAAACGACAAATAAATTTTGAATAGATCCAAGTTTCATGGCAACCTTTAAGGATATATTAATTAAGGGAACATAAATGTATACGTCAAAGGTTACATTAAAAGTTTGAACGTTTATTGCAACAAAACAGTAAAATATATAAACAAATTGTAAAAACCTTTTTTTTAGTTATGCAAATATTAAATATTTAAATTAAATCGCTAGTTTTAATTGGATAATTGAAAGAGTGCATAATATTTTTAATAAACAGCCAATTGAAACAATTCAAACCGTCAATTTTTTTTTATTTTGCTCTTAAAATTTTAGTTCTGACCTAATTAACAAGAATTTAAAAAAAATTAGGTTTCACAGAAAGTCCAAAAATCACCTCTCAGAACAGCACCGTGGGTATATGTGTGAAAATTTGCCAAGGAAAACCCCGCAAAACTTACTTGATGTGTTCGGAGAACTGCTTCTCGAAAACGGTGATCTTGGAGGGGTCGATTTTGTCCAAATGTCCCCTGACACCGCAGTAGATGATGGCCACTTGCTCTTCGATGGCCATCGGCACGTATTGGCCTTGCTTTAGCAGTTCGGTAAGACGAACGCCGCGGTTCAGCAGTTGCTGGGTGGCGGCGTCGAGATCGGAACCGAACTGGGCGAAGGCGGCCACCTCACGGTACTGGGCCAGTTCCAGTTTCATGGAACCGGCGACCTTCGAAATAAACACCCGAATCAGCCAACGTACGTACGACTTCATTTTTTTATATTTTTCCATTTTTGATATACGCTAAAGAAGTATCGGGTTTTCGCAGCATTGCGTGAATTTAAGAATTGTCAACAATACATTTAAAGCACGTTATTTGTGTTTTACGTTGCAAGGAAAAAACTAAAAAACTGGTTTAGTACTCGATTTCGATTGATTATTCTTTATATCACTGATTAAGAAACTCAACGCTTAAATGCTTAAATAGTTACGTTAGTGTGTGTATTTTATCTAAGGGATCATGGTGAATTATTGCGTTTTTAATTGTAAATAAAATTCAAAAACTAAATCGGTGCATTTTCATGTTTTTCCAAAGGATCCAATTCGGTAAATACATTTGTTGGTGCAGAATTAACTAATAATAACTTTACCTAATATAACTTATATTTAAGTTTGGACATTTTTAAGAAATTAGTAAAAAGTAATTTTTCACAAACATAACCTTAAAATCAACCATTTTTATATTTGAGTTCTCTAAAAAATGCCGAAAACTGCATTTTAAACAACAAAATATACCTACGAATTCATGGCAACATAACGACGTATAAATACGTCGTTATGTTGCCAAATGTGACAAATTTGTTTGACGATTTTTACGGAATTGAAATGTTTACACTTTTCACGTTAATCACTACTAAAATGTGTATTTATTGTATCTAATAGGTACAATTTATATTTACAGAGACTGTATGCAATTTATTTCTTCATTCAGATTAACACTGTTTATTGGAAAACCGGTAAAAACTCAACCCAGGATTGAAATACACCCAACAACACAACAAATCGTGCCACGATTTTTTTCCGATATTTTTTAACATTTTCCGGCTTTATTCTCAAAAACACTCGTTTGTAATATACGCGTTTGACAGCTGATTATTAAAAGTTGTACTTTTGTTACGATGATAACATTTGAGTGGTGGCGCTACTAGCGATACTTCTTTAGCGTATAGAAAATTAATTTTTAATTTTTTAAACATTTAACCCTTTTTCTAATTATTTTTTTTTTGATTTGACATTTATTACTTTATTATTTATTGCTATAAAAAAATCAGTTTTAATCTTTCGTTTTTTTAAACGTTTGGCCACTTTTTTTTCGTTCTTATTTTTTTATCTGGATTTTTTTTTTTGATTTTTTAAACATTTGACCACTTTTTTTCTATACTTCTCTATATTTTTTCATTTTTGATAAAGAAAATTAATTTTTAATTTTTTGTTTTTTTAAACATTTGACCCCTTTTTTTAACTGATTTTTTATCTTTTCATTTTTGATATCAATATGTAAAACTCGAAAAACACACAACAAGACAACAAATTGTTCCACGTTTGTGAGTCTCTTAATGTATTTTTAAATCACAATTTAAAAACCGACTGGAAAATAAATTTGTAGCAGTAATAAATAAAATGTATTTATCTTTTTATGACAACAATTCGGTAATTTCTCGGTTCTTAGGGTTTTAAAGTGTGTGAAAAATTGGGGAAAAAATCTTTTTCCCAAGTCTTGGAAAAATTGGCTTTTTTGGAAAAAAAAATTTTTCAACTTAACATTTTTAGATTAAAAAAAATACAGCACCGAATATGTTTTTTTGCGGCCCGGTAGAATATTCTTACTGAATTAAAATAATAGGAATAAATATTATATTTATCATAATATTCAATGATTATAATTAGCGATATCAGAGTACAGATATTAGGGTTTTAAAATGTCCGGAAAAATTGAGCCGCCAGAAAAAAACGTTATTTTCAGAAAAAAATTGACTTGCATTTTTTTCATTTTAATCAAAGGGTGTCCCTCTATAAACTGTATGTTTCTTGGGATGAAAATAATGTATTTTATTTATTTATTTATGCAAAAGTAAAATTTTCCGAAAATTACCAAATTTTTACGAATATTAGTAGACTGACATCGAGAAAAAAGTATTATTTTGTAATTGGATATTTTCAAAAAAGCAGTTTTTAAGACAATTTTTTAGGTTTTTTTCCGACACTTTAAAACCGTAACGGATGTAAATTTTCAGAAAAAATGACCTTTGCATTTTGTTCGTATTACCCTTTGAGTGAAATGATAAAAATGCGAAAGTAAATTTTTCTAAAAATTTCCCAATTTTTCCGGAAAAGTTTTTTTTTCGGAAATTTTTAAACCCCAATTCAATCCTTCACGTGACAATAGGAAAAAATCTGAAATAAAAAAAACTCGAAAAAAAACTCGTACCTGTTTCATGGCCTTGGTCTGAGCGGCGGATCCGACCCTGGACACGGACAGACCGACGTTGATGGCCGGACGGATACCCTTGTAGAACAGCTCGGTCTCCAAGAAGATCTGCCCGTCCGTGATGGAAATGACGTTGGTGGGAATGTAAGCTGAGACATCTCCGGCTTGCGTCTCGATGACGGGCAAGGCGGTCAGAGAACCGCCCCCGTGAGCCTCGGACATCTTGGCGGCACGCTCGAGAAGACGCGAGTGAAGGTAGAACACGTCACCGGGGTAGGCTTCGCGACCCGGGGGACGACGCAGCAGCAAAGACATCTAAAAGAAGGAAAACTTATTCCTTGTTTTGCCCCGGTCGCACTACCCAAGCAGCATTTTAAGTTTAAACAACTACAGTAGAAACCACGAAGGTCACGGTCCAGTGCAGTGCTGTTCTAACGGGGGCATAGGTATTTGTAAAAAATCTTGAGTGTAATGTTGGTTGCTATACTTCTGATATATTTCTACACGCTGTTAAAAGAAACGCGTCAACTTAAAACTCACCCTGTATAATAAAGTAAAATTGATATTTATTTTGAATAAAAAAGTTCTGCAAAACAGTGCTTAATGATAATCTAAAAACGCATTAAAAAAATAAAAACCTTTAAAATTGTCGATTAAAATTTAGTTAATTATGCGTAATAACTTCTATGTAACACATTAAATAAAGAAAAAAATAATATTTATTTTTAACTAAAAAGTTATTGAATTTTGTCCGCAAAACGCTGCTTTTTGACCATAGGGTCATTCCACGATACTCGGGTATTTTTGTCCCGCCCGTCACAATTAAAAATTGTGAGTAAAAACTACACATTATAAAATTTATTTGAAAATATTGTTTATTATGCTTGTAATAAGCTTATAATATTAATTTAATAACTTGTGGTTTTTACTCACAATTTTTAATTGTGACGGGCTGGAGAAAAATTATTGAGTAGTGAGTCGCCTACTAAGAACTTACTTGACGATAGGCCACGGCCTGCTTGGACAAATCGTCGTAGATGATCAAAGCGTGCTTGCCGTTGTCACGGAAATATTCGCCCATGGCACACCCAGAGTACGGGGCCAAGTACTGCAAAGGAGCGGCATCAGAAGCGGTGGCAGACACGATGATGGTGTACTTGATGGCTCCGGTGTCGGTTAAACGTTTTAAAATTTGAGCCACGGTGGATCTCTTTTGACCGATGGCGACGTAGATGCAGTACAGCTTCTTTTTCTCGTCGTCGGCGTCGTTGAAACGCTTCTGGTTGATGATGGTGTCGATGGCCAAAGCGGTTTTGCTGGAGGGAGAAATGTTACACTACAAGCCGCGAATTATGTGGAATAGACTGGGCCAAAAAAATCAACTATTTTTTTTTGAAAAGTATATCGAAAATATGGTTTGGGGTGACAATAAAACATTATTGTGAAAGTTTGAGTCCAATATATTAATATTAAGAGGTCCATCATCGCAATTTTAATTTTTTTTTCCTCAGCAAGTTTTTGTCTCAGAACTCCCAAACCATTGAGTTTAACAAAGTTGACTAGAAAATATTTTTTTAAGAAAATTAAATGCTCTACAAAAAAAGTTAAAGTGAAATTTTCCGTCAGATGAACCGTTTCCTTAAAATCCTGCCTTAAAAATTGGTATAGTTTTACATTTTAATCTTTTAAATTGGAATTTTGTAATAAATGTAAAAATCAGTACCCTGAAAAAAACGATAAATATTCTTATGGAAAATCAAATGCTTTACAAAAAAAGCCTCTCAACATTTTTGGCTAAATTCACTCAATCAAAAGTTATTCAAGGTTAAAATTTCGTTTTGACTTCAAATTTAACCTAATAATAACTTTTGATGGAGTGAATTTAGCCAAAAATGATAAAAGACTTTTTTGTAGAGCATTTGATATCCCATAAGAATATTTATCGGTTTTTTTTCAGGGTACTGATTTTTAAATGAATTACAAAATTCCAAAGTTAAAAGATCAAATTGTAAAACTATACCAATTTTTAAGGCATGATTGTAAGAAAACGGTTCATCTGACGGGAAATTCCAATCAAACCTTTTTTGTAGAGCATTCAATTTTCTTCAAAAAATATTTCCAAATCAATTTTGTTAAACTCAATGATTTGGGAGTTCTGAGACAAAAACTCGCTCAGGAAAAATAAATCTAAAATTGCGATGATAGACCTCTTAATATTAATATTATGGACTCAAACTTTTACCAACATTTTTTTTGTCACCCCAAACAATATTTTCGATATACTTTACAAAAAAAAATTGTCGATTTTTTTGGCCCAGTCTAATGTGGAACAAGGTATGTTCTTGCGCATCTGTTTACATTAGTAGTATATTAAAGAACTAATGTCATAAGACGAGTGCGACAAAAGGTCTGACATGAGCTCTTTATGCTATTTTATCTATTTTGCAAAAATTCTATAAAAAAAATAATTTTATACCTTAAATTTAATTTGGTCGAATTTTACTTTAGATAGTTGGTATCACAGTCATTGGTTTGACAGTTAATGTCGAAATCGATTCGCCATGCCGTCCTTAATTTACTTATTTACATAAAAATTAAAGGAAAAATAAATTACGGGCGATCTGAGTTCGGGAAGTGGGAGGGGGGGTTTAAGGGTAAAAAATGGTTTATCTCGATTTCCGGCAAATGGAATGGATGGAAAAAAGTTAAATGTCAAAGTTGTAGGTAATAAAAAGATCTACAACTTTTGTATTTACAATTTTTCACATAACCTCAAAATTTATGTGAAAAATTCAAAAAACCAAGTTTTTGGTTTTTTATTTTTATCTTTTTCAAAAAAAAATTTTTCCACGAAATTTGGTGAAAACTTACCTTTTTATGTCCCAAATACACTGTAATTTATTTGATTTGAAATATTTATTATTTCGCCTTATTTTGACTTAATATCAAAAAAGCACCCTAATTTTCAATCGAAAATTCTCGCGTCAAAATATCAGCTTTTTTCAAAAAGTCGGTGTGCTTTTTGTTCGTTGAAATCTCTACTTTCTGATGGTGTAAAAAAATATACATTACTATAGTAAATGTTCTCAGAAAATGCAAAAAATCGAAAAAAACTCGAATTCAAAATTTTATTTTAACCCTTAAAACCTCGCCCGTAATTTATTTTTCCTTTCTTTTTTATTATATTCTCCTCCTTTTCCAATGGGTTTCATCCTACTGTAATTTTTTTTTGTTTCAAAAATTATCGACCCTGGTCTATTAGAAAATATTATTTACTTTAAAACAATATATTTTATTTGATTGAAAAAACATATAAAATAGTTTGTTTTCATTAAGAATGTTTTCTTGAAATGTTAATATTGTGACTTAAACAGTGATCTTCAAATTATTCGACAATTTAATATAAAAATCAAATAATTATCAATTTAAAATATCATTTAAATTGAAAGGCGGGAACGAACTAAGATGGCAACTGAAGAACACACCTTGTTTTCTTGTACCACGGTACTTACCCAGTTTGACGATCTCCAATGATCAACTCACGCTGCCCACGACCGATGGGCACGAGGGAATCTACGGCCTTAATACCGGTCTGCATGGGCTCTCTCACGGAGATACGCGGGATGATTCCGGGGGCCTTGATACCGACACGGAAACGTTGCTTGGTGCCCAATGGGCCTTTGCCGTCGATGGGGTTACCTAAACGATTAAACAACAAATTAACCGACATTCCCGATGTTTCCATTGTAGGACTAGTGTTGCAAACAAGGAAAAGTTCGGTCGAAAAGTTGGAAAAGTTATTAGGTGGGAGCCAATGAACAATGAGTTGACTTCTAACCAGTGTTTCCACTACCATAAATTTTTTTTGGTAGATAATTTGGTCAAAATTCGATATAAATCGCTAGATTTGAAGTGTTTTTAGTAAAACATGCAAAAGCATTGTTTTTTGGAATAACATTTTGCCAAACTTTATCAAAAATGGTGTCTGCTAACAGCATTTTCTATTATATAAAGATTCTTTTATTATAACGTATTTTTAATTTATACACAGTATAAAAAAAATATTATTTTTTTTAATTATGGACATTTGCAAGTGAAAATATAAAAGTGGAAAAAAAGAAAGTTTTCTTTTCTTTTTCTTTCTTAAATTTTTACTTGTAAATTTCCATAATTTTTAACAACAATAAATTTAATAATTTTTGCTTCATATTTTTTTGTAATTTTTTTTTATTTCGTATGTGTTTTTTTATGGTGTGTATAAATTTCTATTCTTTTTTACTTAAAAAATATGATTTTTTTAATTCAAACCTAGTTTATTTTTGTTGTTATTATGTTGACTGTTCATTTTATTTTGTTTGATATTTTTTTTTGTTATTTTGTTACGTATGTATAAATACATAACAAATAAATTATTTTAATACATTGGCAAGCATTATTTATGTTTTATACGTTTACATTACAAAAAACTCAACTTTTCCAACTTCCAAAAAATAAAACCCAACTTTTCAAAAATTTCAACTTTTCATGAAAAGTTGCAACCCTAAATGTTCCCGATGTTTTTTTTCATTGTAGGACTCACCCAAAGCGTCTACCACACGTCCCAAGATTTGGTCACCCACTGGTACGTCTACGATAGCACCGGTACGCTTGACGATGTCGCCTTCTCCAATGAGTTTGTCGTTACCGAATACTACGACACCGACGTTGTCTGGTTCCAAGTTAAGAGCCATACCCTAAACAAAATGCCCTTAGTTTTTGATATTTTCTATTTTTTTTATCAGAAATTGTGCCCACCACATCCCATTATAATTTTTCCCATGTATTTTGACCCACTAAACCGAAAATCACACTCAATTTTTTTTGTATGGAAGCGTTTTTGAAATATTGTTTTTTTTGCAATTTTCGGAGGTGTTAAGTACAGCTTGAAATCTAATTGATCGATTTGGTCAAACAAGCCCTTAAATTGAAGGTATTTGAGCCCTCTAAAACTTTCTTTTACATACTTTTGATATCGGATAAGTATTTTGACGCTAGCGATTTTAATAACTTAAAAAAATTGTTTTTTATGACAAAAATCTTCCTGGGAAACGTTTAAATCAAACAGATAACTCTAGTTTGATTTTTTTGTGAAGCTGACATTTTTACAAAAAAGAACAAGCTAATGTTGATAAACATCCATGGAAAAATGCTTTTTGAAGATATTTATTTTATTTTGTAATATGTATTCTTTAATGAAAACCAAAATAAAGTGCATGATTGAAATTTTTTGAGTTTTTACGTACTTTTTTCACCGAAATCATTATTCAAAATTTAAATTTGACATGACTCCGCAAACGTGAATTCTTTTGTTTCTCGTGTAGGCATAGTGACATTTTACTGCTATTTTTTGATATTTCAACAAGGTATTTTTATCATGGTTTTATTTAGTCAATAAAAAGTGTAAAATAAGTAAAAGAAGTAGAGTTCGAGTGCGTAAATAACCCGCACAATCTGGGCGACGTAAGTGATGAGCACGGAGAACGTTTTCACCAGCAAATGAAGGCTATGGAGTGGCGGTATCACGGCTTCTGGGATGCATCTATGATGGATGATTACATTTGGTCCCTCATACGAGAAACGGAATACGAAAGCAACAAAAAACAAAGAAGTAGCCAGAATTTTTTTAAACCTATGCTTATTACAACAATATCTTCAATGTTGAATATTTATTTTTCAATATTCAATATATAATTTAATTTCAATATTTAATGTTTAAAATAAAAATGAATGTTCAATATTAAATTTTATATAATTCAATAAAATGAAAAAAAAAACGTAAAAATTCTCGAAAAACTGAATTTTGCTCTTCCACTGAAAAATTCACAACTTCGCCATTTATCCATGGATTTTTATAAACAGCAGCTTATTTTTTGCCTTTAATTTAATCTATACGTAAAATAAATCAAACTGGACTTATCTTTTCGATTTCTATCTTTCCCAGAAAGATATGTAAATTTTCGACCTCGATTTTTGTAAAAAAAGGACTTTTTCAACTTCATAAAATCGCCAGTATCGAACTACTGAGCCGATACCAAAACTATACAAGAGAAAGTTGTAGAGGGCTCAATTATTATCACCATTGCAACAAAAGCATGTTTTTGATAATACAATTTGAAAATTTGGTTCATTTCTGTTAAAAATAAGAATTTTAGTGAAATAGGTAAAATTACACCATTTTAGGAGGCAAAATTTAAAAATAGGTCCATTTCTATTAAAAATGAAAGTTTTTTTATTCATATACAGGGTGTTTCAGTTTTTGTAGCATAACTGATAAGACTTTTAAAATTAATGCAAACTCTATGCGCCTAAACAAAAATCGTCAAAAGCCTAATTTTCGAGATAGTTTTAAAATAAAATTTTAAAAATAGTTTTTAAAATATCGTAAACATTTTTTGACGTATTGCTTACAGGGTTTTTAGGGCGCTTTGTATTTTATGGATTAAAATGACCATAATCTTTTTCTCAGTGAAATTTGTTGTCATTTTTAATAAAACAAAAATGAAATTTTGTGCTTTTTTGAACAAAATGTAATAATTAAATTTATATAATATTATATAATTGGAAAGTATAAAGTTTATTAAATTATTTATAAAATAAAAAATTCGCACCTTCTTTATTTTCATACTTTAAAAAATATTTAACATAACCTAAAAACCATGTTGGATTCATTTGTAATTCTTGAAACACCTGTTATTCAAAATAATTTACTTAATATAATATTTTTATAAAATCTACTAATAAAAGTAGTATATTTAATAAAAAATTAAAACAACAGTTCCATATTATATTTTTAAGAACTATTATTTTTTGACATCTTTCTGACAGGTGACAGATGTGTAATATACCCATTTAAGACATCTGTCAAAGATGTCAAATAATACTAGTCATAAAAAATGACAGTTGTCAAAAATGACATGTTTCTGGTAATTGAAAACTGCATGTTATTTAAAAGTTCACACTAAAATTAAAACAATAATTTAATTAAATTATTTAATCCAATTTTGCACATAATATTTTTTTTAATATGAATATTATTTTTGATTAAGTTTTAAAAATTAAACTCTTGAAAAAATGATATATTGTGAATAATGAAATTTATATAATATTATATAATTGGAGTAAAATAAACAAAAACGATAAAAATGGCGTCTTTTAGTATAAAATTTATTAAATTATTTATAAAATTCAAAATTTGCACCTTCTTAATTTTCATACAAAAATATTAAACATAACGTAAAAACCATGTTGGATTCATTTGTAATTCTTGACACACCTGTTATTCAAGGTCATTGAAGTGTTTCCAAAATAATTTGCTTAATATAATATTTTTATAAAATCTACTAATAAAAGTAGAATTTATAACTTTAAACTTGTGTTAAATATTAAATTGATGTAAATACCTTCAATCCAGATGAGAACTCCACCATCTCATCAGCTTGGATGTTCTTCAACCCATAGACACGGGCAATACCGTCTCCAATGCTCAATACGCGACCAGTTTCATCTAAATCGGCTTTTGGGGCAGAACCCAAGATGCGTTCTTCCAGGATGGATGAAATTTCAGCACCGCGGTTTTGTGTGGACACATGGATTTTACGGCTAGCCACGGATGCAGCTGGGAATGCCACTCCGGCAACCTAAATCAAAGAAATTGCAATAAACCTCGACTATTTTTTAATTTGCATGTTTTTCATGGATTAGGCCATACTAAAGTGATTTTATTATCCGTTTGTTAATTTTAGTTATGTATTATAATAATCGTCCTTACATAATGTACCTAATGGGGAATATCAAAATTTTGATTGATTAAATTGAGGTTAAGATCCCCTTAACTCTATTGCGAAAGAAAACAACCCTTAAATCAATATATTTTGAGTTCAAAGTGTTTTAAATCAATTTTTGTACAAAAAGTAAACTTCCTTACATAATTTAATGGCTGGGCAATGTCAAAATTTTATCAGTTACATAACAATTTAAGTTTTATATTTTGCCCTTAATGTACTAATATTTAGTGACAAACACATTAAATTTGTACAAATATTGTAATAAAATCACTAAACTAAAGGCCAATTGGTATTTAAAGCCATAAAATCGAAAAGTTATGTCACTGCAGTCGGCACTATCTTCCGATGAAAATTCCGCGATTAAAAAGGTTCGAATGTTTCGTTAGCAGGTAGCAATGGTTTGTACTTACTTGGGTTACATTTTTGGGCAAATTTCTTGCTACCGAAGTAGCTAAACGAGCAGATAACAGAGACATTCTTCAGCCTGCCTTCCCAGCACTAAAAAAGATGGAGAACAGACTTGTGGAAGTCGCACAACTGTCTTGCGCCGAATCGGAAATATGCCTAGCGACATCTATCGACACGTGACGAACTTAAAGTTATTTTTGGAAAAATTGGGCTCAAAATACACTGTTATATTATATTACTATCGCTAACAAAAAAAACTCATACAGCTTAAAAATCTAGTGTTCCTGATTTTCTATCATTTCGTTGGAGTAATTATGGCTTTTAACATGATACGTCACATTTGAAAGGTCTAAAATTAAATACAAAGTTAGGTTGAAGTTTGAAAAAAAAATAATATTTCGTCATCCCTCTGTTTTTGTCAATTACTGCCCACAAACGGCAAGTCACCGTCTTGCTTTATCTCGTTCCAAATGGCTTCAATGGCTTGCCAGAGTTCGTCTGCATTGTTTGGTTGAAAATGTTAAAAAAGTCATAATGGATGTGACAAAGCTCGATGTCAACTTGACATTGACGGAAAAGTTTTATTCACACAGCCACAATATAGCTGTATGAGTTTTTTTTGTTAGCGATAGTACAAATTTCGTTAAGTGCGGTATTCATTTAAAAAAGGTATTTTACAATTTTCTTTATCAAAATAGGTCGTAAGAGTACTTTTTAAAGGAATAAAAATTTTATAATAAAAGGCGGGAAATTTAAAATGTAAAATTGCTGTTTTACAACACTATAAATAATATTATTATATTATATTATATTATACAGGCTATAAATTATATTATAGTTATCAAACCACTGCAAAAAGTCTAAAACCTGAAAAATATCGGTAAATCAGATAATTACACCCAAAAGTTTCAGAAGAAGAAGACTAACCTAAAAATTTGACAGTAAACAAAATTTTGAATATCGCGATCGTTAGTTTTAAGCGAAAAGATGCTTTTTGTAATTAATAACAATAGCTAGCTATAAACTTAAAGTAATAAGAATGGATGACTTTGAGCAGTTTAAAATTTCCGCGCTAAAGAAAGTCCACCATATTCAAATAACTGCGTCAAGAAATGTTGGTGGTAAAAATTCGAATGAATCAAAAAGTGATGAAAAAGTTGTCGAAAAAAAGATAAATACCAATTTCGCCCCATCTTATGGAATTCCAGTTCGTTATGTACTGAAAGAGAGAGAATTGCAAAGGCAAGCAGAAGTAAAAAGTGCCATACAAGCTCGATTAAATAAGTTTAACCAGTTTTCGAGCAAATGTACGGAAAATGTGGGACAAGAGTGGGTAAAAAAGCAGCAAACATTCATTAACGGTCAATTGCAATGTGAAAATAAAATTATAAATTCATTGAATCAGTATGATCAACTTTCTTCTAATAAACAGGAGAAATTGAATCAGTACTACCAAAATTTAGAAAAACAAAGGAAAACGCAGGAAGAAGAGTTGAAAGCCAAAGAAAACAAGCAGAAAATTTTAAGAGAAAACGTTGAAAGAGCTAAAGCATTTTATGTGGAATTTTGCGGATTATATCCAAAAGTTATTATTATTATTAAGTCTTGTGGTTCATATGATGAATTGAAAAAAGTTATGTTGGAGGAGTTAAAAAGAACGCCGGTTTTAAGGGAAAAATTTGAAGAAGTGATCAAAAAGTGTAGATCATTTGAAATAACTGAGGTTGATATAAAAAAGGCTGCTGATGTTCTACTGGAGTTAAAATCGTTAAAGGAAAAATTTGAGGGGGCAGTAAATGGTATTAATGCTAAAATAAACGAGGCAAAGCAAGCCCCCCCACCACCACCTGTTGAAGTGAAAAAAGCCGAGCCAGTCAATGTGGCAGCACAGCCCCAACAAATTGTCAAAGATGAGTTGGATACAAATAAATCTCAGTTAAAAATTACGCAATTTGTGGGACTTAAAAACTTGACCATGTACACAGCCTTGATGGACTTTCTGGAGCAGCACAGTCTTACATTTAAAGATTTGTTAGAGGATGTTACTTTTAAGCAGTTTAAGTTTGATTGCAAGAAGGCCATAAACATACCAGTAAATGCCATATCAGCCATTAACTCAAGTCACATAATGGACAAATACGACAGGCTACACAAGTTATTATCGGGCCAAACTGTTTACATTAGTGACCAACAAATAAATGCTACAAAGCATCCCAAAGGTATTCCTTTCTGTATGGACCTGTTGGCCAAAAAGTTTGTTTTGCAAGGCGATTTGATGATTTCCAGTAACCCAGAATCAGCCTTTTGCTATGCCACAATTATATCGTCCTTATGGAATGATTTTCCTCTTCTAGGAAATTTAATTTTGGCCTATATGTTTCAAGCGTGCCCCTATTTAGTTCCCTACTATATTCCACAAAATGTTGGGGAGTCTGACGAGGAGTTTTACCAGAGAAGAGGGTATCAATATGTTAATGGACAGGTTGAAAAACAAGACAAATTTTTGAAGAGAATGACAGGTAATATTAAATGGACTTTTTTGTGAGAATGTGCAGCTACTGACAAAAAATTAATTTTAAGAAAATGATTTTATTGCGATTTTTAGCTTAACATTATATTATAGTGAATTTATATTATTAATTAGAGTATTACAAATCAAAATATATCTTTTTTTTTATAATTTTAATTATGTCTAACCACAGACCTACCTGTGTGTCTAACATAATAATAATTAAATAAAATTATGTATGGAAACAGATAGGAAAAATAGTAATTATTATTATGTGTAGTTGAAGGTATAATATTTATTGTATGATACATTTTAATTTGACACATTTTTTTGTAACATTTAAATACGTATTTTAACCAACAAATGTTTTTAAACATTTTACCTTCTTCTAAGCATTTTACATATTATTTTGTTAGTAGAATTACCTAATATTTGCCTCATTTAAATTTGGTCCATTTTTATTTTCTATGAGATTCTTTATTTCTTTACTTTGAAATTTATATTGGAATTATTGTGAGACTTAAAACATTGGGTCATTCCGCGATACTCGGGGATTTTTGTCCCGCCCGTCACAATTAAAAATTGTGAGTAAAAACTACACGTTATAAAATTTATTTCAAAATATTGTTTATTATTCTTGTAATAAACTTACAAGCACAATAAATTAATATTATAAAATATTAGTTTAATAACTTGTGGTTTTTACTCACAATTTTTAATTGTTACGGGCGGTACAAAAATTACCGAGTAACGTTGTTAAACAATATTTTTTTTAAACATAATTTTTTAAATTTTATTTTATACTATTATTTTTTAAGTTGCAATTTCTTATTTATAAAACGACAATCAATTTTATTTTATAATTAATTTTATGTGTACACATTAAAAATTATAGAATTAATTTTATGTCTACACCACAATCTACACATGTGTGGATTGTGGTCTACACATAAAATTAATTTGGCGCGTTTGGCAGGAAGTGGCAACTGCATTAGTTCAAATGCATAGTAGGTTTGTATGCGTAATTTATCTACGTCAATTTTGTTGCCAATAAGGGAAAAGATTCGGGTTTTGTTCTTCTATCTATATAATTATAGAAATTATTATGTACATATAATTCACAAAACTAGAGGGTGTTTTGTGATATAATTATATGACGTAGATAAATTAAACACACCTACCATTTGAACTACTGCAGTTGCCACTTTCGGCCGTATTTTCGCAGCGCCAAAGTTGAATATTAATGTCTCAAAAATATGGCACAGAAAAATAACATCTTCTCAGTGCAATATTTAACTTAATATTTCTTTTCAAATTAAAAAGTAAAACGTGTTTATTTTTATTTCTTTTACAGAATCCAATTTCTTTGAGCTTTAAAATGCTATTATAAAAATACCAATTTTCAAATTCTTTATCTTGTTTTGTGACCCAAAAGATTCACATCAGAAAAAATCTGTACCTTTGCCTTTTTAGGTATTATGAGGCTGTATTGCGCCCTTTTGATAACAAAGCCCAAAAGAGGACAAACCCAAATACCTCATAACCTTCAAAATGGCTGGCGGTGGTTGGTATCGATATTGAAATTGGAGCCTCAAGTGGACATAACAGCCACGATGCTTCACGTTTTTTTGGAATCTGCAGGGTTCGCCATGGAACAAGCGTATGGAGCTCATTTTAAAAAAATATTGAGAGTTATAGTTCAGCAATTTCTCCCCAGTTGTAGTAAAAAATGTACAGGGGGCGCTGGTACTCGTCTCGAGTTACTTATGACTGAATATACTAAAAAGGGTAAATTTGAAAAGCCCAATGGATATACACCAACAGCTACATGGTAAAATTTATTGGACATTCTATTGAAGTTTAAAATTTTACATTAGGTACATTAAACATTGTATTGTTTCTTGACTTATTTTATATATAAATTGTAAAAAAATTGAAGGCCTTTTTAATAAAACATTTTTTTGTATGAAATTGTTGAGGAAATTGTTTATTGGTAATAAATAAAGACCCCATTCAAAATTAAATTCTGGGTGCATGACAAATTACTTTTTTTGGTTCACAACAGTAAATAAAAATACAACTTGAGCAGTTTTACAAGAGTTAAATTCATTGTTGAATTTAACATACCTACATATTATGTTTAAAATTCCAGTCTATAAATAAATAATTATTACCTATTTAATGCTTTGTTTTTTATCACAGCTATATTAAATATCCTTAATAAAAAAACCATACATGTATTAAGATTTTAAAATCAATCTTTTATCGGGTTGATTATCAACCCCCAATTCCATTCTCTGTATATCCCAATCACTTTTATCATCATTTCTATTAAGCCACAAATGTAAAACACCCTTTCGCTTTGACCCTGACAGGGGAATCTCGTATTTGCCACTATTGTCTATGACATAATTTTTTGCCCTCTCGTCCACTCTAATCATTCTATCCTTTATTGGCTCCCCAAGCAAGTGAACGGCAGCTTTGTGTGAACGCACTTCTTTTAACGCTTCTTTACAGAATGGCGACTCTTTAATTTTATTGTTTGTTTGAAATCTTAACGCTAAGCCCATTGTTACAGTTGCCATTCCCCCTATAGCAGCTATTTTGACCAGTGTCATGTTGGAAATGGTCATTTTTTAAATTTTTTGTAAAGAAATGCCTGAAAAATATTGAAATCCTAAAGTTATGGCTTTATTTAAAAATATTCATTTGGATATTTAACATTCTCTGACAAGAAATTTGAAGTTTTTTCAAAAAATAAGAAAAAGTGAGGTTACCTTTTCACCAGGGATTGACATGAAGTTGCAGCGGATTTGACAGATGCGATTTGGGATGTCAAATTAGTCAGACAAATGGTGATTTTCAATGGCGCAAGATGTGTTTAGCGAAATGGCTATAGATCCATGGTTGTTAAATGAGGATGGATATTTAAACGTAAATACAAACATAAAGGAAATCGTCTATCACCCGTCGCTGAATGTAATTCTAATATCGTCAACACAAGGCACCATCCATGTTCTTGATGTCAACTCAGGTGTTATCTTGTTATCCAGCAGTCTTGCAGGTAAATATTGATATTCAAACGTTAAAACTGGAAGATTGTTGTGTGCGCGCTTTCAGCCAACAACAAAGACTCCATACAATGCAAATACATCCCAGGTCAGGACAGAATTCTCTTCACTGATGGAGAAACAATTGGTGTGCGATCAGATTACAATGGGGTACTTTTACTCGACAGTATACTACAGAAAACAGTTTCTAAGTCCAAAGAAAGTATTAAACTTGAGTTGCCACTATCAGAGGTAAATACAATCAAACTTGTAAATATTTCCTACACAGATTATTTTTTCAGGCAATTATCCTTAAACAAAGTCTTAACACAGATAATCTAATAGGTATTGACCATGTGATAAATGAGCTTACTGAAGTTATTCAAAATGCACAAAAACAAAGTAAAAAAGGAATAAAAGCCCAAAAAGTAAGTAGCGTGAAAAAATCGGTTGGGAATTGCACAACATTTTGATAATTTTAGTGGAACACAGTATGCCTCACCCTTCCCATAGATATATTTCAATTTGCCACTTCCAGTGCAGTAAGCGAAATGATAGGAAAAAACCTACACACACCTGAATTGGGTGTCGCCAGTGCTGTACATGAAAGGCTCTCCGAATTGCTTGGAAGGCAAGCAAATAGTACAGATAAAAAGTCAATGGCCAGTGAATCCCGTAGAAGGGAGACTTTTTCACAGTGGCCTCATATGGATTACAAGTAAGTGTTAGATATTAGTATGACAACTATATGGTATAGTAAATAATTTTTTAATTTTTAATAATATATTTACAATTTATTGGGATTATATTATTTGTCAACTATTGTATATTTTATTATTAACCAGCCAATAGAATAAAATATACATTTTTTTAAACTTGACTTCACTAAATATTATCATTTTATCTTTAGTTACATAATAACATTAATATTTCTAAATAATATTGTACTTTTATATACCTACAATATAAAGTGCACATAAAGCAATATTTATTATATAAAATATACATATTATGTAGTAGAATATTATGATATCTCTATTTATGGGGTTTAAAGTAGGTAAATGTTTTGATTTGGATTTAAATTGAATTTTGTTTGTTAATTTAAAAAATATATAAATATGATCATCATTTTATTATTTTTTCTAATCTTTGACAGCTATTTTTCCACTTAAATTGCATAATATTGACATTTTTTTTTTCCAAAAATAATTGTAACAATTCTAACCTAACAACGTTGTTAGGCATTAGTGATTGGCCGATTTTAATATTCGCTGTAATTTAAACCAATCGGGTTTTAAATTTTGAAAAGTGAGGTTGTAAGTTGTTACTATGAAAAAAATCATGTCATGATGGGTGTGGCTCATTTTGTAGGTGTTTGGAAAAAAATTGAAATTGAATATTTATTTATCAATTCTTAAGAATCACCATGTAGGTATATCAAAAAACAATGTTTATTTATTCAAATAGAAATTCTGCTGTGCTGAGCATATCTCAACACCAAAGCAATAAAAGATAAAAGATTGTTTTTATTATATGCATAGTTTATTTTGAAAATACCATGAACATTTGAATTGTTTTGTGGTTAAATAAACAAATAAATAAGTTCTGTAACCAGTGGTATTTTAACAGAAACAATAACAATTTTAGTCTAAAACATAATTAATCTTTTCAAACTTTCTTTTATCATTACCAACAAAAAAATCGAGATTTTTCAATGTTAAAAAATTTGCCCGTGGATATCAAAAAAGAAAATTAAAAAGATAACCGATTTCTATTGAAAAAAATGTGACGCTATTTTATAAAACATTTTTTGGTCAAAAGTAGTCTTGCTAAGGCATTATCTCCATTTAAAGAGTTTTCATAAATTGTCTTAAATATTTAATATATGATTTTGAAAGGCATCACCATATATTCCAGGAAAATAGTATTTTAAAAAACTATAAAATACAATAAATATACATTTTAGTAATAATTTAGGTACGTGAAAATTGTAAACATTTTAATTCAGTAATAATCATAAAACAAGTAAGTGTTCTAAATGCAAACAGCTTTATGAATTATTAAAGCGTTGATTGAGAAAGTCTCCACTCAACGGTATTGTATATAATATTATGTTGCCATGAATTCGCCGTTGTCGACGTTATTTTGTGCTAGATTTCTTAAAAATATTACTTAAATAAAAATTACCTTACCTTTACAATAAAAAACACAATGATTCACCATGATCACTTAGATAAAATACACACACTAATGTAACTATATAAGCATATCAAAAATAATAAAACGAAATCAAGTAGTTTTTTAGTTTTTACTTGCAACGCGAAACACAGTTCTTGAATTCCATCGAGCGCCAACAGATGGCGCAGTACAAGTCCAAAATGTTTATTTTGACAAATCATTTTCTAAAATCAATTTAAAAGTTCAAAATGCATTTTTGTGAGAAGAGGTAAATTATTTTACAAAATTAACGCGTAATAAATAAAAAAAAATTCTAACTCTAAAACGCCTTTACCAATCTTTATAAAATTTTGTACAAAAATACTTCAACATATCTCAGTTTACGTGTTCGAGGTTTTTTCGAGAAAATATTTTTAAAGCACTTTTATTTAATAATAAAAAAACGTTCGATAAATAATTTTAGGGTTTTTTTTAACTAAATAAAAAATATGCTGTTAAAGACCATGTTTTTGTTAGTATACCCTGAAAATTTTGTACAAATCAAACGAACAGTAACGAAGTCGGTAAAAATGACCCCTTTTTGATTATTTTGCTGAAAAGTGGTCATTTTTGACGACTTTGATTTGTTTGATTTGTACAAAATTTTCAGGGTATACTAACAAAAATACGGTCTTTCATAGCATATTTCTTATTTACTTTAAAAAAAAATTCCATATAAAAATATTTTTTCGAGCGTTTTTTATTATTAAATAAAAGGGCTTTAAGGATATTTTTTCGAAAAACCCTTGAACACGTAAACTGAGATATAAGTTTAAGTATTTTTATGCAAAATTTTTATAAAGATTTGTAAAGGCTTTTTTTTTGTTTTTTTTTAGAGTTATGCGTTAATTTTGACGCTCAGTGTATTTTATAAAATAGTTGAAATATTCTCACAAAAATGCATTTTCAACTAAAAAACTAATTTTATGAAATAATTGGACAAGTTTTAACTTTTGAACTTGTTCTTTCAAATGCGTAGCATTCTGTGCTTATTTATCAAAAACTGATTCACCAGATTATGATCTATTTATTTCAATTATAGGTAAATCAATTGAATACGCGAAAACTATAAAGTTTTTGGATATTTACTTGGATAGAAAGTTAACATGGGAAACACAAATAAATAATTTAAATAAAAAAATAAGTTCTGCTTGTTATTTAACTTATGTCCAGGCACATCATGCCTATCGCATTGTATTTTGAGGTAGCTCCAGTAATTTTAACAAAGTTTTTATAATGCAAAGAACGATCCTTAGATTCATGGATAACAAAACCATTGTTTAGGAAATACAAAATTTTAACACTTCCCTGTTTATACATATTAAATTTGATTTTATATTTTGGAAAATAGTAGTAGACTCATAGTAACATACCTACATAGTTATTCAACAAGGAGTCAAAACGAGCCAAAATTCTTTTATTTATATGGAAATTAAAAGTTTATAATAAAGCAATGTCTATTATGTCTTACTATAAATGTTCCAAAATGTTAAAAACAAGCTGCAGAGTTTCTTAAGTCTGATTTATAGATTGCCTTCCTCCCGTAAAAGACGAACAAACATATTTTACGGGAGGAAGGAAGGAAGGCAATCTATAAATCAGACTTTAATGATAAATTTTAAGATATATTTTTCTTGGTGTTCCTAGTGCTTTTATGGTCCAATATGTTTTGTATATTCTGTAAAATGTGATCAATAAATATTATTATTATTATGGTATACAAATAGAAAACCGTTTTAGATGGGCGTTGCCGGACCAGATGGCGCAGGCGGGCTTCTACCACCAGCCCAACAACTCCGGCGACGACCGCGCCATGTGCTTCACGTGCACCGTGTGCCTGGTGTGCTGGGAGCGCTCGGACGAGCCGTGGAGCGAGCACGAGCGGCACTCGCCCAACTGCCCGTTCGTGATGGGCGAGTACACGCAGAACGTGCCGCTGTCGGTGACGCACGCCACCAACCCGGCCGCGGACGCCACGTACCGGGGCGCGCCCCTCGCCCTGCTCGGCTCGAGCGGCGCGCCCGAGCTCGTGCCGGCCGCCTACCCGGACAGCCTCGTCTCCGTGTTCGACGTCTCCGGCAAGGTCGAGCGCACGCACTCGTTCTACGTCACGCAGTTCGACTCGCACATCCTGGAGAGGATCACGCTCGACTTCGGCTCGTGGCGGAACGACGACAGTAAGTGATCTTAAAGTAGTTAATTGTGTAGTTTTGTTGAAAAATGTATTAGGTATGAACTAACAGTAAATGAGGTAAGATTAATCCATTGGTGAATTGAGCCAAATCAAGTAATTGATATAGGGACGAATTTTCGTTAAATGTACATTTTGTATATATATTTTGTCCAGGCACGTAAATTTGATCGATTTTTTTTCCTTTGTGATAGAACAGTGTAATAGACTGCAAAAAATTCTGAAATAGGGAAGGAACAAAGAAGGAAGAAGGAAACATTGTCCTCCTCCTAACGCATCTTCCTGAACGTTTTATGACACATTGCTTTTGACTTTTTTAGACGTTATTTTTCAGAAATAAGAAACAAGAGTTGTATGTAGCGTGTTGTAAAAGACACCAAAAAGTGTACGCAAAAAAATCTTACCTTTAAAATATTTACAAAAAAATTCACACACTTTACACGTGCTCACTTGTTGCCGAACTATCAAACTGGATGCCCTCTAGAAATAAAACGCTAGTATCTCTATCTCGTGTCTCTATTTCGAAGCAGTCGGCATAGAAGACGACGTTAGGAAAAAGACAAGATTTTTGAATGTCAACTTTAATATTTTTTTCTGTTTAAACTACTTTTTAGAAAACTATTTTAGTTTTATATACGAATAAAAGAACTTTCCATTGTTCAAAAATAGTTTATTTTTTCAGAAGAAAGCTGCAAAGAAGAAGAATATAAGAATTTAAATAAAAAAATCGCCTCTGGGGACAGTTAGGTTACAGGACATTTCACCTAGTTTTTCTGCCATATATAGAAACACAAAGTGATTAAAAAAAAAAAGATGGGTCCTAACAGGAAGGGAGTATTTAAATACAAAACTTTTCAACAAAGGTCAAAAATAAAATTAGCTGGGGACAGCAAATGTACATTTAACATTTGCCCATAGAATGCCGGTCTCGAAACCTAGCAAATCAAGCAAGAACAGATAAATCCAAATTAATACAACTTAAATTAATGTTTCAATTAAAATAAGATCAATTCACATTATACTCTAAAGAAGTATCGCAAGAAACGCCACCACTCGCTGTTATCTTCGTATCAAAAGTACAACTTTTGATAATCAGCTGTCAAACGCGTGTGTTACAAAGGAGTGTTTTTGAGAATAAAGCCGGAAAATGTTAAAAAATATCGAAAAAAAAACCGTGGCTCGATTTGTTGTGTTGTTGGGTGTATTTCAAGAGGAAATCCTGGGTTGACTTTTTATCGGTTTTCCAATAAACAGTGTTAATTTGAATGAAAAAATAAATTTCATACAGTCTCTCTAAATATAAATTGTACCTATTAGATACAATAAATACACATTTTAGTAGTGATTAACGTGAAAAGTGTAAACTTTTCAATTCAGTTATAATCGTCAAACAAATAAGTCGTCTTAATTTAAACAGCATTTCTGCCCTACTATGGAGAAAGGCAGTAACTGCTAAACAAGAAATTTGTGGAAAATTAGCATAAACTACAATTTTATAAAAAGCAGTAGGTATTTAATTGATTTTTTTAACTTATGAGATATTTGACTTCATTTCTGTGTTGAATTCGGTTACAAAATGTTTGCATTTTTTTTGCAGTTACTGCCTTTCTCCATAGTAGGGCAGATTTAGCATTATTAAAAGAGTTGATAAGAAAGTCTCCACTCAACGGTAAAATAGCATTATATTATGAATTATATATAATATTATCTTGCCATGAATTCGTAGGTATATTTTGTTGTTTAAAATGCAGTTGTCGGCGTTTTTTTAGAGAACTTAAACATAAAAATGGTTGATTTTAAGGTTATGTTTGTGCAAAAATAATTTTTTACTAATTTCTTAAAAATCTGTGGGTAAAAGGCATAAGAGGATAAGTCAAAAAAAGCAATTTTTAGGTAGAGACTTAAACGTGTTCGCATTAATTCAGGAAATATATTTATGGTTAGCGAGTATACCCTTTTGCTAGCATATGACATGTGCTGGCAACAGGATATACCCGCTAACCATAAATGTATTTCCTAAATTAATGCGAACACGTTTAAGGCACTACTAAAATATTGATTGTTTTGACTTATCCCCTTATGCCTTTTACCCACAGAAATGTCCAAACTTAAATATAAATTATATTAGGTAAAGTTATCATTAGTTAATTCTGCACCAACAAATGTACTTACCGAATTGGATCCTTTGGCAAAACATGAAAATGCAACGATTTAGTTCTTGAATTTTATTTACAATTAAAGACACAATAATTCACCATGATCCCTTTGATAAAATACACACACTAACGTAACTATATAAGGAATAATCAATCGAAATCGAGTACCTACTAAAAAAGTTTTTTAATTTTTTCCTTGCAACGTAAAACACAAATAACGTGCACGATTTAGCTGTGCAATTGAATGAAATTTGTCGAGTAAGACTCTCTTTTGTGAAAAAACTACGTATTTATTTAAAAATGATGTATAATCTGTGCTTTAAATGTATTGTTAACAATTCTTAAATTGACACCAGATGGCGCGCGCGTTGCGAAAACCCGATACTTCTTTAGGGTAACCTGGAATTACAGGTTTTTTTCTTTTGGCATTGTTTTTGCACATTGTCACTTGGCAGGTAGACATTTTTTTCCACTTGCAAAACTTTAAAATAGCTCAAAAAACAACTCGCATCAAAATGTAAATAGTCAATTTATCAATCTGATGGAGTGGTGGAAACAGATGCGCAAGTGAGATGGATGTTAACATAGATTCGTTTATTTCAGGAAAATACCCCATCGTCCGGAAAATAACCGCGCTATCGATAGTGGGGGAGTTGGATAAAGCAAGCAAATCGGAAAGTTTCGCGCTGGATAAGGAAGTCGCGACGAAAATACGGCCGAGCATAATCTGCGGTCTATTCATAAGTTGCGCCGTGGACAAATCCGCTCAAAAAGACGACTTGAACGACTGGTCGATGTCTTCCGACACCGAATCGAACCTGTACTTGGTGGTTTACGACTTCACGTACAAAAAAGAGATGGACCTCGTGGAAGTGGAGAAACCCGTCAAGGAGATTACTTCTTCGAACTCGACGCTTGATAATATGAACGAGATGGACAGTACGTTGGCGACGCCCAACAACATCATCAATTTGAACCAGATGCTCGACAATTTGGATGCCGATTCCTTTATGAAGCACATTTTTTCCTACAAGACCTTTATCCCCGACGATAAAAACGCGATACACATTCCACCGTCGGTTACCAAGAGCCACTCGGGTCCAAAATTACTGCCTATGCCGCCGCCGTTGTCCGAGACGGATTCCGCGCAGGGAAACTCGTTCGGCTTGTGCGACTCTATACCGGAAATTTCCGAAGTCAGCAGCACCATCTCCGAGCACATTAAGGAACTAAAAAACAGCAAATCGCAGAACAAACTCAACTACTCGCATTCTGTACAATGTGTGAGTCTCCCGAGCGAGTGCAAGAACATTTCTGACTTGGAGATAACGCATATCCTGCCCAACGCCAGCCACACGCACATACTGGTGGTGGTGAGCAGCGTAACAACATACAAAAGCTTCCTGCTGCTCTACGAGCTGGATTTCACGCAGAAGATGGTGAAGATCCTGGAAACCCCCGCCCTGATTCGCCAGCTGGAACCCAACGAAAAACCCGTGGAGGTTAAGTTGCTGCCGAACCTCGACAAGATCCGAATCAGCGCGGAAAACCGCGACGGGGACGTCGAAGGTAACGCCATCTTGGTGTGCCTCGATGGCGCAGTCAGAATCGTGGAGCTGAGGAGTTTGAATACGGCGTGTTTCGCCAAGTTGGAGAACGAGAGTTTCCTGTCCGCCACGTATTGCAACAGTGAGTAGCTCTAAAATAATTTAATACAATTTTGTTTATACACTAGGGTGGGCCGAAAAAATTATTTTTTGAATTCAATTTAGGGGTAGCAAAAAAAATTTACCTTAGGCCAAAAGTAGTTTGTAAAAAAAAAATTAGCGTACTAGCCCAATATTTAAGGCCCCCCCTGGGCGCCCAAAATATTATTTTTTTATATTTTGTTTGGGGTGGCAACAAAAAGTTACATTATGTTGACAAGAATTGTAGAAAAAAAATTAGCATACTAGCCCAATATTTAAGGGTGCCCCGGGGGCCCAATATTTTTTTTATATATATTAATTGGGGTAGCCACAAAAAGTTACCTTAAGTTAACAATATTTTTACAAAAAAATGTCCCATATTAGAGTTTGACGTAAAAAATTTGGAGGGTTAAAAATGTTTATAAATTTGGAAATGTTTTTTTTAAATAAAAGAACTAAAAATATTTATAAGTCGAGCAGACGACTTCTATATAAGGTTCGGCAAGTTTCCCTTTTACACGCAGGCGGTGAAAAAGTTTGTGAAGCTTGTAACAGAAGCTGCATTAAAAATTTGCTGTGAGGTAGCAAGAAATGGTTATATATAGATGCGCGGACATCTCTACCGGCCTATATGACAACAAGTCTAACTCTAGGAGCAAATATCCAATTAATTAATAATAATAATAATAATAATAATAATAAAAATGCTTTATTGCGTAAAACACAAAATTAATTACACAAAAGGCTGCTTTCGTAAGGACGTTCTTCCATACCACCTACTAAGAAATTAAATCTATTTTATTCTGCATATTACATATTAATTAAACTAAATCCTATAATTTCATATCACACCAGTTAATAACAAATTTTTGTACTCTAAATTAAATGTGTTTGGATATTTAAATATTATGTTAAATAATGTTTTATTGTTCAAAAGTTCTATAGATAGGTATATTAGGTCTATAAACGAATCCTTAGATTTTGAAGTTTTGTGACTAGGTATTTGAAAAAGATTGTGTCTTAAATCAAGATTGTGTTTATTAGATCTTTGAATAAAGTTGTTGAATAGATATTCAGGCAATTATTAGGTATTTACTTTCTGCACTATTTTTCCAAAATTTTGCTTGTAAGGATCAATTATTTTTAAATGCTTGTTTTCCAAATAGATTGAAGTAATTGGGTCAAATTTTCCGACTAAATATATGAATCTAATACATGAGTTTATTTTTAAATGTTTCAGTATGATATGAGTAGTAGACTGGCATGCAATAGTGTATATTAATGTTGAAACAATTTTGCACTTGGTGTTAGAATTTAGAACATACTTAAATTAATATAGTAATTTCAGCTTCATATAACACAAACTAAGTTGTCTTGTAACATGGCGTTTGTATAAAAAATAACACCCAGATTTCTTGCTGTTTCTTGCTGAGGTATTTCTATATTATTTATATGTTCGGTATTAAAATTATATTGTTTTTTATTTATCATATATACTGTACCAATATTTATTACAAGACTCTTTTTGGCATTTAACTGAAGTCTATGATTGACCAAGCATTTACTTCTTTTAAGACTTTATTTATTTCGATAGTGGTTGTGTTAATTAATTTAGAGTAACGCAAAATCTTTTTTAAATTTAATAAAATCAAGCTAAGAGTTGCTAATTTTTTTCATCAAAAGGCGTCTTAATAAAATAATAAAAAAAACTTAGACTGATACCGGCATTTGGTTTGTCTATGCAATAATACATGGGGTAACTTTTTGTTGCCACCTCAATTAAAATATATATAAACAAATTTAGGCCCCCCAGGGCACCCTTAAATATTGGGCTAGAATGGCTATTTTTTTCTAAACATACTGTTAACATGAGGTTACTTTTTGTGGTTACCCCAATTAAAATATGAACAAAAAATATATTTTGGGCCTCCGGGGCACCCTTAAATTTTGGGCTAATACGCTCATCTTTTTTTTAAAATTACTGTTAATATAAGGTAACTTTTGTGGTTACCCAATTAAAATATGATAAAAATAAATATTTTGGGCCTCCGGGGCACCCTTAAATATTGGGCTAGTACGCTCATTTTTTTTTCTAGAATTACTGTTAACATAAGGTAACTTTTTGTTCCCACCCCAGTCAAAACATACAAAAAAAAATATTTTGGGCCCCCGGGGGACCCTTAAATAATGGGCTAGTACGCTACATTTTTTTCTAATAAATTACTTTTAACATAAGGTAACTTTTTATTGCTACCCAAAAATAAATATCTCAAATATTTTTTTTTTTACGTTTTTCGGCCCACCCTATTATACACTCACAGGCAAAATAATCGATCCACACAAATTTTCGATGAATTTCAATCGCAAATATCTTGTTTATTTGATGTCGGATTTAAACGAATGTTAAAGAATATTGTAGATAAATTAATGGACAATCGCTCACATTTTAAAAAATTACCAAAAAATAGACGTACGATTATAATATACAGATTTAAACAAAAAGATGTTTTTTACCATAAGTTTAAGACACTCTGTAGAGTGGCAAAACCGTATATTGTTCTAAATTAAGTTTTATTTATCAAATCACATCTATTCTAAACAGTTTTGTTTTTGGTTCACCTCGATATATTTATTTTTGTGGAAAATATGGACATTGCAAATTCCAATATTTTTCTGTATGAAGAACTAAGGTTGCTATGGTCCATCCATAGCCTATGGAGGATGATAGTGACAGTTTTGTTGAATCATCCCATACTTGAGCATGTCATATACAGCTTTCAAAAGCTATAAAATTGTTTTTTGTAAATTAATGTGTTAATTTTGAGGTGTCTTCTTACTTTTAAAAATGTCTCCGTCTGATGGTACCCTTTGTACTTTACTTCTTGTGACGTTTAAAACACTTGCCACATAATACTGTGACCGTCCATCCTGGATTAAATTAATGCAGGGTTCCCGTTTATCATAAAATTTTTAAATATCATAAAATTGGTTAAATTGTCCTAAAATGTCATAAAATTCACATTTGGTCATAGAAATCATAAAATTTCATTATTGTTTAACAATTTTCTCACCTTTCCTCTTTTTTTATAAAATGGAAATTTTGTGCAATAAAATTTAAAGCCGGTCCTGTAGAATAAAACGCAATGAAATGTTTTGAATACGGCCTTGGTTGTTAACGTATGAACTTCATACTATGGAGGAATTGAATTTTAAATTTCAAATTTCATAAAAAGTGTCATAAAATATGAAAAATTTGTCATAGAATCATAAAAAAAGTACAAAACAATGCTGGGAACCCTGTTAATGGCTCTGGCAACATCAGTCGGAGACATATCCATTTTTTAAAGTAAGAAGACACCTCAAAATTTAAACATTAATTTGCAAAAAACAATTTGAAAGCTTTTGTAAGCCGTGTATGACATGTCCAAGTATGGGATGATTCAACAAAACTGTCACTGTCATTCTCCATAGCATATGGATGGACCATAGCAACCTTAGTTCTTCATACAGGAAAAATATTGGAAATTGCAATGTTTTTTTTTAAATCCATATTTTCCACAAAAATAAATATATCAAGGTGAACCAAAAACAAAAATGTTAAAAATGATGTGACTTGATAAATAAAACTTAATTTAGAACAATATACGGTTTTGCCACTCTACAGAGTGTCTTAAACTTATGATAAAAAACATATTTTTGTTTAAACCTATATATTACAAACGTACGAGTATTTTTTAGTAATTTTTAAAATGTGAGCGATTCTCCATTAATGTATCTACAATATTCTTTATTATTTGTTTAAATCCGAAATCAAATAAAAAAGTTATTTGCGATTGAAATTCATCGAAAATTGGTGTGGATCGATTATTTTGCCTGTGAGTGTATTATAATGAATCCTATTTATTATGGTACTGAATCGGTACCATTCAATGTACTTCAGTAATTCAGGAATATTAATCAAATTAACTAGAATCTCCATCACTACTATACAATGCAGTAAACTAAAAAGCTGATATAATTGATTATATCCCTCATTATAATATGAACCAATCAAAAGCCTTGAAATTTCGAATAAATTTTGTTTAAATAGGCGATTAAATCACTAGAACTATTTAACAGCGATTAAATTTTAGCCTCCATATTGGATTTTTGTTTACGATTTTATGGTGTAATTTACAAGTTTTAACAAACATTTTTAAAAAAACAATAAAAAATAAGTTATCTAGTTTACGAAATATCAATTATTACTTATTACATACCTTAAATTAATGGAATTTTCTTTAAAAAATATTTATAAATTTTGACACATACGTCAGATTTTATGAATTGTCAAATAGTTTCCTTTAATTCGAGAAATAATCTACACCTTTTCCAGTTGATATTCAGAAAGTAGCAATTGATATTCAGAAAGCAGCAATTGATTTTCAGATATTGCAAATGAAATTCAGAAAATAGCAAATGAAATTCAGATATTTCAAATGATATTCAGAAAGTAGCTGATGTAATTCAGATATTGCAAATGATATTCAGACAGTAGCAATTGATATTCAGAAATTACAAATAGTATTCAGACAGTAACAATTGTAATTCAGAATATGTCAATTGAAATTCAGAAATTAACAAATGATAACATTTTCATACTTCATTTTACATATTTCCTAAAATCTCAATTTAATGTATTTCTTTGTATATTGCTTTGTTTCCATGGAATTGACAATAATAAACAAATTTATCACCATTTAAGTAGGTATATTTGTCAACTTATTGCAAATAAGGACCGAATTTTGTTCATTTGTACTTTATATAAATTTCATTTACTTAGTTAATAAAGATAATGTGTACTTTCATTTATCATCGATTTACAGTATGCAACCCACTGTTTCTGAAACAATTGCTGCGGCTGAATTACATTTTATTTAATCTGAAAAACATTTGCTACTTTCTGAATTACAATTGCAAGTTTCTGAAAATCAATTGTGTTATCTGAATTACAATTGCTACTTTCTTAAAATCAATTGTGTTATCTGAATTACATATGCTACTCTCTTAAAATCAATTGGAATAGCTGAATTACAATTCCTACTATCTGAATATCAACTGGAATAACTGAATTACAATTCCTACTTTCTGAATATCAACTGGAAAAGGTGTAGACGTATATCACTCAACCTATAAATTTAATCTGTCAAACTATGCTCAGTAAGTTTTTATTTGATTTTTCTTTTTGGAAAATAGTTTCATGCAAAATAATTAAAAATAAAACCCCTCGACCGCTAATATATGAATAAAAATGATGTTAGCAACATGTACGGACAATAAATGGACAATAAATTGCAGGTCTCGAAAGGCTGTGCGTGTCGACGAAAGGCGGCTCGTTGCACTTCTACGCCCTGAACGAGACCGACAACGAGTCTTTGGACGATCTAGAAGACGAAGATTTGTTCGGCGCGCCGATCGAAGGCGGCGCCGCCTCGTCGCAGCCGCCGCCCGACGCTACCGACGCCGACGAGGCGCGCTGCTTCGACGAGCCGGCCGGCGTCGTGCGCCTCGAAGAGCTGAAGCGCCTGCACGCGCTCTGCGACTTCGAGCCGCTCCGCGCCGGCTACTGCGCGGTCGTGCCGCCCTGCTGGAGCGACATCCAGCAGGCGCTGCGCCAGCGCAAGCACCCGATCAAGCCGAAGGCCGAGGGCGAGCAGTACGCGAAGACGTGGCGCCTGCAGACGGACACCACCACGTGGGACGAGCACGTGTTCGAGATCTCGCTGCCGTCCGGCGTCGCGCTGGGACACGTCGACGTGCACTGCCGCATCCAGCACTCCGCCTTGCCGCCCCAAGTGGAATTCACTCTCCTAAGGCAGAACTCTAAAGGTAGCTATAGTGGATTTGTTTAAATATGTTGTTGCTATTTTATTTTTACTTGATGAAACTTCATGTCACTAATGTATAACTAAAAAACAATCTCTAGTTATACATTATTAATTGTTACGACTAGGGTTTTAAAGTTTTGGAAAAAAAACGGAAAAATTGGAGAAAAAACCCGTTTTTTCACAGGTCTTGAAAAAATTGTCTTTATTGAGAAAAAATGATTTTTTTCTCAAAATATTCAAAGCAGTCAACAACTAATAATAAATGTATTACATAAAAAAATAAAACCGAACATTGAATTGAATTAAATTGATTTAAGAAAATAAACGTAAACGTTCAATATACTGTCAGTTGGGTCCTTTTTGAACAGTCCATTGAAAATATCCATTTACAAAATATTAAATGATTTTTTCTACTCCCACCTTTAAAACGCCCTTTATCGTACATGTTTCCATTACACTAAGTGACCTTTTAAATACACATTGACAAGTTGTGGCTTTATGGCGCTTTAGTCACGGGCTGAAGTTAGCAACAGGTTTTTAGTCACGGGCTGAAGTTAGTTTTAAGTTAGTTGACAGTTGTCAAATGTCATACAATCGTTAAAATAAAGTGCCTTTCTTGTAAAACAATACTAAATGTGAAAATTATTTTATTATCTCAATACAAAAATATTAAATAGTTTCTCAACGCCAATATTTGAAAAGTTTATATGAACATTGTACTGACCTTTTAATTTCGCCGGCAGTAAACTATAACTTAAATTCGGGCACGGACTCTACTGTAAAGTCCTCATAAAACATTTCAATTTTCAATATACATTTCGATTTATAACCTTTATAATTGTGTTTATAAAATGTAAAAATGTGACATTTGACAGTTTCCCCTGTTGTTTCATAGATGGCGCTCTATACAAATTTTTGATTTAAATCATTTTAAGATAATAATTTGATGATTAGATAAGTATTTGTCGTAGAAAAAGTTTAGTATGCACCTCGTTTATAAACTTTTCTATACACTAATTAATTAAATTAAAATTCGTGTATAAAATGGCGTTTATCAAACTTGATACATAATATACTATATTATAGTATATTAAAGAACTAATGTCATAAAACGTCATTTCATACAACGAGCGACGAAAGAGCGAGTTTTGTAATGGACGAGTGCGACAAAAGGTCTTATGACATGATTTCTTTATGCTATTTTATCTATTTTGCAGAAATTCTATAAAAAAAATTAATTTTATACACAGTATCACAGTCATTGGTTTGACAGTTAATGTCAAAATCGATTCGCCATGCCGTCCTTAATTTACTTATTTACAATAAGCGGCTGTTAATGTTAAAGAATATACAAAGATTTTCTTTGGTGTTAAACAAAATTTATTGCCAGAAAAGTCTCGTAAATACTAGAAAAATCATAACAATATATCGAATATGCAAAATATTATGCTGTTTAAAGTATAGCCAACCTATAAAATCAAAATTTTGGGTGGGATAAAGTATCTCATTACATCACCGAAAGCGGTGTGAATTATAATAGTATGAATAATTATTATAATCATGTATTATATGATTATAATCTGAGTCGAAATGACTATAATTTTTTTCGTAATAACCTTTAAATAAAATGAAAAAAATGCAAAAGGCAATTTTTCTGAAAATTTTCCAATTTTTCCGTTTTGGCTCAGTTTTTCCGGATATTTTAAAACCGACCAATTTTAGAAGGTGGGAGTAAAGTATCTAAACAGTGTTTTTTCGCTTTTTGAACCCGATTTTTTTAACGCATCTCTAATAAAAAAAAGTTTATTTTGAAAAAACCTATAAAATTTATTTTAACTTGTTTTTATTTACTATGATAAACCGTTTTGGAGTTTTGGTGAAAAAGTTTTTGGATTTCATTTTAATCGAAAACAGTACGTTTTGGGATTTTTTTGTTATGTCATACACTATCCGTCAAAATTAACGAATAAGTAAAAAAATTCTAACTCTAAAACGCCTTTAGCAATCTTTATAAAATTTTGGATAAAAATACTTCAACTTATATCTCAGTTTATGTTTAATAAATAATATGCTGTTAAAGACCGTACTTTTGTTAGTATACCCTAAAAATTTTGTACAAATCAAACGAACAGTAACGAAGATACAGTAAAATTTACCAATTTTCAGCAAAATAATCAAAAAGTGGTAAATTTTACCGACTTTGAAGAGCTGTATCTTCGTTACTGTTCGTTTGATTTGTACAAAATTTTCAGGGTATACTAACAAAAATACGGTGTTTAACAGCATATTTTTATTTACTTAAAAAATACCCTATAAAAGTTTTTTTTCGAGCGTTTTTTTAATATTAAGTAAAAGGGCTTTAAAAATATTTTCTCGAAAAACCCTCGAAGACGTAAAGATTGCCCAGTGTATTTTTATCAACTTTTTTTACCTATGATATATTAAAAGTTACGTTTATTTGATCCCTCTTTTTTTGGGGGTTCATCTGTTGAATTACCTGTTAATAAGTTAATAAATACCTAACACATATTTTTTCTATTCCCACCTTTAAAACGCCCGTTATCGTACATGTTTCCATGACACTAAGTTTACTTTTTAATACACATTATTTTTTTAAAGTATTAATATTTCTTATCCGATTAAAAAGTGAAAAGGCGTGTCATAGTCTACGGTCAATTTTAAACATTTTGTCACTGCAGGCATCGGCCACAAAAGGGACGTAAAATTCGGCGTGGACGAGTCCATCACGATCGACATGCTGCAGTGGGCCGACAACCCCGTAATCTCCCAAGAATACCTTCGAGCGCACAACGCCGAAATACTGGCCGGCCCGATAAACATCAACGAGCACCTCGACCTGCTCGAGCAAACGGCCACGGTCACTCTAACCAGCCCGAAGATCTTCCGGTCGAAATGCAGAACGCTGCTTCTGCACGTCAAGTCCGTTTCTGCGCGCGACGACAAGCAAAAAGACCCTCTCGGCGCGAACGCCGATAAAGGGGCCTCGCGGAACGGCAACTACATGGGCTGCGACTGCATCCACGAGCTGAGCATCACGCTGTTCACCTCTAAACACACCGAGGTGCAGAACGAGAGGAGTCAGAGGAACTTCATGCTCGAATCGAACGTTTTCGTGCAGTCGTTGTTTTTGACGGCCACGCAGCAGTGTACAGTCGAAGTTCTCGGCTACGTTTTGGATGTCGTCAACTGGGTGGCCGCCATAAGGTTGTCCAGGAATAGAAGCAACAACGGGGATGCACCCAACCACCAGATGGACTTCATCAACGCCATTCAAAACAGTTTGCAAAAGCTTATGGAGAAGTGCTTGCTGCATGGCGGACGGAGCATAGCCCATAAGTGCATGAAGTTACTGTCCATATGTTGCAGGTAAGTTATTCTAATAATATTATAACACAGTTCAACATGATATTCCTCCCATAATTTTTTTTAACAGACTTTAAAAATAAAGGTTTTCATCTTATATTAAATATATGTTGGAAACAAATCTTGATCTTTTAGTTTGAAGATTACACATTGCTTTAGAATGTATAGCGGCATCACAACCTAAAAAACACCACTTGATATACCGGGTGTTTCACATTTGCGGTCCATTGGTTTCTGGAGAACGGAAAAAATATCGATTTGAAATTTTTAAATCGTTTAATATTCAATTAAGCCTATTTTTCTAAAATATTTTGAACAAAATTTTCTACAAAAAATATATTTACATTTTTTTATTTCATCGTTTTTAACTTTTAAATTAAATTTGTTTTCTTTCCAAAAAAGGGTCAAAAGGACAAAATGTAAAAAACAAACAATTTAAAAAAAACTACATGTGACTCATGTTTTAAAATCTTTGCAAAATATTTTTTTGGTAAGATAAAAATTGTTTTTTTATTTCTTTTGACATTTCTTTTCTTACTTCTCTTTAAATTACGAAAATTTTGAGATGTGTAAAAAGTGTGCCGATATTTTTTAGTGTTTTTTTAGTTTTACACGCTGTTTTTATTGTTACTTGTCTGTAAGCAAATCTGGGAAGTCGATTCTACTTCCACTTAACCCAACCAAGATTTGTTTACATAGAACTAAAAAAAATCCCACTACTTTCTACATCTAAAAATTTTGGTAATTTTAAGAGGACAAATAAATGTCCAAAAATAAAAATGGCGTTCTCATACAAAAATCCATGTCATTATTTAAAAAAATATTAAATTTCTCAAAATCAAAAAGTTCATATGGGTAGTTTTTTTTAAATTTGCCGTTTTTTCTTCGTAATTAAGTTGTTTTTATTTTAAGTGGCGCAAATGAAAATTAGACATTTGAGATTTCCAAGTTGATTAATCTATTGTTTTATACATGCCTATACAAATATTTAATTTAAATCAGTTTTAGATAATAAGGCTTGGAAAAAGTATAGTATGTTTTTTATGAGAACGCAATTTTTATTTCTTTCGACATTTCTTTTCTTACTTCTCATAAAATTTACGAAAATTTTGAGATGTATAAAAGGGCTCCAATTATTTAGCGTTTTTTTAGTTTTACACGCTATTTTTATTATCAACTTTACTGGTCTGTAAGCAAATCTGCGAAGTCGATTTTAACCTACTTCCACCCAACCCAACCAAGATTTCTTTACATAGAACTAAAAAAATCGCCCTACTTTCTACATCTAAAATTTTGGTTATTTTATGAGGTTAACAACTCATACAAAAACTCCTTTTTTTCTTAAAAATCATTTTCGCATGTCAATATTTAAAAAATTTTAAATTTCTCAAAATCAAAAAGTTTACATGGGTAGTTTTTTTTTAAATTCGCCGTTTTTTGTTCGTAATTAAGTTGTTGTGAAATTTGTTTTTATTGTAAGTGGCGCCAATAACAATTTGACATTTGAGATTCCCAAGGTGGTTACTCTATTGTTTTATACAATTTTGACATGTGTAAAAAGTGGTCCGATTTTTTTAGCGTTTTTTTTTTTAGTTTTACATGCTATTTTTATTATCAACTTTACTGGTCTGTAAGCAAATCTGCGAAGTCGATTTTAACCACCCAACCCAACCAAGATTTCTTTACATAGAACTAAAAAAATCGCCCTACTTTCTACTAAAATTTTGGTGATTTAAGAGGTTAAAAAAATGTGAAACAAAATAAAAATGGTGTTCTCATACAAAAAATTTTTTCCTCAAAAATCATTTTTGCATGTCACAGGGTTCCCTCTCACCTGGAAATCCTTGAAAATCTGGAATAGTCAGGGAATCCGTTTAAGTCCAATAAAATCAGGGAAAAGTCAGGGAATTTTGAAAGTCAGCGCAAAAGTCAGGGAATTTGTTAATATTATGGTAAAAGTCAGGGAAATTTATAAAACGGCTTGTTTTCTGACCCTTTTTCGTTGAAAGTCGCCGTAACGGCGGTAATTATCAAGGATTTTACACAAAAAAATTTTACACACTAAAAAATCGCAAACATGATAAACAAAGTAACAATTAACAATAATTAAAACAATTGTCATAATTAATTTTAAATTGTTAAAGTTTGTTGTGCATTGCTTTGATGAATATGGTATATTTGTATAAATGTATACCAAAGAATGTTTTTTATGTTTGTACCAAAGAATCTATTTTATGTTAAACTGTTTTTATTAAAATTTTATTTTAATTTTTATTATAATATTTAATTTTTAAATAAATATTAACAAAAATAAACGCTATTTTTGACTTAACATGGGACACTATTTTGGGAGATAATTGTCTTTATGTCTTTCTTTTATTTATCTGGAATTATAGGGACTTTGGTCAGGGAAAACCTGGAAAAGTCAGGGAATTTTAAATGGTTTTAAAAGAGGGAACCCTGCTGTCATTATTTAAAATGTTTTAAATTTCTCAAAATCAAAAACTTCATATGGGTAGTTTTTTCGAAATTCGCCGTTTTTGGTCGTAATGAGTCGTTGTGAAATTTGTTCTTATTTTAAGTGGCGCAAACAACATCCACGAGAGCGTGGGCGCAAACTTCAACCAGTGCGTTCTAAACATCCTCCTGCCTTTGCTCGACAACATCGGCGAAGTGCGCTCGGCCGCCGGCCTGCAATGGATATTCGCCGTGCTGTTCAAGGTCACCAGCAAGGACAAGGAGCGCTCGCTCTCCAGCAAACTGATCGAGGTGCTCGGCAAGCTGTCCGACGAGATCAACAAGCGCGCCAACCCGTACCACCTGCTGCTGCGCGCGCGCTACGGCCTCTACGGCACGCCCATGGAGCCCGAGCTGTTCGACGTCGACTTACCGTCGCACATCAAAGGTAGGGATGAGAACTAGGGTGTTCCAAAAAAAGTCGATAATTTTTTTTTTCGATTGCACGTGAAATTCTTGTTATATATGCTATAAAAAAAATTCTGTAAAAATTTGAGCCCTTAATATCAACTTGAAGAACTCCATCATCGAATTTTAAGATTTTCCATTGATTTAACATGGAAAAATGATTTTTTAACCTTCATTTCTCATGCAAACTATGTAGAACATTATTTTTCGAAAAAACCATCACTGATCCTTCTTCAGCATTAAATTCTGTAAAAAAAAGTTCTTAGGGTCCAGTCTCTAACGTCAACCCTCTCGTTTTTATTTGCGTTGAAAAATATAGATTTTTTAAAATTTCGATTTTTTCCATTTAATGTGTAAAATTTTGATCTCAGACCATAAAGTTTGAGAAAATTTTAATAGATCGTTCAATGATTCACAAATCTGTGCCAAGAAAATTTTTTGTATTAAAATTATATAATTAATTTAATAAAATTTCTGTTTACGAAAATTGCTTTTACGTTAAGGACAATATTTAAAAAACCAATGAAAATAAATACAACAAATGCATTATTTTTACTATTCGTAAAGAAAATATGCATTCAATTTTGAAATTATAATAAAAATGTAATTTCCCTTAAGGAAAATACATATAATTTCAATTATCTAATGTCTCATAGAAATCAAGTCGAATTAAAATGAGACTTAATAGCCATGTGTAATAAAAACTAAAACGGCTTGCCATATAACTATCAGTAAATACCGATAGTTTTTTCATCCTTTATCAAAGGCAGCAACTCGCCCACCTACCACATTACTTCAGCCGGCGTTGGAGAAACCGCCAGCAACCACTCTGAATTCTTCGCCAACTATTCCTACAACAAGGAGAGCATCAGCGCCAAGGACGTTCTCTTCAACGCGGACACCAAGCTGAAGTACAAGAACATCGCCCCGCCGAAGACCATCAAAGGCTTGATAGAGACGGTTCCGCTGCATTTCACCTGCATTTCCGCCAGTGAAGGTACATAACAAACGAATAACTTTATTCTTGTTACATTGTTTTACGTGTTATCTTTTTAGGTACAAGGTTGGAGAGAGCTGACGTGCTAAACGGAGCCAATCCCAACAGTATGGTTCAGCTGACGAGTAGCAAGGAAGATATCCAACAGTTCATCAACAGTCTGGTCGGAGGGGTCAACGACGATAGTTTTCATTTTCTGAAACGACAAGATTCAAGTAAGATTTGCATTTTATTTTTTATCAATTGTAGCACATTAATTATTATTGTTCATATGGAAAGAAAGATATTCCCACTTTTGAATATTTTTCCTATCTATAATGATCGTTTTGTAAACCTATATTTCCGAGTTATAGCTTCGTTTCGGGTGTTACATTTGTTCAACAAGAGTATAAACTTTTAAGTATTTTGAAATAATTTTTTAGCCAATAAATTATTCTCTACGTTTTTAGTTGTTCTATCTAAATTGTAAAATTAGTACAGTCTCACGATTCTGCCTCTATGTCCTGACCATTGTTACATTTATTTGAAATTCAGCAAATTTTCTTAGGGAAACATTTCTAAATATTACAGGCATCCAAAAGTATAATATTTACTAACCATCTACCAATAACGTTTTACTATTTTTTTTATAAAATTTTACTTTGTTTCGGGTGTTACCATGGTTCTGTTTCGGGTGTTACAAGTGCAAAAATTAAACACTTTATATGGACAAAATCGGTGTTTTATTAGTCTCTAAGTACTACAAAATAAGTAAGTAACAAATAAACATAAATAGAATGAATTCTCCTTTAACATAACTTAAGCAGCTTCGGATACGATTGATAAATCGTCAAAAGAGGTAAAATCGTTGTTATTGCCAACAATCGGTAGAAACATAATTATTGACGAAAATCGTAGTAGGTATTGCTTTGATTTTTTTGTATATTTTTAATGAGAAGCTTTACTTACTTTTGCTGACAAAGGGAAGGGGGGTTAAAAATTACAAAATTACTGCTTACGTAATACTTGAATGGCCCCATACTTAAAATTTAAAAACCAACACTCAAAAATTATTGAGGGTCAGGAAACCAAAAAGAAAACACATTTTGTCTTGGAAAAAAAATCAGGAAAGGTCAGGGAATTCCTGGAAAAGTCAGGGAATTTGGTTTAGACAAATCAGTGACAACCCTGTTATAATTTTATCAGATTTAATGCTAAAAAAATATATTTTATATTGAAAGACCGTAAAATTTTTTTTAAATAAAATCGTTTCTGGATCGTTGTAAAAGCAGTTAAAACAAAAACAAAAGCACACAACACAAAAATTAAATTAAGGTGGTTATTTTTTATGTAAAACGTCCCTCACAATTAGATATAAAATGCTAGATCTAAAACAAATTGGTCCAGAACTCTCATTTTATATCTACTTGTGAAGGAGTTTTACATAAAAGTATGTTGTAGCTTAACAATATTGTTTTAAAATTATCATATTGATATAAAGACGGTAAAAACTAAAATTTAAAATGAAGTCGTATGTAGGGTTGGGAAAATTTCACTTTTGCTTGAACTTGAAATTTTCATGACATTTATGAAATTTCTGAAATTTCATGAAATTTATGAAATTTATTGAAACTTTCAATAAATTTCAATCACTTTAAGTGTAATATATTAATATTGAAATAAGCCCACTCGGGGACCATGGCAAATTGGCTCTCTTACCTCCTACCCCTCTGTGGGCCCCTGCACCAATAATATAAATAGTAAATACCTATGTTTACCACAAATTTCTTGAGATTTCCTTTTAAAATATTTTCAAAATTACTAAAACTAAAAGAGATATAGCACTTTTTGGTAAGCTAATGAGATTGTGCCACTTACATTGTTTTATATTTATATATATTTATTATTTTTAAATATTTTACTGAAATTTTATGAGCCAAAGGCATTTTGTATCCTTTTTCCGATGCAATTATAGCAAAAGTAAAAGTTTAAATTAATCATGACTTTTAAAAAAATTTTAAAGTCTGATTTAATTTACAAATTAAATCGGTAACTGAATTAAATTATTTAAATTAATTTATGCATATAAGTAACAATAATTACTTATGGTGTATTCAAATCCAAGCCGAACTAAACAAAAACGCCCAGACGCTTGATAACTCGTTCTTATTGGTCGATTCGGAATCTGTTGTAAATTATTATTAAAGGTCCCAGGGGAGGCCGCATGTGAAATTTATGCGAAATTTTCAGTAAATTGCGAAACATTCAATGAAATTGGCAATGTTGAAATTTTCGGATTGAAATTTCCTTTGAAATATTTAAAAATTTCACTTTTCCAACTAAATTAAATATTTTAAGTTTGAAACTTTCAAAGTTGAAATTTTCATTTGAAAATTTCAACTGTCCCAACCCTAGTCGTATGTAGACGGTTAAAAAAGCACGCGAGTCGTTTATCACTCTCGATTATCATCCGTCAAGTTCCAGAATCGCTGTTCGACAACTTCAACAAGTCCATCAAGCACTCGGGGACCGGCGGCGCGTGCTCCTTCAAGGAGGACCGCTCGTCGCCGTGCTCGTTGCCGTGGCAACGTCTCTTGACGCCGCCCGCGCAGCAGGTGATGGTGGTGGAGCGCATGCACAGCGGCGCGCGCCGCCACGTCACGCTCGACTTCGGCCGCCCGGTGCTGCTCACGGACGTCGTGATCCCGTCTTGCGCCGACCTCGTCTCGGTCAGCGTCGACATCTGGATGCTGGGCGAGGAGGTGGACGAGACCCGGCTGGCTATCGCCTCGGACATCGGCACCAGGAACCTGCTGCTGAACGACCTGCAGCCGCCGCCCCTCTGCCGATACATGAAGGTAAGATTTTCTTGGACGTTTTAGAAATTATTTTTCAAAGAAGTTTAAGTTTTACTGCGAACACGTCTTTTAAGCCATAAAAAGTCGTTTTTTTGTGGAAAACATGAAGTAATGTAATACAAGTATTTTCTAGATTTATTAACCAAGACTTTTAATTTCAATGTTATCGTAAAAACTCCAGAACTCGCATTTTATATCTACTTGTGAAAGAAGTATATATAAAATGCGAGTTCTGAAACAAATTGGTCCAGAACTCTCTTTTTATATCTACTTTTACATATATGCACACATATACATGTAAAAGTAGATATAAAACAAGAGTTCTGGACCTAAAAAACATTGTTAACGCGATTCTATTCATAAAATCAAACATATCAACTATTTTAAAATATTAATTATTTTTAAAGTAATTATTATTGCAAACATTTCTTTTAAACATTAAAAGTCGTTTTTGTGAAAAATATGAATTTAATAACATACTATAAGTATGTTTAACCAAGACTTTTTTATTTTAATGTTATCTTAAAGGAAGTAGATATAAAATGCTGGTTCTGTACCAAAAAGCTCCAGAACTCGCATTTTATGTATATCTACTTGTGAAGGAAGTAGATATAAAATGCGAGTTCTAGAACAAATTGGCCCATAACTCTCTTTTTATATCTACTTTTACATATACATCATGTATAATGTATAATACATGTAAAAGTAGATATAAAATGATAGTTCTGGACCTAAAAACATTTTTAACATATCAACTATTTTACAAAATTATATATTTTTTAAAGTAATTTAAGTTTTATTGCAAACATGTCATTTAAACCATCAAAAGTCGTTTTTTGTCAAAAATATGATTTTAATAATAAGATTTTTTTAACCAAGACTTTTTAATTTCAATGTTATCGTAAAATGTGTTTTCTCGTCCTAAAAAACATTTTTAACGCGATTCTATTCATGTTTGATTAAACATATCCACTATTTTACAAAATTAATTATTTTTCAAAGAAATTTAAGTTTTATTGCAAACGGGTGAATATATTGAGATGTCCCCCAAGTGAAAATGATTGTTTTTGGTTGTTTCACTGTTAGTCTAGTAATGCAAGAATTTTAAGAAATCATACATTTTGAATATTAGAGATTCACGGAAGATAGCTTCACGGAGGTTAGGATTTCGTACGTTTTTTTTTAATCATCCCTTTGTATATTTGAAATAAGTTATTGTATCTTTTGACACCTTAATATTTTAAAAAAATACAATTGAATAGGTCAATGCAGAAACTGAATATGTCCACTTTTTAGGGCTATTGAGTTAAACATGGATTTACTATAAGTAAAGGGAGCCCGATCGAATGGCGTAGAAATTTCACATGTCACGGTAATCTAGAATATACAAAGGCGTTAATATAGTAGAGAAACTGAATATGTCCAGAACATATGTCCACTTTCTGTTCAGTTTTTCTTATTTATCTCAAAACTAGATAGGTAGGACATATTCAGTTTCTGCATTGACGTATTCAATTGTACATGCATAAAATATTTATAAAAAAATCTACTTACTGATATATTACACTTCACGGTAGATAGGTTTTTAAATAGCAAATTAATGAACTTAAACTTTTGAATTATAAAACAGCAACACTCTCATCTGCATATAAATTCTTACTGACCTTCAGGAATCACATGCAACTATAATGTCGTAAACAGAGGTTTTTGCTTATTTAAAATGTATAAAGCTCCATCCGTTGCATAAAATTTAAAGCAAAAACAGATTCACGGAGGATTGAATCAATTTTTGTAACACTTACATAAATGGTTATAATTTATGTAAGTGGGTTTAATTTTTAATAATATTTTATATTTGATTCGATTGCTTTGGATGTGTTTAATTTACTTGGTGAACTGATATTTTTAGTATGCTTTTACTACCTCAGATACTTAAAAACATATAGGTTAATCTAGAAATATTAGCAGTCACGGAGGATAGGTTTTATACTTTTAAAACATTGTAAAAAATAATTAATTGCGGTTAAAAATCTGGAACCTGAGCTGTAATATCTACTTAATTATGAAAGATCAAAACACAATAAAAGTGTAGGTCAAACTCATTTAGTTTTATTAAATATCATCGGGGGACATTTCGTTAGATTCACTCATCAACAATTTTACAAAATGAATTATTTTTTAAAGTAATTGAAGTTTTATTACAAAAATATCTTTCAAATCGCAAAACCTCTAGATTTTAATTTTTATTGTATATTGATATGGTCACGTTTTGGTATTATTTATAAAACTTCAAGAAGCAGGACAAACTTGGGTTTTGTAGCGTATTATTTTTTTACCTATTTATTAGATCACTGGCATTGGACGTTATGGAATGTCCACGACGAGATGTCGCATACCCACTGGGTACTTTTACGGACATATCATTGTCCTACCCGAGGAAGTACCTTCGTATTTATCCGATCAATCGTCGGATATTGCGTGCAAAGACGCTGACAAACAGTTAAACATACTGTCCAACTTACTGGAAGACATAAATTGTCGATACAGTCTCGCCTGTTCCAAACTCAAGGACCTCCTGCAACCTTGCCTGGTTTCCGACTTGAAGAACGCCGAGAATCTGTTCACTTACATCGGAGTGATGAGGGACATTTCCGCGAACGTCACCGATTGGGAGCACAGCAAAATATTCAACTCCTATCAGGTAGGGAACATTAGAAGTCGCCAATCGTAATCGTAATGCGTTTTAATCGTCTCCAGGACGCCATAGGTTTCCAACTGCAGTTGAACACGGTAAAACATGTGATGTGGCGATTGGAGGAAAGCCTCAATCGAACCCCTCAGAATCACGGCCAAGGCCTCTCGAATTGCTCCACAGACAAACTGAGATCCATAGCGGAAGGCATCATCGAGGTGCTTTTGTCCTTGGACACGTTGCCCAATTTGCACGTGGACAGGTGCAGGCAACTTTTCAACAGCCTGTGCGTTTGCCAGACTTCCAGGTTGCAATTGCTGGCCGCCCTATTTCTCGATAAGTCTTGCGGGCGAAATTCCTTCTGGGGCGATTTTCTGGCCGACACGTTGTACACTATGTACTCCACGGATTTTACCGTAAAGTTTCCGCAAGATAGACTGTTCGTTTTGCTTAATTTCCTGAGCAGGAGGACTCCCGAACGCAGTTCGGTTATTGACGCGGCTTTGAGGGTTGTCTACAAAACCCTAAACCCTGCTGTAAATGGGGTAAGTAATATTCGAAAAATGCCTGCAAAGTCTTCTATGTTTATTTTCGTCAAGGACCTTGCGGATCAAGACAAGACTCTCCTCGCCATTTCCACCGATTTACCTTTATTGTCATGGCTGTTGATGTATCTCTCGCTGCAATTGGACTTAGCGACCCCGCCCAATTCCACCAATAGGTGGAACTTCGTTTTCGGAGAGCTGGTGGAAAAATCCAACGTCGACAACGCGAAACCAAACAGCAGGAAGATGTTTAAGTGCAAAAGGGCCATACCAACAAGCCCGGGAGTGATAGCTTCGTACGTTCCAAAAAGCACAAGCTCCTCGGTTTCCTTCAGCAAGCAGTTCGGGAAGTTGGGCACCTACTGGAAAACCAACGAGTTGATGCTTAAGGCAGACAAATTCAAGTTGAAAATATCGAAAAAGGCGGCGACAGAGCTCGCGAAGCACAAAGAAAACGTCGAAACTACCAGCGAAAAGGCGAGGAAAGTGCCGCAGCACATTAGCAAGCTGCATTGCCAAATCGTCGCCAAAAGTTTGATGCAGTTCATTCTGTCTATGGATCATTCCAGCAGTGCCGACATAATGCTGCTAGCTTTCAAGGTAAGAGCTAAATTGTTTTTCGATAAATAAAAATCATTATTATGCAGATATAAAAACAACTATGTTTTTTTGAAAGTTTCACATGATTTATTTTCTTTTGACAATTGTTTCGTCACCGTGTGATCAATTCCTTGGTCTGACTTCTGAAATAGTTTGTTGCAAATATCTCTAGCTTGTGAAGCATTTATAATGTTTAGGCCGGAACTGGATGATTTATATACCGTACCTTCATTTGCAAGCTATACATAGGGAAAATACATTGGGTGGACCAGACAAGTCGAAGCCAGCGCAAAGCGAAAAAGTTTTTAGAAATTATTAGGACCTAATAAAATTTTAATCGCCAGTAAACAAGGTCACCTGTTACGTCGCATGTTAGTCTACTCATCCACTCGTCAAAATAATTTCGGGGAACATTTTCGTTTCGCGCTGACCGGCGCGACTTCGACTTGTCTGTTCCACCTACAATGTATTTTTCCTATGTATAGCTTGCAAATGAAGGTACGGTATATCTAATATTTTTTTCGGGTTGTATGTTAAAAGTATTTTCCGAATTTATTAATTTTGTTGCCATTAGTTTTTTATGTTCTCTTTCGTGCACTGTATTTAAGTCACTGTTATTCTGCAAGATGTCCTGTGTCGAAGAAATCACTATATCACTTACTCTCTAAAAATAAATTAGTCAAAAATGTCATAGCGAAAAAGCAGCCACTAATAATTCTCGTCAACAGCAATTTGTATCCAGGACATTTAGCAGTCAATTCCTATGAAATATTATTTGCTGAATCCGAAAATGTCAAAAGTTATAAAAGTAGAACAGTTTTTGAAATATAATCAATTTTACATATAATATAACTCAAAAACTGCTTAACTTTTATAGTTTTTGACGGTCTTTTCAGATTCAGGGAACAATTTTACATAAGAATTGGCTGGTAAATGTCCGGGATACAAATAGATTATGATATTGGACACATGTCCAATAATAGAAATTTAAATTTTTTATCAACCAGTAATTGGACACTGGCCATAAAATACTGTTTGTTTTCAGAATTAAAATTAAAACGCATTAAAGTGACAATGTTTAAACCATGAGGAACACATTTATACCACACACTGATCTGTACCCCTTTTAGAAATATTTTTTATTGTAATTTAAACAAAAAAACAAAAATCTTACCACCAAAGTAACGTGCGAACTTTTTTGTCCCATATTGGACCCAAAATAAAGTAGTTCTATATTCTTACCGACTGAGATAGTTATAATTGTATACAGCGTCATCTAATGATTTGACTTTAAGGTAACTATTTATAGAACTCTTGTTTTTACAGTATTAATGTTAATTGTCCAATAACTATAAAGTGTTTTTATATCTACATAATAATAATCATCAAGTAAAGGTCAAAACAATCAAATATCAAAATCATTGTTAGGTTGTGGCGAGATTGGTCTCGATAGCCAAACTGCAACTAGGTCAACTTATAAGTGAGGAGGATATGTTGAGATTGATAAATCTGACCATCTCCTCGAAAATGTCCTGGTCCACCGTGGCGCTTACGTGTTTCCTGGAAGACGCGATGGATTTGGCGGTGCCGCATTGCGAAGACGCCGAAATGGAAACGATTAATTCGTCTTCGGCGAGATGGTATAACGGCAAGGGTAAAGACAATTTTGGCTCTAAAAGCCCCCAATCGCCCAGAGAGACCAAGAACATTTGGATCTACAACGATTCCATTCCAGGTAATTAATTATTAAAGTTTTAACAATCTTCCAGTTATTAATGATCCGGTTGGTCAACAACTTTTCTAGGCTACAAAATTTTGTAGCTTCATTTATCTACTTTATTGTGTTAAACTTTCAACGCAATCTTAAGTCGTAGTCCGCAATTGTTTGCCCCACTGTGCGAAACCATTTTTTCAGTCTATGGTCGAAAAACATCGATGGATAGTTTTCGGTGGTCGATTATGCGAAATTTATCTGTAAAGAAAAGTTAGTAGATACAATAAAGATAACGGGAATATTATGGAAACCACTATATAACTTCCGGCTTACCGGCTTTTTTCCTTTTAATATTTCTCTCCCCCTCAGGCACATTTAAAATATGTATTTCTTCATAGGTGCGCTATCTTTCTTATTGTCATCTTATTCATTAACTTGTTTAAACCACGAGAAGCCAAGTATGGCAAAATTATTAATGGTATAAAATTTAAATCTAAGATTTTTTACTCAAAGTAATTTTTATTGTAAATATGTACCTACACTAGGGTGTGCCAAAAAAACTCGAAATAGTTTTTTTCTTGCTCTCCACCCAAAATATCGTAGAATATGTCCGAACAAATATTCTGTTAAAAGCGGAGCTCATAATTTCAATTTTAAGAGGTCCCTCATCGAATCTGAAGTTTTGCCGCTTAAATAGCACAGAAAACTGACCTTTTTACCTTATTTATTCTTGCAACCTAGGAAGAAATTTTTTTTTCATAAAATCCATGACCAAATCTTACAAAGCATTAAACTTGGACGAAAAAATCTTATTAAGCCGAATTTCTATTTTCATTATTTAATTTTTTACAGAGCTTTAAATTTAAAATTTTACGTTTTTTGCCTTTTTCAGCTAAACTATTGAAGTTAGACGAAAAAGTCAAATGGTAATTTTTTAGCTTGTCTGATGGACCACAAAAAAGTTTTAGACGAATTTTTTATATCGTCAATATTCTAAAAGTTACAGGCGTATAAAGTCATCATTTTTGTATTATTATCTTTAAATTTAAAGCTATGTAAAAAATTAAATAATGAAAAAAGAAATTCGGCTTAATAAGATTTTTTTGTCCAAATTTAATGCTTTGTAAGAATTAGTCATGGATTTTACGAAAAAAAAAATCTTCCTAGGTTGCAAGAATAAATAAGGTAAAAAAGTCAGTTTTCTGTGTTATTTAAGCGGCAAAACTTCAGATTCGATGAGGGACCTCTTAAAATTGAAATTATGAGCTCCGCTTTTAACAGAATATTTGTTCGGACATATTCTACGATATTTTGGGTGGAGAGCAAGAAAAAAAAATATCGAGTTTTTTTGGCACACCCTAACCTACACAATACTTCGAAAAACAGCAGGGGACATCAAAATACCAAAACATCAATCGTCAAACAAATAAGTCGTCTAAATTTAAACAGCATTTAGCATTATTAAAAGCGTTGATTAAGAATCTTTAAAGTCTCCACTCAACTGTAAAATACCATTATAGATAATATAATGTTGCCATGAATTCGTTGGTATATTTTGTTGTTTAAAATGCAGTTGTCGGCGTTTTTTAGAGAACTCAAATAAGAAGATGGTTGATTTTAAGGTTATGTTAGTGGAAAAATTATTTATTCCTAAATTCTTAAAAATGTCCAAACTTAAATATAAATTATATTAGGTAAAGTTATCATTAGTTAATTCTGCACCAACAAATGTACTTACCGAACTGGATCCTTTGGCAAAACATGAAAATGCAACGATTTAGTTCTTGAATTTGTTTACATTTAAAAACACAATAATTCACCATGATCCCTTAGATAAAATACACACACCAACGTAACTATATAAGCATTTAAGCGTTGAGTTTCTTAATCAATGATATAAAGAATAATCAATCGAAATCGAGTACTAAACCAGTTTTTTAGTTTTTTGCTTGCAACGTAAAACACAAATAACGTGCGCGATTTAGCTGTGCAATTGAATGAAATTTGTCAAGTAAGACTCTCTTTTGTGAAAAAAATACCCATTTATTTAAAAATGATGTACAGTTCGTATGCTTTAAACTTGTAGTTGATCAAATTTACCTAGAAGAGTTGTTGGCTCTCCTGAGTCGAACAATTTGGCGCCCGGCGTTATTTTATTTCCTTTTTACCAGATATCATAGCCAACGTTGACGCGCTTTGCGACGTTCAGGACACGATGCTGGCCGAAACGATTTCGAAGCAACCCAAACCTAACACTAGCACCAGCAACAACGGTCAAAACAACATCGTTCCGTTGCCGTCCGTTTTTGAATCCGACGATTCGGAGTTGGAGGAGATTCTCGAGGAGTTCGATAAGGTCCAAAGATCGGTCAAGAAGCCCGTGAAAACGACGTTCAGGTCGAACCTGAACATTTCCACCTCGATAGATTCGCGTTTGGAGCTCGGGGTTACCTCGTCCTCGGAGATCAATATCAAGAAGATGTTGATCAAGAACACGGAGATTTTGTTCAACAATATATCGACGGGGTTGCCTTTGGACGATAACGAGGTGCCTCTAAGGCCGTGGGCGCGAATGCCGATGCCGAGACTCGTCGAGTCTTCGACCACGAACCAGATTATGTTGACGAATTGTTTCGAGAAACTATTCGAAAACCTTCAGCTGAAACCGCCATCGCACATCGAGGAAATCGTGAACTTCTGGTTGACGCTCAACAACACCGATACGGGGGATAGATTCGACTCTTCCGCGGCGCCAAAAATAATCTTGAACCCGGAATCCGTAAAGGCGCTGGTTTCAGCGTTAGCGTGGACTACAGGATTGTCGCTTACCACTTGGTGCACCTCCTTGCAAGCCTTGAGCATGGTGTGCAACACCAACGTGGAAAATCCGAGCTCTCATTGGCCGGAAATACCGGGGATGGCCCCCCACATAGTGGATCACCCGGATTTTATGCAGTGCTTGCTGCGACTTCTTTCCGGAAGCGGGCTTGCTGTCAACGGAAACACTCTGGTAAGTTGTCAGCATTTTTTTAAAACAAGATTTGGGGAAGTATTATAGTATATTAGATTTTTAAACGTTTGATTAGAGATGGGGAAATTCCCATTTAACGAAAATTCCCGGAAACTTTCCATAGAACTTATTGCGGAAATGAGTTTTTTGTGCCAGGAGGCAACATAGCAAACTTTAAATGGCAGTATATTCAAGTAACTAAGATACTTTTGAGTGTAACTTAGATACTTTCTTAGAGAAAATTGGGGGAATTCCAGAATGATTCAAAGTAATTACCTAACCTACAACTTCTTGAATTTTTATAATTTTTATAGTTTTTATTCATACTTAAAAGTAACTTAGGTACTCAAAAGTATCTAGTTACCAGAGGTAACTAAGTTATTTTGTTATCTTAAAAAAGTAACTACACTCACAAGCACAACTTTTCGATGAATTTCAATAGAAAATAACTCTTATTTGATGTCGGATTTAAACGAATATTAAAGAATATTGTAGATAAATTAATGGACAATCGCTCACATTTTAAAAAATTACTAAAAAATAGACGTACGTTTATAATACACAGGTTTAAACAAAAATATGTTTTTTACCATAAGTTTAAGACACTCTGTAGAGTGGCAAAACCGTATATTGTTCTAAATTAAGTTTTATTTATCAAGTCACATCTATTCTTAACAGTTTTGTTTTTGGTTCACCTCGATATATTTATTTTTATGGAAAATGGATTTTTTAAAAAAACATTGCAATTTCCAATATTTTTTCTGTATGAAGAACTAAGGTTGCTATGGTCCATCCATAGCCTATGGAGGATGACAGTGACAGTTTTGTTAAATCATCCCATACTTGGACTTGTCATACACGGCTTTCAAAAGCTATCAAATTGTTTTTTGCAAATTAATGTTTAAATTTTGAGGTGTCTTCTTACTTTAAAAAATGGATATGTCTCCGACTGATGTTGCCAGAGCCATTAATTTAATCCAGGATGGACGGTCACAGTATTACGTGGCAAGTGTTTTAAACGTCACAAGAAGTAAAGTACAAAGGGTAACATCATTCGGAGACATTTTTAAAAGTAAGAAAATACCTCAAAATTAACACATTAATTTACAAAAAACAATTTGATACTTTTTGAAATCTGTATATGACATGTCCAAGTATGGGATGATTCAACAAAACTGTCACTGTCATTCTCCATAGGCTATGGATGGACCATAGCAACCTTAGTTCTTCATACAGAAAAATATTGGAAATTGCAATGTTTTTTTTTTTAAATCCATATTTTCCACAAAAATAAATATATCAAGGTGAACCAAAAACAAAACTGTTAAAAATAGATGTGACTTGATAATTAAAACTTAATTTAGAACAATATACGGTTTAGCCACTCTACAGAGTGTCTTAAACTTATTGTAAAAACATCTTTTTGTTTAAACCTGTATATTATAAACGTACGTGTATTTTTTAGTAATTTTTAAAATGTGAGCGATTATCCATTAATGTATCTACAATATTCTTTAATATTTGTTTAAATCCGAAATCAAATAAAGAAGTTATTTGTGATTGAAATTCATCGAAAATTTGTGTGGATCGATTATTTTGCCTGTGAGTGTATATACTTTTCAGAAGTAACTTTCCCGGCTCTGATTATGAAACTAATCATAGAACATAACTAATACTATACTTTATTCTTTACGTTAACACAAATTAACATAAAAACAGGTTTCCAGGGAAAGTTTCCACATTTTTGGTTCGCCATTTTGAATGTTATAATTTTTATGTCAAAAATTTTAACATCTTACAAACGATAAACTAATTATTTTTCAAAAAAGTCCGTCATTTTTGGGCCACCATTTGAATTTAATAATTTTAATATCAAATTCGTTATCAGCGACCCCAAAAACCGTAACTTACCAATTTTCACATTTTTATGTTCACTTTTCGAGTTTTGGCCGAAGAATTAGTCGTGGTAACAAATAATATTTCTTTCAGGCTGGCCCGACTTTGTGTCGCGCATTACACAACTTCCTGGTGCGGTTGGAAATGAGATGCGACATTGTCAGTCCCACGAGCATGCTGGGGATTTCCATCAAAAACCTTTTGTTGAAAGTCGTCTACCAGCTTATACAACCTTTGGGGCCTATAACGGCACGGCAAGGCCCTCTAGACGCGCAGTGCAAACTGCTGCAAAACATGTTGCAGATGAATTTCGTCCAAACCGATCTGACAATTGCCATGAGCATACTGGAAAGTACAGGTAAGTTTATCGGGACTTGTTCGTGACATGTTCGTGACATGTTTGTTGTTTAAGGCGTATTTGTGCAAAGTTACGTTGAGAACGTAGATAAAATAAAATGCATAAATATTGGAGAAAAACAAAACACGACGACAAGCACTTTTAGCGACATATTCGCCAGTGTATTAGGTTCGGATTCGAATAAATCGGACAGACCTGTGTCCTACGAGGTCCTTCAAATATCACTTTTAAGGTTATTGGGAAAGCTTATCGAAACTCCGTTGCCAAATACCGGAAACAAAACTGTAAGTATACCTACCCACAATCCACACAACAAGGTCTGTTCTATCTAGTACTAAAATACAAAAAATCACTGCACAGGTTAACGGCGGCCATTTCTGTTGTTTACAATTTTTGTCCTTTGGGTTTGTGCTCTGTTTATACAGATTAATAATCGTTTTAAACTTTGTGTTTCTCATAGTAAGCCTTAAAGTGCTAAGAACAACCATTTTACTCCTCTATTGTAAAAAATAAACTGTATTCTATCAGGGCTGTCATAAAACTGTCAAATGTCAATTTTAAGGTTAAATTATAACCCACAAATTAACCTTCAAATTGTCATTTGACAGCCGTGATAGAATAAGGTATATTTATTATAAAAGAGGAGTAAAATGGTTGTCCTTAGCACTTAAAGCCCTTATTTGAGGCTTACAAGTGCCTCTGTAAGAAACACAACGTTTAAAACAGTTATTAAACAGCACAAACCCAAAGCACAAGAATTGTAAACAACAAAAATGGCCGCCGTTAAACTGTGCGCAGTGTTGCAGTGATTTTTAGTATTCTTAGCATGAGACAGAACAGACCTTGTTGTGTGGATTATGTAATAAAAGGGATATTCTATGTGTAACATTTGAAAGGATTTTAAGGGTCAGCCGAACCCTTCCACCTCGCAAACCGACGAAAGCAAAGCAGAACAAATACAGGAAGGATCGCGCACGCCCGATAACGTGGCTCCCTGTTTTGCCGACGTCGTCTTGAGGCACCATCCGTGCTTCATACGGCTCTGCCACGCGTTGTCCTCGTGCAAATCTTCGTCGCTGTGCATGCTGGTTAACGTCGCGCCAAAGGCTTCCTTTGCGAATTTCGGCGAGCCGACTACGGTGGGCGATGCGGTGTTCCAGGTGCTGGCCACTCTGGCGAAGAAGGCGACCAGCAGAGAGATGCTGATGGAGCCTCTGTTGATATTTTTATCGCAAACTCCTTCGCTGAGCGAGCCGCTTTTGTGGTTTATTCTGCAAGTACTGGACACTCAAGAGGCCGTGAGGTGTTTTCACGGACTAGGTAATTAAACCCTTTACGCAATTAAAATATATTACTAAATGAGTGGAAAACCATATTTTTTATTTCCAGACTTTTATTTTTTATTGATATTTTTGAGATTTACAACTCTTTTATAGTTTTTTGGAAATGAGGTAAAACGTTGCAAAACTAGATAAAAACGATTTTCTAAGGATGCTTTAAAAATAGAAAGTCAATTTTTTTTAATAATTACAATAATTGTCTACAATTATTATGTTATCAATTATCGCATAAAACTTAAAATTGTAATTTTTTAGCAAAACGTATTTTAAAAGTAATTTTTTAATATTATTTGTTAAAAAAATTAATTGTCTACAAAAATAGTATCCATCACTTATCATGTAAACATTTTACCTATTTTATTAATAACATTTTTCATAAATATTGTAGTTCCAGAGAAAATCGCCATTTAATTTAAAAATTGTCATTTTTTGGACAAAATTACTAAATTAAAAAAAGTTTAAAAAAATTATTCCTCCAATTTTGATATATACTTATTTTACTTTTTATTGATATTTTTAAGATTTACAACTCTTTTATAGAGTTTTTAGGAAATGAGGTAAAACGTTGCAAAACTAAATAAAAACGATTTTCTAAGGATGTTTTAAAAATAGTCAAAATTTTTTAATAATTATAATAATTGTCTACAATTATTATGTTATCAATTATCGCATAAATATTGCAATTTTATCTTAAAATTGTCATTTTTTAGGAAAACGTATTTTAAAAGTAATTTTTTAATATTATTTGTTAAACAATTTAATTGTCTACAAAAATAGTATCTATCATGTAAACATTTTTCACAAAATAAACTTATTTTTTTAATAACATTTTTCATAAATATTGTAGTTCCAGAGAAAATCGCCATTTAATTTAAAAATTGTCATTTTTTTGACAAAAATACTTAATTAAAAAAAGTTTCAAAAAATAATTCGTCCAATTTTGTCGGTAACTTTACTATTCCTTAATGAATTTCCCACTACTGCCTACTCTCTAAGAATAAATTAGTCAAAAGTTACTAATTACTTTTAAGTGTAACTTAGATACTTTCTTAGAGAAAATTGGGGGAATTCAAGAATGATTCAAAGTAATTACCTAACCTACAACTTGTTATATTTTCATAATTTTATAGTTTTTATTCAAACTTAAAAGTAACTTAGTTACTTAAAAGTATCTTAGTTACTTAAAAGTATCTTAGTTATTCAAAAGTATCTTAGATACTTTTTAAAGTACCTTGTAACTAAAGATACTTTTAACTCAAAGTATTTTGTTTAAAGTATCTTAGAAAAGTAACAAGATACTTTTCAGAAGTAAATTTCCTAACTCTGGGCTGTATTAATAACAAACCTTTAATATGACACTTTTGTCATATTTAGGCGGCATCACCATCCTTGCTAAAAGCGTGGTGGAAAGTAGCAACGCGCCTAGCACCATCGCCAAAATGGGCATGATCTCGACCGTGATGCAGCACTTTACCGGCTCGAACCTGTCCACCGACCTGAACACTTTCATAAGCGCCTCGTCGGCCTCGAAAAAATCCGTGCAGGCCAGCCTGGAGAACAAGCTGGCTCTGGTGAATTTCGCGCCGCACTGCACCGTCAGATGTCTGAGCGGCACCGCGCAGCCGGCGGACGTCTTGATACAAGGTCTCGGGGGTGTCACGCACAGACGGGCTCGAACCCCGCTTTGGTCGTACCATTTTTACCCGGACGAGGCGCACACGGAACTTCTGCTGCAACTGCCCAGTGCCGTGCTGTTGAAGGAGGTGCAACTGCAGCCCCACACCATCGGCTTGGCCACCTGTCCTTCAGCGGTCGCCCTTGAGGTAAATATTTTATTATACCGTACCTTCATTTGCAAGCTAACCATAGGGAAAATACATTGTAACTGGACCAGATAAGTCGCAGTCAACACAAAGCTAGAACCTTCTCAGAAATGATTTGGATGCGTCGTCGAGACATGCGTACTAAAACAAATTTTACCAAATTTACACCGCACAAAATACAAAACAATAATAAAGCATCGAGGTATGAAGCAAGGTCAACTGTTACGGCGCATGCTAGCTTACTCGTCCACGCGTCCAAATCTTTTCTACAACGTTTTTCGCTTCGTGCTAAGACTTATCTGGTCCAGTTACAATGTATTTTCCATATGGTTAGCTTGCAAATGAAGGTACGGTATAAATAATAACGAAAATATTTGAATTTGTCCATGATGGTGAAATTTAATTTTTTTAATTAGTAAGGGATTTTTTTTTTGTTATTTTATTGCCTATAATAGACATGTGTGTACCAAGGCCAAAGTTTCGGAAAAAAATTGAAAAATTTGAAAATTTTCAGAAAAATTGATTATTGAATTTTTTTCCTGGCTTCCTGGGAGAAAAAAGTGGTTTACTTTAATTTTCTTAAATCAAATTAATTCACTTTGGGGTTTTTTCTGTAAAAAAATTTGAATAAATCCTAAAAATGGGAATATAAAATAATTTTTTTAAACAAGTTTTTTTTCTTACTTTTTTACCCTTCTGAAGGGACTCTCAAAGTCTCAGACCCTTTTTTAAAAAAAATTAGAAAAAATCCTAAAAAAGTGGAAAAAAGTCATAATTTTATTAATATTTTTTTTTTCATACGAGTTTTTTTTTACTCTTTTAGAAATAAATTAGAACAAATCCTAAAAAAGTGGAAAAAAGTCATAATTTTATGAATATTTTTTTTTCAAACGAGTTTTTTTCTTAATTTCTCAAAGTTTCAGACCCTAAATCCTAAAAAAGTTCGAAAAAGTCATAATTTTTTATATATTTTTTTTAAAACGAGGTTTATTCTTACTTTTTTACCCTTCTGAAGGTACTTTCAAAGTTTCAGAACCTTTTTTTTGAAATTAGATCAAATCCTAAAAAAGTGGAAAAAAGTCATAATTTTATAAATATTTTTTTTCCAATGTGTTTTTTTCTTACTTTTCTCAAAGTTTCAGACCATTTAAAAAAAATTAGAACAAATTCTAAAAAAGTGGGAAAAAGTCATAATTTTTTATATATTTTCAAAGTTCAGACCTTTTTTTAAAAAAATTAGAACAAATACTAAAAAAGTGGAAAAAAGTTATAATTATATAAATATTTTTTTTCAAGTTTTTTTCTTACTTTTTTATTCTTCCAAAGTTTTAGATTTTTAAATTAATTTTTAACCTGAGCCCCGACTACTTAAAAAAAAAAATTAAAACAAATCCTAAAAAAGTGGAAAAAAGTCGTAATTTTTTATATATTTTTTTTCCAATGTGTTTTTTTCTTACTTTTCTCAAAGTTTCAGACCATTTAAAAAAAATTAGAACAAATTCTAAAAAAGTGGGAAAAAGTCATAATTTTTTATATATTTTCAAAGTTCAGACCTTTTTTTAAAAAAATTAGAACAAATACTAAAAAAGTGGAAAAAAGTTATAATTATATAAATATTTTTTTTCAAGTTTTTTTCTTACTTTTTTATTCTTCCAAAGTTTTAGATTTTTAAATTAATTTTTAACCTGAGCCCCGACTACTTAAAAAAAAAAATTAAAACAAATCCTAAAAAAGTGGGAAAAAGTCATAATTTTTTATATATTTTCAAAGTTCAGACCTTTTTTTAAAAAAATTAGAACAAATACTAAAAAAGTGGAAAAAAGTTATAATTATATAAATATTTTTTTTCAAGTTTTTTTCTTACTTTTTTATTCTTCCAAAGTTTTAGATTTTTAAATTAATTTTTAACCTGAGCCCCGACTACTTAAAAAAAAAAATTAAAACAAATCCTAAAAAAGTGGGAAAAAGTCGTAATTTTTTATATATTTTTCAGACCCTTTTTTTTAAATTAGAACTAATCCTGAAAAAGTCATAATTTTTTTTATATTTCAAAATAACATTTTGAGGTGGTTAAGTTAATAAATTTCCTGAAATAATATAGATATCAGCTTCCGGTCCGTCCCGTCTGGTTCCGGCTTGCGCGCCAATACAAACCAGCGGCATGACGTACATCCGGCTGCATCTGCCCACCCCCACCGCCGCCAACTGCGTTTTGATTCGCCTGTACAAACCGCGCGACGCTCAGAGCATCGGCCTGCTGCAGATACGTCTGCTAGGCAACACCGCGTACGGCCAAACGGTCACCGACTCGTCCGAAGACGAGTCGCACTGCCGGCACAGCCTCGGCTGGCTCCGGCTGCTGCACCACTGCTTCGTGATGCCCACCGATCGCGATCTACGCCGGCAGGTGATCGGAGGGGCTTCGAGCGTTTCGCAACTGCTCAGCTGCTGCTGCGGGTTGCTCTTGGTGCCCTCGCACATTTTACCAGTCTACGTACCGTGCTTGGAGAGGATCTTAAGAGAGCTGGCGTTGCACAGCCCGGAAAACGGCATCGTTGTAATCAGGGTTCTGTTGAACAACAAGCCTGGCATTATCGAACCCCTGCAAACTCAAACCAACGTGGATGACAGGCACCTCGTCAACTCCACTAGCGATTTTTCCGCTTGCGAGTTGCTGTATCAAATCTGCGAGCACGAGGACGACAACACCTACTACAGGATATCGATAATCTTGAACTGGCTGCAACGCAAAGCACAGGAAGCGCTAACCCAACGCAACATAGAACACCTAAACGCGATGTACATGTTCTGCATCGCTTCCATTTTCTGGTCGGCCTGCGAGAACGCCATTAACTACGACATCAAGTCGTTAATCACGCGCGAGCTGTTCGAATCGATATACAACCTCAAATCCCTCACCAAGAACTCCACCAACTCGAAGTACTCCCTGGATTCGCTTCTGTGTTCCATCTGCTATATAAACCCGGAGTTTTACCCGATGCTGCTGCACAAAATGGGCGTCTTGCAACCCAAAAGCGAGGCTTCGATCTCCGACGATTGCAAAGAGCCCGAGAGCATGACCGACGACACCAAGTGCGTCTATCAAGAGACCTCTGAGTGGTACAACCACCTGCTACTGGGCGACATATCCCGAATTTCCTATCAGCAGTTGGAAACCATAGCGCTGGTCAGCCGCAGTCCGACCTGCATGCAGCAGTTGTTGAATTCGGGATTCCCGAAATCGCTCAACGACGAAATACTGCGTTTCTGCTCCAAGCCAAACGATACAGTGGAAGATTTGGAGAAAGTTATAGCGATTCTAAGATTCTTCACCGACGTATGCGACGAAAAACTCATGCGAGATTGGTTGGGGTCTTCAGACGGCTCGTCCTTTTGGTTGCACCTACTGAACAAACTGTGCGAGAAGCCCACCGTGAATAAATCCACTCTACCTTCGGAGGCTCACGTGCAACTCGAAGAAATGTGCGTTAAATTTCTGTCGAAATGCTGCCTGTGCCACCAAGCCAACCAAACCAGGCTGGCGAAGGTATTGTGCGAAGTTATCGCCCTCCAAAAGAACGGAATGTCGGGGTTTCTGCGGAGGATAATCCTGCAATTGCTGTTGGAGTACGAGAAGGTGCCCGTGTGCGTATCGGCGGCGGAGAACCTGCAAAAACTCAAGGTGCACTCCTGGCTTCCCTCGCATCCGGGGTTCAAACCTTCCTGCAACAAGATCATGCTCCACCTCAGCACCAACACGACCATCTTCGAGATAGTCGAAAAGCACATCTACTTCAACAAGGCTCTAAAGCAGGATCCCCTGGTGAAGAAGTTCTCCAAGCACGTGCTCAAAAAGGAGGCTTTAAGCTCTTGGTTCACCGAAGATTCGGACCTCAGCATGGCCGCGGGAGTCACCGCCAAAGACAAACGCGCCAAGGACGCCAAAAATCAGATCGCCGCTGCGCCGCAGTTCAAGAAAAAGAGGTGAGTGCCTTAACTCTCTTACTACATACAGGTGGTTAGATTTCGCGTTACTTTCAGATACGCCAACGCAGAAACATCGACGACCGAAGACACGGAAAATGGCGGCAAAATCATTAAATGCGACCAACTTCCGAACCAAACTCTATCGCTGACTCACAACTTGAGTCAACTGTTGAAAATGATAGAGGACAGTGGCAACACTGCCGACTGGCCCTGCATCCATTTAGATTTCGGGCATAGCAAGAGTGAGAAATAAATTATACAACTCTGTTTATATGTTAATTTAATAAACTTTGTAGGTGCAGATGATATACTTTCGATGGCGGATCCGGGCATTCAAACGTCCGCCAAATTCCAACCGTATGGAAGTGCTTTGCAAGTGTTCAGTTCCATGGGTGGGTTGGCCCTTTTGGCGCAACATTTACCCACGGTTTATCCCGAAGCGATAAGAGTACCGACCGAAAAATCTGCCAACGAACAGAGCGACTCAGATTGGATCAAAGTTGAAGGTAATGGAGGTAATTTTTTTTGTTATTTTTTTTTGTTAATTTTTGTTGCGATTTTAACATTTTATTAAATATCTTTGTTATTTTTTAATATTTTTTAAAGAAGTTTCTTCTTGGCCTTCTTAAATGTGTACTTCAACTGTGTATACAATTTCATTTAATTAGGATTAATACTTTTTCAGTTATAGTAATTTGAAGTCAATTTTAGGAATACCAATTTTTATCGTGTAACATTTTATAAAATATCTTTGTTATTTTTTAATATTTTTTAACGAAGTTTAATCTTGGCGTTCTTAAACGTGTACTTCAACTGTGTATACAATTTCATGTAATTAGGATTAATATTTTTTCAGTTATAGTAATTTGAAGTCAATTTTACGAATACCAATTTTTACCGTGTAACATTTTATTAAATATCTTTGTTATTTTTTAATATTTTTTAACGAAGCTTCTTCTTGGCCTTCTTAAACGTGTACTTTAACTGTGTATACAATTTCATTTAATTAGGATTAATATTTTTTCAGTTATAGTAATTTGAAGTCAATTTTACGAATACCAATTTTTACCGTGTAACATTTTATTAAATATCTTTGTTATTTTTTAATATTTTTTATCCAAGTTTCCTCTTGGCCTTCTTAAACGTGTACTTCAACTGTGTATACAATTTCATTTAATTAGGATTAAAATTTTTTCAGTTGTAGTAATTTGAAGTCAATTTTACAAATACCAATTTTTACCGTGTAACATTTTATTAAATATCTTTGTTATTTTTTAATATTTTTTAACGAAGTTTCCTCTTGGCCTTCTTAAACGTTTATTTTAACTGTGTATACAATTTCATTTAATTAGGATTAATATTTTGTCAGTTATAGTAATTTGAAGTCAATTTTACAAATACCAATTTTTACCGTGTAACATTTTATTAAATATCTTTGTTATTTTTTAATATTTTTTAACGAAGTTTCCTCTTGGCCTTCTTAAACGTTTATTTTAACTGTGTATACAATTTCATTTAATTAGGATTAATATTTTGTCAGTTATAGTAATTTGAAGTCAATTTTACAAATACCAATTTTTACCGTGTAACATTTTATTAAATATCTTTGTTATTTTTTAATATTTTTTAACGAAGTTTCTTCTTGGCCTTCTTAAACGTGTACTTTAACTGTGTATACAATTTCATTTAATTAGGATAATTCTACAGGCTTTTGTTGCAATTTTTGAAAACTTCAAAAATTGGTTCTTGAAATGTCTTAAGGAATTGTAGTTAAAATATTTTCCGGCGGAGGTGCTGTAGTATGACATACTTACAATTTACTTATTCTATTAGACTGTGAAGACATCTATGAGGATATAGAAGAAACAATAGGAACAAGTTCTCCATCCAAAGGCTCCAGCACTTTATCACACATACCATCACACTCCCTGACGGCTTTCGGTCTATTTTTAAGACTTCCCGGCTATGCGGAGCTACTCCTCAAAGACATGAAACGCGCGCTTTGTCTTTTGAGGCTCGTGCTGGGCGTCACGGACGACGGTGAAGGTGAAACCATAATTTTGCATGCCAAAACTCAAATTTACGACGGGAAACGTTTAGGTGGCGAGATATTCGCGTCGATGGTGGCCGATTCCCTGCCGACGTTGCCCTTCGAAATTCTGAAGAAGCTCTTCAACTCGACCCCGCTGACCACCGACGACGGAGTGCTGCTGAGGAGGATCAGCATCAACTCCGGGGTTATTCATCTGCTGCTGGCCTGCATCAGCATTTTCACGCATCACGCTCAAGAGGGGAACGACAAGGAGGGCAGCAAAGGTTCGAAGGAGGAGAGAACGCAGCTCTATTGGGCCAAAGGTAGGCAACTTTATTGTTCTTTGTGCGGTTCGTGATAAGGTTTTATAGTTTCAAAAAAACTGGAAAAATTGGGGGAAAAACTGTTTTTTATCAGGCCTTGGGAACATTATTGAGGCATAATTTTGAATGCGTGCAGAAAAAAAAGATGTCCAATAACTCATTTTTACACGAACCAAATTTATGCGTCGTGGAGCAGGTGTGTTCAAAATGAAGATATTTATATTGATTGTAGTAAATGTGGTAAACGTCAACATATTTTTTCAAAAAACCCAGTTAGCTCCCTTATGGAATTTTTACATAAGTTTGAGGAAAAATTTAATATTTTTGCGATTGCACATAATATGAAAGGTTACGATGGTTGTTTCATCACGAAACATAATTTACGAGATGTCAATAGATGGAATCCACATATTTATAAAGTTAACTACAAAATTATAGTTTTAAAAATCGAAGTGTCAAATAAGACGAAAGTTATGTTAAAACAGCACCGAAGATTCTTACTGAATTATAATAATAGGAATAATTATTATAATCATGTATTATATGATTATAATCAGTTAAAAATTCACTTTTTTCTTGATATCAGTGTACAGATATTTGGAAATGTTCAGAAAAATTGACCTTTTTTTATTTTATTTATTAATATCCCAAAAAGAATACAAGATTCCATAACAGGTGCTATGAAATAAAATGAAAAAAGTGCAAAAGTCAATTTTTCTGAAAAATTAACACCGCAAAACAATGATTTGTGGACACACCCAAGTAGCACAACTGGTTAAATTAACGTTAAATTAACCTTAAACTAACGTTATTTTATAATAAATGGGGAATTCAATAGAGTAATTGCATCAAAAATGAAAAAAAAAACCTTTTTATTGTAATCTAGAGGTAAAAACACATTGCGAAAATATTTTTTTATATTCCAAAAGTTGAACCCGGGCCCAAAATATCAAATTGAAAAAAGGTACTTTTCAAACGTTCCGAACTCCCGCCAAATTGCATGACGTCATAAGCTCCAACTGTCAGAAATCAAGATGTCAACAAATAATAAACACCGATAAAGTTTAACATGGAAAACGCGAAACCAAAAATTGTTTGTAAATATTGTTTTGTGCCTTGTACAAATACAACCTGGAAAACTCCTGGGAAAAGGTTTATCACCGTGCCAAAAGGGAAAATAAGGATAAAGTGGATTAAAATAGCTCGGCGCGATATCAAAACATCGTCACCGCAGTCAACATTTTATTGATCATTTTAAGGATCATTTTAATGTAAGTAAAATAAAATGTCGTTTACTAGGTATATGGTTTGAATAGGTATGTTAAATATTAATAAACCCAAGAAAATACGGCTGAGCCGTAACTACTCTCAGTGTAGGGTCATAAACTTTGCTTTTGATAATTGAAGGGACAACTTTCCCAGGACTTTTCCAGGTTGTATTTGTACAACAAGGCACAAAACAATATTTACAACCAATTTTTGGTTTAGCGTTTTCCATGTTAAACTTTATCGGTGTTTATTATTTGTTGACATCTTGATTTCTGACAGTTGGAGCTTATGACGTCATGAAATTTGGCGGGAGTTCGGAACGTTTGAAAAGTACCTTTTTTTTAATTTGATATTTTGGGGCCGGGTTGAACTTTTGGAATATAAAAAAATATTTTTGCAATGTGTTTTTACCTCTAGATTACATTAAAAAGGTTTTTAGGGATTTTCATTTTTGATGCAATTACTCTATTATGGTTAAGTAAAATAAGTTAAATTTAACTTCTTGGTTAATGTACCTTTTAGTTAAAAAGAAGGTAATATTTGGTAGTTTTTGGTTTATTTTACCCTTTTTTAACTACTTTTTATTTTTAACCTTTAAGTCAACTTAAACTATAATTAACCGGTTTAAGTTTATATCCAAATTAACCAAAGCTCCTAACAAAAAGTTAAATTAAACCAAAACATGTCTAAACATTTTCAAAGGTTAAAATTATAAGTAATTATAACGTTAATGTTACTTCTAAAATAAACTATTTTTTAACTTATAAGTAATATTACTAATAGTTAAATATTAAAGGTTATTTCAAGAGTTTAAATTGAATATAAATAAACCACATATTTAACTAGTCAGTAATATTCCCAATAGATTTTTTTATTAGTTAAATTAAATTAAAAAATGTTAATGGTTGAATATAACTAACTGGTTAAAAACAAGTTTAAAAAAACGTTAGATTTTGTTTAATTTACTTAACACAGCTGTTACTTGGGCATTTCCTTATTTCAAGTGGAATTCTTAACTTAGGTACTGGGTTCGGAACGGGCTCGACTCAGCAAAGTTGGAACGTCGAGCAAGCTCTACTAAAACAGCGCAGCGAGGAAGAACACGTGACGGTTCTATTGCAGGTTTTGGCCAGTTACGTAAATCCGAGCGACGCAACGGGCGACCAATCGAAAGACATTTTGCCGCCGACTTTTACCGAGTTACTGGCGAACAGCTCGTTGCTTCCCGCCTTAAGTTCCTACCTCAAAAACGATTCGGGTAACGAAAAAAATAATGTTGCTATTCGATCTATATATTGATGATATATTTGTAGTTTTCGATATGGCAAGGCACATTCCACTGTACAAGGCCGTTTTGCAACTATTGAGGGCCATCGCCTCGAGTTCTCAACTAGTCAATCTTTTACATGTAAGGAATTCCCACGGGGGCCCGTCGCTTTGCACCCTGTTGAAGAACATGAAAACCTGCGTGGATACCTACACATCAAAACTAAGGTAAAACAGTGTGGGAAGTAAAAAAAATATTCGATTTTTTTGCTTTTTTTTTAGAATAAACAATGGTGGCAACAGGTCCAAGAGCAAACTGGGAGAGCAGCTGGAGGATTTGGAGCAAGGGGAGGGCTTGGCCACTTTGATGCCGGACATCGAGGAGACCTTTAACCACGTTGCCAAACATACTAGCTGCGCATCGGACAACGAGAGCGACCGGGAGGACGCGACGGACAGGCAGATGGAGATCTCCTTGGAGGAGAGGTACCTCAAAGTTATGAAGCAGCTGCAGTTTAGTAAGTAAAATTGTCATTATTTATTTAAATAATACAATATATGTATATATGTATGTATAAGGGGATTTATTTAGAATACAAAACATTGTATTTTTTCGGTAGACACGATTTTTCTAAAATTTTGCACACTTCTTCTAGCTACAATTTAATAGTGACTGAACAAAGGGTTTTTTCTTTGATCACCCTTGTGGAATTTTTTCTTTGATAAACAGAAAAATATTAATAAGGGTTTCAAAACTTGTAAGTTTATTTTTGACTGTTTTTTAAGAGCTACAAAGTCGGTTAAATTATAGGAAAATTAAAACTGTTAAACCCAAAAATCTTTATAATTTTGTTACTCATGTCAATTTTGAGAAAAGTAAGTAAAATAAAATAACAAATTGGATAAAGTTTACATGTAAAACTTACTTTTTATCAAAATTCCCAGGAGTAACGAAGTTATAACGATTTTTTGTTTTGTAAGGTTTTTAGTTCTTTTGAAACATTTTGAGAACTGCTGGCTTTTTTTAAATTTATAAATTTTATTTAAATTTATACAATGTGTCGCAGACAACTTACAATAATTTTTTACAGAAATTTAGTTTTTCCTGATAAACTCCTTTGTGCAATTTTTTCTCTGACAAAGTTTTAATAAGTAAAAAAAAGAGTTTTGAAAGTCTTACTTTTTCTTAAAAAACTCTAAATAAGTCGAAAAAAGTCAGGATAAAACTTATTAAGTCGGAAAAACGCCTCATGTGGGTTTTTTTCTCTACAAAATTTTAATAAGTAAAAAATAAGAGTCTTGATAGTCTAACTTTCTCTTAAAAACTCTGAATAAGACCAGTCGAAATAAGTCCCCTAGTGAATTTTTTTCTCTGAAAAAGTTTGAATAAGTAAAAATAAGGAAATCTGAAAAACTCAGAATAAGTCGTCTTGTGGAAATTTTTAATAAGTAAAAAATAAGAATTTTGAAAGTCTTACTTTTTCTTAAAAACCCTAAATAAGACTTATTAAGTCTGAAAAAGTCAGGATAAGACGGAAAAATTACCCTTGTGGGTTTTTTTTCCAAAAAATTTTATTAAGTAATAAAAAAGTTTTGAAAATCTTACATTCTCATAAGTAAAAATAAGACTTTGAAAGTCATACTTTCTCTTAAAAACTCTAAATAAGACTTGATAAGTCAAAAAAGATTAATAGCAAGATTTGGGAGTCTTCTGGAAGAGTTAATAAGACTTTAATTCTTGTTTTATTTTACTATATACAACCTTTCTGAATAATTCCAGATATTTATTTTAATCGCCATAGATACCTACCATTTCTCTGCTAAAAGTCTTATTAACTTTTCCAATTTTTACTATTAGTCCGACTTCTTCTGACTTAATAAGTCCTATTCAGAGTTTCACAGGGTCAAATGGGGTTCACTTTACGCAAAAGTGTTTAAATATTCACTAACACAAACCCTAGTAGCAATTCCGGAAAAGTCTTGGCCCAGCATGGGTCAAGATACTTGGGACAGATTTTTGCTCAAGAATTGTACAAGAATTGTTCCAGATTCTTGGCCAAGATTATTGGGCAAGACTTGAGCCAGACAGTGGCCAGAATTTGACAAGAATTTGACCAGAAATCTGAGGCCATCTATTGCTAAACTTTGGGACTATCCTATAGAGTAGAGGTTCTCATTCTACACTAGTATCATTCACAATAATGTATACTAGTCGAGAAGTGAGTTCTCTGTAGGAAATGAGTATAGTTTTTTTGTTTATATGAAAATACGAATAAGAGCTTATTGGATTCGTCTTCTAGCTGAGAAAAAAATTGATTTTTTGAAAAATAAAAATTGTTATTTCTAAAAATCAAAAATTAAAAAAAAAAGTGTGTGTCAGCTCTGACGCATAACTAGAGTTTACTCTTTATGAACATGAAAGATTATAAAATACATGTTTATTTTTACGAGCACCTAGTTTTTTTTAACATAGAAAATTAACTCTTTCAAAATTTGTTTCGTTTTTAATTCTATTGTTTACCAGATTTATGGATAAAAACTGAATTTACTGGAAAGAAATCGTGGAAAATTAATGTTTTTAGTAACTTTTGAAGTTCTACAAAATTTTGTATTGACCAAAAATCTTGAATTGAAAGTTCCTATTTAACGTGTAATCGTGTAAAAATTCTTGGCCAAGAATCTGGTCAAATTCTGGTGACAGACTTGTCCAAGTCTGTCACCAGTCTGGATAAAGAATTTTGATCAAGAGTCTTGGTCAAGAATTGTCCAATTCTTTACAAAGTGCTTCTCCAAGTATCTTGACAAAGAATCTTGTCCAATTCCATTGCTACTAGGGAATGGAGTTAAAATAAAACCGTGTTGTTTCGTAGGTTCGTACGAAATGATAAAGGAACAGCCGGACGGCGGCTGCAAGTTCGTCGTATCGCACCACTTCGAGAGCAACGCGCGGCTCACGGGCGAACAGTCGCACCCCACGCGAGTAAAAAGGATCGCGCAAGAGGCCGTCACCCTCTCCAACAGCCTGCCGCTGAGCTTCAGCAGCTCCGTATTCGTGCGCTACGACACCTCGCGCTTGGACGTGATGAAGGTTCTGATAATCGGGCCCTCGGACACGCCGTACGCGAACGGCTGCTACGAGTTCGACGTGTTCTTCCCGCCCGACTACCCCGCCTCCCCCATGATGATCAACCTGGAGACCACCGGGCACCACAGCGTGCGCTTCAACCCGAACCTCTACAACGACGGGAAGGTCTGCTTGTCGGTGCTGAACACGTGGCACGGCCGGCCCGAGGAGAAGTGGAACCCGCAGACCAGCAGCTTCCTGCAGGTGCTGGTCTCCATCCAGAGCCTCATCCTGGTGCCGGAGCCGTACTTCAACGAGCCGGGGTACGAAAGGGCGCGCGGCACGCCCTCGGGCAACCTGAGCTCCAAGGAGTACAACCTGAACGTGTGCCAGGCCACCGTGCGGTGGGCCATGCTGGAGCAGATCGTGAACCCGTGCGGGTGCTTCAAGGAGATCATCCACGCGCATTTTTACCTCAAGAGGGACGACATAATCAGGCAGGTGGAGCAGTGGGTGAAGGAGCTCGAGGAAGACGTGCAGAAGGAGAAGAAGAAGAGCTCTCACGTTTCGAAAAAGTCCTCGACGGCGAACTTGGAGACGTTCAAGTCGAATTTCGCGCAGATCAGAGAGCAGCTGGGCAAGCTGCAGCTGCCCAGCGACGGTCCCGAGACGGAGGCGAGCGATAAAAACCACACGGACACTGATGAGGATATGGAGAAAATGGTGAACGATATGTGCGAATAGCAGTGCATTTATTAGTCCAGTTAATATAAATTTTGTTTTCCTGTTTTTATTACTTAAACAAACATTAAAGCCGTTTTATTTTTTACGATTTCATTTCTGTCTGTTGTTTTTTTAAAGAAATTTTTAATTTACAAATATTGTAAAATACTGTTACCAGATATTTGTGTCATAAAAGGTGATTTAGATAAGTGATTGTAAAATAAAAACTTGTTTTTATATTTGGTTTTTCATTAATATTAACCCATTATTCCCGATTTTCAGTGAAGACTAAGTTTTTACACTGATCTTTAAAAACGCAAAAGTTGTTTTTATACAATATACAAGGTCCCCCAAAATTGGCAAACTAAAGGGTAAGTGTAAATTACCATTAAAATTACAAGACAAATTCTCCTTTACCATTTTTTGAAATTACCCCAAAACTTTTTTTTATAATTTTTTGTGGAATATTTTTTCTACACCACCATATTTTAGTTAATCCTTAAAAATACTTGGGTAAACAAAACTCTCATGAAATTTTAAATTCATCTTATTTACTTTTGCAGTATTTTAGGAACTTCATAGTAGAAACCATTTATTTACTCTTGATTTAAAAAACATTATTTTTGGGTTATTTTATTACAATAGTATATTATGTATCAAGTTTGATAAACGAATACAAATACACGAATTTAATTTACGCACGAGCGAGCTTGCGAGCGAGTGCTTAAATTAATGAGTGTATAGAAAAGTTTATAAACGAGGTGCATACTATACTTTTTCTACGACAAATACCTACTTATTATTATCTTAAAATGATTTAAATCAAAAATTTGTATAGAGCGCCATCTATGAAACAATAGGGGAATCTGTGTGTCACCTTCAAATATCAAATTTTTACATTTTATAAACACAATTATAAAGGTTATAAATCGAAATTTATTTCTTGAAAATTGACAGTTTCACAGTGAAAGTAAAGAAAATGTTTTATGAGCACTTTACAGTGGAGTCCGTACCCGAATTTAAGTTATAATTTACTGCCGGCGAAATTAAAAGGTCAGTACAATGTTCATATAAACTTTTCAAATATTGGCGTTGAGAAACTATTTAATAATTTTGTATTTTTGTATTGAGATAATAAAATAATTTTCACATTTAGTATTATTTTACAAGAAAGGCAATTTATTTTAACGATTGTATGACATTTGACAACTGTCAACTAACTTAAAACTAACTTTGGCCCGTGACTAAAAACCTGTTGCTAACTTCAGCCCGTGACTAAAGCGCCATAAAGCCACAACTTGTCAATGTTGAACATGTACGATAAAGGCGTTTTAAAGGTGGGAGTAGAAAAAAATAAGTTATAGAATATTTTATTATTTCATTAGTTCATAAAACCATAATGCATAAAAAACCTCGAAGGCTAAATCTGACAATGAGAGCGCAGTATTGGCGATTTGTAATGTTGGTTGCCTACATACATTTGCTCAAACACGGTGCTTGCCCGATAGAGTAGAATACTGCCATTTCATTGGCGGTTTTGACAAATTAGAGTCTAATTAGACCACTAGGATTCCTAGTCTAGGAATAACAAATTCAAAAACCAGCAAGTTCGGAATTTTTTTAATGTACACACCCAAAATTGCCACTTTGACATTCCAATACAAAAGGTTATAAGTTTAACTCTAATTTTCTGAAAATAATTCAATATTAGTTATTTATGTATTAAGGGCATAATAAGGTTTTTATGGTCCGAGGCGCTATTTCGAGCCCGAGCGCGTTAGCGCGAGGGCTAGAAAAGCGTCGTAGGACCATAAAAACCAGTTATGCCAGCAATGCATACAAAACTTTATGCACGATTAATATATTAATATTTTTAATATATTAATGTTTTTAAAGATGTTTACGTCAAAGAATTTTTGATATAATTGTCATATTATAATGTCAACTGAAATCAGTCAGTTTTAAAGTTTAAAGATGAATGAAATTGAGGAAGCAGCTGAAAAGGCGAAAAATTGCGGCCTGCTGCAAATCAAAAATCAAAATCTTTATACGAAAAAACTTACTTCCAATATATCAAATGGTGTAACATTGTTGTTTTTTAATTTTTGACGTTTCATTATAGCCCGCTGGGTCATAATAACGCCCGCGGGCTATAAAAAGACGTTTACGTCAATGAATTTTTGTTATAATTGTCATATTATAATGTCATCGTGCATAAAATATATTATGTATTTTTCTGGTTAAGTTAAAAGTAAAAACACTTTGAACATGTCAAAATAGAAGCGCTTTTGAGAAATAAAAAATTAACGAAAACTAAAATTTTCTAAGAAAGGTAAAAAAAATGTTCGTGGACATACTGTATATTTATTGTTTTATTTTTAGAAAATGAATTTAACGTTAAACTGACAGAAACTTAACCTCAATTATTTGTATTAAAATCAAGTCCAACCTTGACATTTGAATACAAATAATTGAGGTTATATATAGATATATCTATTTGTCAGTTTAAGGCTAATTTTGTCTGATTTTTTAAAAATAATACAATATGAAATGCATTTTTTTGTGTTTTAATTTATAACTCAAAATATACTTATATGTATATTTATATGTATTTTTAGAAAATAAGACGAAATTAGCGTCAAACTGACAGATACATAACCTTAATTATTTGTATCCAAAAGTCAAAGTGGGACCATTGACAATAGTACACTGATTTTTTGACAGATTGACTGTACCAGTGTTTTTTTATTATTAAATATTAATAATATTAATTAATTAATTTATTAAAAATAGGAGTAAAAAAAATCACTACCTTATTTACAAATTTATTAATAAACTATTTTAATACCAAAATGACTTGGGTGGGACTCTGTCTTCCTTGATGCCCATTTTATCCATAAGGTCCATTTCAAACGTTGCTAATCTGGGCTCAAATGTCACTTCAGTGACATCATCTGCTACTGTATCCTTGGGTTGTTCTTTATAGGTGGACTTGGTTTTATAATCGATAGTTTCTTCTGCACTGGGAGGTGTGGGAATTATTCTGCCTGTTCTAGTTGAAACTCTGACTCGTTCCCCGCTTTCAGTGAACCTCCATTCAAAACCTGTTGTGGCGAAGTCGGAAGGGTCTACAAGGGACACCTCTGAAGTGACTAATAAAGGTTTTTCTGATTGAACATATACACCAGCAAATTCCTTATCGTCCCCAAGTTTCTTGAGCTCGCAGTTGAGTCCCTCAACCAACACCCAGTTTCTTTCCTGAATTATTTGCTTGACAATCCCTTGCTTGCCTTTATCCTTTCCAACCAATACTTCCACACGATCTCCTCTAAAGAAACTCCACTCCTTAATGGGTTCAACGAAAATTTTCTTGTGATGTCGGTTGGGCGAATTTTCTTGCCTGAATTGCGCTGACCACGGTCTTTCGGTATCAAAATGAAACTTTTTTCTCTGCACTACAGCGTTGGGCCTATATTGCGGACCTTTTGGATTTTTCCAGTAAACTTGTTCCATCGCTCTTTTTATATAACTGTCGGGCAAATTCGAGTAATCCTTGGAGTATTTTCCAACCCGAGAAAATAATAAATTTGTTAGCCTCATTTTGTATTATTATTATTACGATATTTTGCTTAATGTGAAAAATTCATTTTTTGACACAACATAACCCAACTTTCCTGGTATCTAACTAACCTCACTTTTTATGCAAGATTGCCAAGTTTCTGCAGGTGGCATTTTTGAATTTTCTAAAATTACAGCTTCATTTACTTTAATTCATTTGGTTGTTTGTAGTATTTTAATCTTATTAGATAATTGTGAGTGTCTTTACAAGTGGATGTGGATATTTCGAGTTAACAATATAGTAAATTAATTGTGTAGTAATCATGTGATAAAGCCGGACGCAATTTAGCAAACTATTCATTATTTCCCCCCTAATATTATTTGTTTAACAAAAGGAGTCATGAATTATACTACAACACGAAACGCATTACGTATGCTTATCTATCATATTAATAGTTTAGGTGTGGGTTGTACAAATAAGATTAGGTAAATCTAAAAATATACAAGTGAAGATGATAATATGAATATATCAACAAAAGTAAAGCGTATTTTGATACCTCCTAAGTTTATAAACAATGTGATACAGTGCTCAATTTCAAGAAGTTATGTACAATACACAGTATCGGAGAAAACCCTTACAGGAAGAATTATATCCTATTTAAACCCGAATAAGGAGGAAAGTAATGTTGCAGACTCAACAAAACTTCTCCAAACAATTCAATATAACCCACAGTACATCTTGAAAGATGCCAAGTTGCAAGATTTACACAAATGGATAAAACTTATTCCGAAAAAACAAAATTTATTTCAACTTATAAATAAGGAATGCACCAAACGAATCCACTCCATGAATAATCAGGAAATATGTAATTTATTGCATTCGTTTGTGAAAGTATTCCCATCTCAAATTGCAAAGACTGAATTTTACAACGCAAGCATGGATATTTTATTCCAAAATGTGAACTCACTTGGAAAAAATGAGTTGGTGCAACTCATATTTTTTGCTGGACTTCAGAAGAAAACCAAGAGATCTCAAATCATTCTTAAAGGCAGTTTAAGATGTCTCGATCCTTATTTAGATGAACTTGATGTCCACCAGTTGTGCATTATTTGTAACTCTTTTTTCAAAACAAGCACCAAGTTAAGTCCTAAGGTTCTTAATCTCACAAAAAAATTTATCAGCAATAATTTGGAAGTTTTGAAGGATCCAGCATTGTTTGTAGCCTTTATCAAGGTTTTAAGGCAAAATAAGGATCAAACTGAGGAGTTGCTGACCAACATATCCTGTGCTATATTTTTTAATAAAACTTTGCAATTATATTCGTTTACTGCTATTTGTCATATATTGGCGTTGTATTCGGATTTTTTATATTACGATGAAAAATTATTTGAGCATTTTGTGAGGTTGGGACTGGATCAAATTAGTAATGAGCCTAAAAAAATTAAAGCATATGATAATATGGATACTGTGAGAAATAAGGATATCAACCGATTTATTTGGTCTTTGGCCAATGTGAACTACCAGAATCTAACCCAGGATCACATAGAAACTATCATAGTGAAAAAAATCTTCCAAAGAATTGATAAAGGGGATTTTTTGGGAAGTCCTGATTTGTTAATTGAAATGCTTTTAAGCTTGTGGATTTTAAATTACAGATCCTATGATATGTTGTCCTATGTTTTGACTCAAACCAATATTATCAAAATTCGAGGTACTTAACAAATGTTTTAATAATTTGTACATGACTTTTGAGACACCCTGTATAATCCCGCACAGCAATTCTTAGTTTAGATTTTCCTCAGTTTATAATTTGCTCATTTCGTTAGCTAATTTAAATTTAAGTGACGCAAGCATGCGCACTGTTCATTATGCTTTATATGTCATTCTACGCATGCGCAATTATTCTTTTGCTTAACTGCGGTAAAATTCATGAAAAATAACATACGAGCTCAGGATTTTTGTGCTGAATATTAAAACACCTAAAAACATACCTTTCATATTTATATTTTTTTAGAATCTGCCTCTCCAGTAAAACAAAGACTAAACCTACTTTTATCTTGCATTTATCTGGAAGATCCAAAACTGTTTCAGAACCTAAACTTGGACCCGTCAATGTTTACCACATACAAAGCAGATTTGCAAATCAAAAAGAGACAAGATCTGCAAAGAGTTTTCAACTGCCTGAATTTAATCGCTAAAACGCATGAAATTAACAGATTTGAGTTGGTTAGTCAGGTACCACATTTGAATATTGTTGGGATTGCAGGTTATAAGAAAAAAATATACAAAATGTTGCATGTTGAGGTGCTAGATGATCATACGTCTGTGAAAAATACAGATAGCTTGCCCATTGGGTTAATGGAGCTTAAATTAAGACTCTTAGATAAAACTGAGGAAGGTTTAGTTATTGTAAGCTTCTTCTAATACCTACATATAAATGGGCACTTAATTTTGCATTTTAGGTTGATTCCAAAGAAATTTGTGATATGACTGAACATGAACTGCAGCTACACTTGGTTGAATCGATAAATTTAGTTACTTAAAGGCTGATTTTTAATAAAAAATAATTTATTTTGGAACTGGATTGTTTTCTTTGAAACTTGTTTTGTGATTATTATTAATAAATACAATCAAAAAGTATCTTTATTTTCCTGAATTTATTATAAAAAAAAACAACTAAAATGTTTTAATCCGGTCCTGTTTAAAAGCATATTTATAAGACGGCCCTGTCCGAATTCAGGGGATTTTTAGTTATTATGTTGGCTACACTTATATTTGACACATGCTTTGTTATTGTAATCAGCTGTGCGATTTTGAACTTTGAGAATGTTATTGTTAATTTTATCAGATCTGTGTTTATTGATGTAGTGCTACAGCGTATAATGGAATTATTGAAGTGCGCCGAGGCGATTTTTCACGAAAATGATACTTCTGCGAAGCAAATTTCGTTGTGTTACAAACATTTCGGAAGTTATCAAGTGAAGTCTAAAAATGAGGAAAGGTTTTTGTTTGATCGTGTTTTCCCGATTTTAAACAAACTGATAGAAAGAAATGTATTGAAGAAGGATGTTTTGTTTTTGGTGGCTTTGGCATGCGTTAACTTCCGGTTAGTAGAAGAAATGATTAAATATGAAAAAGCCATATTCAAATTGGATGTTAATAAAGCATCTTCCCTATATGATTATGCCATATTTTACAAAAATCATTGGATTATGGAAGTTTTAAAAGATGTTACTGAAGATAAGTTTAATCCAGTGGTTTACAACAAGTTTCTTCTTTTAAAAATCATAGAAAAAACCCATGAATCCAATAGAAACATTGAAGATATAAAAACATTAATAAATAGTGTTAAAATTCAGGATTTTGATGAATTTTGGACATACTATTTAAAGGAAATAAAAAGGTCTGTAAACATTGTAGATTATTGCAGTAAATTATCAACTAGTGATAAGACAGAAATATTTTCCTATTCAGTAGATAATTCCATATTAAACATCCTGGATAAGTTTGTTTGTTTTAAAAAGGCTGATTTTAATGATTTATTGGATATTGTAAAAAAAGATGAGGATTTTTACAATAATGGACCACAACAATCTGTAGTATTTTTGGGGTTTATAATTATATCGAGTGTATTACAAATTTTAATATCTTTTATTGATGATAACAGCACTGTTATAAATATTGTTAAAGATGTAACAGAAAAACTAATTAGTATTACCAACAGAAAGTACCAAATTGAGCTTTTGGAGAACATTTTTGCCCTAATTTTCCTAAAAAACGTACATTTATCCAATTTAGAAACAGAGGAAAAATACATTTGTAATGAAAAAGAATTAAGACTTATTTTATATTTACTAAAAAATGTGGTGGACGAAATAAAGTTGAAAAATCTTTACGAAAAAGATACTGAGGAGTACAACCGCTTTAAAGATTTGAGTAAAAATGTTTCTGATGCTACCTGGAGGTTGGATTTGATTGTGAATGTTAAATGTTTCGAAAAGTGTGAAAAAAATTTGCTGAAATACATGCTGGCTTCTCCAGAGTCACTAATACAAATGTGCTTGAAGCAAGGAGATTTTGAAAGGAGCTACCAAGTTATTAAGGTAACAATTTAATGTTTAATTTTTTTTTTATATTTTTTGAATTTTTTTTCATATTTGTTACATTTTTTGACAATAAAATTCACACACATTTCATATTTGTAATCCTTTATGCCGCTTATCTCTTTGCTTACTGGTGGTAATTGTCTTAAAAATTGTTTTAACTGTTCTACCAATTCTGCTTCACACTGTTCATTATTAAATTGTTTTTTTATTGCATAAATGTAACCATAAATGTTGTTCATATTTTCTTCATAATAAATGTTGTACATTTCATTAGATCCATCAAGAATATACTTTAGGTCTTCCAAAAACCTTTCCTTAAGTTTATTGATGTCATCAAAAATTGAGCCATCAATATTTTTTAACTTTTTCAACACATGCAACTCCTTTATAAAATTCAATTTGAGATTCTTAATCTGAGCTACACATATTGTGGTGTTTCTTTCCAATATATGTATTGAATCCTCAAGCAGTTCATCAATCGATTTTTGGGCCCTTCTTGGATCCGCAAACATTGTGAATTTTTTAACAAAAACGTCAAATTTATGGCGCGGTCAAAATTTAAACTAAAACTACAACTTTCTTATGGCTCTCTCCAATTTTTTTTGGGCGTATTTTTCGTAATTCGTGGGCTCGTATTTGATTTCAGCGCCATCTTCGTCGTGATAGACTCCAATAGGGTTTTCAGTCAAATATTTCTTGACTTCGTCAATTCTTGCCTTTGGAAAGCAAAATTTACAGCGGAAGCAACAGCAGCACCAACCTAAAAAAATTTACAACTTTTATTTTATCTTCTATGTTAAATTATTTTAATCCTATAGGTACGCTAAAGAAGTCTCGGGTTTTCGCAACGCGCGCGCCATCTGGTGGACTTCAAGAGCATTGCGTGAATTTAAGAATTGTCAACAATACTTTTAAAGCATACGAACTGTAGGTACATCATTTTTAAATAAATTGGTAGTTTTTTCACAAAAGAGAGTCTTACTCGACAAATTTTGTTCAATTGCACAGCTAAATCGCGAAAAAACTAAAAAACTTTTAGTACTCGATTTTGATTAATTATTCCTTATATCATTGATTAAGAAACTCAACGCTTAAATGCTTATATAGTTACGTTAGTGTGTGTATTTTATCTAAGGGATCATGGTAAATTATTGTGTTTTAAATTGTAAATAAAATTCAAGAATTAAATCGTTGCATTTTCATGTTTTGCCAAAGGATACAATTCGGTAAGAACATTTGTTGGTGCAGAATTAACTAATGATAACTTTACCTAATATAATTTATATTTAAGTTTGGACATTTTTAAGAAATTTGTAATCAATATTTTTTGCACAAACATAACCTTAAAATCAACCTTTTTTATATTTGAGTTCTCTAAAAAACGCCGACAGCTGCATTTTAAACAACAAAATATACCTACGAATTCATGGCAACATAATATTATATAATATATAATATAATGGTATTTTACCGTTGAGAGGAGACTTTAAAAAATTCTTAATCAACGCTTTTAATAATGCTAAATGATGTTTAAATTTAGACGACTTATTTGTTTGACGATTTTTACTGAATTGAAATGTTTACACTTTTCACGTTAATCATTACTAAAATGTGTATTTATTGTATCTAATAGATACAATTTATATTTACAGGGACTGTATGAAATTTATTTCTTCATTCGGATTAACACTGTTTATTGGAAAACCGATAAAAACTCGATATTTTTTAACATTTTCCGGCTTTACTCTCAAAAACACTCGTTTGTAACACACGCGTTTGACAGAAAGTGGTACTTTTGTTACGATGATAACAGCCGAGTGGTGGCGCTACTAGCGATACTTCTTTAGCGTTTATTTTTTACAAAAGAGGAGTTAAATCTTTGGATTGTGATTTTACCTTTGTAACACCATAGCGGTATAGCAATCGCTAAATAAACAGTAGTCCAGACCACGATAATTTTGCCAATTTTTTTTAGCACCTTTACAGCTTTGTGGTCTGTGCTTTGATCTTCCCACAGGCATTCCAAAGCACCAATACCTATTCCTCTATTTTCTTCTGCTGTGCAGTTTATGGGTTTTTTAAAGTCTATCAAAGTACCAGCTGCATCTTTAAGAGTTTCATCCTCTGCAACGTCAGTAGCATTCAAAGTGCTACTCAGGTTTTCCCTTTTCTCCAAATTCTTCTTAAACTCGATTTCGTAGGTGTTGTAATCGTAGTTGGTGTTTACATCGAATGCCCTTTTATTTTTGTGTTCCCCTCCTTTTTCGTCGATGTAGCTTGCCTTCCAGGGCCGCGGTTCGAGCATTTCCGGATTGAATTCTCTTTTGTATTTGTACCTCAGTTTTTTGTCCTCTTTCGAAACCTCTTTGTTTCGCCTTTCGGCCACTTGGTGCAACCTGTAGAAGTCCCCACTTTCCGTGGTCTCTTTTTCCAGCAAACCCATCCTAATCATCTCCGATTCTTCGTCATACACGTCTTGCATCTCTTCTTCGTCGAATGTGTCTATTATTTCGAAGGTATCGTTGTCTTCCAAGCTTACATCGTGGGCCGGGGGCCAAATTAGACGGGCACTCGGCACGAAAAGTATAAACCACAAATACATCATTTTGACACTTGTATGTTTCAGATTTTCAATATGAGCGAATCCAAGATAGCCGAGGAGATCAAATTCGCGGAAAAATTAAACCAGCTGAAGGAATCTTTAAGGAAAACCCACAAAATTAAATCGTTGAAGAAAGAAAACCCGGCGGTATTGTCGGGGAATTTTGAGTCTTCCGTGGAAAAAGTCATCGACGAGTTTTTCGTTAATGAAACAGATGTTTTTTTCTGTGTTCTTGATTTGGCTTTGACTCAGCCCAAGGATTGCGATATTATGTTGGATATTGCTGATAAGCATAACACTTCAGGCGATAATTTTTATGATAAAATCAGAGGTTTATACGATTTCGTTGGAATAAATGAGAACATCACTTTGTCGGATATTCTGAAATCGTCCAGGTACGATTTAAATTTGAATAGGTACACCACCAAACAAAAATTCTATGACGACTTGGCGGAGTCTTACAAAGAATTGTATCAGTCGCTGACGGTAGACGAAGCGGGTGTTTTTAACAGGAGTCACAAGAGTCACAAAGCTCTCATCAAACTCAACAACATTTGCAACAACTTCGTCGAATCCCAATCAAAAACGAAAGACAACATTAAATACTTACTGAAACTCTACAACTATCTGAAAGCGTTCTCCGGCATTCTCTACATAGAACAAAACACGACGAACTTGATATCGAACGGTAAAAACACGTCGTTCTTCCAACTCCTCAACTACAACAGAGCGGAATTGACGGGTAAACTTCTTTTCGTGAGGAATTTAGACCCCAGTGAGTTCGAGAAATATTTCGGAAAGCTGAAACTCGACTTTCTCTACCACGTAATCGGCAATTGCTTTCCCACCATCAACTTGCACACGCACGACGTCAGCAAGGAGGAGTTGTACCCGGAAAATAGTTTGTTCGTGCCTAGTAAAAGCATTATAACGTACATCCAGCGGAGAAATTGGCTGCTGGCCTTTATTCTGAACGAAATGTACAAACTGGATGATTTGAAGATGGATATCAGCGAGTTGAGAGTTCAGACGTTCTTGAACTGTCTCAACTTGCAGAGCATGCAGAATCTGAAGGTTATATTCAACAATAACATCATCACCACGGTATTGCAGAACGACATCAGCACTCAAAAACTCTCAGACTACGTAAACAATAAAGTCTTGCTGCAGGATAATTTTCTCACCGCGTCGCATCATAGCCACGTTTCGTGCGACAGTCTGGAAACTGGGGAAGAAATCCTGGAAGACGCGCTAAAATCAACGAACTGGAAAGACTTGTTCGATATTTTGGACAGCGTTCCGGAACATCAGCTCAAAAAGAAGCAAGAGTTAATAGACTTGAAGGACATGGTGCTGGCGAATTTGATACAAGACGGCTTCGAAATCGGTTACTACAAGTACGTGGAGTTTATTTCTAACGCGGATGCCAGAATTAACACCGTTTTGAGCAACTTCCGCAAGTGGCCTGGGGAATTTTGCGTCTATATTTTGAAGTCCGAAATAAGCAGGTTCGACGGCGCTAGACACAGGCAAATGCCGGAGCTGATAGATTGGTTGCAGGAAATAGAGTTGTGCGAAAAAGTACGTATGTTTCTTAATGTTTATGTTGAATGCGAAATCTCTAATTTAATATGTTATCAGTGGTAACATTTAAGAGTAGCTCGGGCGGCTTTTGTCAGTAGAATTTACCTTTACATTACCCTGCCCAAGTAGCACAAACGGTTAAATAACTAGTATTATAAGTAAATTAACCGAAATCTAAGTTAAATAACGTTTTTTTAACTTGGGTTTTTAACCAATTAGTTGAATTATCCAATTAGTTTTTTTTACGGTTATTATAAACTAAAAAAAACCTTTAAATTAACCAACTAGTTGCTATTACTTAAGAGTTAATTTAAAAGTTATTTTTTACTATAATTTAACTTTAAAACTGATGAGTGAAACAATACTTCCAAGTTAAATAAATGGTTAATTTTTAGTTAATTGTAACTTTTAAAATATCCTTAATTTACCTTAGTTAATATGTAGGTTATTTTATAAGTTATATAACGTTATATTAACTTTAAATTTTAACCAATAAAACTGGTAAAGAGTAGTTCATTTTCTTGTTATATTTTGGTTCATTTTAACTATAAGTTCAAATTGTAAGGTCAAAATTTGTCGCACAGTGTTATTTGATGTTAATAATTTTTAGCTTAAGCCTATTTTAAACCTACCCAATTGGTCTTTGGTTTATGACTGCTGCACAAACGAAAAATATACAGTAATATCGAGCCTTGTACTGGAAGATGAGGTAAATATTTTCATTCATTATTTTAAAGGAAGGCTTTAGATAATACTTGACGTATAACTTTTTTATATAAATCAATCACAATACAAAAAATTAGTTTAATATTTTTTCGTGTTGCTAATTTTTTAGATCAAATTACTGCTAAATTATATTGAAATGCACAACCCGCCTTCAGAAACTCTTGTGGAGATTCGCGAGTCTTACTTCATGATGATGTTTGAGTTGAATAAAGATTTTTCGTACATTAAACAATTATTAGATGCGTTACCATACCAACACTCCTTAAATATATGCAGGAATTTGTTGAAACTTCTAAGGAAACTGCCCCAGCTGCAATTTGTAACCGAATATTTGCTTAGCAACGAAAACGAAGAATCTTTGAGATACGTGGAGATTAGCCTTAAGTTGTTGGAAGTTTTTACCACAACAGAGCAGGAACAACTATTATGTTTACTGTACGAACCCCTAAACATCGTGGAGATTCTCATAATGAACACCAAACTGGACAAGTTATCGGTGGTGTTGGAAATTCTCGAACGCGAAATTCCCCACAACGTTCTCGACGAAGACAAACTAAGCAGGGAAAAAGTCGATCAGCTGCTAAGAAAATACGCGGAAAAAAGCCTGGACTTCCGAGTTATCACGCAACCGAATCCCAGACTGTTAAGAACCCCGGAAATAAAGTTGATGCAATCATTGGACTCGCTAAATTTCGGTTCGGATGGGAGATCCTTTCAAATGCCAGAAAAGGTGCCGGACAAACAAGACTGGGTGCAAAACCACGAAGTTTTGGAATGCATGTGCTGCCAGCAAATCACGTTTTCCATGTTCAATAGACGGCATCACTGTAGGAGATGTGGCAGGGTGGTTTGCTACAACTGTTCAATGAAGAGAATGTTGGTAAGTGTCTCTTCCATAAGTTAGTTAGTAATACCTGTATTATTAAAATACAAATATGTGACGCGTCTTCTTATTAGACATCTCAAAGATATCGTTCAGATATTTTTTTGCAAATGGCTAAAAGATGTCAGATTTCTTAGAGGATAAATTTATTAAATCTGAATGGGAGAAAAACATTAATTGTATTTACTTATTATGAGGGACGTATTTTTACGAAAGAAAATTACTTATGTGCATTTCACCTAACGGTAATTTTAACGTCCGAATTTTTATTTAATGGTAAATGTTACTCATAACTCACAATATTACGATATTAAGACCACTTTATAAACGTAAATAATTCCTATTCGCCTGGTATTTTTTACGGTTATTAGTGGTAATAAATACAATTAATATTGACTAAACAAGCACGGAAAGAATTACAATCAAATTTTTGATCAATATAGCGCCAATCCAAAATTAGACTAATATCAATAATTCATTCGATTGATTTATTTGCTAGGCTTAAATGTATCAAACCGTGATAAATAGCAGCAAATAAGTTTTATAAATCACTACAAAATTTAGAATAATTATAGTGAAAATTAAATTAAATTCGCTTACGATTTTCTAGAATCCACATATTTTCTTAAATTTACCAATTCTTGGATTCAATTAAGCACTTTTTAGGTCAATTTAATCTATTTTTTAATAGTAGTTATAAAAAATTTGGCAAAATTAAGAATAATTAGGATAAAGTTTATCAGATCATTTGATTGATTCGTGCAAAAATTATCTAAATAGATAGTAAAAAATATATTGAATTTATCAAAAATTGTATTATTTTAATCAATTCAATATTTGATTATTGACTGGAATATTGATCTTCGTAATAAGCTGTGACAGTGGGGTAGGTAAAGTATATATACTAAATTTTGTGTTTAATAAATATTCATTTATTTTAGCTTACAAACTTTCATAAAAAATAACTCAATAAAATAATAATCTATAGGTTCAAAATACAAAAAAATAACTCAATAATGGTTTTTATGTTTAATTGACTAATATAATGTATAATTTTTAAAGTTTTAAAATATTTGCTTTAAAACCTTAAAAAACAACTGTTTAAATAATCCTGTCTAGATAAAATTATTAGAAACATTTACTGAATTTTAGAAAAAGACCTATAAAATTTGTACTAACATTAACCAAATATAAAACTAATTCTATCCAACTTTTGATACTACTTACTAATACTAGTAAAAATAAAGTTAAATCCATTTAGTTTTTATTTAAATATTATTTGAGAAAATTAATCCAAATAGGAATATAATAATAAAATCCAAGAGTTTATCTAATCTATCTTTTCTTTGAAAATTAAGCTTAACGTTACATAAAGCCAATCTTTATGTTTGATTGGTTTAAGAAAAACTTTTAACTTTGCTGTTCCTAGAAAAAAAATGTATTCGATTTAGCACTTAAACGATAATTATTAATGTCTATCTTAGGATGTTAATTTTAATTTGATGATATTAATCATTTGCGAAATGTATATATTTATCATAAAAAACTTAAATTTGTCAGTTTTTTTCTTGATTTATTCTATTTTAGATTAAACTAATTCATTTTGGATAAATTTTGTCTTTTCTTAAATTAATAAATGGATTTGATTTACTTTATCATAACATTTCTTTCTGTGAGAAAAAATAAGCTTAAAGTGAAAAATAAAAAATTTTTCAGGTCGCCATAATGATTTTTTTAGACATTTTTTACACTTTTAAAACTTTAAAATAGCTTAAAAAACAACTTCCATCAAAATGTAAATAACTTGTGTGTACAGTAACTGTGGTTAATAGTTTAAATCTGGTATTTTAAAATGAAATTAAAATATTTGATTTTATCTATCTAGGTGGACACCTATGGGGATATAATGGTGAGGGTGTGCGCAGACTGCTTTCAGCAGACGGTCGGCGATTCGAACTCGGAAATTACCGACACCACATCAACAAAGTCAATTTACTACGATTATTGGCTTCTGACGGACGATCCCGAACACAATTTGATAGTAAGAGAGGAATTTTCCTATGAACACGCGCCAAGTGTATCTTTGTGTCTGTCGATATTAAAATATCATTCCAAATGCATTGAGTACCCAAAGTAAGTACAAAATATTAAAAATATTGAAAGAAATTTTTCAATTTAATTTTAATTGTTTTTTATAGTTTTTTCTATATACGTCATATTATATAAATATTGTTATTTTCATTTTAGGTTTTTATTGGAACAATGCAATTTAATGCTAAAGTTATTGCTACCAAGTCAAGATCCAATTCAAGAGATAGATTACTTACTGGTAATAAAGATGTTAAAGTGAGTATAAACAATCCATATTCATTAAATGCATTATTTTTACTACTATTATTTGTTACAAACGAGTATTTTTGAGAATAAAGCCTGGGTTGAGTTTTTATCGCTTTTACAATAAACAGTGTTAATCTGAATGAAGAAATAAATTTCATACAGTCCCTGTAAATATAAATTGTATCTATTAGATACAATAAATACACATTTTAGTAATGATTAACATGAAAAGTGGTAACATTTCAATTCAGTAAAAATCGTCAAACAAATAAGTCGTCTAAATTTAAACAGCGTTGATTAAGAAAGTCTCCACTCAACGTTAAAATACCGTTATATTATTATATATAATATTATGTTGCCATGAATTCGTAGGTATATTTTGTTGTTGAAAATGCAGTTGTCGGCGTTATTTAGAGAACTCAAACATAAAAACGGTTGATTTTATGGTTATGTGTGTGCAAAAATTATTTTTTACTAATTTCTTAAAAATGTCCAAACTTAAATATAAATTATATTAGGTAAAGTTATTATTAGTTAATTCTGCGCCAACAAATGTACTTACCGAATTGAATCCTTTGGCAAAACATGAAAATGCAACGATTTAGTTCTTGAATTTTATTTACAATTAAAAACACAATAATTCACCATGATCCCTTAGATAAAGTACACACACTAACGTAACTATATAAGCATTTAAGCGTTGAGTTTTTTAATCAATGATATAAGGAATAATCAATCGAAATCGAGTACTTAACCAGTAAAACACAAATAACGTGCGCGATTTAGCTGTACAATTGAACAAAATTTGTCGAGTAAGACTCTCTTTTGTGAAAAACTACCTATTTATTTAAAAATGTAATGTAAGCATTAAATGTATTGTTGACAATTCTTAAATTCACAAGGCGAAAATCCGGTACTTTTTTACCGTACCTATACTATTTTAGTAATTAAAATAAAAAATCATGATCTCTAAACATTTTTTTAGATCTCTTGCAATGGCAGCTAAAATGTCTTCAGTGGAGTGCACCCTTCAATATGGCACTTCACTGGCAGACCGCATATTATCCCAATCGGAGTTGCTTAGTCTTTTGGCCGAAAGAGGGTGTTTGAACATGTTGCCAATCAGCGCCTCCCAAAACCAGGGTCCGTTTATCGATGCGGCCGTTTTGAGGCGTTTGAGAGACAAGTTACTGGAAAGAGAGCAATGGAATTTAGCTTTGGAAGTTTCCACGAAAACTGGACTGGATAACGCCGGTAAGTAGTTTTCAATTTTAGGGATTTTTTCAGGTAGAATATTGTACGTCTAAAAATTTTTACCAAATTTGGCATCCTTGCAAAATATCTGAAAAGTGACGTTTCTCTATATCTCGAAAGTTTTGGTCAAAATAAATTTTGTTTTTTCGGGTAAATTTAACCAAAAATTACGCTGATATTTAATACCCCATATTTTTTAAACCACCTAAATATTATATATTTTTTTGTAAATATGTTTAAAGTTACTCTGTCTATTAAAGTATAACAATTTTAATAGTGGTTTCAGGTCTTTATTCCAAATTTTGTTTACTTAGGGGTGTTATTTAACACCTAAAAGTGGGCAGTTGGATTTTTTTAAATAAGCCCTTTAAAAAGAAAAAAAGGGTCTCCTGGGTCACAAATTTACTAACATATTAAAAAAACTTATATAAAAATGCTTAATCATTTTGAAAACATTGTTTCGTTGAACTACCAAAAAATTTTTTCCAGCTTCTTTGAGGCAAAATACATTGACTAGGAAAATTACTATCAAAAAGGTGGAGGACATTATTTTAAATTGGCTATGTACTGTCTTTTAAAACTTTCCTATAAGTTGATTATTATTTCAAAAATATATTATAATGTATTTCTTTGGAATTGTCCTCTGGGTCACATGACTTTCCCCTGGGCCACACAATATGTGATCCAGGAGACTTGTGACCCAGGGAAAAAATGTATGTTTTTAGAACATAACTTCTTTACTGTTTTAAAGACAAAATTTTGTATTTTTTGCCCTTAAAACCATTACTAGGATACTTACTTTTGAGAATCAAACAAAGTCCAACTGGTACCTTTACTACTTTTTTTACTGTGACACAGGAGAATGCACAGTTTTGCCACGCTAGTATAAAAAATACAAAATAACGTGTTGTGGCTTCAAGTTCAAAGTTCAAAACACCATTTTCTACTAAAATCCCTTACTAAATACATTGCCGCAAGGGGGCAGCACCAAAAAATGTGCGCTTAATTCAAAAGGTCATTTATAAAAGCTGCGACCCAGGAGACATATTTTAAATATTACCACAAATGAGCTTTTTCTGTAATATTTGGAATATATTCTTAACTATATAAAAAAAGGAGGATGTTAACATAATAACATAATAACATTAATTAATTTACTGTAAGATGTTTAAATAGCATTAAGTAGTTAATATTATTGCAAGTGGGACAGCTACTTTTCTGTACTGTTGGGAAAAGTTTAATTTTTTTTATAGGATTAAATTTAAAATTTTCAATTTTGCTATTGTATAGTTGCTAAAAACACTTAAACCAATTGATTTCGCTTAGTAAAGTTCCAAATGGCGTTAAACTCAATTTTTTATAAAATATTAAAGTTGGGGCACAGCAAATGTACAAGAAATTTGAAAATAACCCCGGTGCCTTTATTGATTTACTTTCTGTAGGAATTTTTGCCGCCTGGGGGAAGAGCTGTCTAAAGGCGGGCTGTTTATCGTTGGCAAGAGAAAAATTTCAGCGATGCCTGGAAAAATCATCGTATTACGATACTCTATCGGACAGCGCTACTATTTGCAGCGAGCACGAAGAAAGCTCTAGCGATACGCATTTAAGTCGTTCCCGCTACCTATCGAGATATTCCACCAACAGCAACTACAGCGACGGCAAGCCGGCCAAAAACCCGCCGCTGCTGAACGAGATAATCCAAATATTGGAATCGAAAACGGAAAAAATTAACGTCGAGGTCCTCGATTTGTGCCAGTCGAAGAATTTGTCCGCCTCGATGAGCAGTTTGAATCAAGGTTCCGTCATACTCTCGCAAAGTAACGACGCGGCCATTTGTATACTGAATAAGATTAAGAATTTCAAGGAGATTGTCGGCGGTAATTATTTTCCGAATTCGGATAAAAACAGGCCTCAAACCAACAGACCCAAAATCGACCCCATTTTTTACGACGAGTGTATCTATTATTTATCCAAATACGGTACGCACATTAGTTTACTGGAATTCTATGTGAGAAATGGGGACATTAGCACAGCTTTGGAATACATCAATGAGGCTAGATTGAGTGCGGATATTTTCAATGAAATTTACGTCAAATGTCTCAAAGATGGTATTGTTAATATATTACAAGAAGAAATGACCAAAATTGATTCCACTTTGGACATTTGGAAGGTATGTAGGGTAAAGTAGACAGTTATAGTTATTGGACAATTAACATTAATACTGTAAAAACAGTTCTATAAATAGTTACCTTAAAGTCAAATCATTAGATGACGCTGTATACAATTATAACTAGGTATCTTAGTCGGTAATAATATTGAACTACTCTATTTTCGGTCCAATATAGGACAATAAAGTTCGCACGTTGCTTTGGAGGTAAGATTTTTGTTTTTTTGTTGGCCAGTGTCCAATTACTGGTTGGTAAAAAATGTAAATTTCTATTATTGGACATATGGCCAATATCATACTCTATTTGTATCCCGGACATTTACCAGCCAATTCTTATGTAAAATTGTCCCCTGAATACGAAAAGACCGTCAAAAACTATAAAAGTTATGCAGTTTTTGAGATATAGTCAATTCCATATTATATGTAAATTGATTATATTTCAACTTTTTTAACTTTTGACGTTATTTTCGAATTCAGCGAATAATATTTCATAGGAATTGACTGCTAAATGTCCTGGATACAAATTGCTGTTGACGAGAATTATTACTAGCTGCTTTTTCGCTGAAATTTTTGACTAATTTATTTTTAGAAAGTAAGTAATATACTAATTTCTTAGTCACAGTACATCTTGCAGAATAACAGTGATTTAAATACAGTGCATGATAGAAAACATAAAAAACTAATGGCAACAAAATTAATAAATTCGGAAAATACTTTTAACATACCACCCGAAAAAATATTAGATATATAAAAATCAACCTGTTCCGGCCTAAACATTATAAATGCTTTACAAACTTAATGATATTTGCAACAAACTATTTCAGAAGTCAGACCAAGGAATTAGTAGTTACCTTCAGAATCCATTGCATGTTTTTATAAAACTATTATCAAAAAGTCAAATATTCTTATTTTTAAGTAAACGTAAATAAAGTTTAAACAAACTATCCTTTTTATATATTTATAAGAAAAATAACTAAAAACTATGTGGTTTACCCTATGTTTAGAAAAATCGAATTGTTTTTTTTTTGCAGCCAAAGGTCAAACTGTAAATGTGTTCGGGTATTTTTGTAGAGAATTAAACGCTCTACAAAAAAGTTTTCCCATGATTATTTTGCCAAACCAATTGGTTAAAAAGTTATTAAAGGTCAAAGTTCAACTCACCACCAATTTTGCCGATTTATCGGTATTGCAGCGGAACTTTGATCTTTACTTTACTTACTTTTTAACCAATTGGTTTAGCAAAAAATCTTAGGAAAACTTTTTTGTAGAGCATTTTATTCTCTATAAAATTATCCGAATTTTCTGTATGACCTTTGGTTAAGGAGTTACAAAAATCAGAAGAAACATAATTTTTTTTTTAAATAAATAAAACTAATGATATTTCAGGATTATTTAAGGCAGATCTGCAGACATTTAGAAAAACAAAACATGCTAAACTCCCTATACCAATTACAACAATACATGGGGGACTATATTAGAGCTGCTATGACTTGCATAAGATTTTACCAGGAAAATGTGGATTCTTTTACAGACTATTCCACAAAAGAACATTTTTTACACAAAGCAGAAGAACACCTTAAGCATGTCCTGGAACAGGACCAGTGGGTCGAAGTGGCATCAGGTAATACCTAAAATATTATTATTATCAAATTAACTGTCAAGTGGGCTCCAAATATGGAGAAAAAAAACTAACCAAGTACTATACGCTAAAGCAGTATCGCTAGTGGCGCCACCACTCGGCTGTAGTAGAACTTTTGATAATCAGCTGTCAAACGCTTAGGTTACAAACGAGTGTTTTTGAGAATAAAGCCGGAAAAAGTTAAAAAATATCGAAAAAAAATCCGTGGCACGATTTTTTGTGTTGGGTGTATTTCGAGAGGAAATCCTGGGTTGAGTTTTTACCGGTTTTCCAATAAACAGTGTTAATCCGAATGAAGAAAAAAATTTCATACAGTCCCTGTAAATTTAAATTGTATCTATTAGATACAATAAATACACATTTTAGTAATGATTAACTTGAAAAAAAACATTTCAATTCAGTAAAAATCGTCAAACAAATAAGTCGTTTAAATTAAAACAGCATTTAGCATTATTAAAAGCGTTGATTAGGAATTCTATAAAGTCTCCACTCTAGGGTAAAATACCATTATATTATGTATAATATATAATATTATGTTGCTATGAATTAAAATGCAGTTGTCGGCGTTTTTTAGAGAACTCAAATATAAAAATGGTTGATTTTAAGGTTATGTTTCTGCAAAAATTATTTTTGATTAACTTCTTAAAAATGTCCAAACTTAAATATAAATTTTATTAGGTAAAGTTATAATTAGTTAATTCTGCACCAACAAATGTACTTACCGAATTGCATCCTTTGGCAAAACATAAAAATGCAACGATTTAGTTCTTGAATTTTATTTACAATTAAAAACACAATAATTCACCATGATCCCTTTGATAAAATACACACACTAACGTAACTATATAAGCATTTAAGCGTTGAGTTTCTTAATCAATGATATAAAGAATAATCAACCGAAATCGAGTACTAAACCAGTTTTTTAGTTTTCCTTGCAACGTAAAACACAAATAACGTACGCGATTTAGCTGTGCAATTGAGCAAAATTTGTCGAGTAAGACTCCAGCCTTCCTCTCTTTTGTGAAGAAACTACCTATTTATTTAAAAATGATGTACAGTTCGAATGCTTTAAATGTATTCTTAAATTCACTCAATGCTATCAAAGTCCACCAGATGGCGCGCGCGTTGCGAAAACCCGATACTTCTTTAGCGTATAGAGGTAAATTTACTTGTTCATTACCATCCTCTATTTTTAGTACGCACCTCAACGTCAAAGGATAGTTTTGAGGAAAAAGGTCTTATTAATCCTTCCTTGGTAATGAAAATCAACTCAAAAGACATTGACAATCATATAAACACGATTTGGAGACAAATTGAGATCGTGAAATTCTTGTCGGATTGCGAAAATAACGAGTTCAAGCCTGTAAAGTTGCTGGCGTCCATTTTTTATCAAGAAGGTAATTTATCGGCTTTTCAATAATTTGTATTTATAAAAATAAGTTTTTTTAAATGATTATTTCCCTCATTATAATATGAACCAATCAAAAGCCTTGAATTTTCAAATAAATTTCGTTTAAATAAGCGATTAAATCACTAGAACTATTTAACAGCGATTAAATTTTAGCTTCCATATTGGATTTTTGTTTACGATTTTATGGTGTTATTTACAAGTTTTAACAAACATTTTTTAAAAAGCAATAAAAAATAAGTTATCTAGTTTACGAAATATCAATTATTACTTATTACATACCTTAAATTAATGGAATTTTCTTTAAAAAAATATTTATAAATTTTGACACATACGTCAGATTTTATGAATTGTCAAATAGTTTCCTTTAATTCGAGAAATAATCTAGACGTATATCACTCAACCTATATAAATTTAATCTGTCAAACTATGCTCAGTAAGTTTTTTATTTGATTTTTCTTTTTGGAAAATAGTTTCATGCAAAATAATTAAAAATAAAACCCCTCGACCGCTACGCGGTCTCGTGATTTTATTAAATTATTTTGCATTCAACATTTTCCAAGAAAAACCAAACAAAAAACTACTGAGCCTAGCCGATTAAATTCATAGTTCTCGTGATATGATTTATTATCAACAATTTTGCAGACGATTTAAAGAAAAAAGTAAAACTGCCAACCCTATTTGGCACAACAAGTGAAAAAGTTTGCCTTGCTGTGTTGGCCATAGTAAGCGGTAAAAATGTTGAAGACGGCTTTGACATCGCCCTAAGGTATGTAAATCTGATTGGTGTAGGTGTAGGCACAATAAACATACTCAAGAAGACTAAATGCGGGAGGAGTAACTTACTCTACTAGTCTTTTTCGCATACTTTCTGTTTGAACAGGATCATTGAAGAATTGAAACTGAAACCGGCCAAGGTGTACTGCGAAGCTGGCAAGCAGCTGGCGAAATCCGAGAGGTACGCGGGCATAGCGCAGCTGGTGAGTTCCATTAAAAAGAGCGGCACCAACGACAACGTCATAACGGACATGTGCGACGAAATGTTGACGTTGGCTGTTGCCACGTTTACCAAGGCCAACGTGACCGGCACAAAAGTGGAGGATCTGATCAAATTAATTTCGGATATTGCCACAAAGGTGAGCTTCTTACTGCGAAGATTTTGCAGATAAAATGGGATTCTTTAAAAATGTTTGTAGATTTCCATGTACATCGAGGCAAAACAGCTGAAAACTGCGTGCTATTTGGCCATCAAGTACAAACGTATGTCGGATGTCAGAAGGATTTTAAGGGAGGCCGAATTATTTAATCAGCCCAGCATTAAAGCTTTATGCTTGAGAGTTTTGCAGAAACATTCGCATGCCAAAGAATAAAATAAATAGTGTAAGAAATGTGTTTTTAAAACCTATTATTTGCAATATAAATTACAATGCTCATACTAATAATTTATGAGTCATAAATAATGTGGCTTTTGCTAAGAGTTCTACAAGGTCTATAAAAAACATTGAAAGATATTTTTTTTGTAACTATGGTAACTAAATTTAAAAGGTACCTAACCTGAATTATACTAAGTGTAAAATGAATAATTTATTGTTATGTAAATATTTTCTTTTAAATGCTTGTAACTTATAAACAAAACCAAATCGGACCTATGTATGTTAATTAAAAAAAATCTGACAAAGTTTATTATAGATACTGTTGAACACCCTGTATATTAGTTTTTTATTATAACATTGTTCCTATTTTTCATAATATGCAGTGCATATGGGTCATTCCACCAAATATTTTCAAAATACTTTTCTAGGAATGAATAATGATTTTTTAACTTTTTACGTTAATTTTTTTTTAATTTTCATGTTGGGGTTATTTTTTGTTTAAATACAATACAATAAAGTCATTTTAAGTCTTTTTTTCTTCAAATAATTGAGGTTATGCATCTGTCAAATTAACGCCAATTTCGTCTTATTTTTTGAAAATAATATATGTATGTTTTTGTGACATTAACTAAAAAGTTTGTACAAAAATATAATTTTTAGAAAATAAGAGAAAATTGCCGTTAATTTGACAGATGCATAACCTAAAATGACTTACTATTACATAATTATTAAATTGTATTTAAACAAAAAACAAGCGCATTGTAAAAATGAAATATTTTATGGTAAAAAATTCTGCTTGCAGAAAAATATATCAAATATCAAATAAAACTTTTAAAAAATTTCAAAATACTTTTCTAGTAATGAATAATAATTTTTTAAAACTTTTTTCGTTAATTTTTTTTTAATTTTCAGTTTGGGGTTATTTTTTGTTTAAATACAAATATAATAAAGTCATTTTTTCTTCAAATAATTGAGGTTATGCATTTGTCAAATGAACGCCAATTTCGTCTTATTTAAAAAATAATATATGTATGTTTTTGTGTGATATTTACTAAGAAGTTTGTACAAAAATATAATTTTTAGAAAATAAGAGGAAATTGCCGTTAATTTGACAGATGCACAGCCTAAAATGAGTTACAATTACTTAATTATTTAATTATATTTAAACAAAAAAACAAGCGTATCGTAAAAATGATATATTTTATGTAGAAAAATTCAGCTTTTAGAAAAATATCAAGTTTTAAATAAATTCTTAAATACTTTTCCAGTAATGAATCATAATTTTTTTGAACTTTTTTCGTTAATTAAGTTAATTTAAAAATTCTCAGTCATTTTAAGTATTTTTTTCTTCAAATAATTGAGGTTATGCATCTATCAAATTAACGCCAATTTCCATTCTTATTTTTTGAAAATAATATATGTATGTTTTTGTGACATTAACTAAAAAGTTTGTAAAAAATATAATTTTTAGAAAATAAGAGAAAATTGCCGTTAATTTGACAGATGCATAACCTAAAATGAGTTATAATTACCTACTAAATTGTATTTAGACAAAAAATAAGCCCATCATAAAAATGACATATTTTACTTAAAAAAATTCAGCTTTCAGAAAAATTGAATATTTTAGCGTTTTTTAATAAAAAAGAATAAATATTTTTATTGAGAAGTTAAGAATTTTTTAAAATATTACCAAATTATATATTTGGTGGAATGACCCATATACATAGATTTACATGTATATAAATATATTTTTATTATTATTATTATTATTAGTCAGCCATCTGTGATAACCAAAACTATTTAAACATATAACTGATACCTTAATGGTTTTATTGAATGTTTATAAAGTAATAAAGATCTGATTTATAAAAGTTTCTTTTATTATTTATAACACTTTTACTATAAAGAATAATTATAAATTTAAAATAAATTAAAATATCTAAAAAACCTTGAATAATATAATCATTAAAAAATATCACATTAAAAACTAAACTTAATGAACAATCCAGGTAAAAATAATAAATATTAAAACTTTATTAAAATTTATAGTTGCCAAAACAGGAATTATTTTGATCTTAACAATTAGTCTTCTAAAACAGCCTCTCCGTTAAGACTTGCAGCATTATTCACCGTATCATTTTCTAGTTCGGAATTTAATTTTTCCGCGAATGCGGCATCAACCTCGGTAATTTGTTTGAAAAAGTTCTCTTTTTGCTCCTGATTCCAGGCCAAAAACCATTCTTTAAAGAGCTTTATCTAAAACAGTCATAACAAGATAATTGGGTGCATCCTTTGTTAATAACATGATTATTAAATATTAATTTAATTAAGTTACTCACCCTGCACTCGAACAGACTCATGGGTTTGTCCCTGCAATTGACCCCCGATATACTGTTAACTATTCCATTGACATAAGCCTTATTAGCATATCTCTCTGCCATGATGGGCAAAAAATCGGATCTTTGAAAATCGCTCCATTCGTTGAACCATTGCACTAAATAGCGAATTTGGGCGTCTACATTCAACATGGTCATCTTCAGGGTTTGTTGGGGCAGTCTTTAAAAATCAGTCACTGCAAAACACACCGTCTATGAACAATTGAAATCGGACACCAGCGAAGAGAAAGAATAGAATGTGTCATGACACTGCAATTGTTTTGTTTTCACTTGTTTACCATTATGTTTTCGCCAATTTTAAGTGCAACTAAACGGTTAAATAAAGAAAACTTACGTTCATCGAGATGTAGGAAGTCCCTATTGTTGTTATTGCCACTTTCCCATAATAAGTAAACGGGGTTTCGGCTGAAAAACTTGTCTACCTATGTGGTGAACCGTAATGACCTCGCACTTTTTAATGCCGTCCTTGACCTCGCCGATCTTGTTTTTCGCCAAGAAATCTACACCGCAGTTCAATCGATTGCCACCAGATGTCGCCGAAAAAAATATTCTATTTGAGTTTTTGATAATTTGTTATTAATTATTCATATTTCAAATTCAATTATTTAATATTTTATAATAATTTACCTAATCGAAATTTATTTATTTAATATTTATAATATACAATTTTTTGACATTTGACAGACAATTTGTGGAATATTTGTCACTTGTCAAACTCAAAGTGACATTCTTTTTGCACCGAAAACACCGATTTTTAACCATCAATCATATTAGCTTAAGAAAACACGGTAAGATGTACTTATAACAATCCAACAAACATATTATTGTGCATGTCAGTGGTATAGGTTATATTGGTGACATAACACTTCTTTTAGAACCAAAATGTCCTTATCACCGTGGTTTAGATCCCCCTTCACTGATATCGGAGGTGCAATCATCACCCATCAGTGGTATGGCCCATGCGCTGAACTGGAAATGAAAGCAGTCGACTGCTTGGAAGCGTACGGTTTGGACAGGGGCATAAAAAAATGTGACACGATTCTAAAGGATTTCCAGGAGTGCGCCCTTCAAATTAAACAGTTTAAAAGGATTAACGCGATGAGGGTAGAAAGGCACAAACAATACTGGTTGGGTGATCGTAAGAAGGCTGAACGCTGGGCAGAAGCCCCTCCTGCAGATAGCTTTTAATTTAATGTTCAATGTAGAGTTACAACTACTGTAAATATAATAAATATTCATTATAAATTTTGTTTTTATATCCAAAATGTTTATAATAATTAATAAATAGGTGAAGTTTATTTTTTTTATCTGAACTTCGGCAACGTTGCAAATTTAGGGTTTTGGTTGGTAAATACAGTTGTCAAGTTGGTTGCATTGATTAAAACAAACTAAGCTAGTTATAAATCTAATTGTGGTTATGTATAAATTATTGTAGGTTACATTGTGCAGTTGTCAAATTGAGTTGACAAAATTCGTAGTTAAAAATGCAATTAATTTGGCTTTGGTGGTGCTTGGATGAGTAAAATCATATAAAAAAAGTAGTTAAATATAGGTATCTTTACGGCCCAGAAGAGAAAGAATTCCTAGCCGATAACAATCTTCGCTTTGAAAAGAATTTATATAAAAGAAATTAAATTTTTTTGTGAACGTAAATGTTGTCCAATGGTGAATGTGTGATGTAATATTTATAAAACCAAATTCGTTACTTTTTTACTCAAAAAATGTCCATAAGGCGATGTACTTTTTCTTCCATTGTGGCATTTGGAATAATTTCATCAAAATGAAGTTTTGCCCTCAAAAGGGCTTTTACATTCGAATTCGTTGCTATTATATTATTTTTGGCATAATTATCTTTTTATTTATAATTGACAAGTAAATTATCAATAATAAATATTATTGTCAATTTGACAGTGTCAAAGTATTTAATTAAATTCTTTAGCAGAAGTACCATTTTTAAATACTAAAAATACTAAGTCAAACTGGCATAAGCCAACAACCTAACAAAAAACACGAGTCCAGATAAAAAAAATGAACTTTAGGTGTAGAAATTTAATTATTTATTTATATTTAAAAAAAGTCCCTTAATTTTGTAAAAAATTAGCAAGCTGGCAACATGTCATAAGGATGTTTCAATTTGAACCTTTCAAAACGTTCCGAAGTTAGTTACAGTTTGATGCGGTATTTTGACAAATCATTTTCCCTATTTCGAGCTAATTTTTAAAATACACAGAAATGGTGAGCTTATTTCGATTATTTTATCAACTACATTACATTATTTGCGTCTGTGATAAATTTATTGTTAAATTTGGGCTGTACCCGTAAAAATTTATGAATTTCAAATTTTTGAGGTTAAATTTTGCTTTGATGCACTGTCATCTTACAGTTAATTTAAACATTTCAACGTTTTTAGGCGCGCCGGTATGATACAAGGACTACGATATTCTCTCCTGAAGGTGAGTTTTCCTAAAATCACCAAAATCTGGTTTATAATTGCCTTTTTATAGGGAGATTGTACCAAGTCGAATATGCTATGGAAGCTATCAGTCATGCGGGTACATGTTTGGGAATATTAGCCAATGACGGTATTCTTTTGGCTGCTGAAAGGCGTAACACAAATAAACTACTCGATGAAGTGTTTACATCTGAAAAAATTTACAAGCTAAACGAGTAAGTATACCTTACATCTTGAAAGTTAAAGTTGTTGTAAAACGTAATATTTTAGGGATATGGTGTGCAGTGTGGCTGGCATAACATCAGATGCCAATGTGCTCACAAATGAGCTCCGTTTGATAGGCCAAAGGTATTTGTTTCAATATGGAGAATCAATTCCCTGTGAGCAATTGGTATCGTGGTTGTGCGATGTAAAACAAGCTTACACTCAGTATGGTGGAAAACGCCCATTTGGTGTCTCGATCTTGTACATGGGATGGGACAAACATTATGGATATCAGTTATACCAATCAGACCCCAGTGGAAATTACAGTGGGTGGAAAGCCACTTGCATTGGAAATAACAGTGCTGTATGTTATTTTTTTTGTATTCAAGATAGGTATGTAAGTTTAATATTTTATGTTATAGGCCGCCATATCCAGCTTAAAACAAGAATACAAGGAAGGAGAAATGACCTTAAAAGATGCTAAATCATTGGCTGTTAAAGTTTTAAGCAAAACATTGGATATGACCAAACTTACTTCAGAAAAAGGTAAAAATATTAAAACCTAAAACATTCTGATACCTACATTTTATTATATTTCAGTTGAGATGTCAACTCTAACAAGAAAAGATGGCAAAACTTTTATTAATATCCTAGCAGGCACAGAAGTTGAGGCTCTTATAAGCGAATTCGAAAAAACTGAAGCTGCAGCTGCTGAAGCTTCTAGAAAGGAAAAAGCAACAGCTTAGTTAGGATTTTTTTTCATGTTTTGGTAATCTTAAATTTGTAATAATAAAATTAATTTTAAAACTTGTTGTTTTTGTTGAACCACGTTAAATCAAAAGTTTTTTTAGAGTTTAATTTTTAAAACTTAATCAAAAATAATATTCATATTAAAAAAATGGTAGGTGCAAAAATGGATTAAATAATTTAATTGAATTATTGTTTTAAATAACATGCAGTTTTCAATTACCAGAAAAGTCATTTTTGACAACTAGTTTTAACAACTATTATTTTTTGACATCTTTGTGATAGTTGACAGATGTGTAAAATGCCCATTTTAGACGTCTGTCAAAGATGTCAAATATTAATATATTATTATTTGACAGATGTCTAAAATGGGCATTTTACTCATTTGATAGCTGACAGTTGTGTAAAATGCCCATTTTAGACATATGTCAAATAATAATATATTATTGACAACTATTAATACTTGATTATTATTTGATATCTTTGACAGATATCTAAAATGGGCATTTTACATATCTGTCAGCTGTCAAAAAGATGTCAAAAAATAATAGTTGTTAAAAATATAATATGAAATAATTGTTCTTTTAATTTTGTGTGCAGTTTTCAATTACCCAGTTTTAAATAACATGCAGTTTTCAATTACCTACCCGAAACATGGCATTTTTGACATCTGTCATTTTTAACAATGTTATTTTTTAAAATCTTTTTGACAGCATTTTAGACATCTGTCACATGTCAGAAATATGTCAAAAAATAATAGTTGTTAAAAATATGAAAGAATTATTGTTTTAATTTTAGTGTGCAGTTTTCATGAAAATTGCAATTACCAGAAACATGTCATTTTTGACAACTGTCATTTTTAACAATTGTTCTGTCACTTATCGGAAAGATGTCAAAAAATAACAGTTGTTAAAAATATATTATGGAAGAAGTAATACATTTTTACTAATAATTAAATTATTCTCATGGCTTGCCTAAAAGTCGTATTTCTAATTCTTTCTCTCTTACTTATGCACTGAGAAAGTAAGGAAGTTTCACAAAAATAGTGCTCCTTACGGTATTTTATATGGACTGCTTTTATACATTTATATATTATATAATTTATAAAAAATAGATTTTAGATTTTTGAGGCTGTGAAGTGGATTCAGAAATTTTTGTTTGGATTTATAAATCGGTAAAATTGGTAAAATCCATATACCTATATGGTAAAATCTGTTGGCAACACTGGTAATAAGACAAAGAAGAAGAAGAAGTATTCGTTTACTGTCAATGTCATTTTTTATCAAAATTTTGCATATTCATTATTTTCGTTGTTAAAATGAAATGGTACGAAGGAGGAATTGTTGATGCCATTGGGGCCTCACAAAAGAAATCCGCTATTTTTCTGGTTTATGTTGAAGGTATTGGGTTAATATAAATTGCACAATAATTGTCGAAAATTAATCATCGTTTTGTAGGTTCCGATGATGTGTCGACCCGGTTAAACGAATTTCTAGAAAATTCTGAAATTAAGGGTTTATTGGAGAGCGATAAATTTGTCGCCATAAAAATTCAGAAAGATGGCATATCACATCAACAGTTTCAAGCAATATGTATCCTTTAATTGATTTTTGAATGTCATTGTAATTAATCTTGGATTTCAATTAGCTATTACAATGATTACCAATTAAGTTTTTTACAGGGTTTCCCCATGATTAAAAATAATAAAACTATTCAGTAACTGAATAGTAATTTACAGGGTTTTATGTAATTAATGTAATATATTAAAATACTGAATTCCTTTTCACATAATAACGGAAAAATATTTAAAAAAATGTTTTCCCAAAGATAAAGAAAAAATATGAATTAGAAGTTTTTATATTTTTTTTGTAACCAGTGGCATATGCCACTGGTTACACACTTGTGTTCTGTGAGTACATAGATACCAACCAACAAAGTAGCTGTGCATTGCCAGTTATAAAAAATTGTTACTACAATTTTTCTAGCAAAAAATAAGTAAAAACTCAATAAATACAAAAGTTGTATACCCTTAAATAATACCCTTATGTATTTATTTACTCAATAATACCCTTATGTATTTATTTACTCATCCAGCTATTAGCTTAAGCAATGATTAGAAAATTTAAAACCTATTTTAAAAACTCCATAACCATAAAATTAATTTTTTCATTGGTTTTTTCTTTCTGTTCACAGGTTAAACTTTAAACATTAAATTCCAGATTTTGTTTGAATGACATAATAAACAATTAATAAAAACGCCAAATTATCAATTTGCATTGTTGATTATGTCATTTTTGTAATTAAGCCAAATTTAAACAAAATTTGGCAACTTTTTTGACAGAATCTGGAAACGCTGGTTTGTTACCAACCATAACATAATAAATTAAATTAGGCAACCTAGTCGATCAGTGGCGTACTTTTTGGTAGGATAAAGGTTATTATAAATTATTTTTAGTATTTAGAACTCTTCAGTTATTGTTTCTTAACTAGTTAATTAGATGCCAATTCTATAAACCCCTGCTTGTACTTTATTGGGAAAAATGGTTCAGCATTGGATATTATTACTGAAGTTAATGATGTAAATGAGTTGTTAAAGAAAATAGAAAATGTTGTCTCTAAGAATGGTGGTAAAGAAAATACTGCAGGTTGGTGTTATATCTTGTATCCATATAAATTTTTAATTTGTTTGTTGTTGTAGAGAGCACTTCAAATTTTATAAGTGGGGAACAAAGTAATCAAATGCCAGCTAATGTAGTTTGTGAAAATGGGGTATGTACAATAAAAAGGGAGGAACCAAGTTCCCCATCGGCTGAAGAAAAGTTAGCTAGGGCGAAAGAATTATTGCTGGAGAAACAAAAACAGAAGGAAATTGAAGAAAAAGAGGTATAGTATACTATAAATTTAAAAGGAACGACGTATACGTCAATTTGATGCTAAAATCATTGCATCAAGTGAAAGTGGTAGTGCAACTACAGGGCGATAGATGGCGTTTACATGAATATTACCATAGGGTTAATAGATTTGGGACCTTAGAATACCAAAATGTCAAAAGTCAGAGTTTTATAACCTATATGATGCACCGCCATTTTTAAAGATATTTTCAGCTATAAAACTCAGAAATTTTGGTATATATATTCTTATCTGTTTATATACACCAAGTTAATCTTAATACTCGCCATTCCAATATTTCATTAAAATTTCGCAACGACTACCATGACCATAACACACGTCATAAGTCTGATGTAAACCTAGAAAGGGTTTTATCAATGAGAGGTAAAGGTTGCATATATCATAATGGTGTCAAAATTTACAATGCGTTGCCTATTGAAATCAGAAACAAACACATTAGGGGTTTTACGTCTGGTTTGAGATGTTTTCTGGAGTCTGACTTGAGATATCTTTTGGAGTCTGAGCTGTAATGGTCACCAGTGTGGTCTATGCTCAGACCGCACTGATGGTTGTTGTTCGGGCTTTGGGGGACGCCTCGGGTTAGACTTCCAAGCTAGGGTGTTTCAACGGGTATTGTCATTTTATTTTATTTTTATTCTCTTTTCCGTCCTTGCATTATCAAACATGTAATGTACCTATCTATAGTATAGAAACTAGCTTAAGCTTTTAAAACATGACGAAATGTGAAATGAATATCTACTACTACTACTTTTATATTTTTATTTTTTATTGTTTGTATATTTTTGTTGTATTGTTGTGAGAGGATGAATCCGTATAGAGTGTTAACGTGCACTCTCTGGATTTTTCAAAATAAACGTATTTTCTTTCTTATCTTATGTATACAACATATATTTTGTTAAATATTCTAATATATAATTAATAATAATCCTATTTACCTCTCTAACATTTGTTAAAGATAACAAAATTCCATTATTATCCCGTTCTGCCTCAAAATAGCGTATCAAGGATACCAACTCTTGACTCCGACTATTTAAATGCCTCGGTATTTTAAACATAGGAAAAACAATACAACAAAACGATACAACAAACACAAAAACGGCAATAAAAACTTAAACAATACAAAATAACACAAACAACAAACAAAATAAACGAAATCAAACACGAATTAAACGAAATATTCTAAAACACAACTGACAGCTTCGAAATTCTAAAACGTCAATTTCTTTTTCTATGCGTCATTTTATTATGCAAAATTTTAGTCCAAGCATGACAACATTGCAATTGCTGCCAACCAAAGTTGTTTAAAATGCATTCAAATATTCAATTACAGACTTCGTTTTATACATTTAGTGTTGGTACCAGTGGTACTATATAGTAAATTTAAAAGAAAACGACGTACACGTCATCGATGACGAACATTAAATGTATAAAACGAAGTCTGTAATTGAATATTTTAATGCATTTTTTCTACTATCTTACTAGAAAACTTAATTTTCCTTCCTCTTTTTTTTGAACAATTTTACATTAGCAAGAGTTTTTTACCTTGTCTAGCCCTATTTGATTTTGTAGGAAAAAGATTTACTCCGCGCTTGTCCAACCATTCTTTTAACAAACTATAGGTACCTATTAATGTTCATATCGCTGTTTCGATTTTTAAGGAAGGAAATTAATTGCAACTATTCTTGCCTCTTTAGCAAGATCTTGCGGCAGGTCTTCTTCTCTAGAACTCATTTTCAAAACCTAGGAAGAATTTCAAATTTATGATAAACATTCTGACAGCTTATAAAAACTGTTATGTTTGTATTACCAAAAATATATACCTTAGCAACAAAGCGTTGTCAACATAACGTCTACGCAACACCTACTTAATATTTTGTCATAATTTTATAGCCCCATACCGGGTTAGTAAAAGGAACCGGAACGCTTAAAATGTCTTAAAACCGTTAAAAGGTAATAGAAAAAACTATACAGTGGTAATAATGCACATTTAGGCCAAATTGTGACAAAGATGCATGCAATATAAAACGTACGAAAGAGTGAGATTAACAACCATCGACTGGTTAACAAACGTGATTCCCCTCCGTCATGAGCGTGCAGTAGAAATTTTTAAAACAATTAAATCAAAACGGTCTATTACACGCCAATGTTTTGCTTCCCCTTCTTTAACTATCTGCGTTACCCGCCGGGCGGGTCCCGCCCACTCGACATGTTCGAGTCTCGAGATTTGCCACTATTTAGTGTCAGTTTCATTACGACTGAGGTAGGGTGTAGTCGGTTGTTATAAAACAACGTAAATATTTTATTATGATTTTGTTTACAGAAACAAAAATTCCTTGCAAATATTTCTTAGGAAATGTGGAAAATAAACAATAATATTCTTGTAATAAAAAAACAAATATTCTCAAATAAAAAAGTATTCTAAAAAACGTAAAGAAAAAATAATTTAAAGCAAATGTTCTAAAATGTTTAAATAAATAAATTAAAGTAAATGTTTAAACAAAAATGGTATTCTAAAATATTTAAATAAAAAAATAAATAAAGTAAATGTTCAAACAAAAATGGTGTTCTAAAATATTGAAATAAATAAATCAAAGTAAATGTTCAAATTATTTACAACATTTTGAATTGTTGCCCTTGCTGGTAAGGGTCTATTTGGGAACATATTTGGAAATAATCTTTGAATTTCTCGATCTGAGATCCCATTTAAATGCCACGTTATAAATTGAATCTTTTCTTCAAGGGTGTAAACCATTTTTATTAGAGAATATTTCCTAATTTATAACAAACGTACTACCTCTTACTTACAAGTTGTAAGTTACAACACATTCTCTTGTCTGCGTCTGCGGCGCGGTCTGGCAGCCAGACTCTGGCTTGCCCCACTACTCTTACGTCACTTCACCACTCCCACGTCTCATAATGCATTTGTCTTTATTTAATAAACGGCCTAAGAGCACATTACCATCCCTGTATACATACCTCAGGAGGAAAAGCACTATTTTCCTCCCATGGCATGTAAATAGCTATTTAACAACTTAAGTTGGCAGCAATTGCAATGTTGTCATGTTTACATTACAATTTTGCTTAATAAAATGACGCATATAAAAATAAATTGACGTTTTAGAATTTCGAAGCTGTCAGTTGTGTTTTTGAATATTTCGTTTAATTCGTGTATAATTTCGTTTATTTTGTTTGTTGTTTGTGTTATTTTTTATCGTTTAAGTTTCCATTGCCGTTTTTGTGTTTGTTATGTATCGTTTTTTTGTTTTTCCTATGCCGAAGCATTTAAATAGTCGGAGTCAAGAGTTGGTATCATCCTTTGTTACCTTTAACAGCTGTTAGAGAGTTAAAAAGATTATTATTAATTATATATTAGAATATTTAACAAAATATATTTTAGATACATAAAATAATAATAGGTATATATAAATTTCTGGGTTTTATAGCTGAAAATGTCTTTAACAATGGCGGTGCATCATATAGCTTATAAAACTCTGACTTTTGACATTTTGGTATTAGGTCCCAAATCTAGGGACCTTATTCAGCTGATTGATGACGTGTACGTCGTTTCCTTTTAAATTTACTATAGCATTCTACATTGCGATGAAATTTTAGAAGGAGCGTTTGAAGGAAATTGAACGCAGGAAAATGGGGAAAGATGTGCAGGAAATGAAGCGTTGGCAGGAGGATCAGGAGTTAAAGCAACTCAAAGAAGAGCGCGACAGGGAAAAAAAGGAGAATCAGGCGGCGAGAGATCGAGTTTTGGCGCAAATTGCGCAGGATAAGGCTGAAAGGGCCTCAAAATTCCCATCAACCAGTGGAGGTAATTCCCCTGTTGCCACAACAGCGGCAACCCCGCAATGCGAGCCCAAACCGGCTCCAAAATCGGATGTTGCCAGGTTGCAGTTTAAGCTGCCGGATGGCTCCTCGAAAAACCACGATTTCCCTAGCGGAGATAAATTATCGGTCGTGAGGGACTACGTGGCTAAAAATCTGCACTTAACGTGTACAAACTACGCCATGTCCACTACGTTCCCCAGAAGGGAATTCACAGAGGCGGACAACGAAAAATCGCTTTTGGATCTCGAGTTGACGCCCAACGCGGTGGTTCTGATTTTGCCCGTCAACAAGGGAGGCACCGTTCAGACCAATCAGGGCCAAGGATTGATGGGCATCGTTTGGATGGTTCTGTCACCAATAATGGGCCTTCTAGGGTTTTTGAAGCTGTTTATTTTTGGTGGTGGCAATACTGGCGCAACCGATCAGGCGGGGGGATCACCAAGCACCGCCAATTCCTCATCTAGCAGGTAAATATATTTTTGTTCTATTTTATAGTTGGGGTTTTTAACGAATGACAACGTTTCGGGAAATCTTAGCCACTTTCAGAGCAAAAAAATCGGACATTTGCTTTAATTTGTTAACCAACTTTATAAATTTATAAAATTAGTTAATTAAACAAAAAAACATTCTTCTTTCTTTTATCAATCCAATCTGGCATAGTTTTGGCCTTTTGGCCACTTTATTGCAGAGAAAACAAATCTACTAAAGTAAACTAAAGTAAATTTGTTTTCTCTGCAAAAAACTGGCCAAAAGGCCAAAATTATGCTCGTAAACGGTTGACAAAATTTAGTTCTCCACAAAAAGGACATTTAACATTTTAGAATGACGGTTTTATAATTAAATAATATTTATATTAGTAATGTTTTTTCCACTTATTTCATTTTGCGCATTTATATTCGTTTTAGTTCTCTGTTGTTGGTGTAGTTGTTTTTTGTGTGTTTTTTTCTACGCTCGCTAATTCCGATGCAAGTTTTTTTCTTCAATGTAGATTAATTTTTGTCCATTGTGTGTGCCTTCTTTGTAGTGTAACTGTCAGTATTTTTATAAATCGATTTTAAAGAAAGAAGCTGGTCTTCAAAAAATAGCTGAAAAATGTACGTAAATTTTATAATAATTATTTTTATTTCCTCTCCATTATTTACTTTTATGTATTGCAATTTGTAAATAGTAAATTTGTATAGTCCAGAAATTGTTGTTAATACAACTTTACTATACTTACTACAAATTTATTATTATTTTGCCATTTTCTTCCAATATAAAATGCAAGACAAAATAATTTTTATAAGCCGCAAAGACAACAAAAATTAATGCATATCTTCTAATGTGACATCACAAAATTAATGAATTTACCGCCATTTTAATTTAAATGATATTTTAAATATTATTTTCATATGAAATTCATCCAAATTTCTATGAAATTATTCGATTTTTAGACTGTCGTAAATAAAGTATTATTATTGCTATTATTATTAGACTAAATTGTCTAATAATTTGAAGATCATACGTAAAAAACTATCTCAGTCACAATATTAACATTTCAAGAAAATATTATTAATGAAAAAAAAACTATTTTATATGGTTTTTCAATTAAATTAAATATATTGTTTTATGTAAATAATATTTACTAAATACCAAATAAAATATATGAAAAAAGTGGTAAGAAAAATTTAATTTTAGTTTTTAGGTTAAATGTTTTAAATATTGGGTTTTCAAATAAAATATCTTGTTTTAAAGCCATTTATAAGTCAAATGTTTTCAATAAAATAAAATATCCTCTTTTTAAAGCAAATGGGTGAATATATTGAGATGTCCCCCAAGTGAAAATGATTATTTTTTTATTTTTGGTTGTTTCACTGTTAGTCTAGAATGGTGTTTTTGGGAAGCCACCAGTAATAACATAACACAAGTGGTTCTGCACTAATGCAAGAATTTAAAAAAATCATACATTTTGAATATAAGAGCTTCACGGAGGTTAGGATTTCGTATGTTTTTTTTTAAACATCCCTTTGTATATTGTTTCTTTTGACACCTTAATATTTTTTAAAACTACAATTATTGTACATACATAAAATATTTATAAAAAAAATCTACTTACTGAGATATTACATTTAACGGCGGATAGGTTTTTAAATAGAAAATTAATGAACTTAAACTTTTGAATTATAAAACAGCAACACTCTCATCTGCATATAAATTTTAACTGACCTTCAGGAATCACATGCATCTATAATGCCGTAAACAGAGGTTTTTGCTTATTTAAAATGATTAAAGCGCCATCAGTTGCATAAAATTTAAAGCAAAAACTGATTCACGGAGGATCGAATCAATTTTTGTAACACCTACATAAATGGTTGTAATAATTTTTAATAATATTTTATATTTGATTCGATTGCTTTGGATGTGTTTAATTTACTTAGTGAACTGATATTTTTAGTATGCTTTTAGTACCTCAGATATTTGAAAACATATAGGTTAACCTAGAAAGAGTAACAGTCACGGAGAATAGGTTTTAGACTTTTAAAACATTGTAAAAAATAATTGCGGTTAAAAATCTGAAACCTGAGCTGTAATGAAAGATGAAAGATCAAAAACAATAAAAGTGTAGGTCAAACTTATTTAGTTTTATTAAATATCACGGGGTAACACGATTGGGGGACATTTCGTAAGATTCACTCAAATGTAAAGAATGAATTGAAAAGTTACAACATTAACATTGCAAGAAGAATGTAAACAATATATTTTTTCTAAATTTATTTATTACAAAATAGCTGTAATTTAGGTTTAGTTGCCAAATAAAAACCCTAAATTGGACTGTCCTTGAAGATTATTAGTGTCCTTGTCTTGACACACTTTCTGCACAAAGCAAAAAGAATTTGATTTAATTTTGTTTTTTAAATTTTATTTTAATTTTTTTCTAAAAGCAAAACAGTTCCCATTTATTAAGCCTTGTTGGTCCTGTCAATTTAATTAAAGCAAATGTCTTTTATTAGCTAAAATCAGATAAATCTCGACATAATTTAAAAGTAACGATCAAAAATTAAGCGTTTTTCGATGACGTAATTAACCTGTTGCATTTTATTTTAGGGCGCCAAATTCGGTGGTTCACATAAGAAATAAGTACGACCTAAATTCAAAACTGTCGAGTGCTGGTTCCAAGCTAGTCGTAATCGATTTTTTCGCCACCTGGTGTGGACCGTGCAAAATGATCGCGCCGCGTCTCGAAGAGTTGGCTAAGGAGTTCCGCAACGTTGTCATACTTAAGGTCGACGTGGACGAGAACAGGGACATCGCATCCGCTTACAAGGTGTCCGCGATGCCCACGTTCGCTTTTATTAAGAACATGCGCGTGCTGACCAAATTTAGCGGCGCGGATTTCCATCAACTGAGAGACACTGTCGCGCGATACAAATAAGTCAACGTCTTTGTGTTTTTTTTCTCAATAAATCTACCGTTTTTATTATGTCGTCACTATAGTTTATAAATTATTTTTTAATTAGGTTTTGGGCCTCACCAATCTGACTTTTGTGTCAGATTGGTGAAAAGAGAGGTTAAAACAGCTTGACAGTTGTCAGATCACTTATTTATTAAAAACTCGCTCCACTCTTGCATAATTAAACTCGTGTATGAAATGACGTTTTTAATACTATAATTACATAATATATTATATATCTGTACCTCCTGAACACGTTTGTAATAAATCCTAATATATTTTAATATTGTATATAAATTTAAATTAATAAAACCACATATAACCTAATTTGTTTATGGTTTTTTAATACAACAACCCCAGCAAACACAATGTAAAGGTTCTCTCTCTATATTTAAATAAATAAAAAAAATCCCTAAACTAAACAGAAAATATTTAAAATTAAAATATACAGGGTGTGTATATTTCTTTCTCGGATTCTTCATCCCTTTTCTGGATTCTGAAGGTAACTACTAATTCCTTGGTCTAACTTCTGAAATAGTTTGTTGCAAATATCAAGTGTGGTATCTCTAGTTTGTGAAGCATTTATAATGTTTAGGCCGGAACAGGATGATTTATGTATATCTAATATTTTTTCGGGTGGTATGTTAAAAGTATTTTCCAAATTTGTTAATTTTGTTGCCATTAGTTTTTTATGTTCTCTATCATGCACTGTTATTCTGCAAGATGTCCTGTGACGAAGAAATCTCTATATTACTTGCTCTCTAAAAATGAATTAGTCAAAAATGTCATAGCGAAAAAGCAGCCACTAATAATTCTCGTCAACAGCAATTTGTGTCCAGGACATGTAGCAGTAAATCCTATGAAATATTATTCGCTGAATCCGAAAATGTCGTCAAAAGTTTTAAAAGTAAAACAGTTTTTGAAATATAATCAATTTTACTTATAATAAGGAATTGACTATATCTCAAAAACTGCTTAACTTTTATAGTTTTTGACGGTCTTTTCGGATTCAGGGGACAATATTACATACGAATTGGCTGGTAAATGTCCGGGATACAAATAGAGTATGATATTGGACATATGTCCAATAATATAAATTTACATTTTTTATCAACCAGTAATTGGACACTAATATTACTGTTTGTTTTCAGAATTAAAATTAAAACGCATTAAAGTGACAATGTTTAAACCATGAGGAACACATTTATAACACACACTGATCCGTACACTTTTTAGAAATATTTTTTATTGTAATTTAAACACAGCCCTGCTCTTAACAAAAAAACAAAAATCTTACCACCGAAGTAACGTGCGAACTTTTTTGTCCTATATTGGACCCAAAATAAAGTAGTTCTATATTATTACCGACTAATTTAATTTATTAAGTTATGGTTGGTAACAGATTGTGTCAAAAAAGTTGCCAGATTCTGTTTAAATTTAGCTTAATTACAAAAACGACAATATCAACAATGCAAATTGTTAATTTGGCGTTTTTATTATTTGTTGATTATGTCATTTTTGAAATAAAGGTAAATTCAAACAAAATCTGGCAACTATGACAGAATCTAGTACAGTTCTTTCAAATTTTAGGTTATGTGCTCAAATTGTAAATATCAACATGGCCGATATTCAGAGCTACCAACCTAAACTTCAAATCCCTACAATGTGTTTTCATTATTGTACGGCGGTCTATAAAGCTTGTAGACGTCAAAATCAAAAAAAATGTTTACATATTCAAATCTAACAATTTTTTGTCGGCTATTTTTTAACTTCACATTTTGATTTTAGATCGACTGCTTCAAAATCGACGCAAAAAAAAGACAGCACTGTCAAACGGCGAAACAATAGCAGTAACATTCATCGTCTTACGGATTCTAAAGATAGTGATGATGAAAATAATACATGGAATGGAAATTCAACTCAACAAATGTAATATTGTTTTTTTTTTAATATAATAATACTTAGTGATAATAATAATTCTAGTTTTTAAATAAATTATATGTTTTTAAATGTTTTGCGTTTCGTTCGGTGTTATTATAATAGGGATTAAATGGTTAAATTAAATTATTAGAAATAGTTTTTTAGATATCGTAAACTCTTATTATTTAATATAATATTGTTGTAATAAATTGTAATTTTTTTATTAAATTGCTATTTACACAGTTTTTGTGAAATATTTTACCATGGATTTTTTTTACAGATATTAAATAAACAAGGTAAGTAAACCATAAGTTCATTTTTTTTTATAATTTAGGGTTTTGGTTGGTAAATACAGTTGTCAAGTTGGTCGCATTGATTAAAACAAACTAAGCTAGTTATAAATCTAATTGTGGTTATGTATAAATTATTGTAGGTTACATTGTGCAGTTGTCGAAATTCGTAGTTAAAAATGCAATTAATTTGGCTTTGGTGGTGCTTGGATAAGTAAAATCATATAAAAAAGTAGTTAAATATAGGTTGCTTTACGACTCAGAAGAGAAAGTATTCCTAGCGGATAATAATCTTCGCTTTGAAAAGAATTTATATATAAAAGAAATTAAAATTTTTTGTGAACGTAAATGTTGTCCAATGATGAATAATGTGAAAATAATGTGTGATGTAATATTTATAAAACCAAATTCGTTACTTTTTTACTCAAAAAATGTCCATACTTTTTCTTCCATTGTGGCATTTGGCATAATTTCATCAAAATGAAGTTTTGCCCTCAAAATGGCTTTTACATTCGAATTCGTTGCTATTATTTTTGGCATAATTATCTTTTTATTTATAATTGACAAGTAAATTATCAATAATAAATATTATTGTCAATTTGACCAGCGCCGGATTATAAAAATTTGCGCCCCGGGTCTAATAAAAATTTTCCGCCCCTAATAAATTCAAAGAAATGTCACTTCTTAACAAAAGGATTTTATTTAACCATAAACATTAGGGTTGTAGTATTTTTTCGAAATTTTTTTGATTTTTGAGATCAAATAAAAAAAATAAGTCTAAAGTACCTATTTGAGTTTCAACAGATAAAAAAATTTTAGACGTCGCTCAAAACTTTTTTAAACCAACCTTTTTTCTCAAAATCTTTGGCTTCTCACTATTTTTTTTGTAGGTCGTATAGGAACAGAATACATTTTTAAGTAAAAATATTATTGGTCGCTCAATATTTTTAAAATACATTTCTTGATTTTTTTAATAATTTTGATCTTGTAACCACTACTATTTTTCCAATTTAGTTGATTTTTTTGAGCGAAGTTTTTTTTTTTGAGTTGAAACTTGTTTCATGTGAGCTCCGAAATAAAAAAAAATGCCGAAAAAATATTGCCACCCTAAAAACATAAACAAAAACTATATAAAAAACAAATACCTAAATAAGAAAATTAACATTTTGCCAACTCAACTTTGCGTGCTTTTAGAGAAGCAAATTTGTTTATCGCAATATTGACGTCACCTTTCAATAGGCTAATACCTATACTGTATATATACATACATATATATATGACTGGTACTGTATATAACTATAGTTTTAAATTAATTTAAATTAATAGTTGTTCGTAGTGTAATAAAATATTCTTATATTAAAAAACCTTTACGCCTATACGCATCGCATCGGTGGAAATAATCAATTTCTGCAAACTAAAGTTCTTGTCGCCCAACAACTTGTCGGGCGCCCTACCTACGTAATACGTGACATGACATAGTTCGTATACTATGCATAGATAATAATACTATGGCAACAATCACGGTTATAATTTAAATAATTTTTTTATTAAAACTGATTAATACACGAAAAATAAAAAAAGGGGAAAACCCTTTAGGTTGTAGTAAAAAATTACCAGTCAAAAATTTTGCGCCCCCTGTAAGCTTGCGCCCCGGGTCTATAGACCCCCAAAGACCCCCCTAAATCCGGCGCTGAATTTGACAATGTCAAAGTATTTAATTAAATTCTTTAGCAGAAGTACCATTTTTAAATACTAAAAATACCAAGTCAAACTGGCATAAGCCACCAACCTAACAAATAAACACGAGTCCAGATAAAAAAAATGAACTGTATACCATTATTATGGTACGACTGGCAACACTGGTTTAAAGCTGACTTTCAATATTGTTCTTAAATTGAATCTGTAACTCAGTCACTTTTTTTGTAGTGCCTTATAAGATAATCTGATATTTTATAAGCGCACCGAGGAAAGAAAGATTAGAAGTCGGTAAGGGTAGGAAAATTGTAAGTTTAATGTCGTTTAATAGGAGTTGGAAATTAGAAGTAAAGCGCAAGTACGCGCCCCGGATGGAATTATGGGTGCATGGGGAAACACTAGAAGTTAAATGTGTCATCTCTCATAATTGCCTTCTTGGATTGTTTCATTAGCGACGTCGTTAAAACTAACGACCCTTCTGCTTCAGCGTTGTCGCTTTAAATTATATCCACTCTTGCTGTTGCTGCTCTACTCTTGTTGTTGATAACTTACTTTTATACTTATCCACGTGCATTTAAAACTTATATAGACAAAAATGTTCGCACGTTACTTTGGTGGTAAGATTTTTGTTTTTTTGTTAAGAGCAGGGCTGTGTTTAAATTACAATAAAAAATATTTCTAAAAAGTGTACAGATCAGTGTGTGGTATAAATGTGTTCCTCATGGTTTAAACATTGTCACTTTAATGCGTTTTAATTTTAATTCTGAAAACAAACAGTAAAATGGCAAAACAGCAATTTATCTTTAACAATTATTTAACAATTTACCTAGATCTATGCATACTTGGTGTAGGATAATATACCTACTTGGTAAATTATAATTATATTAAGTTAAAATAAACTTAAAATGGTTGGTTTTTTCACTTTAGTTTAAGTTGACTAAAGAGTTAAAAAGCAGTCAAAAAAGGGTAAAATTAACCAAAAATTACCAAATATTAACTTTTTTTAACCGACACGTATATTAACCAAGAAGTTAAATTTACTTAACATAACGTTAAATTAACCATGATTTTTATTCCCCACTTATTACAAAATAACGGTAATTTAAGGTTAATTTAACGTTATAGTACAATATAACTTAAGTAAATTAACCAGACATAACGTAAATTTAACGTTAATTTAACCGGTTGTGCTACTCGGGTAAATACAGTTTAAACAAACAAATTATCTTTTTTATATATTTATAAGAAAAAAACTAGAACCTAAAGCAACGTTTTTAAGATGGTAGTAGCTACTATAATTATAATTTTAAGTATTTTTTTCTAGAAAAAAAATTATAATATTAGGTATGCATTACAAGCATGATATTAGGAAAGTTTGATTAGCTTCCTGATAGAGTAGTTAGTGCGAATTCAAGCCGCAAC